AATCCCTTTTAAGCCTATTAATAATCTTAAGAAAATAATATTAAGTTTTTTTATATTCTTTTTTCTTTTTTTTAACATTTAATTTTATTAAGGCTAGGCTTTTTAAATCTTTTAATAATATTAATAATAAAAGTAATTTCTTTTAAGGTTAAAACTTAATAATTAAGATATTAAATCCTATATATATTAACTAAACTTTAATTAAGTAAATATATATATAATTTATATAGCTATATATATAATAATTAGCTTCCTTTTTATACCCCTTAACCTAATTTATATCATAAGCTAATTAATTAACCTTTATAGCTATTTAATAAAGATTAAAATTAAGAAATAAAGCTTAAACTAAGTAATATATAATTAGTTAATTAACCCTTAATCTTCTTTTTATTTATATTACTAACCTCTTTTATAGTTATTATAATAAGTATATAAATAGTAAATATTTATTATAATATAAAGCTTACTTTAATCTATAAAAATATTAAAAAAGTAATTAATAATTACTATAATAAATAGGTATTTAACTTACTTAAAGATAAGATTAGAAATCTTTAATTAAATTTAAAGTAAGATTTTAACAATTACTTTATAGTACCTTTTTATAATAAGTAAGATAATTATAATTTAATTAACCCTATTAATAATATTATTAATAATATTATATATTATATTATAGAAATAAGTATAGTAAGATTTTAATAAGGGTTATATAATTTAATTTAATTCCTCGGCCTAAAGCTACCTTTAACTTTAGGCTACCTTAACTTTAACTTTAACTTTATAGCCCCTTAATGCCTTATATATAACTTTTATTAGTATCCTTAATAGTTATATACTTTTAGTCTTAGGCTAAGACTAGAATAGTCTTTTTATTTTATATCTTTACTGGCCTTAATTATCTATTTAACTTACTTTTTTAAGTAATTATATTAAACTATATAATTAAGCTTTAATTTAAATACTTTAATAAAAAAGGTTTTAATTTTAAAAACTAACCTTTTTAAAAGCCTTTTTTCTAACCTTTTTAGGTTTTTAAGTTAATTCTTTATATACCTTAAACTTAATATATATATTTAATAAGATTTTTAACTTAACTATATATAAAAAAGTATTAAAAATTTATAATTAAAGGTAATTAATATATTTAAATTATAATTATTTTATTTACTATAAAAAGGTATTAATTAATTTTAAAAATCCTACTTTATTTTAATCTTAAGGTCTTTAACTATATAAATAAATTATTTATATTTTTCCTTACTATAGTTATTAATTACCTTATAGATCTTATTATAGGTTAGGCTTAAATTTATATTATAATATATATTTATTATATAAATAGTAATACTTATTATAATAACTATAAAAAAGGTTAGTAATATAAACTAAAGGGAGACTAAAAGTTAATTAACTAACTATATATAACTTAATTTAAGTTTTATTTTTTAATTATAACCTTTATTAAATAGCTATAAGGGTTAATGAACTAGCTTATAGTATAGATTAGTTTTAAAGGTATAAAAAGGAAGCTGGTTTTTATATATATATTTATATAAATTATATAAATATTTATTTAATTAAAGTTTAATTATTATATATAATATTTATTATCTTAATTATTAAGTTTTAACCTTAAAAGAGGTTATTTTTATTATTAATATTATTAAGAGTTTTAAAAAGCCTAGACTTAATAAAATTAAATATTAAAATAAAAAGAAAAAAGAATTAATTAAATTAATTACCTTTAATTATAAACTTTTAATACTTTATAATTTAAGGCTTAATAAAAGAAATTATAATTAAATATCTATATTAACTTAAATATAAAAAGTAAAAAGATTAACTTAAATACTTAAAAAGCCTAGAAAATAGACTTATAAAAAGGCTAGCCTTAAGATTAATAGCTTTTTTATTAAGGTATTTAAGTTAAAACCTTATAATATAGCTTAATATAATAACTTAAAAAAATAGGTTATAAAGATAATTAAAGTCTTTAAGAATAATCTATAAAGAGAAATTATATATAAGGTATTAAAAGGGGTAGATATAAAAGTAAAAGGTTAAAATATATTACTTAGAGGAATATATATTTTATTAGTTAGAGTTAAAGTTAAAGTTAAGGCAGCCTAAAATTAAAGGTAGTTTTAAATTACGAAATTAAATTAGATTATATAACCCTTATTAAATTCCTACTTTACTTACCTTTATAGTATAATATATATTTATTTATATTAAGTATAGTATTACCTTTAAAAAAAAGATCTAACTATCCTAATTAAATCTATAAAAGTATTAATAATAAAGGTCTTTATATAGATTAAAAAGTAATAATATCTTAAATTTAATAAAGTTACTTATTATATTAATTATAACTTTATTTCTTAATAATATAAAAACGCCTATTAAAATTACTTTTCCCTTTCTATATTTTACTTTAAATAACCTACCTAAGCTTATAAAATAAAGATTATAACTAGGTAATTACTAAGTAATTTATTAAGTCTATAAGTTAATTAGACTATTTTATAATTAAATTAATAAAGTTAACCTTAATTATAGTTAAGATATTAATTAATACTTTAACTTTTATATCTTTTTATAATAACCTTTAGCTAGTTAATAATAATATTATAATTAAGGTATATAAAAAGGAATTTTAATATAATTAAAAGGTATTTATTAAAATAATAAATAATAATCCTAAGGCCTATAATAAACTATAAAACTTTCTTAATAAGATTAAATAGTAATATATTATTAAGGTAGGTATAAAGCCTATAAATTAAAAGGTTAAGGTTATACTTATTATCTTTAGTTACAAGGTCCTTTAATTATATACTTTATTTATTATTAATAGTAATTATTTATATAAAAAGGTATAGATTAAAATAAAGATATTACTTTTTAATCATTTTAAAAAGAAGTTTAAATTATATAATATAATTAAGCCTTTAATAATAAAAAAGACTACTTTCTTTAATATATTAAATAAGAATAATATAAATTTAATAAAAGGTAGGTATAAAAAATAATTAATAGACTTAATTATAATAATAAATTTAGTTAGGGACTTTAATTTAAGATTATAAAAAGACTATTAAAGTTAGAGTTATAAGAAGGAAATTTATATATATAAGATAGAGCTTTTTACCGAAGGTTAAAAAGTCTTTCGGTTTAAAAAAAGAAACTACTATAATTAATTAACTAAGATTATATAACCTAATAGACCTTCCCTATAATAACTAGACAAGATAAGTAAGGTAATTAATAGTAATTTAATAGTAATATAATTAAAATAACATATACTATTATTAATAATATTATTAATTAGGGCTAATTATATTATATAATTTAAGGTTTTTTTTTAAAATAATTAAAAAATATTATTTCTTTTTAAGCTATATATTCTTATAGTTATAATTATTATTATAAATAAAAAGGCCAGGTACTTAAAATTTTATATAGTTAGAAATATTAAGTATAATCTTAGCTTTTTAATTTATAGGCTTTATACCTATCTTAATTATATATTATTAATTAATATTATTAAATAGGCCTTTTAACTTTTTATAAATATTAAAATTCTTAATTATTACTTTAAGAAATATCTTTTAATTATATTAAAATTCCCCTTTATATACCCTTATTATATTACTATTATTAACTAGTTATAGGCCTTTATTAAAAGGTATAAAGGTAGGTATATTAATTAATATATTAATTATAATTAAAATTAGCTTTATTAATCTAATTTAACTAGGTTAACTTATAGACTTAATAAATTACTTAATAATTATAATCCTTATTTTATCTTAGGTAGGCTAATTAAAGTTAAGTATAAAAAAAGAAAAGTAACCTTAGTAAGAGTTTTTATATTATTAAGAAATAAAATTATAATTAATATAATAGATAACCTTATTAAATTTAAAATATTATTACTTTTTAGTCTATATAGAGATCTTTATTATTAATATTTTTATAGGTTAAATTAGGATAGTTAGATATCTTTTTTAAAGATATTACTAGACTTAATATAAATATAATCCTTTAATTACCTAGCCTCTTTATTTATAATAATAATTATAATAATAAGAATATATAACTTAAAAAAAAGATATTACCTTTTAATTATTTTAAAAGGAAGCTTAAGTTATTAAGCCTAATTAATATATTAATAATAATAAAAACTACCTTTTTTAATATATTAAATAATAATAATATAAATTTTATAAAAAGTAGGTATTATAAATAATTAATAGACTTAATATTATTAATATATTTAATTAGGTATTTTAAATAATAAACTATACCGAATTTTAATTAAAATAGCTAAGGAATTATAAAAAGACTATTAAAGTTAAAGTTATAGAAAGAAAACTTATATATATAAAATAGAGTTTTTTACTAAAGGTTAAAAAGTCCTTTAGTCTAAGAGAAGAAATTACTAGAATTAATTCACTAAAATTATATAACTTAATAGACCTTCCCTATAGTAACTAGATAAGATATATAAAGTAACTAATAGTAGTTTAGCAGTAATACAACCGAGGTACCTATATACTATAGTGCTATTATTAATATATAGGTATGGGGTTAAGGGGTGTATATAGTAGTGGTGAAATACATTACTGGAAACCACTGTTTTGACTTAGCGGGTTTAGTAAGAGGTACTTCAAGATTGAATTTTCTGTCCCCTAAAGGATAACGTGCTGGTACCTATGCCCCACCTTATCCTAACAAGTACATCAAGTTCGCAGTCTATCACCTCCGGGGAAGCGGATGGGAGTGGAGTGACAATTTTATAACGTGGTTGGGATTTCCAGGTGGTCCTTTTCTTATCCTGTAACTATATCTCCCTTATTGTCACCTTTGTCCTTGTCGCTCCTCACTGGCCTGTCCGAACACTCATACCATAATATCTGCCCACTTACGCAGCACTTTATAGCAGCTTGAGAAGCGACGTCAGACCGCTTAAAGGCAACCCGCGTGTCAAAATGAAGCGCAGTCATTACGCTTGCGACCAGTGCCGGAGGTCGAAGCGAGCTTGCGATGCACCACCTCTCCTTGGTCCCGGAGCTTCGAGACGCCGCCCCATAACAACCGGCGAACCGCTTGGTAAGTCTAAAGGTGTACTTGAGCCGGTCCCCTAATCTTACTAGGTCAGTAGCTAACAACTACTGGAGGGCCAGCGTCTGAGAGGGACCACGAGGCCTGTTCTTATTGTACCAAGACAAAGAAAACATGCACCATGAATTGGGCTTGGGCACAATTGCAGCCTGCCTCCCCATCAAGTAATGCTAACTCCGCGGTATATTCGTATAAGACAGATCGTGATCTCAATACTGCGACCAAGAGGCAAAGACCAGATCCGCTGGCGCCACATTTAACCACGGACTTCATGTCCTCGCCCACGCGTATCCATGGCACAGAACAACCTGTTCAAGATCCAAATCGTCTTAAACAAAAGCCACGATTACCCAGTCTTTATACAGTCACTCATTCCTCAACCGCAACGGTTACTTCGAGCCACTCAGCAGGTCCAGGCCTTGAAATTTCGCAGACACAAAGTAATGCAAGACGTTCAAGCAGCTCGACCAACTTACCTGATCACTACTTATCATCTCATTTACCACCTAACGAGTCGCCAATGTCGATTCAGTCTCAAGTCAACCACTGGTCTACTCTCCAGCAGTCAGTTACCAAAGACTCCCATAGCCAAGGATCTATATCACGATCTACGATTGGCAATACTGATGACGAAGACAAAGCAATCAGAGCAAAGCGTCGTCGTACTTCATCAACATGGAGTGATCGCCGCCAACCCTCTTTATCTTCCTTCTCTGTTGACCAGACTATGATGACCAGATCCAACAACGAGTATATATCTACAAATCTTTTGCAAATCTATCATGACGTACTTGAGCACAATCTTTCTTGCTGGCTTACGGAAGTTACCTGCCCCTATAGGGCACCTGGCTATGTGACAGGTGGTATACATGCTCCAACAGAATGGGGATCATCATGGTCAAATCGCATATACCGTCGTACCATCAACCTTGATCACGCAATCCAGACCGCAAAACTTACAAAGCTTACCCGTGCTGAGGATCAAGCTGCAGCTAAAGCCTTCCAGCTTTCAATAATGGCATTTGCCACTCAATGGGCTCAAGGCAGTCGTCGTCAGCAGCAGCGTTATTCTGGCGATGATAATGGGGTACCAGATGATATACTTAATGATGTCACGGAGGAGTTCGACCGCAACATTCAGCGAAACATCTGGGAGCAAGCTAAAAGGGCTCTTCAAGAAGTTGCCGATGTGGAATCATATCGTGTGGCCACTGCAGAGCTGATATTTGGTTTGACGCAGAAGCCTTGGACTCGTGACGATGAACCTATGAGAACGAAGAGTAACCCCAATACACTGACCAATGCTCAAGCGAGAGTTGATATGACAGCCCTAAATTCTGAGCTAGGGGATATCATTTCACGAGATGGCCTGCCAGTCTTCATAGAGAGAGCTGCCCGCAAAATGCACGCTCTGAAATTCCGGTTCGACTCTGGGCGACGCGGTGTGACTGGATCTCTTACCCGGCAAAAGAATAACGATTCGCTCTCAATGATGAATCCCGAAGATCGTGGAACTGTTGGGCTCCTGTACTGGCTTGCCGTCATGCTTGATACTGTTTCGTCGTCTATGAGCGAACGTCCAGTTGTGGTAGCCGACGCAGACAGTCAACATGACGACGCAGATGAGGACCTTGACGCAACGACGAACGGACGATGGAATGTCCCACTGTTCATCCAAGATAGCCTGGAACAGCCGCATATGTATCATACGATACACTGGCCTTGCTCATACGAATCCGCTGCTGAGGCTGTTACCAAGTCAGCACCCGTCAAGGTCCTACTCTTCCGACACATTTCATATCTTCAGAACATTTTGAGGAGGGGTGGCCGAGGAGTCAAAGTTGAAGAAACTATCAAAACTACTACCTCGCTGTATCGGTATTGGAACATGACACACGGAGCTTTCTTTAAAGAACTGCTATATGACTACGAAACAGTTCCTGGCCGTCTTCAGAGCTGGTTCGTTTGTATTTCTGGCCATTGGAATCTTGGTGCTCTCATGCTCGCCGACCTTATCGAATACGTGGACGAGAATGAGCTAGGAGAACCAACAGCATCCCATGGCCGAGTGTCCAGCAAGATGGTTACAAGAATACGGGAATCGAGTGCGCGAGAGTTGTCTGACTTGGCCAAGGTATCGACCCCTGCTCAGAACCTAGGCAGCATGACTGCACCGCAAATGACACATTTTCACCATGCTGTGAACGAGGCAACAATTCTTACAGAGCCCTGGACCATTTTACTCATCAGGGCCTTCGCTAAGGCCGCCATGATACTTATTAATGAAGCTAAAGATTTCCTGGAATATGGTATGACTGCACCGGGAAATACTGGTCATGACTTTCAAGAGAGTATGCGTCGTGCACAGGAATGCGTTAAAGGACTTTGGATATTGGGCAAAAAGTCTGATATGGCAAGGAGGTCGGCAGATACGTTAGTTGCAGCGATGAAGAAGTTGAAAGTTTAGCCAAGTCGGTTGGATTTGAAATTGTACCTAAATGCTCTTAGGAAAACATTCGTCTAAAATGCCATACTCTTTCTCGTCTGGTCCTGGCAAATTGTCTATATTATCAGCATGAAATTTCATATGAAGTCGAGGCAGAGAAGCAGGTACTGGATTGTGGCACATCCGATATTGATATTTCTACAGGGGCGTCATGCCTGTTTTACCAAGAAAACTTGCAGAACACAAGAAAAGGCCAAATCGAGAGCCTTGAATTGCAAGTTGTGCCCGTGGGGGCCATGGGTAAGATTTGTTGTGTTTCTAGCACATGGCTCATCTCAGAGTTCCGACGACCATACTAATTATCAGACGTTATGCAGTATCATTTTCAAACAGATATAGGGTCGAAGATGGTCATATACACGCCGAGATATCTCTAGAGGAAACGTGCCAGATGTAGCTTGGTGCAGAAGATCATACCTTTTGATGATATGCTAATAATTCTCTCGTGCACATCGAGAGTCTATTTCACGAGTCTGGGATGCGAGAAACTATGAAGAAGCTCTGTTGTATGTATCAGAGTCTGTCTCAACTCTGTTCCAAGAAGCAACTTGTTAGGTTGTTTCGTCATTGGAATCCACGATACCGTTGTTTTTGCATCGATGAGCAAACAAATATAGCCTTGAGCATTTGGAGTCCCCAATCCATCGAATCAAGTGGATGTACATGTTATTAAGCGGTTACATCTTCATATGTTCTGCTGGCTTACTGAACATGGCGTAAGAGAGTTACTGAGGGTTCAGGTTGTTGAGAAGTTACCCACCGATCTCGTGCCTCGATCGTGCATCAATCGTTTGACTCAAAGCCCCTGGTCTTCAGAGCAAGACTTCTTAGACGGCTTTGAGAGTGCCATAGATTTCTTAGAGATACATTAGAAGAAATCAAAGACTCAAAGCATCAGTCTAGAAACAGGATCAACAACCAGATACTGAATGAGTCGGCTTCCAGAAGCCTACCTCGACATTCACTCATGGCTATCCGTTGCTCAGAATTTATGAAGGAAGCGGCTACAAATGCTTCCTGAGACCATCTTCTCCCGTAACCAACTGGAAATAGCCAGTATGAAGACGAGCCATACCATTATACGAGGCTTGACCACTGGGCTGTTTGGAGCAGTGCGAAATAGATTTGGGTACGCATATGATCATCACGTATACTTTCCAGCAATGCACCACTCTCCATCCAGTCCTTTCATACCAATGCGGGAAAACATCATACCCCAGTGCCGAACCAAGCGAGGATGTGAAGCAGTCTAAGAAGTTGGCACCTTTATTCTACCTTGACTTTTCACTGAATAAATCAGCTCTCGGAAAACCGCTTACAATCCTTGCGCGTGATGAACATTGGTTGAGCATTGGACCTCGAATCTCTAGAGACCACAACACTAGAAAAATAAGCATTAGATCAAGATAGCAAGCTAACTTGGAAAAATAAAACTTTTGCGCATGATAAATACAAGAAATGTTACCTGCTTGTAGAAGGATAAGGAAACTCGATGTTCTGATTGGGTGAAGGGCTTCTCTCAGTCACCAAAACGATATTGGTGTAGTGAGCATGTAAGAAAAGCAAGGAATAACTGCTATTTTTATACCTAGCCAGTCGTGTCACAAAGCTCGTTCTGTTCTGTCCACCTGACTACATGGTAGCGAGTATGCGAGTGAAACCAGAATGACCAGCTGGGTACAGAATACTTATTGAGGATCAAGGTACAAGTTCCTTGGGTGCATAAAAGGTTATGGAGGGAGAATCAGAAACTGTCTCAGGCAAGGGTTCAGCTGGACAGAATGTCTCAAATTCTCTTTGATTGATCGGCCAAGGCTCCCTCCTCCTCGCAAGACCAAAGTCAAGACCAAGACCAAGACCATATTTGCTTTTTCCATCATCGATCAGTCAACAACACATCCTTGTGGTAAATCTTGCAGGCGTCTCAGATCCTGCACTCGGTGAATCACTACAACTGACACGTCTAGCCTGCTTCGACGACTATCAACAGGGTACGACGCCTGGACGCCCCCTCGGCCGAATGTTTGGTGCCTGGTCACTATTCCAGTGCAGATCTCTTGCCCTCATTCTTCTCCAGTTATGCTCTTTCGATCCTCGCAATAGTGTACCTCGTGAATCCGTATCCACGGCACTGGCTGAGTGACAGGTGAGACACGGGCGACCATCATATTGACAAGTGACAAGTGACAAGTGTCAAGTGTCAAAGGGGGTGGGCAATGGTCCCGACATTCAGGTCGTCAACTGAGACCGCGTGAACTGGAACTGGGTGTGGGACTTTCGCGTCCCGGGTCTCCCTTTTGCCGTCAAGATTAGCCTCATGTTTCCTTATTTTTGCGCAAAGAAGCCTCATAGTCTTCGTCATGGGCAGTTATGGACTTCCAAGCCAAGACAAGTGTCGGTGCTTTTGACGGACTACTCAGAGGAGAGCCAAGAAAAGAAGCCACCCAACCCTTTTGATACAGGCTATTGCTCGGCGTAGCTAACGCGTCCTCTAAGGTATGCTCAAAGCCCATGTAAAGCTGATGTAGGGAATCAGTTGTCGAACCAGGGATTTCTGACTGTGACGACAGCTTGACATGCTCAACCCGCGGCAACCAAGAGCAACGCGGCATCGCATCGCATCGCATCGCATCGCATCGCATCGCATCGCATCGCATCGCATCGCAACAATCGGTCGTCATAGCCTTCCCTGCACTTACATCTGATGCTCCTATCATCGAGCAATGGCGCAGTTGCCATCCCACTACGGGTCGAGAATTCCTGCAAAACCTGGTTCTTTCAAGATGTCACCGCAGAGATAACTGCGTACCTAGTGATACGATCTGTTAGCTCTCACTCTCGCTGTCATTCCCTCTCCATCCCAACCCAACCCAAGCCTGTGCGCCAATATATGCAACGGAACGCACAGCCCTCGCAATATGACACCGTGCCATCCCTCGACAGTGTTTCCAGAAGGATATCAGTAAGTATGAGACAAGATCTACTCATTCCTAAAGGCAAAGGCATGTCCAGTCTACCGCGCCGCATGGCAAACAGAGGCCGAAAACTGACGGGTCTCACAACGCCTCCAGTACCTAGAGATCCCTTCTCCATATATTGCCCGATAGTTGTTTTCACAATTGCTTCTACGTTACCTGCCCAGACTAGCAACTCCACCGTTAACACTCTGCGGACGAACGGTCCGTCGCCAAAACACCAAGCTTTGTCTCACTGCAGTGACCATTGATCAGCTGGGGGAGCATCCGATAGGATGAAGCAGTACGCGAAGAAGTGGAGGGACGTAAGAACAGGCCATGTAATTCCGCTATGGGGACTATTGAAGGGCATGCTGTTAGGTGCGTGTTGGTGTTGGTATGCATGAGCTTGAGTAACTGACATTGATCACCAGACCCACGATTGCGATCTCCCGGTTCATGGGGTACTCTGTGGTAATCGGTTCTCTGAGCTGACAGGCTCATCTACACAGAAAGGATTCGACACTTGTTGCTTTTTTTTTTCGATCTCCCAAAAGCAAAGTGATACAGACTTCTCCCAAGCTCGTCATCGAGACTCACATCATCAGCTACAATCAGTCGATCAGTTAGCTTCATGCACAATGGAAGGGTGAGACCAGCATGTCAGCAAGCTTCGACTCATGGCTGTCTTGTCTGGGTGAACGACAACACCACCTTGAGTCGTAAGATGCGCTGCTGCATCAATAGTCTTCTCCAATACCTCGCCATCCCTAAACGTGTCGCAGACCAGCCCACAGGTCAAAGCTTCTTCGCTCGAGACTGGTGTTCCGAACAGCGTAGCTTTCGTGACCTGAGTTAGAGATCAAATTAGTCTCGGCGCCTCCTCTCCAGCACGTGTATCATGAGTTACTCTGAGCTTGTCCAAGGCAGAGGTGAGCCGTTGAGCTCGTCCCGCTCCGGGGATGAGACTCAGGTTCACCTCAGGGAGTACAAAACGTGCACATGGAGGTGCATAGGTCAAGTCGCACTGCTATGTGTGTGTCGGCGTTTATGTGCATTGACCGTTAGATGTGGAAATTTGCCATCATGGCAAACTAGAAAACACTGCTTCTGCGTCCATATCTGGCATGTCTGCTATATCGGCGCCGGTTTTCAAGTGATGTTAGCAGATCGCGGAATACGTGTTCCGGCACTTGACAGATAAGAAACAGGGGCGATATCCAGTCATGGCAATGACTTTGATCTTTGAATCAGCCGAAGCCCAAGAGAGAGTCTCAAAGAAGTCAGCAATCATGGCTTTCTAGAGTGCTCCCATGTACAATAGTTAGGCTACCATCCGCCATCATGAGAAATCGTGTTCAGAACCTAGGTGGTCGAGCATAAAGTAGAGCTTCAGATTGAAGAAACAGACAAGAGGTGACATGCGAGGCATCGAAGTCTTGTCAGACTGAGATTCAAGGCCAAAAGGACGCGCCATCTAGTCAGTATGTTGGGTCGTTGCTTGCGCAGTCATCGAAGACACTCTTGGCACCATCGGAAAAGCCACAGACTTAGCTATCTTCACGGTATCTTCACACGCCCCAGGTCGCAGGTCGCAGGGCGGGAATGGATCTCCAAGACATGGTCCGTCATAATCGATGGCTGCGAGCAAGGGTCTACAACCACTTAGGGTTGACTGACAGGTTCCGGCTTCCAGGGTACAGTGAAGCCCTCGGGTGAGATCCGCCCTATCGGATTCGCAAGGTCGTATTGAAGGATTCCCCCAGAAGCCGTCCTTGGAGAGAACAAAATGATTTATCGGGCCCTAGCTGCGGTCCCTTGGCCGGGGGGGCCCCCTCCTTGGCGTGCACATGTCTCATCGCCGTCACATTCCTCCTCTGGCCGCACTGCTCCGTCCACATTCTCCGTACCCCGGGCCCGGCTCCGTAGAAGTGAGACCCCCGGACGGGCGTGTAAGGAATGCAGAAGCAATTACAACAATTTAGGTTCGCCGTCCGCACTTCCGGAGAGTGACTTTGTACCGAAGTTGCTGTGGAAATCAGGGCAACCTCCATAACTCGCAACGACGTCAACCCCCCCATGAGAACGGCGTCACAAAGGGCGCTCAATTGGTACGAGATCGATAATGTCAAACAAGAACTCAACGGGATATGGGATGAAACATATTTCTCAGGGCGGCGTGCCACCGTCACCATGCCGTGTAAGACTATATAAGCCGTCCGTTGTTATCTCAGGGTCAACCCAACGGTCATCATACAGCAACAATCCCCATTGTCTGCTCTTGCCTTCATTCATTCTTTGAGTAGCTAGCTCTCTTCACAATGGCCACAGCAGATTCGTTGCAGGGACATACCCTGCACAACTCTGTCCTTCAGCTTGGACAAGGGGACTCTGTCGAACATCCTCTCCCAACAGTCACTTCGGCCTTCTACCACTATGCAAGGACTTTTCCAGACGCCATAGCTCTCCGTGACCTCGCGGAGTCACCGAGGGAGTTGACATATAGTCAACTTGCTAAGCGGGCTCAATGCTTGGCTGCACACCTCATCTCTCAGGGTGTCTGTCCTGACTCGCGGGTCCCCATTGTTGCTAAGAGGGGACTAGACATGATTGTTGCCATATGGGCAGTTCTTTCATGCGGTGCTCAATATGTGCCTCTCGATGGCGGAGTTGTCCCTGACGAGACTGTCCGTCGAGTTCTCGACCAGGCGGATGGTATAGTACTCTGTTTGGCATCAACAAAGCACCGCATCACTGTCCAGCACCATAAACAGACTGCGATTGTTATCGATGAGATGAAGACCAACTCACTTGATGAAGACGCCCACATCGACCTTGCAACACCTAACTCCGGTTGTTACGTGATATACACATCAGGTATGCAGCTACTGGACTCATCAACACCGTGTGCCTATCTAATAGTAGCATAGGAACGACGGGAAATCCCAAAGGAGTGAACGTCACTCACCGAAATGTCGTCAACCTTGTGTGTTTATCTCCTGGGAATCTGGGAGTGGCGCCTGGCACTTGCATGAGCTCTGTCCTCAACATCAGCTTCGATATGGGTGAGTCCCTTGCATCAGTTGGATGGCCAATACTGACAAATGCAGCGGCCTGGGAAATCTTCGCATGTCTTTGTAACGGAGGAACACTCGTCCTGCGAGGTTCCAACTGGGAACCCACTCTTCAGCAGGTTTGTAGATCCTCCATCTTTGCGCTCATGTAGCAAAACTTACGCCATGACAGATCGATATCCTCATCTGCACCCCCACAATACTCTCAAAATACCATCCTACACAATTTCCCAGAATAAAAACGGTCGCCACAGCTGGTGAACCAACAACAAAAAGGTAACCTTCTTGTTGAGCCATACTCTGCATTGCTAACTAACGTCTGTAGTCTTGCTGACTTATGGGCAAAACATGGTACATATTGGAACTGTTGTGGTCCAACAGAAACCACGATCGTCAACACGATGCAGAAGCATATTGTCGGGCACGAGCTATCGATCGGTCGACCAACTCCAAATAACAGAGTCTATATCTTGAACGAAGAAGGCAAACCAGTGCCCGTGGGTGCCATTGGTGTGATGTGGGCTGGTGGGCTCGGAGTTTCTCGAGGCTACATTGGACTTGGTGAAAAGACAGCAGAAAGATACAAGCTAGATTCCTTTGCTCAAGACGGGTGAGTAGCCTGACTCGAGTGGATCGCGCCACAGCTGACGAGAGATACCAGATCAACCATATACAATACCGGCGACCTGTGCCGCTGGCGACCAGATGGCTCTGTCGAGATTCTTGGCCGAGTTGACGACCAAATCAAAGTCAAGGTACGTCCAAGTTCATCGTATATATGCACTCGTCCTCGTCTGACCTCGATTCAGGGTTTCCGTGTAGAGCTAGACGGTATCTCCGCATCCCTAGTCTCTGCACCTGGGGTGTCTAGAGCGGTTGTGCTACTGATCGATGGAGAGATTCATGGGTTTATCACCCCACGCAGATGCGATGTAACCACCACAATTAAGCATGTACGACAATACCAGCCCTACTATGCCGTTCCAACTCATCTTCACCAACTCGACGAATTACCTTCGACCCCTAATGGCAAAATCGACAAGAAGGGGCTCAAGACGCTTGCCTTGGCCAAGCAAACTGTTGTGGCACAATCATGCGAGAAAGAGAAGGCCCATGCTGAGCTCAAATCTCAAACGTCCATGTCCTCCTTGGCCACTCTCACCGAGAAGCTGGATCTTGAACGTGGCATGCCTGATAAGAATATGGCACGGCCATACAGAGGACTGAGGCACAGAATCTTCATCGTATATCGTACCCTCTTCAGTTTGGTTGGCATACTGAACTTTGTGGCACTGGTCTCTGTGATCGTTCTTCAGCTCAAGTCGGACTGGTTAGGGACCATCACAGCGATCAACCTCGCAGTTGCAGTGCTCGTGAGGCAGGAAACGATCATCAACATCTTGTACACTGTCTTTTGCTCGGTACCAAAGCATTTTCCACTCTGGATCAGGGCTCGTTGCGCCAAGATTTATCACCTCGGTGGTGTGCACTCTGGTGCGGGGATATGCGCCACTGCATGGCTGGTCATCTCGACAGTCCGTGGGACAATATGCGATGCAGTGTCCTGCGAGGGTCATGCGACCGGCTCCTTGGTAACACAGGTGATATCGTGGGTTCTATGCGGGCTGTTGTGTTGCATGGTGGCCACTGCATGGCCCTCGTTCCGGAAGCAGTACCACAACCTCTTTGAACGCTTCCACCGCTTTGCCGGCTGGACATCACTAGGTCTGTTCTGGGCCCGCACGATGCTAGCCATCAATGATTCCCGATCTCAACACGAAGAGCTTGGTATCGCTACTGTCAAGAGCCCAGACTTCTGGCTCTTGATGATAGCAACTCTCAGCATTGCATCTTCATGGTTCTTCCTCCGTAAGGTTCCTGTTGAGGCCGAAGTGCTCTCTGAGCATGCAGTTCGACTGCATTTCGACTACACTGTCCCCGTAAATGGCACCTTTACACGTATTTCGCAGCGGCCCCTGATCGAGTGGCACTCATTTGCAACTATTCCCAATCCGAAAGCCAACCACCATGCCAAGGGCTACTCTCTAGTAGTCTCTAACGCTGGCGACTGGACACGCTCCTGCATCAAAAACCCACCGAGCACGATTTGGGTGCGTGGTGTTCCGACATGTGGGGTGATGCGCATCGCAACTCTCTTCAATCGTATCGTCGTTATCGCCACAGGCTCTGGAATTGGACCGCTCCTAGGGCATATAATCCATCAATCGTGTCCTACGCAACTGATCTGGTCTACTTCAAAACCTGAAGAGACGTTTGGTAAAGAAGTTGTTGGCCAGATTCGAGGTGCTATTCCGGATGCGATAATCTGGGATACTAAGGCTCAAGGTCGTCCAGATCTCGTACGGATGGGGTTTAACCTGGCCAAGAGTTTCGATGCTGAAGCTGTGGTAATAATAGCAAACGAGAAGATCACCAAAAAGGTCGTATACGGCCTCGAGACGCGTGGTATGCCTGCATTTGGCGCCATCTGGGACAGCTAAAGGATAGCGAACCTGTCCAATCATACATTCTTTGTCCGTGGACATATTTCCTTGAACATTTTCACAATTGTTGTACACTTCCGAATAGCCATTTTGCTATTTTCGTGTTTGGTGATTCTCTAGATCGGATATTTAATATCAGGTCATACCTTTGGAGTTTTGGTTTTTTCGTTTTGTTTCTTTCTTTCTTTAGGTGCAGTCGCGGGCGCGGTTATACGATTTGTTTGCGTTGGATATTGCTACGCTCAAAAGTTGAAGGGTGACATCATGGTGTTCAGATATTAGATATGCAAATATGCAGTAAAACGGTGCGAATCGTTCTAGCTTATCCAAAAATAGCAATTTTGACATCTGCGTAATTGGCACTTGGCTCAACGTTTTGAAAGATTTGCTGAGTTAGGAACAATGTTATCCTTACGGCGGATAGGTACAGCAGTTGCGCCCGTTGTTGGGCGCCAGGGCCTGAAGGTTGCAAGTGCGAGATTGTACTCTCAATCCGTTGGCCCATTGGTGTACGATTTACACGAGCCTGCTCAACCAAAAACCGACAAGAAGAAGTCTCCCATTCTATTTCTCCACGGTCTTTTCGGGTCAAAGAAGAACAACCGGGCCATCAGCAAGTGAGTCTTTTCACTTGCATATTGTAGCAAATTTTTCTGACCAAAAACAGGGCTTTAGCTAGAGATCTGGGAAGATATGTATACGCCTTGGTATGCAGCTAGACAACAATTCAAAAAGATTGAGATCTAATGCCAATTCACAGGATCTGAGAAACCATGGCGAATCACCTCACAGCACCCGGCATGACTATCCTGCCATGGCCCAAGACGTAGCAGAGTTCATCGAGGGTCATGGCCTTACGGATGCAACCCTCATCGGTCACTCAATGTGAGCAGCCATCACTTGACAGCAGACGATATGAGCAAACTAACAGATCTTAGGGGAGCCAAAACTTCAATGGCTCTTGCTCTCCGCTCCCCGGAACTTGTGGCCGACATTGTCTCTGTCGACAACGCGCCTGTGGATGTCTCGCTCAGCAGGGACTTTCCCAAGTACGTACGCGCCATGAAGAAGATTCAAGAAGCGAACGTCACGCGCCAGGCCGAAGCCGACAAGATCCTCAGCGAGGTTGAGGAGTCTCTGCCTATTCGACAATTCCTTCTTGGTAACATGTACTTACCAGAAGGCGAGAAAGTACGGAAGTTCCGCATCCCTCTCAACGTCTTGGGTAAGGCATTGGACAATCTAGGGGACTTTCCCTACAAGAACCCCAATGAGATCCGATTTTCGAAGCCAGCCCTATTCGTCCGAGGCACGAAGAGCAAATATGTTCCCGATGACGTGCTGCCTCTTATCGGACAGTTCTTCCCCAGATTCCAGCTTGCCGATATTGACGCAGGTCACTGGCTTATCTCGGAGCAGCCTGAAGCTTTTAGACAAGGTAAGAATAATCCATGTGCAAATATTCAACGAAATTTTCGACGTGGTTTGCTGACTTTCGATAGCGGTTGTTGAGTTTCTTCGGAAGCCCGAGTGACGCAGTTGAACTAGATATAGGCCATGTCCCACTAATTAAGGCGAATGTTGGCGAGTGTTTTTTATAGCCACTGCAACATTACCCTGCCCTCAATAGATACACCAGAAGATGATAATCACAGAAACAACTTAAGCAATTTGTGATGATACATTATTGGACAGGTAGATGTGGTATCAATTTTGGATTTATTCTACAGCTCTCATCCGAGGTCACTCACGACCAGCGTCGAGTCATCACAGCATCCAATGTCGTAACCAGTCACGCGTCATAAATCATTCGCCGTGGTGACTGAACGTTTTTTTTTACCATTCAAAGGAACATGACCCAATCCCCGAGCTCCCTTTGTGATGCTACGCCATTTGCGATGACCGAAACAATGTGGTAGGGATGAGTTTATTCGCCGCGAGGCCCCTATTACCTACCCCGCGCCAACCTGCCAAAATAATCCTTTTAAACCTCCTCGAGGACACGCTCCTTGAACTCCCGCTCAACCTTCTGGCCCTGGTCATCGGTACCAGACTCGCCGTGCAGAGCCATCAAGGCACCAAGGTCGAACTTGGGGGCCTTGAGCAGCTTGACCTTTCGGATGTGGACCTGTGATATGTGAATTAGCTCGAGGGCTTGGCTGGTGGCAACGGAAACAATAATCTACTCACGTTCTGGAGAGGGTAGATGCCCTGGGTAGACTTCTCAATCTCGCGGCCAATGACCTCGGGAATGAGCTTGGAGGTAAGCTGGGTGAGGGTGCAGCTTGAGGCCTCACGCTGGATGATGTCGGTCATCTTGCGTCGGATGGCCCGAATCTGAGAAGAGGCAGCGTAGGTGGTCTTCTTGACCTGGTTGGGTCGTCGCTTAGTGAAAGCGATGGCGAAGAGGCGGATGAGGTAGTCGTCGGTAGTCTTGACAGTGACGTTGGCCTCAATGAGGGTCTGCCACTTTCGCACCAGGGAGCGGAGCTTGTCGGAGGTGAAGTCGAGGCCGTGGAAAGCAGTCAAGCAGTTCTTGCCCTGGACCTCATCGACACGGAGGCGGACCTTTCGGAAGGAGTGGTCCTCATCCTTCTGGAGATCGGCGAGAGAGACCTCGAGGATACGGCCCTTAAGAGCGTCGTTGGCGTTCTTGAGACCGGTGGTTCGGTTCACGAGGGTCTTGCCGACACTGCAAATTTTGTCAATCGCCTTGTCCCACAAACTTTTTGATGTGAAAATGTTATTTCGCGGTCGTCACTCACTCTCGAACGTTGAAGGGGTTAGGGGCCTGGAGAAAAACGAGTTAGCCATGATGAAGCAGTGCGTACTGGTTGAGGGGTCACCAACCTTGATCGAGTACCAGTCCTTTCGGGAGAAGGGGTCGACCGTCTTCTTCTTGAGGCCCTTCTTGCCCTTGGAGAGTCTCTTGTTCCTGAAATATCGCGTAAGCCCATTGTATTCATCGCTGTTCGTCGTGGTGATGCTCACTTTCCAACCGCCATGTTTGTTGGCTTGTATGTGAACCCGTTGGAGAGATGGTACTGGTGAGAGTGCTGGAGCGGCGAGATAATTTCGGTCTTTGTGTGCAGCAGCTTAGGTCTAAGCGAATTGAATCAAAATCGGCGGTTGAATTGTTCTTCCGGCGCTAACGTTCTGTGGGCTGGAAAATAATGGATCGCAGGGCAAGACCGGCCCCATCACGTGCCTTCTTCTTTGAAATCTTTTGTGCCACACGGCGCAAAAGCCACAGCCACGGTCAGCCACAGCTCTTCGGTCTTTACCTAGTCTTGCGGTACTACGTAGCAGCCTGACTCACAGCCAACACACAACACAGCACAAGACGTGTTGCTGACGGATGTTGTCACTTTGAGACTCATCACATTGAAAAACATTTGTTTAGGTACAATATCATATACTAGGCATTTCTATTTACTGAAAACTATAATTTATACAAGAATATGAGATTACAAGTAAGTTATATGCTATTCATCTGGTTTGTTTCTGTTGCTTTTTGCAGACCTCGTCCAGCTGGATCTGAGTGTCTGTCTGTCTGCCTCAAGGTCAATGGGTTTTTAAGATTCACCCAGACTTTTGGTTCTCATTCCACTCCACCTTTTAGGAGTGCAGCTATTCCTCATTCATCATGTCAGGCTTAGTTTCAGCGTCGCTTCTCTTCTACCAAGAAGCCTTCCACCTATATCCACCCGGCCTAGTTCTAGGGCACAATCAGCCCGCCACAGCCTCGTTTTTCCAAGTCGTCTTGGTGAAAGCCAGCATGGTTGTTGGTGGGTGATATGTTACTCCTCTTCCGGGCTATGAGGCCTCGCTGTCACTTGCTCGTCTTTGAGCCGTCAGCGAAGCCCGTTGCAATCTCTTTTTGAGTCTGGTCGTGCTGGGTGAGCGATTGTTCTTGCTCTGTCGCCGTAATGTCGTGTGTTCCTTTTCCGGTTTGAGGCCATTTGGTTCCCCTCCCCATCTTTTCCGTCAATTCTCAATCATCAGAGTCCTTGTCGATTTCCTCCTGCTTGTCACTGTTCCATTCTTCGAAGCTGGGAAAGCTGAAGTAGTAACCTTGGTTGATGTTAGTCTGATGTTGGGTCGATGTATAGCTGGTAGTCATACCGGAAGGAGAGTCAACCATCACGCTGGATTGACTGCCAGGACTGCTGGAGGGAGAATGTTCGCGAGCGTCACGGCAGATAGAGATGGGCTGTGCATGGCGTGACACTGGAGTAGCTTGCTCCGGCGACGGGGAGTAGACGGCAACACGGTTGAGAAGATCTGTTGCCTTATGCGGCGATCCGGGGCCAGCGAATGAGCCTCTGATGGCATTTGAAGCGGTGATTGAAGGCTCCGTTGCACTCGAACGCAGAAGACGCGGTCGTTGGCGAGTAGTGCTGTTTTGTGATTGTGATGATGATGATGAGTCTCGCCTGTGAGTTCTCACCGCACTTCGACTGTCTCGCATGTAAGAAGCCATTGTTGTAAGATGTTGTCCTAAGTATGATGACAATTGTCGGTCAAGACTACAGAGTGAAATTGCATTAAAAAAATATTTGTGAGCGTAAGATGGTTTCACATCGGAGAATAATAGTAATAAGGAGGTGGGAAACCCTTAGATGGTCGGAAGAGCTGGCAGTAGCTGCAATACATAGTAAACGGTGCAGCAGCCAAATATCAAGGCATCCACATCGACCACCTCGCCTCGTGGTGCAAAGCTACCGTGGCTGCGGTTAGTTTCAAAGCGGGTAAGCTAAGTAAAGGTCATAAACAAGGGTGCCATTGCATTGGGGACGTGTACACAGCAAGATTCACCATCAACAAGCTTTGGGGTTGGCCGACATGGGTACGAGCTACTACTACGTACTACCATCACGATCATTCTATGAACCCATCAGCAATTTCACCCGTTGAAGAGACCGCCTTGCCCACCCCATTAGGCCAGGGCATCACGCAACAATGGATCCCCCCTTTCGTGTCAGATGCGAGTGTACAGAGCACGCCCACGGCAGACATTCTGCTCAGACACCAAAGGCTTGATACAGTGTCCCTGGGAGTATCAAAAGCCTCAATCGTCTGGCGGAGGAAGTAAAAAAGAACGGGACAGAACCACAGCTTAATCCACACCAAATATGTCCGGATATTTCTGTCTTCTACCCCCAAGCAGCCAAAACTTACTTTACGATTGCCACTGGTGGGCTCATCGCTGCATTTGGATGCCAACCCAACTTGGTGCGTGTCTTGAGGTGTATGGCGGATGGCCCAGCATCCCGGCTCTCTAACAACGGGCCCTGGGCCTTTTGGCTGTCTAGTAGGTTGCGCGGGCCCCGGGGACTGCAGGCGGGTTTCCCGCGCAGGTGCATGCGGGGGTCTTCAGCCTGTAAAGCCAGTGACGACTCGCCCTGATGAAGCACCCGTCGACTCGGCCCCAGCGGATCATGGATACAGTAGTAGATAGTGGATAGTGGAAACCCAGACGTTCTGGCGGTAAGGTAAAACTATGGGAATAGTTGTCAAGCTACTGTCGCATTGATACCCAACAGGTCGTCAGGAGGCTTACCGCTCAGGAGCAGTTCCCGGATGCGGAACGCTGTCTTGTTTGTTTACTGTGGTTTCCTTGGAAAAGGGAAACAAGTCGGGCATTGGCATCCTTCTTTCAGAATTGATATTCAATCCAACACTGCACTGCGTGTGAACGACACGTACATGTCAGTACTAACTAAACCTTCCTTGGGTAGCAAACATTGCTAAAAGGAAAGGTCAGCGGTTGGAACTTGGGCCGAAGCCCTCCTAGCGTACTGTCTTGTCATTGATGGTGTACGTAGTAAAGTAGAGAGAGCCCTTCTCGATGGGGGCTGAATGACTTCGCGGTGGGTTACAGGCAGTATGATGGGTGTGTGATGCGATGGGATTCAAGAACAAAGAAAAGATCACCACATTAGGTATCATCTTAGCCAATCATTACCCTCATCATCGCCTATCCGCAACTCCGGATTGTCGTGTACCTGACGGTCAATGATGTACACGTTAGTGAAGGTTAATCACCCGGGGCAATGAATCCACGTTCCCATTTCTTGATCGTGCCCTGGCACATTATGGCATGGCAACATGGTTATTTTGGTTGAAAATGGTATTGTGATGGATCGTTGATCGTCCCCTCGGGCCGGGGCTGACAGCCTTCGGAGTTTTTCCCTCAAAGTTAAGGCTATCACCAGTCTCTGCCGCCTCGTGCGTTTGGACTTGGCCCTTGCTTATCCAGATGACCACAAGACATGTTCTACACGTGTTCCGAAAGCGACTCCATTCTTACTCATACCCATGGGTGAGGTGCCTTATCATACTAACCCAAGTGGTATCGGCAATGCTCCTCAGGTGCGACTACGGAGTCAGAAATTATGCAATTACAACTAATTTGCGTCCAATGACCGCCTCACCGACTGAGGAGAACCAACCTCGTTAAACGATATTGAGGCCCGTAATTTATTCGGTATGGAGTGGTGAGTTTTAGGTACAGATCATACCCTGTTTAAATGTCTAGCGTATAGTCGTATACCTCGTCGCCACCTAGCCATAGAAATTCAGAGATATCTTATTCTTTGCTTCGTAAGTAAACTACTCTAATAAAAAAAGATTGAACATAGGTATTTAGCTTTCGTTTAATATCTTACTAAAGGATATGTATATATTCCGTGAGCTGTCCGTATTATATCCTAAATTGATCAACCTATATAATTTTACAAAGTGGCTTATAGGAAAGTCTAAGCTGGATATTTAAACGGGCATCATGTTGTATTTCTAAGTAAGGTATGTACTCCGTACGGATAACTAAGATTATCATCCGTAGGCTTCCTTTCCGAGTTCCACCATGCCACCTACTCTCCTCCATCTTCAAATCTCGCAACCTCCACGGATGTGCTAAGACTCGAAAACGGCTGGTCTTGCAACCCTCAGTGGCATCGTACAACCTGGGTCCTTGACCGGGTACCTCGTTCGGGACGCTCAGCCCCAACACCACGGATGGATGGTACCGTGGCATCGCGGCATCGTATGGATTTTGAGCAATCAAGATGCTTTCCCCACGCAAAACGGCTCAGACCGACCTGCAGAAAGCTGCACACTTGGGAAGCTGCTGACGCACCCCGCGACAGCCAAGTCCGCCACCTTCACCACGTACAGTACCTATCCGTCCGTATCTGGATAACCAGTTTAATGGTCGAAGCTGCCATCTTTATCAGTCTCTTGATCCAGAAGGCGCGGATTAATAAGATACTTACTCTTCCCACATCCTGCCTTGGACTGCCTGCAGCTCTTCGGTTGTCATACGTTTACCAGCGGTAAAGTAGCCTTCATCTCATTAGTGTTCGTTCGCCTTGCTTGTAGAGCTCGGGCCTCATATGCTGGGTTTGGGTTTCCACTCACCAGCTGTGATTTTGGCATCAATTTCGACTCTGGAATCAGCAGGGATAAGTTCTTCGGGAAGCTCGACCCTCTCATGAATGGGGATTCTAGAAGCATGTTAATCTCGCATCAATACCGAGCGACTCGCCGACTCTTATCAGCTTACCCTTGTCCAACAATCGCATCATGCTTCATACTAAGGAAATGGTCAGCTGTCAGTTTCTCGACGTGTTCGATCCTCAAACGCTTACTTGCTCATGCTAAGCATCCTGTCAATCTTCTTGATGCCCAGCCAGTGCAGAATGTCCGGCATGAGAGCCTGGAATCGCATGTCTTTGACACCAGCAATGTTCTCAGTTCGCTTGAAGTAGTCTGATGCGCGATCGGCGCCGCGTTTACGGGCGTTATAGACCACTGTCCCCGAATTAGTACCCCAGATCTACATGTCGGCTGATCAGCCGAACTTTGAGGGACTTCGTTCTTACAGTACTGCCAAAATAATTAGATCTACGTCCATGAGTCGTGATCGAACAACTTACCTTAGTGACCTCTCCCAGGGCCCGTCCCTCCTTTCTGAAATAGATGACAACGCCGCTGCCACCATTCTGTGCCTCCTTAACAGCTTCCTCGATACCAAAGATCAAGTACGGCCGGCAAGTGCAAATATCGGATCCAAACACGTCGCTACCATTGCACTGTGTACCAAGGTAAGTTTGGTAGTCTTAGGAAAGGAAAGGTGGTGGTAATACCTCGTCGTGGATTCGTAGAGATAGTCGAACCGATTCATCTGACATCTTTGCTGGATCTCCAAAGCAGTATACAGTGAGACCACCTTGAACTTGTTAGTCCAGTCCATCACCCTGGTAGGAAAACTTACCAATGGGAGGGAGGAAGACTTTGATATCTCCACGGGTGATGAGCTTCAGCATGTCAGTGGTGGCCTATCTTGTTCAGAGCGAATCTTAATGTACCTCTGGGTAGCTTCCTCCTGTATGTTCGAACAGCGAACGTCGAAGGGTGGCCTCATCTATGCCATGTTAGTAGCTGCACTTAATAAAGCCACTGCGCACTTACCAATGCCGAACCGTTCTGCCACACCAGGAAGATACCAAACCTGAAGCTCAGGGTCAGTCCTGACTCCAACTTTCTATTCCGGGAAAACTTACTGGTTCAACGGCAAACTTGGTGACTGCCAATTCGCCTTCTGCGTTGAGACAAACCTTGCCATCGGGCACCCTGCGATTGTCAGTAGGGTTCCATCTGGGTAGTACTAAGTCATGCTTACAGTCTTCCAGCCTTGACACTCTCCGCGAGCTCCGGCAGCTATTGTAAGGCTTTGTTAGCTAACACCGTTCGAAGGCTCATCATCGCTTCTGTTGCCCACCTTCATGTGCGCCTTGGTAATGGCAATGGTGGGTCGAATATCAACTAGTGACACTGTCAATAACTCCTTTGTTCTCAGGTTTTGTACTTCAATCCCTACCGTTGTCCTTCTCGATGGTGTCCTTGAACAGCCAAGGAGCAAGATGTCCCCAAGGATCCATAGCAACAATCTTCTTCTTATCTCCCCATTGAGGAAAGGGACCAAGGTTTGCGGCCGGTTCGGTGTTGGTGAAATCGGGTCTGTTTATGATACCGTTAGCTACATACTTTTCTATCGACATGTTCAGACATACCGATGGTCGCTGTTCAACTCGTTGCTAGCGACTGCAAGCGCATAGTAGATCGAATACGAACCGCCGCTGGTAACAATGTTTAGTACAGTATTACTCGAAGTCAACGCGACCTGAGAACTCACTGGGCTAAACAACAAGTTAATAAACGGTCATCATGGAAAGGGGACAGAACAAACCTCCAACAGCTGAACACGAGTTACAAATGTCAGTAACACTAGCTCACACATACACAACAGACGTGGACGGACGAACGAACCATTACGACGTCGAATAGTAGAACTAGCCCTTGAAACTACGATGGGACCACGCTTAGCTGGGTCTGAGTTTCCCCAGTCCATAGGCAAAGGATTAATTCCAATCTGCTTTGGGTAAGTTCTAATTACCATTGTGTAAGCGGACCATGTTAATGAAGTTGGTGTACAGGATATCCTCACGTTAAAATAATGCGCGAGGTGAACCCTTGCTGACGTTGATCGGAAGATGGCAGAGAAGGGGCTTTCAATTTGTCCCCCGAAGCCAAGGGGACCTCTACTGAGGGCGTGTCACCTTCATTGTCATCCTCATGGGAACCAGGGTCAAGCATGGTGTTTTTGGCACTATCTCCACCCGCTTCGTCGATAGGTCTGCCTGACAGCGATTCGACCGCGTTCACGAGAAGAGCTTGCGTACGCTGGATCTCTTGCAGAGCTTCTATCATGCTGGATTGCTGATCGTTGGACGCCATGATGATGGCTGTTGGGAATAACGGAAACGTAGGATTGGGTGCGTATCTCTAGGGTAGTTCAGACTCAAGTGTCATTGATGTGCAAACAATGGAACTGGAGAAAATAAAAGAAGAGAAGAGAGTTTAGTTACGAGAGAGAGAGGTAAAGGAGATTACTGAGCAACAGCACAACAGGAAGAGCGGTCGGCGGAGGACATGGTAACACATGGCTCTACAGCGGCCGTCATGAACAGGGTAGCGGTAGCACATTCCCAACCTCTAATGCTTCAGATAATACATAATTTGTAGATATCAAGATGGAATCGTCGTAACTGCACGACTCTAACCTGATCTGTCACCTTCAAGGTCAGCAGATCAGCGGGAGATACCCCCATACAATGATAACTTTCATGTATCGGGCCGCCGTAATCGGGCTAGGCTGGCATGGCATTGAAGGAGAGAAGAGAGGGGAGCTCTCCCAACAAGGAGAAGTCATGATAGCCAGTCCGCCAGTGGCCGTGTCTATCTACACAACGCTCAATTGAACCTTCACGATTCGCTGATACGAGGCCACATGATAAGGCGGCACGTTTAAGGTCTCAAGCCTCTATCTCCACAAGCCAGGGAAGCTACCCCGCCTAATGGTGAGGGGGCTCCCCTGCGTCTAGGATTGATTCTAGGTAGCCGCCAACGCCCAAGGTGAGACTGAGGACAAAGGTAACGGTGGCTGTTGTTAATGTTGGGCAAGTGCAAGGGTAATATTCCGAGTTATAGTAAGACATTGTTCGTGTATGTCATTGGTTTGCTTGCCCGTCTCTCAATCCGTTTCCTCATTATCCCATGCCTTGCTTTGTTCTGTAAGTCCCAGCAGTCTGTAAGATGCCCAATTCAAGAACAAAAGACCCTCTTCACTTCCTCCACCCATGCTTTTATCTGGTACCATGACGTCTCTGCAAGCGTATCCTTTATCCTCCTTCTAGTCTGATAAGGATTGCTTGCACGGAATCCGGCGTTGAAGTCCTAAGCTCCGGAGGTCGCCGGGAGGCGGGGGCGGGGCAGCCGGCTCCTTCTCTCCGCTTAATGCATACACTACAAACACACCTGCCGTCCAACTGCCGCACCTGTGCACGTACTAAAATGCGAGAGCACGTGCAATATGCGATGTGCGAAGCGTCAAAGGAAACTCCTCCACTGCTGATAAGATAACGCATCAGAATCCCTGGCTGGCGCCTTGTTCCCCTGCGACCTGGACTGCCTAGCCCAAAGCTTGACATCAGCAAGTTCACTGTCATCTTTTCGCGTTCTCTCGTTTCGGTCGCGCACGAATCGCGGAACAGACATCATGGGCAAGCGCAAGTCCTCAAGCAAGCCCATGGGGCCCAAGAAGGTCCGTCGAATCCGTTCCCTTTCTTTATTCTCTCCGAGGGCTTTTGCGCTCACACTAAATCTCAGAAAGAACCTCTCCCCACCACTTTCGCATGCCTCTTCTGCAACCATGAAAACTCGGTCTCGGTCAAGCTTGACAAGAAGGCTGGCGTTGGCCAACTCGACTGTCGCGTTTGCGGACAAAAGTTCCAATGCGCTGTCAACTGTACGGTCATGCCATATTCTACACCACGCGCATATCGCGATTACTGACTTTGCGACAGATCTGTCCGCTGCGGTTGACGTCTACGGCGAATGGGTTGATGCGGCCGGTATGTCTACATCATTGTGCATGCGCATTCATCAACAATCACTGACTCTTGCTAGATGCCGTCGCAAAGGAGGATAATGCGGAGCCTGGATACGGTGGCACAGCTCGAGGATCTGGACGCGGTAACCGAACGGCGGTCGAAGAAGACTACGACGATCAATACGGAGAGGATGACTATTAAACGTTTCTTTTATGCGCCCTGTATAAATACCAAGACTTGCTACACCACCCAATACTCGACGAACCCTTGCTCTGCGCCTACGACATATTGATATATGTGACCCATGCGGTGACTCTTTCCTCAGATAGTGTAAAATCTGTCTCCGAAGTCTCCCAGACCAGGAACGATATAGCTGTTGAATGGTTAGCATGCGTACTAGTTGAAGCAGATTTTCATACTTCTTCTCGTCGAGGCCCTAGGAATGTCAGGTCAGCGAAATGTTTGCAGAGATGCGTAGAGGTAGTGTGACAAACCTCGTCAATAAAGGCTGTTACGACCCTCAAGCGAGGGAACTTGGCGGAAAAGTTCTTGACTCCCTCGGGGCTTGCAATCAGATTGAGGAACAGGATGTGCTCCTCGGGCACGCCCCTGGCCTTGAGCACCTGAACTGCCATGGTAGCAGAGCCACCTATACAATTACGTTAGACGGATTGCGACATATATGACATGTGTAACAGGATGGGAGGTCGTCGTACCAGTAGCAAACATGGGATCCAGAAGAAGCACCCATCGATCTGCAATATCCTCGGGCAGTTTGTCGTAGAAGAGCTTGGGCTGAGCCGTTTCCTCGTCACGCTGGATCAAGATCTTTCCAATACGAACCGAGCGGCAGCAGTCACGGAGACCCTGCTCCATAGCCTCGCCAGCTCTCATGATAGACACGCCGCAAATCTTGCCCTGGAACATGAGACCATTGTAAGTGCGACCAATAGGCGTAGTGACAGTGTGCTCAATGACAGGCAAATGGTTAAGACCTTCCTCAACAAGCAGTCGAATGATTCTGTTGGAATAGAAGATGAAGTCTGCGCGCTCCGTCTCTTTGCTACGGATCATCCTGGACATTCTCAGCTCCACGGCACGAGCGCCCAATTAGGGAAGTGGACATACGACAGTAGAGCTATGAGCTGAGGGGTCTGAGGCAGAACATGAACATTGTCCAGGTTGACGTCGACTGAGACGGTGGCACTGGGCTTCTGCTGATGAGTCCTGTATGAAGGACCGACAGGAGTCGTGTGGGTATCTTGAGTCGTCTTGTCTGCCATATTAGCTGTTTGTTGGTGTTTGTTTGGGCTTTGGAGTGAGCGGTGATGGCGGGGTTGCAAGTTGCTGTTGAATTCTGAGTGGGCAAGCGGAGTACAAATGAAGCTGCAAGCTTAGGCAAGGGTCGTTCCGTCAGATATAAACAAGTTCAATCCAAAATCTAGGGTGGAAAAGAGGAGCTTAGTATCAATAAGAGCCCTTGAGGATAAGAGACTTGGTAGCCCTGCAGTGCCCACTTGCTACATTGGTCAATGAAGCCACGGATATGCGCAAAACGGGGATCTCAGTCGGCCAACGGCGGCGGGACCCTACCCTACGACATACACAAAACCGGAGGCGACCGCATTGCATGCAGTTATTTTAATGCTAGCTATCTGTGGATACAAATATTGGACGAAAGGACAATAGGATATGCACAGGTAATTTGGTTTTATCATTCATCGGTGTAACAAACACTCAATTGTTCTTTATTGAATCAAATTACTCTGTTAGTTAATCTGCGTTTGACGTGATTGTTTTTAGCACCAATTGTTTACCAGCCCACTGGAGGTGACCCAAGCTTCACTCTAAAGATGGGACTAACTGCCAAGAACCGCAACCTTCGATGAATGCGGTCCGCTCGTTAATTAACTCTTTCAGACTGTGATTCACTGACAATAACTTAATCTCATCATCAATTATTACACCTGCAACATGGAATGAAACCCTCACTTCATCCCACCTCATTACACCTGCATCTGCAGCAACCTGCCGCATGCCTTCCCTGTTCGAGCGGGTTGAAGCAGCTTGCCGCTAAATGCCACTTCCCTCGTGCATCGTCATCACACCTTATTCCATCGTTCGTTGTGGCCTCAGCATATACAACCTGACTCAGCCATAATATCTACAACGTCCTGCTCATAGCATCAAGCTTACCATGTCGTCACGCAGTAGTCCAGCTGTGCCTGCTTCGCGAAAGGTGGTGACCTATGGCAAGCCTTCGCGCAAGCGTTTCATGCGCGACGCGATGCCCCTCCGAACTTCCGAATCGTTTACTACGCAATCCAGCCGTTCCGACCCTGCCGAAACTGCCGCAAAGCCAGCGAAACCGTCGTTGCCGAGATCAACATCAGACCCGTCGCCTAAATATCCCATCGAACATCGATCAGATGAATCAAGTCGCATAAAAGCTGGGAAAGCACCTGGGGCAGAGTCGCCCGATGGGACAGATTCTAAGAAACGAAAACGCCCGCAAGCTATTATTCCTGAGGCGATCGAGGAGGAACCATTGCCTGCGCGCCAAAAACAAACGAAACCTACGACGACACTCCCGCGAAGACCCTTGGGCGGGTCCCCAGAAAGAGACAGCAAAGCTGCACCTCCTCGGCGCTCGCCTGTCGCAAAGAGAAGCCCCAAAGATGGAGCCATTCGATCCCGACCGTTGCCTCGAAGCAAATCCGATATCCCAATTGTGAAAACCAGCTCGGTTGCGGCGCCAACAAGCTCAAGGAATCGCGAATGTGATGTGCCACGACCAAAGAAGCGATTGATTGATGCCTTGGCTGCTCAACGGGCAGACAGTTCGGACTCAGAGGATTCATCCCCAGAGATAGAGGAACCCAACCCTCCATCACCCTTGAATAGCGGGACAGGCAGTGGAGGAGCAACTCCATCCCAGCAATCACAGAATACCTCTCAGAATCATTCTCAAGACTCTACGATTTGGCCGAGGAGTCGCCCCGCAGTTGCGCTGAAAGGACGAAGAGTTAAGCATACATATGGTCAATCCAGGACAATCCTGAGCGAATCTTCTTCAAAGCTTAGTGAGCATAGTATGGCAGGTATGATGACTGCAGAACAAGAACTGGAGGCGCTCCTGGCCACACCTCCAGAACCTAGCAATCCTGACCCTTTCGCCATGGACGACGATGATGATATTGACGAAGATGGAGATATTCGACCTGCAATTAAGAGCGTGCATGAGCTGCGGCGAGCTGGGGCAAATAATCGTTTCGCCGATGAGATGGAGGATCTACTTGCTCGAATAGGAACCCCAAGCAGCACTCCATCTTCCTTGAGGAGGAGCGCATTATTAGAGCTTTCTCAGAAGCTGCAGCACAAAGAATTCATCAGCCAATTTCGTGATCATGCAACACGCGACAAAGTTGCCGCAAACATCGGCCAAGAGAAGGATCTTATCAGTGGTTTCGCTCTGTCGGCCGTTCTCGTCATATTTCTCAACTTCAGCCCTGCGGCCCACCTTCTACAACAACTGGTTGATGATGGCTTAGGAAAACTGCTTGGTGTCCTTTTACGGGCACCTGAAGATATCGATGAGATTGCTTCAGGCAAAATGAGACTCTCTAAGACGACTAGAGCCTCTTTGAGCGATGTCAAAGCCACGTTGATGAAAATGAGTATCTGGCAGGGGCGCCGACTTGAAACCCTGTCGCCTCAGACACTTGCACTTCAATTACTCAACATTCTGTGCCAACGGATCGATGCGATACACTCGTCTCTAGTTATTAAGGATATCGAAAACGACCTTGAGTTCATCGTTGGTTACTGTGTGGACGGAAACCCTAAAACAGATGCAGTATTTGCTCTTGTTGTATCAATACTGGAGTCACAGTCAGGGTTGGCGATGAACGACGAGAAAGAAATTTCATGGGTTGCGCAGCAGACGCACCAGGTGGCTCGCCTCCTTGAAAACAGTCTACAACAATGGCCAGAAAGGCTTGGTGACGTCGAGACAACAACACTCAAGCTGTCAATCAACATGTCCAATACCACACATGGAGCGGCGGCCTTTAGCGACAGGAACCTGTTGTCAAGTCTATCAAAGTGTATTCTGTTGGGTTTCAGATCGGCCTTGGATGCGTTGAGCACCCGGCGGCTGAAGGAAGAAACTTATGACGGACTGCTTCTAGTGCTTGGTATGGCTATCAATATCCTAGAGCATTGCGCGCCTGCGCGCGATAATATGGCTGGCGAGCAACTGGATGGCCTGGTGACAGTATACCTGCAGAACCAGGCATTAATGCGAGAGGTAAACATATCCTGATTTTAATGAGTCCAAGACTAACCATAATGTACTAGGCCGACTCGGTAGAAAAGTCTAAGCTGGGTGTAGCATTTGGCTATCTTTCTGTCTTGCTGGGCTATCTCTCTCTCGTAGACTCGACTCAGCAACGATTTGCAGAGCAAGCAGGAAACGGAGGACTTTTGAGTCTCATTGGATCTATCAAGGAGTTTATTGGTATGTACAGATCTGTAGACAACAAGGTCACTGAGCTTGAAGGGCTCGTAAATGACTTGCAACGACGGCGACGACATTAGTCGACATATATAAGGACACACGACTTGAGGTGGGAGGGAAGCATTTCGGGATCAATGTTCTGAGCGAAACATTTAACTTTGTCATGAAATTAGAGCCAATGCTGCTTCTCGTCTAGACGCAGACAGAGCTTCGTAAAACTAAGTAAGAGGGCCGCCAACGTTTAAATGAATTCGAATGCCATCATATAATGCTTATAGTATCGGCTTGAATGGCCACTTGCTCTTCACGTCTACTTTTTGAATAAGAATTCACGATTTGATCCTTCGCATAGTTCTCAGGTTTGGTTATGCACTAGAAAGAACGCGCTAACCTCAAGCTGACAATTACGTATCCATCCTACCTGGCTCTGTCGGGTATGATGCAAAGGGAGGGGGAGGGGCTCCCGTCTTGTTGGAGGACAGATCCGGTTGGGGGGGGGGGGGGGTACATACCTAGTAATTTAGTACTGGCTACTAGGTACTAAGGCAGTCACAGGGAATTCCAGGCCTTGGACTGACTTGAGAAAGGATGAGGTGAGGTGGGCTTTTACTTTTTACCTACCTTGCAGTTGCATACCTACTTGTACTGCGCATTTGACTGACGTGCGTGCACCTGAAGTTCCAGGCCGTTAGTTATACATCATACATTCAGCATCGTCATCAACTGCACTCGTTTTCTATTTTATTCATCTTATTCCGCTGTTAGTCTCAGTTCCTGTGCACCCAATCCTTATTCTGGGTGCGAAATAGATCACTTGACGTTTAACAATTGAAGTAGCCAGCCCCGAACTTTGTTTCACTCCTTGGTTCATTGCAACTTAACGCTGTTGCACCATGCCTTCTCCCAAGCAAAGAAAGGTCGCTATTGTCGGCAGCCGCTCGGTCGGTGAGTCTTCTATTCGATCTTCCACATGGTGGCTTTATGTGGAATGATCAATTTCAATTTGCTGACAGGATGGGACATTAGGCAAGTCGTCTCTGGCGGTGCGATTCGTTGATGGCCATTTTGTCGATAGCTACTATCCCACGATTGAGAACACATTCAGCAAGATGATCAAGTATAAGGGACAGGACTACTCAACCGAAATCGTCGATACAGCAGGCCAGGACGAGTACAGCATACTCAACTCCAAGCACTTCATCGGTATCCATGGCTACATGCTTGTATACTCAGTATCATCCCTTCCCTCTTTCGAGATGGTGCAGGTCATTCGCGAGAAGATTCTCAACCACCTGGTAAATCCTGCTGAACATCCCGATAAGCAAGTGCAAATAACTAACCAGCAATGCTTGATTAGGGTACCGAATCCGTCCCCATCGTCATCGTCGGCAACAAGAGCGACTTGCGACCCGAGCAACGACAGGTTACCCCCGAAGATGGACAGAAGGTGTCCGAGAAGATCCAATGCGGCTGGACCGAGGCGAGCGCACGATATAACGAGAACGTCGGCAAAGCGTTCGAGCTCCTGATCGGACAGATCGAGAAGGCGCAGAACCCCGGCGAGGCACCGGCTAAGAGCAATTGCATCCTGATGTAAGGGTGATTGCATACACACAATTTACGGATACTAGAAGCATGCGCATTTGCCATACGACCATGACCACAACCACGATGGATGATTCAGGCCGCAGTGCGGCCCACACAAATTCAGTCAGCAACAGACCTCAACGTCACACGAGGTTACGGGGCAGGGAACACAAAGGTGATTGGGAACAGGACACGGGTCACGAATGAGTGGTATGTTTTGGGTTAAATTCTCCGTTTATGTCCGGTTCTGTACCAAGATGTACTATACTGTACTCTCCTACAGTACCTGGTTCTGCCCACTCGGTCTTTTTGCTTTATTGTTTTGCCAGTTTTTGCAATTAGAACACGCACATCGTTTAAATCAAGGGGCTAGTGCTTTGGGTTCCGGTTCTGTCTACTAGAAAATTTCTTGCTGCTCCTCGAGTCGTGTCAAGCGCATGTCCTGATTCATGATCGATGTCGAATGACTGACTACACACACTTGCAAGGATGTAGAGACCTGCAACTACCGATACGTACCTTTCTCAGCCGGTTTCTAGAACAAATCCAAAGCACCAACCTCCACCGGTACCATTTGACAGCTCGTTATGTTATTGGTTCCCAACAATTGATGGTGGTTTGGTACTTTACTAGCTGCGATCGTCCTCGTGGGCGGTCTGCATCTGCTTTATCATGGTACAAAGGGCTGGGTTCATCGTTTATCATGTGAATGCACGATCCAGCCCAGACTGGAACTTGACTTTATTTGGACAGGCCCGTTATCGGCGCTGGAGAGTAGCGTCGCCCCGACCCGGGTATGCAATAAGACAACATCCGTAGAGTGGTACTGAATCCGGGCGCCATCGTAAGCTCCGCGGCGTTTGTGTGGTACCGTATTTGTGCCATGTGGCTCTATGACTTGGCGGTGATATATTGGAATATTCTCTTTGATCAAATTGATTATTGATGGTGATTTGGTGTTACTCAAACTCCGAATCACTAAGTAGGCTTCCCCAGGCTATGTCTACCCCGTGGCTTTCGTCTGTGAACAGTTGGTGAGACCCTAGAAGCACCTATAGGCAGGTGGTACGTGTATCCTCCATCACAGCCTCACTTCACTTTCACACCTCACCGCGTCAAACCAACTTCTTTGTTCTTTAGCTTCCATTCAACAACTTATCAACACACAACAACAATTGCTGCACATTAAAATCGTAGACCTGTGAAGATAGCAGTCTTGTTCTCTCATTCGATTTCTCAATCTCTCTCTTTATTGCCTCCACATCTTTACATCGACACCAAACTTCAACTCCTTAATTTCGTGAAATAAACATCCAATGCCCGACTTAAACCCGTGCCCCTTCTGCGGCTTCAAGCCCGACCAGGGCGAGAATGAACTTATTCTAGTGTGTCTTCACCGATCTTCTTACCGCTGATTACTCTGAGCTGAGACTAAGACACCTGTCCCCTGACTAGCACATCGAGACACAGCACCCAGACGCTGACCAGTCGCCCTTTGCTGTCCCCGAGGAACCTGTCCCGTGCCCTGAGGACGGTTGCGGTGAGCTCGTTCAACCGGATGAGTTAGCTTACCATCTTGAGCTTCATGAGCTTGAGGCGCAGGGTGCGACACCTGAGCCAGAGCCAACGACGGGACAGAACCCGACTGTGTCTCGGAAGTCGGAGTCACCGGCCAAGGATAGCACGAGGAAGCATAAGAAAGTCAGCGCTATTCAGGCCTGGAAAGATCTCTTTTCTGGCCACGGCAATCGGCCACCCCAGAGTCGTGACAGTAGCAGCAGTAGTCGCACGCGCCACAAGACCAAGAGGGAAGAGGCTGGAATATCAAAGAGTCCCAGCAGAGGCTCTTCAAGTCGTGATAGTAATGGAGAGAGAAGTCGAAAATCAGGTCGCTTGGGAGTACGCAACTCCCTGAATCATGACCTCCTTCATACACTCACTGACTGCCATTTGTCTAGAGATCTGAGCTTGGCAGGTTTGCACATGAGAGGAAGATGCCCCCGTGGCTTGTAGATCTTCTTCAAGATGAGGGTCAAGTTGCCAATGAAGGTGAGTCTGACGCTTGTAGGCTTCATCGGCTATGGCTGACAAGGCTTCAGGTGTGTTGCCTGTTCTAAGTCAACTCCTCGAACAGAGCGCTACAACTCAATATGCCTACTTATGCCATCCCGCAGTACAGCATTTCTCTAAACTAAGGCGGGAAGGTAAGTGCATACAGTTCAGGATTGAATACTCTTGCAAGATAGGGGGCATGGGCATCTGACAAATACAGGTGGTTTCTGTGGTTATCGAAATATCCAGATGCTTACTTCGAACATCATTGCTGCCAAGACCCCAGGCTCACACCACTTCGGGCCTACTCCTCCTTCTATCTTTCAAATCCAAGACTTGATTGAGAATGCTTGGGACATGGGCATCAATGCCCAGGGCAGAGCAGAGACGGGAGGTGTCAAGGGCACGCGAAAATACATTGGCACACCAGAGGTATGGGATTGCACATGTATAGATGTACTCAGTTGACTTACAAGGACCAGGCGCAAGCCGTTTTTCTCAGTTTGGAAATCCCGTACGTTCACCGTGGCCAGAGAGTGAAGTGCACGACTGATCGTTTGTAGTTGTTCCGTTCAAGCATTCAAGAATAAGGAGCGTGGCAAGTCAAAGCAGTGCCTTTTTGATGCCGTAGAGGGATACTTTCGAGAAGGCATTAGGAGTGTAGAGGACCGAATCCATCTTACGGGTCTGCCGCCAATCTACCTCCAGCATCCAGGTAATACGAGTAGAGTCACTTACTTTCAAGACCAGACGCTGATTATTTCGACAGGACACTCTTTGACTATTGTTGGATTTGAGAAGCAAATGGACGGCCATGCAAATCTCTTAGTATTCGACCCAAGCTTTCGTGACTCTTCTAAGATTAAGAGTCTCATTGGCAAAGAAGTTCGTCACAAAACCTCCTCGATCGACAGTCTATTGCAGCCATACCGCCGTGGCTCGCACTACTTTCGCAAGCACAACCAGTATGAAGTCCTTTAGTAAGCCGTCTCGCCTCTTTGTACCTAAGCATCACTACTTATATGATTTATAGCCTTACAAAGTACGCTTCGGTGCCGTAATCTAACTAGCCTTTTACTTCTGCTCTTTGAACCAAGCTTGAAGCTTGGCTAGCGCTCGACTACGGTGGGAGATCTTGTTCTTCTCTGCCTTGTCCATCTCGGCGAATCTGCGAGTGTCAGCAAGGAACAACGTTGAAGGAAGAGCTTTTAACATACGTTTGGCCCTCGTACTCAAAGACGGCATCCCATCCTATCAATGCGTTAGCTTGTATCATGCGTATGCTCTCTGGAGCACATACCAAAGTCGGGGGGGCCTCTAGGAAGTACAATCTTGCCCTGCAGCATATGTCAGTACAGTCGAGGAAGAAGAACCTAGAGGTTTCATACTGGGCAACGACCCTGGAACAGAATGACCTCCTCGCCAGGTCCGGCACAGTATCCAAAAGTGCAGACGGCTTCAGCAGACTTATCAGTATAAGCAGCCAACAAGTTGTTCAAGCCCTGGTGTCCGATTGAAGTCATGAACCACTTGCTTTACCACTATCAGCACTCTAAATTTCCCAAAAAAATACCAACAGCCGCTCCAACTTACATGTATGCTCCGGGGAGTCCACTGAGAGCATTGTAGCACAGCGCCGTATCCTCAACCAGAACTGGACCTTTCACCTGCACATTGTTTCATTAGATAACTTTCTTAATCCAAGTTTGTATAAAAGATGGATACCTACCAAATCAGCGGCTCTGCGGCACTTGGACACTGTGACCTCCTCGAGGGTGCCCTGCACTTCCTCGAGATCCACAGGCTGACTGAGGACCTCGATCTCAGGCTCGAGGATGGCCTTGACCTCGCGCAACTTGCCGGCGTTGCCCGTGATGAAGTTGACTTTGTGTTCTGCCATATTTACACTTTGTAACAACGTAAACTGCTAAAGCTTAGAGATGAGCCAGAGGCAAATTTTGTTGACTAGGTTAGGAAAGGTTGTGCTCGTAAAAGAGAGATAACAGCTGAAGATAATCGAGCTGAACAGTAGGTAGGCAGGCTATGCCCCCACTGAGTTTGTGGTCCATGAAAATATGCACTTGCCCAGTATGAGCACTCCAGTAGAACGATTCATGTCAATTCGTAGCCCGCCCAAGGTTTGCGTCTAAAAATCTATTTTCACCAAACGAGTCCACTCTTCAGAATATTCCATCATGGCCAACCTGCCAATACCTGACTAAATCCGTTTTAAAGCACAGCTGCAAACGTGATTCAGACCCTTTTATCTTAGCTGTCATGTCTAGACCTATCTAGATCTGTCTATTCGTCGCTGTTATCCTTCTTCCACTGATCGATCCAGCCAATTATGCGATCAACATTCGTATCCATCTCATCAGATGTGTTGCTTGTCAACTCAATCACAATTTCCGGGTCAAAAGCTTCGTGGGCCTCTTGTAGAAGAACCTCCATGATCTCAGAATCAATGTTTTCTTGGAGTTTGGACTCAGGGTAGTTTCTGTAACCGTGAAAGGTTAGCCAACGCTTATATGCCTTGCTTGAATCCACAACCAACAGGTTGAACAACATTCATGATAGAGGACACATACCTCGCTGCAAGACGATCGTAATGTGTTGAAGAATCGACACGCAGAACTACAACTAGATCGATCCAGCTCTTGGGGAAAAGATCACAGGCGTGCCAGTCGATGATACACCCGCCAGCCTTGACATCATCCTCAATAGCATCGAGTAACTGTAACAATATCAGCTTGTGTCTTTCTCGTCCTCCGAAAAATGAAACTGTGTTTATTTTCCATTTCTCAGAATACAGCTACATTACATACCTTGTCTTCGTCCACCATCAGGCTGTGAAACTCATCGCTCCATCCCTCATGGCATTCCTTATCCTTCACAACTTGGTTGACCGAGATGTGACGCAGTCCAGTTCGTTCAGCAAGACTCTCGCAATGAGTGGTCTTTCCGACACCAGGCGTGCCTGTGATAATAATATTGGGCGAGGTTCGAGTGGTCATTTTGGTAGCTTTTTCGTAATGATTTACGATTGCAGAGATTGATTAATAGGCTCTTCAGTTTGGGTGTCTTCCAAATTGCAGCTATGCAGAATCACAATATGCAACTAAAGGTGCACACAGACCCGGTAGCTGAATCAACATCAATGCTTCAGCACCATTAAACAATCACCGAAAATCAAGCTGGCCCAACAATGTAAACAAATAACCACGATATCGCTTCATACTCTCGTCTCTCGGACTCTCCAATACAGCCGTATCTCGTCTAACAAAGATAGAGTCGAGCTCAACCATCTTCACTGCCTCGCGGAGTAGAGATGTTTTCTCGCTCTATATACATGATGCCGTTCAGATACAAGAGGACAACCCCAGATCTGTTCCAGTCACGCCGTCATTACATAATTCGACATCAAACACCCTGAAAATGCGGCTTCTATCCCTTATGTGCGTACGAAATGCCTAACCCAGCTTCATTATCTCTTACTGCTCTACTTCCACCTCATCAACGCCTGGAAGCTCATTATGGCCGTCTTCGTAGTCTTCGCCGTCGGTGTAATCAAACTTCTCCTGCTGGGCGATAGCCTGTGCTGAAACGATCTCGGCCAGTCTCTTCAGGCGAGGAGTTTGGAGCCCTATTGAAAATGTGTTAGTCTCCAACTTGAACAATACAATTCATTGAGTGTATGCGACTTACAAGAGGGTGTATAGGTCTCAAGTGCTGTGATGACTCGAGGCTCGGCGATCTCATAAGGACCGCTATCGTCCATATCGACAGCTTGGAGGAGAAGAACATCGCTCTTCTCAGTCACACGCGAGGCAACTGCCTTCATGATCTCGCCGTTGATAGGCTGCTCGTAGTCGGCGACCAAGTATTGGTTGAGCAGCTTCTGGATCTGGTTTGGTGATAGCCTGCAAATTGTCAGTAAAGAGTTTGAAGCACAAATTGACGAGTATGCTTACATCCAGCAGATATCCTGAATGATTTCTATGTCGTTCAGGGTGGCCTTCTTGAGTTGAAGAAGCTTGGTTGCTTGCTGCGAAATTGTTAGCATTAATCACGTAGGCTTTTAACAGATCGGACTCACCATCAAATGCTCCAGCTGAAGCGTGCCTTCGGGCATATCGTGGCTCTTACACCATTCCTCGATACGGGTGATGTTGTAGTTGATCTGCAGACCACGCTTCCAAGAGAGGAAATTTCTTCGCATGAGCAGGTCGTTGAACGCTGTCACGCCCACCAACCGCAGCAGCTCGGTGATGGTCTGTGTAATGATCGAGTCCTCCAAGTAGTATGCCTTCATTGCACGGAAGACGCTGTTCAGGAGGCTGAGCAGGTTGTCCATGCTATAGGCTGGAGTCGAATTTGACTGAAGGAGCTTGCCCAAGAATCGGCTGCTTTCGTTGGTAACAAAACCAGGAAGAGACTGAGACTCAATGATGGCAGGAATGATCATCTTATGCAACTTCTTCTTCAACACCTTCATCCATGTATGGTAGATGTTGAACTCCAAGCTCTCGAGGTCGTGCTTGACAATCTCCAAAAGTCGGTCATACTCATAGTTGTCCGACTTTTGAGCTTCATACCAATCCTCAGCAAGGAATACGAAGGACAACATCTCGTGCACGTTTGACAGCCAGAAAGAGCCGGGGTTAATAGCCTCGTCACCATCATGCTGCATAACCTCCTGCTGAATGGATTGCATCACGTTGGCCAAGAAGCGTTCCGATTCTTTCACGAAACCGTTGTTCCACATCTCGGATGTGACCAGGTTGATAAGGTATGAAGGGAACAATACCTCCTTGTCCGATGGCGGTGGAGTAGTGCTGGGGGAGGGGATCTTGAGATTTCGGATCAGTCCCATCGTCACCTCCTCATTGAGACCATCCTCGTCTGCGAGAAGTGTCTCGAGTTCCATCTCGATATTATCGACGCCAGGAAGAAAAGTCGAGCCAGAAAGATTCTGACGATGAGCCGTGCTAGTAACAGCCATGGAAACCGGTCGAGGGTTATAGGTACCACTAAAGCGATCAAGATCGCGCGGTTCGGCTCCGGCACTCCTGCGCTTAGGCTTCTTGGACGCAACAAGGTTGATGAGACCAGAGGGTGCTGATGCCGCAGGGGCTGCCCCATTGGCGAGTTCTCCGTTGATGGGTGCGTTCCTTCGAGCCAGCTCGAGGGCGTCTCGAAGAGATTCGAGTTCCTGTCTGAGACTGCTGTTGTCCTTCTCGTGTTGAGTGCTTGATCTCCTCGCTGTCTCCAACTCTGTGTTTGTGGTTCGCAGAGACTCTCGGAGTTCTCTCTCCTCCTCTTGCATTCTCTTGATGTTGGCTGTTGACTCGTCAAATGCGATTTGAAGCTTCTTCATCTCGTCCTCCATCGCTTGCAGTCGGGCGACTGCGATACCAGCCTGATTAGCTTCAGTCTGAAGCTCCTTGGTTCGAGCTTCAAGATCGTTGTGTCGCTTCTTCCACGACTTGATTTGTCCCTCGTAATTCTCAACCTGTGACGCAAGACCCTTGTTCTTCTCCTTCATGGAGCCCAAAGACTGCGTCAACTCAACAACCTTGTTTTCAAGCTTGTATGAAATCTGCTTCAAGTCACGAGCCTCCTCACGAACAGTCTTGTACTCCTTTCGCGCCATTCTTCCACGCCACAGACTCTGGATGAGAATGACCTTCTTTCTATACTGCCTCCATGACCTAATTTGCCTTCGCGATCGCCAGGCACGTTGGATCTTGAGAGCGGCATTACCGAGTCGTTCCTCCATGATGTTCTTTCGTCGGAGGTATCCCTTGGCGATGGATTCGAAGAGGACCATATCCTTCCTGAACTGTACGTAGTACTTGCGCTGCTTGTATCCCCTCCAGACACGCTGGATAGATATGGCGGCCCGGATGGTACGAAGCTCCTGGACCTGTTTTCTCGCCTTCCAAGACCTGATGGCAGACTGTGTCATAATGATGGCCTCGCGAGCATCGAGGTAGCGTCGTCGGTAGTACTTGGCTCTCAAGTTCTTCTGGATCATAATCGCACAGTCGTTGAGTCTAGTGGTGCGTAGGTTCTCCAAAAAAGCAAGCATACCGGCCCGGAAGAAAATCTTAGTGAGACCAAGTTGGTATTTATCCAGGCCCTTGGTGCTGCTTGACCCGAGCGCCTTCTTAAGGATCGCATCGGCCATCTCACGAATTTCCGAAGTCCATTGATCAGACGTCACCAGCATGTAGTATCGGAGAGCAAACTCCTCATATGTCCAACGAGTAGGGTAACCAGCACAACTAATGCGGACCGTCTCGAGAACACCACAAGCACGGAGCTGACTAAGAACCATAGGTCCTTCGAACTTCCAGGCTTCCTTAGCCTCGTTAGGCTTGATACATCGGATGTAGTGAACATCAGTGTTGTTGATGGTGCTCATAAGCTCGATAAGTGAGGATCTGAAGATACCTCCTAGTGTGGGCTTCCTGTTGACGGCCACGCCAATCTTCCTACCAGCAGCGGGCTTAACGGCGTTGGAAGACGATGAGGCGGCATCCTTCTCTCGTACAGCTGTGGCAGCATCTAGGACCGTCTTGAGGAACTCGTTGCTTGTAGCTCGAAGGACAGCCATGTGCTCATCAGGCACAGTATCTCTGTTCTTCTCAATGAAACCCTCGGACTCGTATGTGACGTCGATGGCATAATGGCAAACAGTGAAAGCTGACTTTCCGAACCTAGGCTTCTTGTAGAATTTGTGCTTGTCAGGGGTGAAGTTGTGATGAAGCTTGGTAACAAACTGCTCATCTGATCCCATGGGAAGACGGGACTCTTCGTCGAGCAAAGACAGAATACCCATTCGGCCTTCAATTAGATCAATACAAGGCTGGTTATCGGAGAAGTCAATAAATGTCCAGTCGATCTGTTCCCTCAGGTACTCTTCCTGCTCAAGCTTGAAGACGTGCTGGTTAAACTCTTGTTGAAGCTTCTCATTGGCGTAGTTGATACAGAACTGTTCGAACGAGTTCTTGGCGAAATGCTCGAAACCGTAGATATCCAAAACACCGATGAATGAAGTCACTCGACTCAGAACTTCCTCAGCAGCCAAACTGTGGTTGATGATATCAACGAGCCAGTCGAAGAGGCTTGAGTAGATAAACTTGGCGACGGAATCTCGAACAACGATGGCCTGTGCTTGACTGAGGTTCGAGGTGATTTTCTCGCCACGGGTAACCAGCTGCTTCTTGACAATCCATCTGGCAAACTCCTCGGCCTTGATACCAAGGATATCACAAGCACGCTCCAGAGAAGGCTCGTTCGGAGCCAAGACACTGTCATTGCGGGATGCAGTAATCTTGACATTTCCAAGGTGCAGAAGACTGGCCAGTAGTTTGAAGATGCTCGATTGCTGGTCATTTGTAACACCAATAGTTGAGAGCGACTTCTTGGTCGCCTCGAACTCGGCTTTGTCATCCACGCCATCAATCGTAGGGCAGTTTCCTTGGTTTAAATATTCGAACTCTTCGATAGGTAGGAGGCTAAGCTCCTCCCGCTCCTTATCGGAGGCACCAGCAATAAGTTGATAGAAGATATGATAGTTTCGCTCCTTGAGAGGCTGAAACACTAATCGAGAGCGTTCGAGCAGGTAAGTCCTGATCTTGGCACCAATAATATTCGTATGCTCGTCGAACATGATCTCAATATACTTTCCGAATCGTGACGAGTTGTCGTTTCGAGTCGTCTTGGCGTTACCGAACGCTTCCATGATAGGGTTTGTCGCAAGGATCTGCTCTTCCGTCTCGCTCATGGACTCGGCGCCACGCTTGGAACGCCCACCAGGGTTGTCGGGTGACTCTCTGGTCGCAAAATATCGCATGATATATTTGGCGCTGACGGTTTTACCAGCTCCAGACTCTCCAGAAACTACGACAGTCTGGTTCTTCTTGTCGCGAAGCATGTCCCTGGCTCAAAGTTAGCGGGAACTCTACGAATATCGTGGAAACTTGGCTCACATAAAGGCCTCCTCAGCAATGGCAAACAAATGAGGAGCCTGGGTCGCTCGTTGCCTCCCGGCATAAACTTGAACCATGCCTGGTACATAGAGAGAATCGACTCGGGCAAATGGATTGGTGGCAATAAGGACGATACCACTGTAAGTGTATATCTCCTTTTGCAAGTATCGGAGCCGAATTGCCTGCAGAACTGCGAGATGTTATCATCAGATGTGTCATTTTCGATGGGGAAATGGTATTTTCAGATCGGACATACCAGCAGGTTCGTTAAGATGAGACAAATTCGTAAGATCGTCGCTGGCTTCGAGCATTGTTGGGTTCATCAGAGGGGGCAGAGACGGATCGTTACCGGTCGCAAGGCCGTCTACAGACACCTCGATAACTTTGGACTGGAAGAGTAATACGGTGAGTATGATTGTTGCAAATGCCTGATACCAACGGTACCACAAGCAAGAGATAAGGATGACTTACCTCGCCATTCTCAAGCTGGAAGGTCAGCTTAACCTTGGAGCCATCAACGGTCTTGTTGACAAGCTCCGAAGCCACCCAACCTTCAGCAGTATCTGGCTGCCATGCTCTTGTGCCAACCTCGTAGGCTGATGCCATGATGGCGGTTTTGCCTGGCACAAGGCCGGTATGTATTAGAACGAAAGATGAAGGCGACTATGTCGAAGCGGTATCGGCGATTGCGGTACTAAGGGGCTGAATGGCGGTAGGGCGGTGGGATGCATGCATTCGCCAACAGCTGGTGTAGATACAACACGGCCTGCCGGAGAAGGAGATGGTCGTTGGAAATCGTCTCTGTGGTAAACGTAAAGGGGCGTTATTCAACACAAGCAGCGAACAGACTGGTTGGTGTATGTAGTCGGATGGTCGCTGGACGCTTTGCGCAAGTCGTCGAACTTTTGGGTCACCGGTGCCCCGTAATCCCAAGAAGAACAGACGCAGAAAAAGGACCCTGAACCGAAAGGGCGGGAGAATGAGCTTTCTAACTCTTTCTCTCTTCCCACACAGGACACAAAAGACTCGCCGGTAAAGAGGTCGAGTGAAATGAAGTCACGCAGGGCAAAGGCAAGGCAAAAGAAAGACCTTAAAAGAGTCAAAAAGTTATTGATGCGGTGATGCTAGCACGCGTTTTGCTCCTGATTGAAAGGGCCGGACGGACACTGGCATACTGCAGCCGCACGGGGCACGCTGGAGAGGTTAAGGAACAGGGGGGCGGGGCACTGAACTGTTAGAGGATTCAGTACCTAGGGGTTCAGTCTTGGGTATCCGACATGCCAAAAGCCCCTGGAAAGATACCGCTCTGAATGATTCAAAATACTTCAGAACCTACAAGCTCAACCAGCCTCCAGTTCCTGAACTTGGAAGCTCCTGGCTGGCTTCAGAACAATTAGGGGCTTTCAACCTGGATAGTCCCGCTAGCCAATGAGGGGCCGACCCGTTCGCGTCTTTGGCCCTTGTCTTGTCTCTTCCTTCGATCTGGGGTGAGCACAAGCGAGACCGACAAATGCATTTTACTACTAACGTATGGCTGGTATGGCTGGCTACTCGGATTGAGTCGACATTGTATGTTGCTGATAGTATCACGGAATTGGTCAGAGAATACTTCTCGTGACTAGAGTATTATACGCATACAGATTTCAGGTCAATATTGGGGTGCGTTGGAGCTAATGCTCAGAATGTGCTCTGCTGCAGGCCCCTTAATTGGCATTGACGATCAAACGCTCCGAGATCAAAATCGCACTGTCCATCTACAACTTCACCGACAGGTACCTACCTAGGAGCAACTGTGTTAAGGACGTGCGTTGGACTACAACTCATACAGATGGAATCTACACAGTATCTACAGAGTGGTGTATCCCGATATAGAACTCAGTATATATGGCTTTAACTCAACAGCGAAAAGTCTATCCCAAGGCATACCACGCCAGCTATTGCATGAATCAGTGTTCTTATGGGCAATCGAGAAGCTGAAACCCGCCGGTAACATCGCTCTACAAACTCCTCCTTCATTAAGGGGACGCCTGGATGCCAATTCTAAAATACTGGGGAACTGTTGAACCCTACCTTGTCCACGATTAATCCATCCCCACCATGACCCCAAGAGGCCAAGACTGACATTTGCGAGTCTATCAGAGAATAGTCTCAAAGGCTGCCAAATGCTTGGTATCCTGGCTCTGTGGATAATGCTTGAATACGGCGAGTGCAATAGGCTCAAATTCGAGTCTCAATGGCGCCGTTGTCGTATGTACACCGACCGACTTTTTGGAAGCCTTCCACCGTCGAATGCAGGTCATGTCCCCAACATTTATCGGCAAGCCACAAGCCATTTTGTGTTTGTTTCACATCGAGCGCCTCTGCATCTTGCGCCAACCACCAAGCGTAACTCTATGCATGCTTATCTCAGCCGTTACGCTGGTCGGTGAATTACAGTTTGCACATCAAGATCATGTGGATTCTTCGGATAACCTCTCGATTTGCACCGCATTAGCTCTATGTTAATAATATATGTTGCGTTGAAGCTGAAATGTTTTTGTGTTCGTTGAATCCATCCATGCCATATTACTCCATACAGTGCTACCGACCAGCTCAACCAGTCTATTTGTGACCTTGTAACAACACCAGCCGCAAGGTCCAGCCCCCTTTTCACCCTCGCTCGGGTATGAGTTAACCAGGAGATTCTATCTGTTCCGCAAAACCTCGTCCAGCCACGATCGTTAAGTCGGGTCAAGAGGTTTCGATTTGCATATGCCCTCATTCAACAGAGGCAATGCATCAATGCGTCACTCGCGTCCGGATCAGCACCAGTTCAAAGCGACCGGCCCGCCCCCTTTATTTTCCGTCCCTACACATTTATGTCCCGTGCGTCGACAGCCGCATTGCATATCCTTCTACTATGTATTTCGAGGGTGAGGGTTGAACCTCACAGCCACCAGATGGCCCATACCTCATTGCTTAGTACAAAACGCGGGTCATGATGCGAGCTGTGCGTGATCCATTAGCATATGTTGCTGAGCTTGTTTCACTTGGTTCAACCTACCGCTAAGAGTCTCCAGGCTGTCGTAGATATCCTTAATCTGCTCGTACTTGATGCTGCTGATATCAGCCATAAGGTAAGCGTTGTCACCTCTGCTGTCGGAGATCTGCTTGTCAACATTGTGGTCGCCAAGGATCTCGTTGACCTTGCGGAGCACACCGGGAACGTTTCGGTGAATGAAGATGATCTATAGTCCTTAGTTAACATGCAAAGCTCGTCCTTGTTAACTCCCGGTATATACTTACACGAGCGGTGTCGGGCTCGTCGGAGGTCAGCGAACGCAGCTGGACCTCAGGGATGTTGACGCTGCCCAGAGTGATACCCTGGTTGATGTAGCGGACCAAAGCCTCGCTGACTAGACAGCTGTTAGATGTGAATTTGTTGTAATATCTTATATGTGAACTTACCTTCAATACCAATGGCACGCTGGGCCTCCTCGGTACTTCCACCAATGTGGGGGGTCAGAATAAGGTTCTTGAGGCTCCGTAGATCCTCACCCCAAGTGTTGAGGTCGTTGGTGAAGTAGTCACCGTTGGCAGCTGGCTCGGCGGGGAACACGTCGAGAGCAGCACCAGCGACCTTGCCGGCACGGCTAGCCTTGATGAGAGCAGGAATATCGACAACACTGCCACGGCTGGCGTTGATCAGGTAGGCACCAGTCTTCATCTGGTCAAATTGTGTGGTGGAAATCAGGTTGCGTGTCTCGGGGAGATCAGGAACGTGGAGGGTGATGAAGTCAGCCTCGCCCAGAAGCTTCTCCAGAGTAGGGACCTGGCTGGCAGTACCAAGAGCCATCAGAGTGACGACGTCGTAGTAAATAACCTTCATGCCCATGGCCTCAGCCAGGACTGAGAGCTGAGAGCCAATGTGGCCGTAACCAACAATTCCCAGGGTCTTCCCTCGAATCTCCCAGCACTTGGAGCTGACCTTGTTCCATGTACCACGGTGCATCTCGTTGGATCGGTCGCCGAGCTGACGGGCGAGGGTGATGATCTCGGCAATGACAAGCTCAGCGACACTGCGCGAGTTGGCGAAGGGGGAGTTGAAGACGGCGATACCGTTTTTGGCAGCAAACTCGAGGTCGACCTGGTTGGTACCGATACAGAAGCAGCCGATGACGAGGAGGTTTGTGGCCTCACGGAGGACCTTTTCGGTGAGCTTCGTTTTGGAGCGAATACCGATGACCTGAACGTCACTATTGACAACATTTTATTAACATCTATGGTGGGGTAAACGGAATACAGAAACGAGGGGCATAGCTTTGTAGAAAAAAAAAGAATGATGGATGGCGTGGCATTTTGCAAACATACCGAATTTTCTCAATGAGCTGGTCCTCAGGGAGAGACGTCTTGAGGGCCTCTACCTGGTAGCCCTGGGCCTTGAGAATCTCCTGGCCGCCGACATTGACGTTCTCGAGAAGTAGAATCTTGATATCCTTGGTGTTGAAGGGCTTCAGGTTCTTAGGTGCGCCACGGTTAGGGATGTTGGCGTTGGGGGACCTGAAAGATGCGAGGGGAGAGGTCGCGACATTTTGGTCCCAGCTGTGAGAGACTTCGCGTTGAGAAGCAGCGGAGAGGCTTCCGGCAATATTTTGAGGAGCCGCCATGATGAGATGTGGTGATGTCCGGTCGGTGTGGTGTGGTGTTGGAGAAAGATGGAGGGGTCGTAACAGCGGGGTGGTCGAGGGAATTGGAGAGCTTGGGTCGTTTGTTTATATATGGACGAGGTAGATCAAGATCGTCCGCTACTTGAGAAAAGTCAATTATGGTGTGTTTGGGGTGTGAAAGTGCTGGAAAGGGACCTGGGGGACATGGAGGGGAGTTGATTGGATTTATTTATGATGCCACCAAGTTCTACAAGCTATGATGAGATGACTCTCAGGTCCACTGCGCATTCATACGTTGCTGACAACCCGCGACGAGCCGGATCCAGGACTAGAGTGCATGCTTAGAGATCTCTACCGACTTCCGTCAACTGACTCATCCTTTCGATGCCATCACCGCCGAATCAGAGGGCATTTCGAGGTTGATACGCCATCAGGGTTGCCCTTGCGGCTCCCAGTCACATTTGGTGAAGCTAGGTACTTGCTGTACTTGAAAGTAGAAGTGGAAGTGGAAGTGGAAGTGGAACAGCCAGGCCTAGCACCTTAAGCCAGTAAAAAAACTTTTACGTAGAGTGGTCCGCTCTCGGCTGTCGACCATGGTGTCACTCGTTCGACCTTGAACAACAACCAGCAAGTTACTGCATACGAGCCGAATATAGCCAGGTAGCCAAGTAGAAGCTCGGCGTCTTTGACGATGTTGCCGCTAACAATGACCAGCCCAGCCCCGAGAAGGGCCACTTAAAAATTAAAGAAAAAATTGCTACGACAGTGGTTGTTTGGACCACTCGTCTGGCCCTTGACCGAGACCGGCAATGCCATCATGCCGTCACACAATGGCGTCAATCTCTGCATCTTCCGGCGGCCGGTTGCTGGTACGTGTGTTACTGTTTCCAGCAGTCCCGCCATGCGGCGGTGCTTAAATATGCGGCATGTTATGCAGTCCGGGAGCGAGATGCGGCGGACCTCAGCGGTGGGAAGGCGGACCTCAACCCAATATTGAATCGTAACATAAAGTTCCATGCACCTCGATACCAAGTTCCGTCAATCCGTCAATAATGTCCTGTCAATAATGTCCTGTAACTACAGTCTTTTGGCGTGATTGGTAGTGAGACAGGACCAAGACAGGACCAAGACAGGACCAAGACAGGACCAAGACAGGACCAGGACTCTCTTACTGGCAAACCGACATTTGTTCGGTTGCAGATATGCTACCCTGTAGCTGAAGTTGTGATGGATGAGCCCATGATTTATACTTCGCCTGCTCACTCCGTACTTACACACACCATAGTCGTCATGTTGATGTCAAGGCTTCGGACATCAAATTAAACTTTATTTTATCACAGATAGTTCTAAACCGTTTGGCGTTCTCCCGTTACCAATAAGCACACATACAAATTGTCAACAGTTTATAGTTTCCTTCCCCATTCCCATGATTTGTGTGGCTTCAACGATTTTACCGTGATGTTCTCGAATTAGATGAACCTAGTTCATAAAAGTTCACAGCTCGCTTACATTACGAAGAAGTTACATTAACTGGAAGAAAACACAGGACTTTTGGTATGCTTCAAATAATTACTAAAGGCTTAGCAGCCTATCCATCGGCCAAGATCCATCTCCGTTGTCGCCCAAACAAGATAGTATGTGATGTACGCAAAGAAATCATCCAAAAGTAAGATATCCGGAAAAAGCAAACCCAACATAATCCCCAATGTACCGCCTCTATGAAAGACCCCCATCAAACAAATGATACCAAACATAAACATGAACCCGATGAAATCCCAACACCGTTACATAGCCCAGCTTTGGGGCCCAACCCCATGATTTCCATAAACTTGACTCAAAATTTCGGGCCTGCTGGATCATCGTACGGCCTTGCTTGCCTTGATCTTCTCGCCGTTGTCACCTATCGGGTAAATGCTCGAATCATCGTCCTCGTACAACTCTTGGTCACCCTTACCTCCCATCTCTATAAATTCGTCTGGTGCTCGCTGAGAGGCAGGTCCAGATTCCTTCTTAAAATTGCTGATACGGCCTTTGTTCTTCGAAAACACCTTGACAGGGTTCTTGTCCTTGCCAATCTCGACGTGGGCAGTCACCTCGACAGTGTTAAGTGATGACAGGAGAGTTCGTTCGCGCGCAGGAGCTCTTCGGTTGACCTCTAGACCTGCGATACCACCCACAAGTCCGCCTGTGCTATCGTTTACACTGGGGGTGCTCTGTGTAAGCCAGGGATGCTGCAGACACTGATCAATGGTAAATCTCTTCTCGGGGTCGACAATCAACATAGAATCAATCAAGTCAACTAATCCATGTTAGTAAGGGCTTTGATGTGGTTGTGGTATTATAGAACTTACGGGCTGGGTCGCCAACAGAATCCCAGTAAGGTGAAGGGTAATCAAAGCGACCACTCTTGATTTGCTGAGACAGTGTGAAAGGGAAGTCACGCGAGTAAAGTTCATCGGAGAATGGTGGGAAACCGCAGAGACAAATGTAGAGCACGACTCCCAATGACCAAACGTCAACAGCCTTGGTGTACTTGCGCTGCTTGGAGTCGGCAAGAATCTCAGGAGCAACATAGCTAGGTGTTCCGCATAGTGTGGTTGTGAATGATTCTTCTCCAATAATCTTGGCCAAACCGAAATCCGCCAACTTAACATGTAGGTCTTTGTCAACCACCAATATGTTCTCGGGCTTGATATCACGGTGCACAATGTTGCGTTCGTGCTAAACAGTCATGGTCAGCTACGTGAAACCCCCATACGACACCTGACAAGAGATGCGACAACTTACCAAGTATTTGATACCCTGGAAGAGCTGCACAAACAACTTCCTGGATTCATCTTCGCTAAGTTTCTGCTTCATCACAATGTAGTTGAAAAGCTCTCCCTCTGGTGCCAACTCGAGCACCAGATAGACGCGATCTCGCTCATTGAAAGTGTCTTTGAGGCAAAGGACGTTGGGGTGACTGACACCCATCAAAACACCAATCTCTTGTTGCAAACCCTCCGTCTTGGAGCGGTCTTCCACACCTGGGTGTTTCGTAAAGATCTTGACTGCATAGCGCTGACCAGTGGTCTTCTCAACACACAGGTAGACCTCGGCAAAGTGGCCCTTGCCGAGCTTCTCCAAAAGAGTATACTGTTGAAGAAACGCGCTCGTTTGGCGGGTTTGAGGATAGCGGAAGACAAACCGCGCCTTGCCGTGGACAGCGATCTCGTCCTGCTCCTCCAACTCGCGACGCTGGTTTCGGCCGACGATAGCCTCGTTGACAAACGTTCCGTTGCTTGACAAATCTTCGACAATTGCGACGGTATCGTTGCCTTTGTTCTCGGTGAAAAGAAGACAATGTCGGTTCGAAACAATGCCGTCGTTGACAACAATGTCTGTAGAGAAGTTAGTAGTGCTAGATTGATAGAACACCAGTTATTTTACTGACCACATTCAGGATGACGCCCAATCAAGTAACCGCCAGAAGAAACGCCGTTCTCTTTCTTCTTTTCAAAGGCCTCTTCATCTTTTGTCGCAGCCGACTTGCCATTCTTATCATTGGTGTGATTCTTGTTGTCCTTCTTGGCGGCATCGGCAGCGGTGTCTGCTTGGGGGCATGCGCTTCGTCTCTTCAAGACGATAGGCTTGTCGCCGTATTTTGGATCTAGCGGAACAAGGTATCCCCAGACACCTTCGCGAATCTCATCTTCGATATCGTCGGAAATGGCAGGGTGGCGATCGACAAACTGGCTCAGCGGTTGGGTGTCTTGGGGCGGCGAAGATAGCGCCTGCCCCTGAGCGTGGTGGTCGTCGGTTTTCTTAGGTGTCGTCTGCTGCTGCTGCTTCTTCTTCTTCTCCGGAGGAGTCGCGGTGGAATCCTTGATCAGCTCGCTGGACTCATCTGTGAGGTGTGTGAGAGGCGAGGGAAGGTGTTGCTTGTTAACGATTGGAGTCTTGTCCGGATCAGCCTCGGTGCGCTCGGTTCGTCGAGGTTTCTTGGTTTCGGTCTCGCCTTCCGGGAGGGAGCCCTGATGAGAGAAGCAGGTTAGTAAGGCGCGGCAAGACAGTTATGGCGCGACGCAACACGAGATGGAACGATGGGCGCAAAAGGAGTGTTGAATAGGCAAACGGCTCGTCCATCGACATGGTAAGAAGCCAATCTTCACGGCGAGGTTAAAAGAGTATGGAAAAGACTAACGCGCTGGCGCTTCAATTGGCTCTTCTCTGGTTGCGGAGCCATGGTAGCTATGGCCAAGCAGAGGTGAAGCCAAGAAAGAGCTGGGTGAAAATGTTCACGATTAGGTGATGCAGAGTTGTCGAACCAAGGGTATAACGGCGCAGTTTAGCGGGGGGTTCGGGGGTGAGAGAAAGTAATGGAAGGATAAGAGGAAAGATTACGGATGGAAAGGAAGTTGAAGCGAACAAGTGGAGGGCGTGAATCGAGCCTGGACTAAGAAGGTTATGGGATCTGGTGGTGATCTCTGACGAAAGATTGTGGAGGGAGCCTGGAAGCTAACCAGATGGAACTTGGAAACTGGAACTTAGTGCTCGAGGTGCCTGAGTGCGACAACTGCCTAGAAATAGTACCGTCGGATTGGTCCAGGTCTAAGCCACTTTGAACAGCCCAGGAAGAATGAGTCGAACCGAGTCGAGTCACAACTTCAACAGGAAAGGATAGCCTTGGTACTTTGATTTGGGAAGAATGGCAATGGCATTGGTGATATTTTTATTCTATGTTAAACGCTCACTTGAACTGCGCACCCGAGAGCGTCACGCACACATTCGACCTGTGAAATTGTCCATGACAGCATCGCATCTCACCTGTAAAGGGGTGGGTCGCTAACGTTAGAATGGATCTCGCCGTGCGTTCCAGTGGAGCGAAGCAACGATGATCGCTTCAAGCGTCCAGTCGGGTTGAATCATTCTATCTCAAGTCTCCTGAGTACCTATCCGTAGAACACTGCTAATGCTCGGCAACAGTTACAAGCTACTGTACAACGACAATAGTCTATGCCTTGCCTTACAAGTGGATCGCATCTCAGCCAAAAATGACATAACGAACTGTTGAGTACTGATGCTGTCCATGATCGAGATATCAACCCACGCTCAACTCCCATATGATCCCAAATAATCATTGCTTTACCATGTATCTATTGCCTTCCTTTATTTCACCATAAACCCCGTGGACCATCTCGATTATCCCATATGGGCAGTCAGTCATCCGCCAACCTCGAGTCACGTTTCTTGTCGGTATGAGACGCTCGCATGCCCACACTTATCTCTTACCTATCACGCGCGCCACGGGAAAATGCGATGTTCAGTCACAACGCTTAACAAATTAGTAGAATCTCATATGCACTGTCACTCCTTAAACGGTTTGTCGAGATGTATGCACTACAAACAAACGTTGGTTTTCAACCAGGCATCTTTGAGATTTCAGTTAGTAGATCACGGCACTTTCCACCACAAAATATAGTTTCAACTCAATATTAACATTATTCAATATCGTGGCTAGGTGTACTTCTCCCCACACAACAAGCAATACCAACGTAATTAACAGATATCTGTCAATGGCCAGTAACCTAGCATGTCAAGAGGTCGTACGTGTCGCGCTCTCTACTTTCTCCACTCATCCAAAATGAAATAGGGCCATGTCCTTCTTCTCTTTCTCATTGTCTCCTGAATTCCTGATAGTCTCCAGGCTGGCTTTCCCAACCTACGGTATAGAGAAAGCCATTGCCAACGCCAGTAAACGCCGTTGCGCCAGCCATGTCTTCTGTCAAAATACCTACCGTTCATCATTATCAAAGAGAATTCATTGTCCGTTAAACCAACCCATACTGAAGGGAAATCATTTTCTATCCAGCTTGCGCGACCTGGAGAGATTATACAGATAGTAACAGGAACCTAGGCCTGCCAGTCGTTCCTAAGATCTGGATTCCTATCTCTCGGGGATCGGAGATCTGGCCAGCCTGCCTCCCGTGCTGACTCGCTTCTGAAGGCGAGCTTCTTTCTCTCGTTGTAGTCTCTCGGCTGAGCTCATGTTGCCAGGTAGCGAGGGCACCGAATCCATCGATCCTCCGATCAGCGAACGCCCACGCTTCTGCTCTATGTAAATTTGCGCATGATGGCCCAAGGGAAAAGCCGGCATGGTTGCAGGTATCTCGGCTCCGTTTTGGACCAACAACTCGGCCACGGGGAACGGCACGCTCTTTCCATCTGAATCAGATGCTGTTTGCGAAGGGGTAGACGATGGTGCTGCTGGGTCTGCTGCGGCCAAAGCAAGCCATACAGCATGCGTGCCCCTCATTTTATCAACCGTATTTGGGTTCGCCTTAAGTGCCAACGCGTAGAGTACCTGCTGTATCTCGTTTTTCTTAATACCCGCCAGCAGGGTCTCGTCGGCAGTGCCGTATCTTGAGAGTGTTGGCGAAATAGGCTCAACAAACGAACGGTCCACATACTTTGATGTGATAAATCGAAGACGTTGTTCGCGGCTTGCCTGGCCAGTCGGCTTCATGGACTGGTCAAGCTTGGCCTCCCAAATCATATTCGATACTCGGTTTCCAATCAACAGTAGAAGCTCGACAATATCAATAGTGAAGGACTTGATGTCCAGCGTCAAAGACCGGACTTTGCTAATATGGGTACCAAGCGACCGGTGGATACCGCTGCATTCAATGCAAAGGATAATGCCCAAATTAATTGATACCCACTCAACCTTGGATCCAGAGCCGCAGTCGGCACACCACAGGTTGCCTTGGTCGTTGTCCCGGACCAGTTGAAGTATTCGATCGGGGTTTTCATCGTATCCCGAACTTGAGGTCCTGACTGCACTTGGCCGTGCGCCAACCGTAATCCTACGACTGGGTATACCAGTGTTGGCGGCGCTATGATGGCTACCATGGCTCAGTGACTGGGTCTTTCCCGTCAGGACGGAGCCAATATCTCTTCTCAGAGAAGAATCGCCATTGGATGACGTTGGCTTCCCCTGATAACTGCGTCCCTCCATCGCACTCTGTAGAGCGTTGTTGATGGACGTAATCCAACTATTCATGTCTTCTTCAGATGTCGCCTGGTATACTCGTTTGAAACTAGGGGTTATAACTTCAAAACAAAATCGCCGCTCTGCGTTGCGAGCTTCGCGAACTGATGCCATCCGGAGGTCGATCGGGTCCATGTGGAGATCAAGTCGCTGTTTCCAGTTACTGTACTCGGACAGCTTACCCTGATCCAGCACGATCCAGAACCTAGAAACAATGTCAATACAAATTCGCCTTTAGGCCAGTGGAGAGTCTTACTTGTGCCAGCCCTGTTTGTTCAAGTTACGAGGGTCAACATGTCCTCCTGGTCTGTTGAGTGCCCACAGAAGTCCTTCCTTGCGATGAGTGACAGCCGACGCTGTAGCATCTCGCTCTTCGAGATCCCGGAAACCCTTAAATTTAGACGCAGCAGAGGGGCTTCCAATCGTTTGACCAAGACTACCAGGAGATCTAGATAGCTCCACACCTGAAGGAATGCCTGGCGAGCCAACATGCAGTTGGGATCCGGTGCTATCGGCACGGCCCAGATCAGAATCCGATGTGTTGCCCGTATTGCCATTACTTGGGTAATTGATAGGCATATTGCTCGTAGTGCTGCCTTGTTCAGGTTCCTTGTAGGGCGTGTTGGTTTTTTCAAGAAGGCGTCTCTTCTCCTCGCGTTCACGTCGCTGATACTGATACTCTTTATCGGCTTCTTGGACCTCGTTAGATAATGCCTCTAGTTGTGGCAGATGAACCTCAATCTTTTTCGCAGTAGCCATAAAGCCTCGTGTCTGGGAAGCAGCGAATCTCGTAAGATGGGACAAAACCTCTTGTTCTTTACGACCGCCGTGAAGGTCTTGCATGAAACTAGAATAGTCAAATCGTTTAAGTTCGAACATGCGCCGCTTGTTTTGGTACTTGGAATCGGCTTCCGCAAGCTTTTTAGCCTTGACAGAATCTTGACGGTGCCCCAAATAGCGCGATACGTATGCATAATAATCTTTGCTTTCCTCCTCGAAGTCTCGCTTCTTCGACTCGGCTTGTTTGATGTCGACCTGGTACAGCTTTGTCACAGGCTCGATGATAATTTTTTGAAGGTTGTAAGTGTTTTGGCGCTCATAGGACAGAATTTCTCGGGCGATTCTATCGAAGTAATGTTCCAGAGCAGGTTGGACGGCGTTGGCATTGGTTGATGCAGCGTCTCGCAACGCATCCACAAATGCAAGGAAGGCGTCGTTGGCTTCGATCTGACAAGAGTGTGCATGCTCTGCCTTCTTCAGAACCTTCTTCATCTGCGTCCTCATATTGCCCGTCTTTTGCTCGAGAGCTTTGAGTGTGGCTCGGAAAACAGGGCCATCGTCGCTAACCATTGATTCTTCACCTGGTTTGGGACAAGCTACATCCACTTTGACAGTTTCTTGAAACTGTGGAAGCCCTGGGGTAAGGGGCATTTCGGCTGTCGGAACAAGAGGTGATACTGGCTCGTCAAGCATATCAGGAACGGTCATACGGGAATCGACTGATTGGGACGAGGCAACTCGAATCTTCGGCGGAGATGCTAGGAGGAACGGAGGTGATGGCGAGTTCGGGTGGCTCAGCGACGCAGGGGTGCCTGGAAAAGCATGAGTAGGTAAGAGAGAAAGGTTATCTCGAGTGTTAGTACCTGCAACGAAGTAGGAGAAGCTCGCTAAGGTGTGCAGTCGGTGAGCTCGAGGGTCATACTCGACGAACTAAACTTGAATTAGTACACATGTAGTATATGGGATGAATGGCAAAGTACACTGCACGAATTTCTCCAACCGCCGCCCTTGTCCTCTGCGGGCTTTGGGGGTTTCCACTTCCAAGTCCATTCGAATGATACTGATGGGCTTCCTCCTGTAGAATAATCGCCGACCAAGGCTACGTTGGCGTTTCTGTGAAGGTTTGGGTCCGCATGAAACTCTCGGGTCACCAGGTTCTCGACCTCTCTGAGGTTTGAGGCGTAGACGTACGTTAGGCCTGATATGCTGGTGTCGATTGGGGTAGATGTTGCGTCGGAGGATGTTGCGCCTTGCGCAAGGTGTGCCTGACGCATGACAAATGTGAAAGAGAATATGAGTTCGTCATCGTTACTGAGCTTAACTAGGAAATTTGGCACTGCGGATGGGTTTGAAGTATCGGGATCCTGCGACGGGTTAGGTGAGCCGCAAACAAAGGTCTCAGGACCGGCGCAATCTACCTGAACAAATTCTATAGGGGATGTGTCGTTGAGTGGTTTTTGAGCGGATATTCTAGTAGCAGGAAATCCATTGGGAGTAACGTTTATAGAAATGCGCTTCCGTGGATTTGTGACAACTAAGGACGATATACTCACTGCAGAACAGAGTCGGTCAGTTAAAGTAGGGAACCATGACCTCGGCGCAGGACTCCATAGAGAACCAGGTGAAAGGCGGGGAAGGGAAGGACAACATACATCGATTCTGGTCTCTCAGGTATAAAGCAGGTCCCTCTTCGGGCTTGCTGCTGACGATGCCCATCGTCAAAGTAGATCAAGAGGACGACGAGGGTTGAGGAACGAATACAGTCGCGGCCAGGTCGAGTGGCTGGAGCTGTCGGGGATCTTTTAAGATGGACTGGAGTGACGAGCACACGCTGGGGGGCGCACAACGACAGGCGGTACCGTGACACCGTGACAGCGACGAGCTGTTGTAGCCAACAGGCAGAATGGCGCCGGTACAAAAAGTGGTAGCGCGGGGCTCAGGGCGGGACAGGGGAGGCCGTCATCTGGCGCTGAGCCAACCGGAATGGCCCACTCGAACCTCGATTGGGTGTAGGTAGAGTCGGTATCTGGTGGCTATTTTGCGACCACTCGTCAATCGGCCGCCAGGAGGTAACTAAGGTAAGATATTGTTGACTGTGATGTATCAGGTACTGAGTGCGCCAAGGTCAAACAAGCAATATTTGAATGTGTTGGATTTGGCGTGCGCGTCAAGCCAGGCAGTCGCAAACTTGCCGACTCTCGCGATAATAAAAAGTGCTGCTGCCTGTTGTAGTCGTAATGTTATCGACGATGTTGATGCGAGTGTTGATGCAGATTAGGTTGCGGTCGAGGAGCAGAAGTGTAAAGGGGATGTGTAAAAGCTCGAACGGGAAGGTACAAAGAGAGAGGAGGGAGGAAGGTTGAAAGCCTACTAAGGTAGACCAAGGTACGGATACAGAATGCCTTAGTATTTGAATGCAGATTTCGAGGTTTAGGTAGGTAGTATACGTCTACAAAAGAACACTGCCTTCGTTGCAATACAAGGATCCATCCTTGGTTGAAAAGCCCCCCACAACTCCATCGACAGTTTACCGGGCTATTTGACAGTTGACGGCCAGCACGGGCAAGTAAGAAAAGGCCCGTTGTCTGACGATACAGAGTTCCCAACTGTCCTGTGTTTGAGTACATACTACGTACCTACGTACGGTCTGGCGGATGCTTTCAATACAATATAATAAATCTTACTTTACTACGCCAGTGTATACGAGTCAACAGTGGTTTGTGCTGTCAAACATAGGCCAATCTGATGCACATAGTGCGGCATGTACATGCGAGATGCAATCTTAATGTGGGTGGATGCCAAAGCTGCATACGAATAATAGCTCGCGGTGTTGGTCGACAACTGCGGATCTGACTACTTAGCTACTACAGTGACTAACGCTGATAGGAGTTTTACTCTCTTGTTGTTATAATTGACGGTGTCCATATTGAATCACCAAGCCTGAGTATCAGTCATTTTGAGTTCTCTTATCACAGCACCATAAGCGGCTCTTATTTGATATACGTGCCAACTAGTTACTCTCTCTTTTCTACTTGAACTTCCTGAGCTCTTCTTCGCCGGGTTCAGGTTCAGGCCGACGGATCAGCACTCGCTCAAGCACTAAGAAACAGGGAACTGGTCTTTAGCCGGTTTGAGCCCCTTGCTATTGTAGATAGGTCAAACGACCATCATTCTCAAACAGATACCAGTCCTCGGTAATCTAGTTCTGTTCTAATTTAGTCAACTGGCTTGCTCCCTTCTAATGTACGTTGATGAATCGTGTTCGACAGTCATTGATATTAACAAAGACGATAAGAGGTTGACCTGCAACTCAAGCCAAGGCCAGCCAAGTGCCAGTGGAGGTCAGGTAATTACTCCGTAGGGTACCTGTAGACCCTCCAAAACCGGGGGAGACTCAGTTGCATGCATGCATGCATCAATTTGAAACATAACGGCGCCGCTGTTGTGGGCGCTTCGATTCAGGACGGACAAATCAAGACGCACCAGTATTATCCCAAACCAACATTGCAATGACGGTCTATTGAAGACACCATGAGTCTTTGTCTCTCATCATACTGACAACTACGGATAGGCACATTCTATTAGGTACTTTTCATGCGACAGGGGTACCGGCCTGACCCTAGCTTAACATTCGGGGTTTCCTGACAAGGAACTCCTGTTGCAGATCTCTTTACGCAGTTTAACGCCAGAGCCTGTCACCTGTCTGTAGTGAGGTTCGGATCCTCCAGTTCATTGCCCAATCGCCAAATAAATGCTCGTCATCCTTCATGAGTCAGGTGTTTGAAACCAGAGCAAAAGATACAAAAATATGCCGCTCACATGACAATAAGTCCTATCGTACTTGATAGTTGCTTACAAGATGCGACAGCGTCACGACCCTCGCAACCTCGTGTGCCACCTTGTTCAATGTGTTTATCGAGACACGAGATTCATACAGATGATAGTTTTTGAGAGCTGCACAGTCCCGTACAAACAGTCCGACAACAAGCCAACCAGGAATATATTTAATACATATTTATAAAACATATCATGAATAGAGTGTTCTATAGTTTAGTCTCACCCTGAGATTATACAAGATCATATATAAAAAGAAAGAAATTATCGGAACTTTTGCAAGCCTACCTAGATACTGTGCGTAAGCCCTCCTCTTGTTAGATAGTGACCAACTCTCCAATGGTCTGCAACCATACGTAGTGTATGATATCTACGCCAACGCAAGATGCTCCGAGTCACGTTGAGCGAGAGTAAATCGTACCTCATGGAGTGACCCATGATTGCGATACTTAAGCAATCCACTTGATGTGGGAGGCCAACAGTATAAGCCGGTAAAAGTATGCTGAAGATGCTGAGTTCACGTTTTTTTTAGAACAAAGTCTCGACCAGTGCTTATTCTATTACCATTATCCGTGCCTATGCTATTTCTCGTCTTACTGTGGTGAATAAGGGAAGATAAACTAGGTTAAGCTAATGACCAAAATGCAAGGTAAAAGGAATGAAGAAAGGAATCTTGCATGGATGATGAACATGGAACACGGAGGAGTATGTACAAAGTGATGAAAGGACATACCAGCTGGAGAGGTTAGATGTTAGACTGTAATCTTTATTGGGTGTTGCTATGGCTGTTTCTATTCTCACGTACAACCTCAGTTTGCGTTTTCTATATCGAAACTGGGTGGCTACATAGCAGGTAGCGGAATCCCATGCATTAGGGAATTGGATTTCAAGCGGCTATGGCTCTGACGCTTGGCGCTCTCTTCACGAAGCGCCCACACATCGGATTGTTTCCATTGGCTGTAGCGCCAAATTAGCGCTCTTCAGGGTCCAGTCCGTTGGCGACGCTACAGTACAAGGACATGGCTGAAAGGATGACGTTGTACCCCATTCTGTGGGCTCCGGCTGGGCTGAGCTGGGCACTTTCTATTTATTTTGGGCTGCGCTTTGGGTTTTAGGTCGCGTTTTAGGCTTTGTGTCTCCGGATCAAACATCACGTACAATTCCTCATTATATGTAGAGCTTTATTGAATGCAATGTTACTGTTTAACGCTGTGCTCCATTGAGTGCTGTTTGTTCTCAGCTATTCAATTGCAAAGTATCCGTACCTTGGTACAGAGGTGCTCTCATAGGTAACAAAGACCGTGCCATCTATCGCTGCTGTGTTGCCTTTTTATTACTGGATCTTTGACCTCTGAGTCTTGACGTACTACGTGCTACGGAGTACAGGGATCAATCAATCCAACGGAAGGAGCGCAGGCGACTGGGGGGCTCTGACCTCCAGCTGTCCATGCTTCACCGTCAGTCTCCATCCCATAACCGCCCTTAACAAATTCCATATCCCAAGCGAATCATATACACACTTTGTCGTCCTACAGTACCGAACAGGGCAGCGCATGGTTTTTGTCATTCCATTGGAATATACTCACCGCACATTTGTTGCTTCGTTTGCATCGACCTCATCCAGCACAGGACCCCTCGCTCCTTTTCGCCCTTGCCCTGTTCAAACCTACAACTTGCCATCAGCATCAACCTTGCTGACACTATCTCACATTCTGAACGACAGTCAGTGTCATGAGCTGGGGCGCGTGGACATAGACCATTTTAGGTAGCATCTCGCGTCCCGAGCAATCGCCATTCTCACTATCTAGGCACTTAGACTTATCCTTACGATATCGCCACCCTCATCGCCATCGCCGTCACATCCCCCCTCGTTCGCGATCATGTCGGTAGATTTCCGACGTTCCTATAACCCGAGCCGCCGCATGGGCAGCAGCAGGGACCTTGGTAGAGCTCGTGCAGCCTCCAGGGCCCAGCCTATTGTTGTCGAACATGATGAAGCTCGCAGCTTCGCTCTTCGGTCGGCTTATCTACACTATCTCTTGCAGCCCAAAGCCAAGCGAAAACAATATGTCCCGGCTCCAAAGCAACCCGTACGAACCCATACTAGTGTTGGCGCACTGGTGCAAGAATTCACATCAGGCTCTTCCTCAAGCTTCAAGCTACCTCACAACTTCACAAACGCTTTGCTCGAACGATGCGGCGGCGTGTTGAGGGGCAGCGAACGCCTCCCAGGTTATAACGATGCCGCGGTCAAGCGAAGTTTTGCAGAAGCCTATACCACTTTCTCCGAGAGGAATTTTCGTAAAACTATCGACAAAGAAAGGAAGCTTGAGCCTCTCATTCTCATGTTCTACACATCTACCACCAAGGCAGCCCAGAAAGGTGCCGCTCCTGATGACGATTCTTGGAAACTCATACCTGACCGACATCTCGCCCTATTTGTCCGTCTGATTGCCACCATTCTTCGAGATCAGGGTCACGATCGCGACAAGACTGAACTCATGTCCAAGTTGAACACTCTCGAGAAGAAGCTCCTCACGAATGATCAGAACTTGGTCGGTGGTGGTTCAGATGGTGCCGGTACAACTATCGAGGTTGTCGTCCCCTTGAGTTATGATGTCAAAGACATGCCTCTAGTCCAACAGGTAGTCAAAATCTTTGGGTTGAGTCTCTCAGAAGCACAAGCCGAGATCAACGACAACAAAGGAGTATGGACAGAGGAGGCTGCGCTGAAAGACCTCAAGTCCTACCAGCACAGGCTCAACTCAGATATGCCTGGCGCCCTGAGAAGCGATGATTTTGACCTTGAGGATGCTTTTCTTGAATGGAAGAAGGCCGAATCCCCCCACCTGTCACAAATGATGCTTGACATATTAACTGCCAAGCCGGAGCTTGCCAAATCGTCCAACAATAGCGTCGACAAAGGCTACTCCAGCCGACCCCAGTCGACCTACAGTGATCCAGCCTTCGATGCATCCATGGGCTTTGATCCATCTATCAATCTTGCATCTTTAAACCTTGGTGATACCAGTATTCGAGCAGTCGAGGACAATATTTATACATTTGTCCCTCCAGACTCAAGGGCGTTCTTCAAGTATATCCTTAAGCATGCCATGACCTATGATCAGATCAATAGCGACCCTGACAAGGACTATCAGCCTCTATCGAAACAATCTATGGACCTTTTGACAGAGCTGTGCGTGAGATGGAGAGTGCCTCAATCCTCTAGACTCATTGCTCTGCTCGAGGTCGCCTCGCGCAACTACTTGGATCGAGAATTACTTCCTGAAGAGTTGGATTCTGTTTTTGACTTTATCAAAACGCCATTGCCAGAAGTCAAGAAACCCCCGCATATAACAAACTATTGTGCACCTCTTTCTGAGATTGATCCTAGCCGCTGGACTGTGCATGACTTTGCCGTATACCAGAGCACTCTCCACACTCTTCAAGAGACACTGCTCCGTGACCTCTATGACCGGATGGAGCAGTGTTACGACACGAAGCCACCTCAGATTGGTGTTGTTCAATACATCTTGGGCAGCCACATCTTCAACGACCCATGCTTCTCTCCTAAACCAGAGGCTACTGAAGAATTCGCGGAACACCTCAGCCATCGTCTTCATGACCAGGCTAAGGAGACCTACCGCCAGTATATGGAGAAGGAAATATCAGCGGACCGAAATGACTGGCATTTTGGTAACGTAGTCAAGCTGGGCAAAACAGTCATCAAGCTTTGCGAAAGGATCAACAAGCGTTACAGCAAGAATCCTGAAATCATGAGTGTGAACCCCTTTCAGATTTTAGTGGAAGAGGTATTCCCACGATTCGAAGAGGATGCAAACGCCATCATCGAGTCCATTCTTGAAATGGCCCAGGAGACTGGTACCGAACTCGATATACAAGATGGCTTCGACTTGTACAGAGAACTGGTTGCGATTCGTCGAATCCATAACGATTCCTTACCTGACCGGCCCTTCTCCTTCAACGTCGAGAATCTTTTGGTCGATTTCGTGTGGCGATGGGTTCGTGCTGCCGAAAACAGAGTCGAGGATTATGTCGAGCAAGCCGTCAAGCAGGACCAGTTCCAAGTACGCACTGAAAACCCAGAAGACATCCCACGAGACTCAGAGAGGCACAGTGTCTCCATTATTGACATGTTCATGCTTTTCAACCAAACTCTCGACACTATCTTCAATCTCAACTGGGGTAACGATGAGCACCATGCTAGATTCATGACATCGCTTTCCAAGGCATTTGCTGCAGGCATTGGTAAATACTGCGAACTTGTTGATCAAAGGTTTGGAAAGGAGATGGACCGTCCCTCAGCCGAGGAGTTAGCAGCACAGAACCAGACCACTCAGGAGAAATGGATGAGATATGCAAAGGATGCCTGGAACAACAGGGATCGTGTTGAGCCGTTCCAGTTTTATTCTGAGGTAAGGAGTCAATCTGTGGTATGCTTCTTAGCAAATAAAACTAACTCTATCAGTCTTTTGTCAAACTCAATAACATCGAATATGCTATGCAGGAACTTGACAAGTTAGAACGGGCTATGGACCCCGATGCTTGTGCTGCGCTTCTGGATAAGCTTGATGGGCCTAAAAAGAAGTCCCGCCGACCAAACAAATACACATTCACGGTCAAAGTAGTCGAGGCCGAAGATCTTAAGGCGTGCGACACCAATGGCTACAGCGATCCGTATGTGGTTTTTGGTGACGAATATCAAAAGCGATTACACAAGACGAGGATCATACAGAGGAGTCTCAATCCACGTTGGGATGAAACCTTTGACGTCACGGTTCAAGGTCCTGTCAACATGATTGCAACTATATGGGACTATGATACCTTCGGTGACCACGACTATGTCGGACGAACATCTCTCAAACTCGATCCCGTCCATTTCAGTGATTATTTGCCTCGAGAGTTCTGGCTTGACTTGGACTCACAGGGCCGACTACTCATAAGAGTCAGCATGGAGGGCGAGAGAGACGACATTCAGTTTCATTTTGGAAAGGCCTTCCGACATCTAAAACGCACCGAGAGAGACATGGTCAGAAAGGTCACGGATAAGGTAAGAATATCTCACATGCAGTTTTGGTAGATATACTAACCCTCGATAGCTCACTTCCCAGATTAACCACACCCTGTCCCTAGAGACGCTCCGGCACTTGCTGGGTACCGGCGGCTTGGGCGCCTCTGTCACAAATCTTTGGAAGAAACGCGCTTCGGTCGTGCCCACTACAACTCCGGCTCAAGTGGAGGCTGCTTTAGCACCGCTGTTTGCCTACTTCGACGAGAACTTTGCAATTATGAAGCAGACACTGACCAAGGCTACGATGGATGCCGTCATGGCACGGCTATGGAAGGAGGTCTTGATGGTCATTGAGAACCTGTTAGTACCGCCTTTGTCGGAGAAGCCCTCTCAACAGCGACCTCTTACACGGAAAGAGCTTGACATTGTTTACCATTGGTTGGACCTGCTCTTCCAATTTTTCAATGCCAGAGACGAGTCCGGAGAGCAGCTAGGTGTTCCAGCCGAAACGCTCAAGTCGCCTAAGTGGCACGAGCTTGCCTCGCTGAACTTCTTCTACTTTGAGGATACTAACAGTTTGATTCGCGAGTCGGAAAGAATGGCAGCCGCGACAACAGAGCGGGCACGTCTGGCTCTTCAGCAGCAGAACTCGCAGAGTAACCGTCTGTCGGCTCCAGCTGCTCTCGGAGCATCACTGGGTGGAGCAGGGTCCTTTGCAAGCATGGGTACCATCAGACGCGGCAAGAGTATAATGATGAGCCGCAACCTAGGCACTATGCGTAAGGCCAAGGAGGCGAAACGGCGCGAGGCGCAAGCGGATCCAAGCGATGATATGATTTTGCGTATCCTCCGCATGCGACCAGAGGCAGCACCATACCTCAGAGACAGGCATCGCCAGAAAGAGAGGCAAGCTGCAACCGCTGCAGCAGCACTTATTGTCAAAAACAGTGTGACCCAGGGCTGGAACTCTTCAGCAGGACCTGCTTTTGGTGGTAATTTTGGACGGAATAACTTGCCCAGGCGATAAAGGGCTGTACTATGGGGGGTTATGGACATTGCAGTAGTAATAGGATGGGTTCCCATCGGACATGACGCCCGAGGGGTTTGGAGCTGTATTTTGGGTTGCGTTTTTGTTGATATCTATCTGGTTGGGACAGGATCAGATACCCTCATTCGTGTAGGCAGCGAGGCTGGTTGCAGTGTATTTATTGGACATGAGCAATATCGACTTGTATGGGATGTTGGCGTAGCCGGAAGACGAGCAGAATGTTTACAGACTATGAGATTGAGTCGATTTTATGATGAATGTGCTTCATAGGTATCCTCCTCTACGGGGTACATGTCAAGCTGGTTATATTCACTCCAACACTTAGTGTCAAGACCGTTCTCTATTACTCAGACTGATTATCGTTAGCATAAGGCCATTTTGACAAAAGGAACTGTAATGTCAAAGAGAACTCGGAGAGTACAGGCTCAATGCACATCTGTTAAACCCATGCATACAGTGGCTCTTTATGTAACTACCCTGTACCAGGATTTCTCCCACCGTTGGAGTACAAATCGTCACCGCTCAACGAACAAGCAACATCAGCAAGATCAGCAAGATCCAGCCTAACCATGGGCGCCACCAAGGGTAATCTATCTACTGCCGATCTCCGAAGTAGTCGCGATTAAGGGTGAAATGATGTGGAAGCACAATCGCCAGCTCAACTTCAGGTAATTTTCCATACACGAGCCATTTCGTCAAGATGTCCAAAAGGATATATTGTGAAACTCGGCCGAGCTGAAGTGGCGCTCGGTGGGCAGATGAAGCGCAACATTACTATACCTGCCTTGGTTTAACTCAGGGTCAAACCGTCTTATGAGCATTTTGAGGCTGTTTTGCTGCCTTCCACAACAGACGCCTCCCGCAGAGGGCAAAGATGATATTAGTGGCTCCCTAGCACGCACGCAGGCATGAATCACAAGCCACTTATCCACTTCGTCGCTTATACCGAGAATCCGACTAAAGCATAAGTGCATATATTCTCTAGATTCTCTCTCTCCATGACTCCGTATTCAACTGTTCGAAGGTCGAGAGAAAATTGGAGGCGCGCAAATAGCCCTGATGCCAGGGGGGGGGGGGAAGCCCATTAAAATTCCAGCTAGTGATGACTTAGTATCTGTTGGACCCTGCCAACCAAGAGCTAGACCGCCGCTGACATGAGAAGAATGACAGCATTTTCAGGGTCCTTTTTTTGAGGGTCCAGCCTAACCTGGAAAGTCCCCACTGAGCTTGCGCCGCCTTGTCCGTGGTCAAAGGTTGTCAAAGAGCGGAGCGACTGTTACCCAAATAATGTGTTATTATTTTGCTCAGAAAGGGGCCCCCGGCAGTAGTTTCTTTTTATCTTTATCTTTTGTGATACTTTTCCCATTCACATTTGTCCCCCTCATGCTGAATTATGGTGTGCTGATCAACCCCTGTAAGGTAAGATTTGGAGTGATGATCCTGTGCTGTCGATATAACGTACCAGGCAATCGGAATGTAGTCCCGTTTAACAAAGTTCAGTGTGCGATATCAGAGCATTATTAGCCAACAAGTTTTCATCCCTTTGCCACTGCTTAGACGATATAATTATCATCGTGCACATAAGTTAAAAACTTGCAGAGCCACTTATCGCGGAGAGAGATCCTCCCTCTGACTACGTAGTATAGAGTGGATATGAGCCGATATTATCGTTGAGCCCTAGCTTGGTTGGGTTTGCACAATTGTCACTCGTGCTCACCAAGTGGCGGCTCCGACAATGAAGCTCGACATTATTCTCGGGTCCGTTTATCCTGGACTATTTCAGTGGCGATTCTCGTCTAGATGGTGTTGGCTGAGCCCCATTTGGAATGACTGAGACTGACTGATAGGTGTCGACTTAGGCATCGACTTTGTGAAGTCTAGAAAAGACGGAACCCAGGAGGATTTTGCAGTACTGGATAGCCACTCCCAGTGCCCGAAGCAGCGGGCACCAGTGCATTAATGATTGACGACAGTTAAAGTAGAGGTGAAGCATCCTCCATGTACTGATATTCTCCAACACGGTGGTTGCTAAATCTCAGCAAGACAGGCAGATAAGTATTGGTTTTTTGTGTACACTTGAAGAAAACGTGTTGAATTTCCATTCCAACCCTTCGTTCTCTCCCTTCTCGTATTGTCTGTGATTTCTGTCGATCCCAGTCATTGAAGGCGAGGTACCATACAAGTCTTGAGTGGATGAATGGCTTTCGAAGCACCTTCACTTGGACCAGTAGCCAGCAATCTTGAAAAGAGGGACTGATTGGCGCCATGGAAAGCATAGTGTAGAAGCAGGCCCTTGTTGATGCACACTGTACATGGAGGTACCGAAAGCAGAGACGAAATGTTCGAACTTGCCAAACACGCCAAACAGACACAGAGGAGGCTTCTCTGTCACATCCATACTGTGCGTGTGATTGGGGAGAATTTCGCACAGATCCCTTTCCGTACCAGGGAGGATCCTTCTGGCATCAAACACGAGCAATGGCCAAGCTTGAACCGCATTTGTTAAAGTCCACGACTTCGAAGAAAACCCACCATCAAGATCAAGGGTCCCCTGATCGACGAATAAGAAACCGGCCTCCCGTAGCTGCATAATGACGTTGGTGGCTGACCCGATCCTGGTAAAGTCCCACTGCCAGCAACGACCCCTGAGCCCAAGATACCGCTATCCGTAAACAATTGGACATCCGTGCCCATCTGATCTTTTTGCCCATTCTTTCTTGTGAGCAAGTTGGGAGAAATGAGGCACCAGCAGATGGGTCTCCATGTGCTTCCTTGTGGATGGGTGGGTTTTGTGGTTGACAGACGGTCCCCCTCCCGGCATGCCAATATTGGGCTTGCCCGCCTCTGGAGATGCAAGAGCTGTACGAGTATTGTCGCCTTAATCTTCAGAAGTCTACTGCGATTGCGTGTCCCACAAGCAGAATCACAGGACTGGTACGGAGTATGCCCTACCTAGTCATGATTTAGGCGGCGCCTCGAGTAGCCTTGCCTGAAACATAAGACACTGTCCATCACAATGCTCATCAAATCAAATGGCTATCCCTGCTGTGATGGCATTGCACAAACGCCATTAAAACTCGGCGATGGCACGCTCCCTCGTGGCCAAGGAGCCAGCAGTTATAGCTTAGCTTTCATTGCCTGCTGCGGGGGCCAGAGGAGTCCGATAACAGTAAGTAAGTATCTGTTGGGATAGTCGCACGGTGCGAATACAGCGCCCGACAGTCAGCCAAAATCTCCGGAAATCTATTTTCATTATTGGGGTCTTCGGTATCAGCGAGCTTCCTTGTGCAATCATAGCGGCTCTCGTCGGTAGCCTCATATTAGCCAAGCAATCGTATAGCCCCTGCACCGAAGACTGAGAGGCTACCACATGTGAGTACTCCGGGCGTACTACCTATACACAAGAACTGTGGCTAAGAGCGAATAAGGGTAGCGAATGGGTACGGGAATAATCCCTCTTATGGGCCGAGCCAGGGGGCATGCTTGAACGGCGAGGGAATCGTTTACTAGTTCTTCCACCAGGGTCCGTCCATATCAATCTCTGAGTGGAATATTGATGATTAGCTGTGTTGAATGGAGAGTAGTCTGCATGTTGAACAATTTAGGTTACGCGGAACAAAATGAGAGACATGTTTCGAAAGAAGGGTCCAATCAGACTTTTTGATACCATCCACTGCCTCCAAATCTCCCTCGCTTACAGTAAAGTGTTGCCACAGTGCAAAGGGTTTAGTGTCACCCCACATCAACGGTCTTGGTAGGCCTATCCGTAGCTTGGCTCGAATGGCGGATAGATGGTTGTGAGTGGTGTTGGGCGGGCATCCACAAGCAACAATGAAAAAGAGTAGGAGTAGGAAACGGCTCTGGCCAAGGATTGAAAGTGAAACAAAAACGACTGGCTTCTTGAGGAACTTCCTGTCAACTCATTTAGTGAATGTGATAGTCTCGGCTTTGTTCACTTAATTTACAAGGATTGTATGATTTGACTTTAGTCAAACCTCCAAGTCTCATGAGAAGATGCATGCCACCAGCCACTGCCCGGAGCCATTTGACCGCTTTGACAGGCACTGAAAACGGGCAGACCAATGAAATGTCGTAACGGGAAACAGTTGCGGCGCAGACAAAATAACAGCGTCTCTCGCCTGAGCGGAATAAGAGAAGAGAATAAGATGTTGACTTGGTCTGAAGAGATTGTTAAGGTATGTGCTCTACCTAAGGTAAGTACCTAGGTAGGTACTTACTTCTTTGGTTAATTGGCATCAACCTGGAAATGGAAGGCACATGTCTGAATCTCGATAGGTGAGTATAAGTGCCTTCCAGATGGATATATGGAAGCTGTTATCCGAACGGAGTACACTCTCTTGGAAGGTCCATGCTTGTCTACCCTCTATCCACTCCCACTGCAGTCCCTCAGTCGGCTAGTCGGGTAGCTGCTAGTTATGAATTATGAGCCTGCACTAGGGGCGGGGAGGTTCTTTAGGGGTTGTGCTATTGGCCTTCAAGACTCAGATTTCCCCAGAAGTGCCCCTGTCGAAAAACCGACATTGTATACATTCTCCGTTCGGGAGGCAGCCTGTACTTCTGCTATATCTTGGTAGATACTAGGAAATTGATAGAGACATTGGTAAAGCTGATATATTCATGTTGCAACGAGTCTGAGAGGAGAGGGTCGACGTTATGAAGCTGCTGAGCCGAATATAAGAGAGAAGAACTCTGCACACCTAGGTACAAACGGAACTAGGTATTCAGGCCAGTAGCTCACAAAACTCTACTGACAGATACTCCGTAGAAGGTGGCCAATTTCTATAAACGCCACTATCCCTAGCAAAAGGAATCATGGTGTTGCTTTGCACAGCAGACAGCGACTGCACCGCCCCCTGCTTAAGAACTCCCTGCTGTGATCTCTCCCTTCACTACTCTTTTCGGAACTTCCACTCCACTGTTGAAAGATAGTCCCATGCTCCAAGTTTCAGACTTCAAAGGGCTCAATTAGTTAGGAGGTAGATCACATTGCAGTGCAATCTAACATTGCTGAAAACTACTACGTAGTAGTTGTAGTGTAGTATCGGCATGCGTATGTAGCTGAAATTTCCACAGCAGGGTCCATCGTCTTTCGCAACAGCCGAAGTCGTTTTCATATGACACGAGTAATTTTGTATGGGAAGTGACAGAAACCTATACTATCAAGAGGCAAACACGCCTGAATTTCAAAAAGAGAACCTTACTATACCTGATCAGACGCTAGCACGGCTTGGTTGGCTCCGCCTTTTATCTCTTTGTCTCCCTCCTTTTCACCTCGTACTGTTGTGTAGCGACCGAGGGATCTTCCTTGAACCGACCCAACTGGGAAATACTGCCATCCCCGTGGTCTCGTGGAAAATGTAGAGGCTTGAGACTTCTCTTGCCAGTGGAAGACTAGGCATGCTAGGCTCTTTTTTAGGTACCCGACTGTACTTCCACCGATCCAGCGACGTTGGAACCCCACCCCGGGGCTGCAGCAGCCCAGTGCTTGCTGCCACCGCTGCAGCTGGGGCCACCCGTTGTCCTGTCCTGTCCTCTTCTGGGTTTATCCCCTCTCCAGCTGTTAGCTTTGGAGCACTTTGCTCCGTCCCTTATCCCAATCCCTCACCCCATTTACACTACACTACGCCCGCTTCAGTCAACTCGCAAACGGCTCGTTGGACTTTCAGCCTAATCTTTTCCTCCTCAATCCTCACTACCTGTCGCGATATCGCCATTCAGCCTCCGACGACATTGACCACGATACAGGCTCGGTGCGATTTCGATAAACTCTTTCCCGGCTTGTCTGTTATTCGCTCAGGGTTTCCATAACGGTTTTGCTTCCACCAGTCTGGTCTCTTTCCCGCCCGTAATCCCACGGCGCCATCGCCCGCCGTCACCCGGTGTATCGTACTGCGACCAGCTACAACTCTCGACGATCGAGGATGCTGCCCAGTCGAATTCTGTCGTGTCCTTAGTTTGGTCATCATCCTACCTCGCATCGTACTTCGAATTTTATCTACCACTCATCAACCCGACCCTTTATTGTTGGCCGTAAACCTATACTATATACCTGCACGTCCGCATTGGACTCTCGACCTTGCGCCGCCGGAAACAAGAAAACAAACAAGGGTTTTATCGTATTGCCTGACTGCGGCTTAGCAGTTCATCTCCATGACGATGGTTGACGATGCGGCTCTCGCCGCCGCCGCTTCGATTGTCGCTTCGATTGCTCCAGATACCCGACCACCTAACTCGATACCAGTTGGTGTAGCTTCCCAGGTACAGCTGCCAGGGCCCGACACTCCCGCCAAACGCAAGCTAGAGTTGGAGCTTCAGAATCTCGCTTTGCGTGTTGGAAAGCTCGAGAGCCAGGCCTCAGCTACCTCTCCATTTCCAGATACACCTAACGAGGTTATTGACACCCTTTTCGGCGAAGAGGCTCTTGCGGTGGCGGCCCGCCCCAAGCCCAAAGTCTTTCCCGCCCAAGGTAGTCTGCACTCTCCGCATATGCCTACTTATCAGCTGACCGAAGAAGCCCTCGAAGGACTTCGAGACCATGTGGACGACCAGTCCAAGTTGCTCGATAGTCAACGCCAGGAGCTCGCTGGTGTAAATGCCCAGCTCATGGAGCAGAAGCAGCTCCAGGAGCGAGCCCTTGAGATCCTCGAGCAAGAGCGTATCGCCACTCTGGAGCGTGAGCTTTGGAAGCACCAAAAGGCCAACGAGGCTTTCCAAAAAGCTTTGCGAGAAATTGGCGAAATCGTTACCGCCGTTGCTCGCGGTGATTTAACCATGAAGGTCCGCATGAACACTGTGGAAATGGACCCTGAAATTACAACATTCAAGCGTACCATCAACGCTATGATGGATCAACTGCAAATATTTGCTAGTGAAGTCTCTCGAGTGGCTCGTGAAGTCGGCACCGAAGGATTGCTGGGTGGCCAAGCCCGCATCGGAGGTGTTGACGGAACATGGAAAGAATTGACTGACAACGGTATAACTCCTTCGTGCAACTCCCACCATGAGGCAATTGCTAATCGTCCGTGCAGTAAACGTCATGGCACAGAACCTGACTGATCAAGGTTTGTTGTCTTGTCCAGAATCTGTGAGGGTTGTCACGTAGCTAACAAGTATTACAGTGAGAGAAATTGCATCTGTTACAACCGCTGTAGCCCATGGCGACCTTACCAAGAAGATTGAACGACCTGCCCGAGGCGAGATATTACAACTACAACAGACCATCAACACCATGGTGGACCAACTTCGAACATTCGCCTCTGAAGTCACTCGTGTAGCTCGAGATGTCGGAACCGAAGGCATGTTAGGCGGGCAAGCTGATGTTGGGGGAGTGCAGGGCATGTGGAACGATCTAACCGTCAACGTCAACGCCATGGCCAATAATTTGACGACTCAAGTGCGCGACATTATCAAGGTTACCACAGCTGTCGCCAAGGGAGACCTGACACAAAAAGTTCAAGCAGATTGCAGGGGCGAGATATTCGAGCTCAAGTCAACCATCAATTCCATGGTTGACCAGCTGCAACAGTTCGCCCGCGAAGTCACAAAAATTGCTCGTGAAGTCGGCACTGAAGGTCGTCTAGGAGGCCAGGCCACCGTCCACGATGTCGAGGGCACTTGGAGGGACCTAACCGAGAACGTCAATGGCATGGCCATGAACCTGACCACACAGGTGCGTGAGATTGCCAAGGTTACCACTGCTGTGGCCAAGGGTGATTTGACAAAGAAGATTGGGGTCGAGGTCAAGGGTGAGATCGCAGAGCTGAAGGATACCATCAACCAGATGGTGGATCGTCTTGGTACATTTGCCGTGGAAGTGAGCAAGGTCGCCAGGGAAGTAGGCACAGACGGAACCCTTGGCGGACAGGCTCAGGTAGCCAATGTCGAAGGCAAATGGAAGGATCTCACAGAAAACGTCAACACAATGGCGTCAAATCTCACTGTTCAGGTAAACTCGACTGCCAATAGTACTAATTGGCAATTTTCGTTAACATGTTTTCAGGTCAGAAGTATTTCAACGGTTACTCAAGCCATTGCCAACGGCGACATGAGCCAGAAGATCAAAGTCGAGGCAAATGGAGAGATACAAGTGCTGAAAGAGACCATAAACAACATGGTTGACCGCCTGTCTAGCTTCTGTTACGAAGTGCAACGAGTAGCCAAGGATGTGGGAGTTGATGGAAAGATGGGCGCACAAGCCGATGTAGGCGGCCTCGATGGTCGTTGGAAGGAAATCACAACAGATGTCAACACCATGGCTAGCAACTTGGTAAGCAAGTTCCAAGAAATTTTGAAGGGGCATGCTCTAACCTCTACAGACCACACAAGTGCGCGCTTTCTCGGATATAACTAACTTAGCGACTGATGGGGACTTTACCAAGCTTGTGGATGTAGAAGCATCTGGCGAGATGGATGAGCTCAAACGCAAGATCAACCAGATGATTTCAAATCTACGAGATTCTATCCAGCGCAACACCCAGGCCAGGGAAGCTGCCGAGCTTGCCAACAAAACCAAGTCAGAATTTCTGGCCAACATGTCCCACGAAATCCGAACGCCGATGAACGGTATCATTGGAATGACTCAACTGACATTAGATACCGACCTGACTCAATATCAGAGGGAGATGCTTAACATTGTCAATAATCTTGCCAATAGCCTCCTGACGATAATTGATGATATCTTGGATCTTTCCAAGATTGAGGCTCGGAGAATGGTGATTGAGGAGATTCCCTACACACTACGGGGAACTGTCTTCAACGCCCTCAAGACTCTCGCCGTCAAGGCTAATGAGAAGTTCTTGGATCTCACCTACAAGGTCGACAGCTCCGTACCCGACTACGTTATTGGCGATTCCTTCCGTCTCAGACAAATCATTCTCAACCTTGTTGGCAACGCCATCAAGTTCACAGAGCACGGCGAGGTTAGCCTAACGATCAAAGAGAGCATAACGCAAAGCCTTGTCCGCCCTGGTGAGTATGCAGTTGAGTTTGTCGTGCAGGACACGGGTATAGGAATTGCTCAGGATAAGCTGGACTTGATCTTCGACACGTTCCAACAAGCCGACGGCTCCATGACACGAAAGTTTGGCGGAACTGGTTTGGGTCTTTCTATCTCTAAACGACTCGTCAACCTAATGGGTGGCGACCTTTGGGTTGACAGTGAACATGGAAAGGGCAGCGAGTTCCACTTCACATGCCTGGTCAGACTCGCCCCCGACGACGCTGCTTTGATTGAGCAACAGATCCGTCCTTATCGTGGCCACCAAGTGCTATTTGTCGATAAGGCACAGTCCCAAAACGCCGCCTCGATTAAGCCTATGCTGGAGAAGATTGGTCTTAGGCCCGTCGTCGTGGACTCAGAGAAGAGCCCTGCTCTAACTCGCCTTCAAACTGGTGGCTCACTCCCCTATGATGCTATCCTGGTTGATTCCATTGACACCGCCAGAAGGCTGCGGGCTGTTGATGATTTCAAGTATCTCCCTATTGTTTTGTTGGCGCCTGTCGTTCATGTTAGCCTGAAGTCGTGCTTGGATTTGGGAATCACGTCGTATATGACAACGCCGTGCAAGCTCATTGATCTAGGAAACGGCATGATTCCTGCTCTCGAAAACCGAGCAACACCATCGCTTGCCGATAACACAAAATCTTTCGAGATTCTGCTCGCTGAAGATAATACCGTCAATCAACGATTGGCGGTAAAGATTCTTGAGAAGTATCATCATGTCGTTACGGTGGTTGGCAACGGCTGGGAAGCCGTCAAGGCTGTACAGAGCAAAAAGTTCGACGTCATCCTCATGGATGTACAAATGCCGATTATGGTAAGTATGAACTGCACAAACAGCCCTTCACCAACCACATACGGACAGGTTTAACTAACATTTTGGATTGTAGGGAGGTTTTGAGGCTACGGGCAAGATTCGAGAGTACGAACGTGGCATAGGAAGTCATCGAACACCTATCATTGCCTTGACGGCCCACGCCATGATGGGAGATCGAGAGAAGTGTATCCAGGCTCAGATGGATGAGTACTTGTCCAAGCCTCTTCAGCAGAACCACCTCATCCAGACTATTCTCAAATGCGCCACTCTTGGTGGCCCATTGCTCGAGAAGAACCGTGAACGCGAACTGGCACTTCATGCCGAGACGAAATCGAAACACAAGGAAGGCGGACAGGGTCTGCTACGCCCTACCCTTGAAACTCGCTCCTTCACGAGTCGCGACCCTCTCTTGGGAAACGGCAAAGAGAGTCCTGCTATCATAGCAACTGATGATGATCCCCTTGCAAGAGCACGTCTCGACCTTTCTGATATGCGGAGTCTTACCAACTAACTGGGTTTTTCCCGCGTCTCAGGCCTTCATGAGATCGTTTAGTCAATGACGAGACGACGCCAGGATATGCGTCGATACACCGCGCCTTCCGAAAGGCGTTCCTGCCATGCGATGAATCGATGAGATGCGGTTTTCGATTGGCCCTCGCGCAGTCAGTATCGTTATATATTACAAATGGCCCTACCGAACCAGTTGCTCGATCTTCATCAGATACCCGAAATTGAGGTGAACACTGTGTATCAGCATATCGGACCAAGATTTCGAGTTCTAAGCGACCGGAAATCACAATATTCAAGAAGGCGGTTTCGCGGACTATGCTCGAAGATGTCGTCTCTTTGACCGCTCATTGCGTTGCTCTGTTTCTGGCTTCATCTTTTTGACTGTACTCGTGTCCCATTGGCTATCAGGCCTTGGTAAGAGGCAGCTGTATCCATCTCACTTTACCTCTTATACGGCGTTTCTGGACTTTTATGGGTGGACGATTGTGTTATACTTGTTTGAAGAGCCTACATCGATGCAATTGCTGGCTTCAACGACGTATATCGATTTAGAACAAGCTTCAACCGATAAACACAAATACCCTGATACATGTTAGCGATCGCAGCTAGAACAAGGGTCGAACGATTGGAGAAGGCGACATTCGAGAATGAGCCCCTTTTTATGTGAATTGGTTTTTGGGTTTCCACACTAAGAATTTGTTGATTGCATTTCATATGACTTTCTTTTTTGTTCTCTTTTTTTTTGGTCCTCCACATGAGGCGTCAGACACGAGCCTCTGAGCTCGGGGAGTACGCGGTAACATGAGAAAGAAAGGTGTGAGAATAGGGACGTCTGTTTCAATGGCATTCGGGGAATATTCCCACATCTGTTATTGTTTAGATAATGTAGGCGAAAGATATTCTTTGGGAAAGAACGAGACTTATGACCGACTGCCATACTGCTTCCTCCATTGTCTAAGTTTCTATTCGAGGTGGTCCCAATGAACTACTAATATTATATGCTCCCTCAGGCCGTGTCCTTGCCGGCCTTCACTGCATCACCAGCGGTGCCATCCGGCAGCTCGTCTTTTGGATCGTCTGTGCCTTTGACTTTGGAAGAGTCCTCACGCTTGGACACGATGGCGGCTGCGGGTAACTGAGGGTCCTCTTTGGCTTCCAGGGCAGCGAGAATAGCATCGAGTCTACTCTCGAGATTTGAAAGGTTATTCTCAAGGGCTGTGGCTGCATGCTCGCCCCTGGATTGATATGTTAGTTACGGGTCTAGGAAAATTGCGTCTTCAACACAACACTGCATGATGCAAAAGGGGCCGATAGAGGAGGCGAAAGTTATGTCGATGAAATCGGAGGGGAGGGGTGCACGAATGAAGGCATCGTGTTTGTCAAATTGTGAAGATATCGGTGCGTAGTGCGTGGGTACAGGTATCGCGGGAAAGGAATGGGAATCTCCATGAGTCGCAGACTTCCACTCTATACCGACACTATTTGCATATATGATTCAACAACATAACCATGTAGTAGCATAAACAACATTATGAGATAAGAATTTTTCTGTGTTGACAACATAAGCTTCACTGAAGAATGCGTTATGTTATGACAGTAAAACCATAAGCTTGATGGGCAAGGACAAGCGGCCGACGTCGTGTATGCCGATCTCCCATTGATCATGCCAAAGACAGTCTTCGATTCAAAAACACCGGTAGATGAGGCGCTGGCAACTGCCTTTACGCCTTGGTTGACAGATATCCTTTTCAACATTATCGGCGCGTGCGACGCTTGATCCTCGCCCGAGATTTGGATCAGACGAGAAGATGTGGGTATTACAGCGTGGGGATAATGGGGCACTTGTGTAATTGGATCTGACAACAGGATGCCAAAGTGCGGCCACCAAGAAGCCGATGAGAGGATGGGAAACCAGGGAGGGGAAATAACGGAGAAGATGGTAAATCGGATGAGGTAGAGAGAGATTGCAACGTCAGAAGGAGGGTGAGGCGAGGTAAGGCGAGGTGAGGTGAGGCTGTAGAGAGGTAGTTTACCTAGCAAGGTCCCGGTAGGCCTAGAACACGAGAACTGTTAGTCATTGGACATGCGATCATGAATTATGATGATGGGGGTTGCAGCAGGAAGTAGAGTAGGGAGGGTGTATTTGGCGGGTAGGGTGTTGGAGAGAAGGCCGCAAAAACACCAAAAGAGTTTCTCAGGTGCAGGACAAGATAGGTAGCACACGGCCCATGGGTTAGTCAAAATGCCATTGCAGACTATAGAGGGTAAAATGCAGAATGCGGAATGCGGAATGTAGACCAAGGAGGATTTGTCTCGTGGCAGCCCAGCCCAGCCAAGCGAAAACCAGAGGGTCCCGACCAACTGGCTGGGTCTAGGTCTAGGTCTCGGTCTGGCTCGGCCAGGCCGGGGCGAGGCCTGGATCATCAAAGCACAGTCAAGTCAATTGGGAGTAGACAGGGAATGGATTGAACGGGTATGGGATTGTGGATGGGGGACCGAGAATAGGGTTCTTTGTTGTTCAATTGCCACGTGTGAATCGTGAAGCGATCGACCGAATGAGTCACGAGGCTCGAATGGGAACCCAAGATATTTCCCTCCAGATCATTCATGGCATGGTGCTTGCTGCTGCTGTCCCATCCCATCCCATCCCATCCCATACCATCTATCCATGTCTTGAGTTGATGGCAAATTGTGAGATTGCCGTACCCATCATGTCCGTGCATTTCAAAGTGACAAAGTGACAAAGTGACAGATGAATGACACCAACGCGGAAAGAAAAAGAGACAAAGCAGAGACAGAGACAAATGCTGTATTTGTACGGAGATAAACGGGACTTGACTCACCTGGGCCAAATCGGCGTCCCCCGAAGCCGAAGCCGAATCTGAAGCCTTTGTGGCTGGGTTATCGGAGTTGGTAGGAGACATGGGGTATCGATTCTTGTGCGGCTGTATTTTTTGGTGCTCTGTGGTGCTCTGTTTTTTTGCTTTTGCCGGACTGTTTGTTGTAGGAGAAATGGAGAATGAGAGATCGATTTGAGTGAACAGGTTGACTTTAGGTTAACATGTGCGTGGTGACTCAGTGGGGGTCACTCCGCCTGAACAGGCACCTTCTAATGGAAGTTAACGGTGTCTTCTTTAGGTGTCGGCCAGGTACTCCGTAGCCTAACAAGCACTCTAACCCTCTAAAAGTACAGTACTAGGCCTAGAATACATACGGAAAAGGTGGGCACCTCACAACTGAAACGGCAACCTCAATATCAGAGCCAGCCTGCCTACCCTATGCTCGATTACTCACGGAACAATTGAGAGCACTGAGCAGACCATATTAAAGCAGAGCAGAAAGCAGTCCGTGGAAGTCCCCGCGCAGACATCGGAAAGTGGCCAAAACCAATGGTAGAGAAATGGTAGATTGGGTCTAGATCTCCAGATCCCGACCTCACGGACGGGCGCAAGGTACGTACAGTGGCGAAGGCGGGCCGTCCGCTGAGGTGGGATTGAGGGGGTGGCCTGTCAAGATGAAGGGATGTTGGTCACGAGCCTTGACTCGTTCGTTGAGTTTATTAAGCACCATATATCTGAGTATTTATGGTTACTATTCTTAACCAGTGCTTGAGTTGAGATGGCCGCTATCTGCCAGTGTTGAGTGACAAGATCGCTTCGTTTCAACACCACGTCTCTTTTGCTACATTCCTAAGACCTATCCATATTCTCCTCGCACCCCAATTCCGTTGCTTCTTTTTATCAAAGGGACTTTCTTGTTTGCACACGTCCTTTATGACCTAATGAATTATCCCACTATGAGTCTGGGCGATTATGCCAAGAATAGGAGAATATCGTCCGAAAGCGCAGGGCTGAACCCACCTCTAGGTCTATATCAAACGAGCTATACCTAGGCACTGTCACGTTACTGATTGATTGATATGCTCGGCCTGGCACAGCGATGGTTAGTATCAACACTTGATTGGTCTGTGTTGTACGTCACTGGTCTGGACCACCGCGGCTGCGCGGATGGCGATCAAAGGATGATCTCGAACGTTGCGGGTCGCATCGACACAAGGGAGAAAGCCAATCTCGATATCAAACAATTCCGAGGAGGGAGATCGATCTCGTTGCGTTGGATCGTTCGCTGTTTGAGGTTACTAGGGCCAGAATGAACATGCATGCAGCGTACCATGGCTACATGGATACGTATGCAGTAATATAGGAGTAAATCACCTCAACGTGTGTCTTCAACCAGCCCAGCCCACTTCCATTCATGCATCATCTTGATCAAAGACTGAGACAAACAGAACTCGTACCCCCCCGAAATAATGACAAACCTAACCAATGTCCCCTCGGCCTGTACTCCGTAAGCAAGCGTCAATGTCGATGGTTAAGCAACATGCCAGATTTCAACGTGCAGCTATGTTCCCACCCAATCTCCAGAAGGGGAATGTACTTCGCAAAGGGTAGATACTAATTAATTCATGGAGGGCAGTGATATATGGGGAATATGCGAGCTGACTGGTAGACTACCTAAGGTACCTAGGTACTACGTAGATGCAGTCGATCTATCTTCATCTACAGTACTCCGCTAGTAATCAAATCGTCAAATGTCTCTAGAAGTCTCCGATAGATTAAACTGACACAAACTGGTGGAGAGTGCTTGCTCTGTGCCTCTGTCTTTACCTCTCTTGGTTCTTTGGTAGTCTAGCTCTGGCTCTGGCTCTGGCTCTGGCTCTTAGATCGTGATTGCTAGGTGCTTATGGCACGGAGCACATCTATGTCTGTCGCTGGGGGGTGGTTCCAGATCCAGTTCCCCCTTCGGGTATCGAGAGTGGCCCTCAAAGCTGCCTCGTCTAGTCGATTGAGCTCCTCCTGCATTCGAGTGGTAGACGGATATTTACACAAGATGCAGAGGCTTGCGAACAAGGTACTGTGTAGTCCGTACCGCATCCTACATATCTGTTGGTGGAAACATGTTCAACAGCCGACAGTGCATACATAACCCCCGCTGAGCTTATGTAAAATAAGCTACGGAGATTTCTTTAGATAGCCCCATGGATTTACATGAACTAGACTTGGCTGCTCTAGATAGGTTGATTGCTGATCATCCTCTATATCTCTGAACGGCTGCAATTTATCTTTGAGGTGTGCAAGGAGAATGCCAATTTCGAAGAGTTCGTTTGCACTTGTACGTTCCCAACGAGATAAGCCAAACAAAAATCAAGGCACAAAGCATTCATAGGTATAAATAGCAAAGAAAACTGTCAGCGGCTCACCAATAATAGATAAGAGTGGAATTTATGTCAGAGAGGGGCCGGAGGTAAAACGGAAGACAAGGCCCGGAAATACCATAGCTTGGGTCTTGGGAAGGCGGCGCTGGAGCGGCCCCTCCCATACTTGCCCGCGGCTTTTTATCAATTTCCAGGGTTAACATATGCAGAGTAGGAGTCAGCCAACCAACCAACGGGTATTGCTCGCAGTGATTGGGCAGCGGGCATTCTCCCATGGTCAGTGCTCCTCAAATTTACAACTCACCCAAGCCTAAGTCCCTAGATCTCGACGTCTCATCAGCGTTCTAGACTCAACATCGTGGAGAAATATTCGCTTTTTACCTATGCTTCGTACGACTCGATCCAGACTCCGGGGAGGCGGCCATGGGCGTTTCCTGACGCTGGGAGCTGAAATGCCCGAAAGCTTTCGGGCATTACTATCTTACTCGATCTTCACACTCAGTGCTTCCCAGCAACACCGCTGGCTTTCAAGGCGGGCGCTGCAGAGTGCATTGTAAATGTTGCAGACGACGTACCCAGCCTGGCTCAGCCTTCAGACACCAGTCAATACCAGCACCGGTTGTCGCCTACTGACTTTCAAGCTGTGGATACTACTAATTATAACACGGCACATTTAAGACGCAACATTGCACTTCGCCCGTTATGAACGTTTGGCAGGAAGTTTGCATGGGTCTGTCAAACTGACAGGCGATTGGCCCATAGCTTCGGAATCTCTTCCATGGCTCTTCTCTGGTTTGTCTGGCTGCAGCCTTGGGATTTAAACAAACGATGCAAAGGGGGAGGCGTTCTGGTACAGCACTAACCGGGGGGCCGGTCATTCCAGCCGCTGCTGGTTTTCGATCATGACCAATCCCATGGCTGGAAGGATCGAGATTCTAGACCCCAGTGCTGAATTCCCATCCGTTAATGGGCGATTTCTGTACCAGCTTCCGATTCACGAATACCGACACTACGTATTACGGTTTACACCGAACGTATCTAACGCTCAGCGTCTCGTGAGTGGTTCATGAACAGAACATTACCATGATACCTATCTTTTGCCGACTTCAAGCGCCATTTCTATATTTGCAACCTCTATCGTCAATTATCATCCATCAGGTTCGGTTCTTCGACAATACAGCAACTGGCCCAAAGTGAACTACACAATCAGCGAAACAACATTTGAGGGGGATTGTTAGATGCCGGCCGTGTTCTTTTCACAGTTTCACCCTCAAGTGTACTGGGCCATGATCGAATAAGGGATAACACATGATCAATGCCTTGGAACTTCTCCAAATAAATATGCGTCATCCCACTGGAGGCATCAACTATCGACGCTCCATGACGAATATTAGCGGCCTCTGCTGCTACCATAGTACAAGTGACGAACGGAAGACGGGCTTCGCAAAGACGTCGGTGACCGTGGCATGTGGCCTGCGAAAAGGGGGATCTGGGACATTTGCCAACTGGTAGATCACCTGTTGGCGCGGTACTATGGGCGATTCAATCAACTGTCTACTCGATCGTGGTGAAGCTCAAAATTTGGCATCTCGCGATCAGTAAGCCAAAGCTCGATTTCAACAACGGGCATGGCTCGATGGCGATCAGGAACAACCCACAAGCGGACAGGGCGTGTCACTTGTGCGGGACCCACACCCCCGGCTCGCAATGGCTACCACCACCAAAGAACACCAGGACTCACGCATAACTCCATTTTAGTTAACCCACAACCACCTGGCTACCGACGAGCGATGCCATTTGGGGAACAAGCTCAACTTCAACCCTGACTGTCCGTCTGTCACGCTTCTTTAGTATGCTGATACGCACCATGTCGGCGAGTTTCGAGCCTCTTTAATACTTTGAGCCAGCCGCAAAATACCACCTACCGCGTACAATGGGGAGATCACTTCCAAGAGCGTGACATTCTCACCCCATCATTCACGCATCCCATCAATACTTCACCGTTCGGGAGGCCACGGCCGTTTCACGGATTGGGATCGAGATCTTACCCGTTACAGTTTGTGTGAGCTGCTGCGCTACTGTACAGACATGCTCCTGCGTTCGAGGTTTGGCAAGCTGGATATGAACGGGTGACGTATCCAACCAATTACTGCTTTCTTACAAGTTACTACGTACTGTGCCGGGACAAATCAGTCAATCAAATCAATCGACGGTTGATCGCCATGGTTCATTCCCTTTTCCTGATGGAGGGGGATGCGATGCGCTAAGGCCCATAACACTCCTCCTGCCTTGGAAGATTTGTGATAGGACACTGAACAAGCGACAGCGCCAGCATCAACATCAGCATACTGTCTCACAAAAGCCTCTCATACTGGAAGTCTTTCCCCCCTCTTGGTTCAACTTGGTCTACCAGATCAAGGACTTTGCCTCCTTCACTCACTCATTCATCCATATGGATGACCTTAGAATTACCAGTCATAGGCATCAATAGCGTTGCGTCGAAGCGACCTCAACATGCCCATGGCTCCAAATATGGGTTATGAATGCGTCGATTGGACCAACATGGGGCATCTCGATGTTGTCCAGGTGCCGCCCTATCGTGTACGTAGCCGATGACAGGGCCTTTGGTTCCACGCTTCTTGTTTTTAATCTATCTCAAGTCAAAGGGCATTACTGTATCGGCTGTACGTAAGTATACAGTACACATTGCTCATGGATCATACAATGTCCATGCCAATTATCCACAACTCGAATCGTTGCTGCTGCTGTTGTTGTGATGATGATAATGCTCTAGCAAAAACTGGTCCTTGCATCATTCGTCCTTCTCGAACGTCAGAACTGACACGCCCAAGCTCGGAAAAAGAAAAATGCTGCGGATCAAAAGGCTGCCCAGATTTCAGAGACAAGTGCCAAGGCTGTGCGTCCTTGACGGAAGCTTGTGGGCATACCCCTACCCTCACAGCTGCACGCCCCTACCGGTTGTGCTGTGAACTGACTGGGCTAGACCACGCCGTTCTAGTGCTCTGCGAGCCTCTGAACAACAAGACCACCCCCCGAAGGTAGTGCCATGTAGGAATCTGATGTTTCTGCTCTTTTTCTGCCACTTGAACTCTCGCTATTCCATCCTCGCTTCCAAAACCCTGCTGTATCTATTCCCAATCAACTAAAAGTTCTTATTCTTTTGCCGGTGGCTGCGGCACCTCCGTCTCTGCCCCCATCCACCCTGGACCCTGTTTGCTCTCCATCTACATCCTCCGTTCAGTATCTTGGATTCCACGATGCCCTGAGAGCTTGAGTCCTGCCGTCTCAACATTGGATTCAAGCAGCTACCTACTCTCCACACAGTGCAAGTCTCCTTGTCTTGCCTCTGGTATCTCACGCCCCCTCGTATGGACAATCAAGTCCCTTTCCCCTACAATCCAACTCTTATACTCATCCTGCATTTTGTATTCTGCCTGGTTTGGCTTTCGCGCACAGGTTCAGAACCACCAAACCTAAACCGGGGCCTGTCTTTTGGATCTGTCACCTCACAGTCACCTCATAAGTTTCATCCCGAGATCACCTGCTAACCTACGTCTCATCACTGTCCTCGACATCGTTCCTAGACGAGGTCTTGCGCCGCTGACAGACCGTGGACTCCCATCCTTCCCTAATCACGGTTGGACAGAATACCCATCTCCCCAATCCACCACAATCCAGGACTGCCTCCGTGCAATCGAGATATCCGATTCCGCCTCTTGTCCCTAGGTGTGCTAGTACCTGCACTTCACTCCCTTACAAGCTCAACTCATCCATCTTACCTTTTGATTGTGTTCTGCCCTTTCTCTCTCTCTCCCTTCCTGTCTCGATCCTCCAATTCGAAAGAAAAAAACAGCCTGACTGTTACCGTGGAATACCAATTGCCGAGCTTTTGTCAGAGTAGCATCTCCCATAGGCTCATCAAACATCCCAACTCTTTTCCGTTTCGAGGCCAGTTACTCTGCAGCTGTAGCAGCCTTCACCGAGCTCTTCCAACTCAGCATCAGTCCATCTCTCTCGCTTGTAGGTGCCTCCTGTTCCCTCGGTCGTCGTTGTACCCCCCTCCAATTCCCATGCTCGCTACCCCCATGGTTTCGATGCCCACTCAATCCTATCAACACATCTGCTACCTCTCAATCCTGGAGTTTATCACTCCCATCTTGCCCAGAGACCTTTGTTCCACTTCCAAACCTTACTCCATCACTGCTGGTCACTACCCACCGAAGGCTCGGATACAATCGCTTTTCTTAACACTTGCCAATAGCAGACATTGTTCTCACCCTGCTCAAGACCTTATCCTAACATTGCCTGCACCATAGCTTGATTTCGAGTCGTTTCTTTGAAAGCAACGTCAACAATCCACAACAGATCAGTGTTCAACCCCGCGTTTCAAAGTCCACACAGTCTTGACTGTATCCGACAATACCATCGCTCAGGAGGAAAGAACATCTTGCTTTCTTTCTCAGCACGCCCGGAGCATCTACCCTCCAATCTCGGCGTCAACATATCGTGAACGGTTTCTGAAAGAAAAGCAAAACTTTGGTCAATCGAGATTGTCGCTTGTCGGATCGTAATTTTGCGCCCATTCTCATCCGCCTGTACCTGGATCCAATCCAAATCGTCAATCTGGCACCCATTAATCCCAGAAACTCGTTAGTCTTTGGACGGAGGTTTCATAGGAATTTCCAGCTGGACTTCATGTCTTCAGATCTTGAGTCGGTTTTTGCCGAGTTGGGGCTGTCACAGTATCTCGGCTCCTTCGTCGAGCAAGGATTTGATGAGTGGGATATCATTCTAGATATCCAAGAGTCCGACCTGTAAGTCTCCATTGATTCGCCTCATTGAGACACCTGCGCTGACAGTATTGTTTCAGAGATGCATTGGGTGTAAAACTTGGCCACCGAAGGGTATGTTGGTCATTGCTGCCCACTCAGACAATCGCTAATGACACGTCCATTTAGAAACTTCAGAGAAGAATAGCCAACGCTAGAGGAATTTCTCCCTCGGTCTCATTGTCGACGCCTGTAAGGTCAATAAGTGAAGATGTAAAGCCCGACGGTGTGCAACCTGAGCCCAGTCGGACGGAAACTCCTCCAGAAGGACAAGGTGTTGCCAAAAGAAAATATCGACGTCATCCCAAGGTGAGTTACAGTGAAATTTCTTGGTGGCGAATTGATTACTAACAGAAGCTAGGCCGACGAGAACGCCCCTGAGCGACCCCCTTCGGCATATGTCTTGTTCTCCAATAGTAAGCTCTTGCTTAGCCAACAGCCCCTATCTGATTGTGACAGTGACTGACAAGTAATTGAAGAAATGAGAGAGGATTTGAGGAGTCAAAATCTCACCTTCACGGAGATTGCTAAACTCGTAGGAGAGAACTGGCAAAACCTGAACGCAAACGAGAAAGAGGCGTACGAAAGTCAGGCAAATGCCGACAAGGAGAAGTACCATCGTGACTTGATGGAGTATAAAAAGACATCGGACTACCGGAAATATGTGCAATACCTCCATGAGTTCAAGGAGAAGCAATCCAAGCGGACTCAAGGTTTGTTGCCAGCGGGCACTAGCCCAACAACCCCAATGGATCAGCAAAACTGACATATCGTTGTTGACTAGTCGATGTGTCAAAGAGGACTAAGTTAGATCCTGCCCGATTACGACACAGCAGCAGCAGTAGCAGCACCATGACACCGGGGGGTAACACATCGAGTGGAAGCGAGAGGCTGCAGGGGAGCGAACCACCGCCATGTCGTCGAGAGAGGTTGAATTCGATTGCTTCGGTAGCAGAGTCGCAGCTCTCATCAACAACGTCCACGCTATTGTCTCAGTCAAACTCGTATGATGATAACATGCCGATGTCGTCGCCACAGCCCGTTTACTTCGACGCCGGTAGCCCCCGAGAGATTCATCACCAGCATGCTAAACGGCAGCATTCCTGGCGAGAAAGTGGACGCCCACTTGACTCGTCCCACCAACACCTACCGTCACTGTCGAACATGCTTGAGGAAGGACGGAAAGGAATGCCTGTTTCGTCCGGATCGGAGGGAAATCCCTATTCGAGTGGTTTCGTTGCCGCCAACCACCCCAGATCAGTACCCGAGGTGCCCAACGTCTTGCCATCAGCGCCGCCAAAGATTCCCCTTCTTCGACATGAACCATCGTCCAATAGTAGCGTTGGCTCGATAAGCCCAGCAGCAAGTTTTGTACGAACGCCTGGTGAGGGGCCGCTTCCGATTCATGCCCTCCTATCCCACCATCAGATGCCGACTCCCGTTGCTGTAAATGCAGCCATGTTCGAACGAGGATCCTCAATTTCTGGTGTCGGCACGACTCCGAGCCCGACAGACCCTGCACCGCTTTCACGGCCTCCTTTTGGCCATGGTGTAGTGACAAGGGGATATGGTACTTGATCCTCATGCTGCAAACTTCTTCAGAAGTTAAAGCTAACACGACTCACAAGGCTCCCAACCTCTTCCACCAACTGGTCCTCCAGCTAGGAATGACGAATATATGGTCGACAGCGATATCCAAATGACATCGGCACCAGATCTTGCTACTCCTATCGAAGAGCGTCTCAAGAGCCGCCTGGATGGTATGAGTGTTCTTCTGAGAGCCGGCGAGATTGTCGAACAGCACGGACGACACGAACGACGACGATAGATACGATAGCCAATGGGCGTATTATCGAGGCATCTTGCGATAGCCACGACACTGAGATGACTGTTCCTAAACGAATTCTGGAATAGAGTGCTGATGCTAATGGCTTCTTTTATTTTCTTATTTTATTGGATACCCACGTTTAATGATGTAAACTCTTTTCCAGGTCAAAATCCGGCAGGGGCAGGCTATGTTGCAGATGGCTGCACATATATATATATGTAATAGCTTCTGCGGTGATGATGGATCGCCCAGTCGCTGGCTTCGGCGTTCTTGATATTCAATTTCGGACGGAAGAGGGTAAAGGGTTAAAAAAAATGGCTTTCGTTGGTCGAAGAAGGAAACGATTTATGGTCGAGGGCTGATTCGGGTCGCTGGTGGTCTGGGCGACACATCATTCAGCTATGCTTTACTCGAGATTTTGAGACATGTTGTAAAGAAACAACTACAAGCCAAGTTAGTCCGTATGAAAAATGCCAAAGAAGTCAATTCCATGCATCCATTGCTGTGTTGGTTATGTATATGAAGAGTGATTCATGTTTGTGAAAGGTGGTAAGGTCAGGGTTTGTTGTAAGCGTTCAACGATAGTTGTCAGACCATCAACATATGATTGCGGCAAGGACGGGTGCTTTCGATGATAGGACGCGGGAGTATATATTCATCTTTATATGATTTGCTAATAAAGCGAGGCTTGGTGGAATATAGAATGTCGAATGCGATTAATGTGGTTTGAGCTGCACTATTATTCTGAGATAACAGACCAATCAGTGATTCCCGCCTCAGAATGCTGCAGTGATAAGGTGTGATAAAGAAGAGAAATAGAAAGAGAAAGAGAAAGACGAGAGGAACTGAATTGAATCAAGGGTCCTTTCTAATACAGGGTTATGAGACTCAACCCAAGCCAAGCAGGTTGTTTTGCTCAGGGTTGTCGCTCCCCGCAATTTCTCAATATCGTCATAAGGGTCCAGTTGACGACCCGTTACAACGTCATGGCGCAGCCACATCAATCTTGGGTGGGACCAGTGTGTGGGTACCGCAAGGAGTGTCCGCGTCCCCGTCTATGGCTGACACCACCTGACATGCAATGCAGCTCACTACCTACCCAGCAGTTTGTTTGTCTTAATGGCACATACACGAGAAGGAAATAGGCTCGAGTGTTTTTATCATTTCTGGTTATTTCCCGCTTGTTCATGTGTATCCTTCAAAGAGATTAAAGTTAAGGAAAAACATCATCGACCAGCTATTTCCTGCAGTACCGCTTACGAAAGGAAAAACAGCACAAAGAAAAGAGGAAGCTTGCAGCCCTATGCCTAGTCCTTGTCCTTGTTGTCACACTCATAGTAGCCTATAGTCTTGCGTGGCAGTCTCGATAGACGAGATCACTATCTCTGATAAGCATCGCGGCCTGGCCTTTCTCGCTCTCTTGATCGCTCGTGCCTCGTTGATCTGCTACGGCTGATAGTGCCACGATACCTATTATAATGCTGATCCTCACTGCTGTCGCAGCGTCGGCGGTCATCTGTAGGTGAACGATATTCCTATCTCCGATAAACATCGCGGTCTGGCCTTTCTCGGTCTCTCGATCGTTCGTGCCTCGGCGACCGGCTACGGCTCATAGTGCCACGGTCTCTGTCGTAACGTCGATCCTCTCTACTGTTGCGGCGTCGGCGGTCATCCCTAGGGGGACGGTCGTCTCTAGGAGGACGGTCATCTCTCGGAGGGGGCCGATCATCTCTTCGTCGTCCAGGGTCATCCCGATTATATGCAGGAATGTACGTGTCAACATCTGGTGGTGGCCTTGGTCCAGGTGGTCCTCGTCCAGCACCACGAGGGGGCCCTCTCTCTCGGTAGTCCGCGTCGTCAATGTTGGGAGGTGGTCGTGGTGGTAATCCAGCACCCCGTTCTCGTGGTTGCCAGGCAGGACGACGCTCGTCGGGTCCGTCGCGATATCTACCCCCGTTCACACCATTACGGCCATTGCCATAAGGCTCGTTACTATTGAAGCCTGCAGTAGCACCGTTGGCATCAGGCCCAATACCCACGGTTCCACCCTTGGGAGCTGGAGGCAGAGCAGCCTTGCGGTCGTGAAACTTTCTGCGGTCCAACTCGTGGCTCTCTTCGTATGTCGGAATCTCGTGAGGTTCAAGTGGTAGAGGCTGCATCTTGAACCATGGGTGCTGTAGGGCATCAACTGCATTGATTCGTGTTCGCCAATCCAGTCTGAGAAGCTCTTTTAGTAGAGAAACTGCACCTTGACCATACCTAAGGAATTAATCAGTGATGGGGCTCATCTTCCAACTTTGATACAAACTTACTCTCTGAATCGGTTCTGAAGATTCCCAGTGCGTGGTCGTGGGGTCAAATGTTCGCCACCAGGGAGTGATTTCCACCTAGGCATGTTCTCCCCCGTGGGTGAGCCCATCAGGTCCCAGATGATATCCAGCTGATGAGAATCGCTTTCGCCTGCCAGGATGGGCTTTCCGAACAGCATTTCGCCAAATACGCAGCTAAGTCGATCGTTAGTCATTGACGCGACATATCGAGCCTTTCAGTGCATGCTTACCCTACTCCCCAAACGTCAATAGCGGGGGTGTATTGCCGCAGCTGCAGCAAAAGCTCAGGTGGTCGGTACCATCTGGTAACAACCAGGCCAGTGTAGTCTCGCTGTCCCTCGCCCATGGGCTTTCCAGACTGCGGTGTTACTCCCTCATAGTGTCGTGCCAGACCAAAATCGGCAATCTGCAGGATACCTTGGTTGTTGATGAGCAGGTTGGCTGCTTTCATGTCTCGATGCAGGATGCGGCTGTCGTGGAGATATCGAAGACCCTCGAGTAGCTGCAGCATGTAGCACTTGATTTGAGGCTCCTTGAACTGGACGGACGGGTTGTCGAGAAGGCCGGACAGATCGTGGTCCATGTAAGGAGTCGCCATGTATACGATGGGCTTTTTGCGCTTGTCGGCTGGAACAGTCGGTTAGTTTAGAGTGACCAGAAAGCAGTCACGCCTACTCACTTTGTCGAGTAGGATGTTCAATAGCCATATCCTCGAGTCTTAGGATGTTCTTGTGTGACAAAAGCTTCAGCAGCTTAATCTCACGAAGGGCGGTGATAGGAAACTTGGTACTGTCAGTATGATTGTTTCCAGGGGCCGGTGCAGCGCAGCGCAGGGTAGAAACATACGCCATCTTTTTCATGATGCATGATGATCTTCTTTAACGCGACAAGGGCGCCAGTACGGCGCAATCGGGCGCGGTGAACCTCACTAAACAGGTGTTAGTATAGGTGATAGGAGTACCGATCGGAGTATATGTCGAGCTATGCGCCGACCATGGAGCCCTACCCAAAGGTTCCCTCTCCCAGCTTGCCTAGAAGTTCATAGTCGGAAATGCGCGAGCAGCCCTTGAAGCTTGATCTGGGTCTCAAGTGGTTCAGGGCAAATGTCCGGGGCGATGTGCCATCGGGCGTTGAATCTGATGTCTTGTCCATTTTGTCGTGGGCGATGCCGAGCTGGACTTTGCCCGAGAGTTGGCGATGCGCGCGTCGAACAAAGTGCGAAGTGAGGCTAGGAGGCTTCTCACTAGATTCGCATCGGTCCTTAATCGCGGATCATCGGAAGGGAATTTCGAGGAATGAGTGACGGTGAGGAATTGATGAGAGATGGAATGTTGAATTAATCAGTGATTGTTTTTTGTGAAAGGAGAGTGGAAGGAAGGCCTTTTAATATTATGGATATTTTGTTGCTTGATTGATACACTTCCATAAACTTGCAATAAAGGACAAGGCGAGTGTTTCGAGAAGCGCAGGAAGGCGGTGGGATAGGAAATGCTGGCAGAATGTCCGAGAGGGGCTTAGCGTTGTGGACATGGTACATGCAAACGGTACGTATCTGCAAACCCTTGCGCGTCCCATTAATGTACTCATTTAGGTATGGATGCATTCTCTCTATTGTCTAGGTAGGATCAGATGAAGGTCAAGATCAGGCAAGCTTCGGTCACATTTGTGCGATTTTCTCCAGGCCAAGTAGTTATAAATTATTGATAAGTTTGATGTTGCCTTGTCAAGTGTCCTGTCCCATTGAGCTTTGTAGAGGCTTGTAGGCTTAAGGATCAATTACTAGGTACTAACCTAGGTAGGTTAGTATCTAACGTTAGTACCTAATTAGAAGGATCCCCCCGTAATCGGAGCCCGAGACAGGTTGTTAGTCCACTTTGTTCGAGGCTCTGCCAAACATTTAAAAAAAAAAAAAATGCAGTTCGGAATGCACGTTCTGATACTTTCATTCTCCCCCGCGTCTTGGGTCTTGGGTCTGGGGTAATAGATAGGTACGATACGATGGATGCTATGCTTGGAGTTGTTCATAACTAGACACTACAGGCAGTAACCTCATCATAGGTAGGCTCTACCCATTACATGCTCGTTGAGATAGCACTAGCACTAAGTAATCTTCCATAATTGATCTCTTGATCTCTCATTGTTCACCGTCTTTGATAAAATATCCTCGTGGTCACCTGCTCCAACCTCAAAACACCACAAACACAACACCACATTGTCCTCCTTAACCCTTTCAGTAAACAAATCCCTACAAACCCATTTCCTGTATGATCTTGTTTTCTACGCCAATGGTTTCCTCTCCAATCTTAGTCTGCGTGACCATGGCTTCTCCTCTCTATCTTACTCGCCAGTCCCCGCGAGATATCGAGTTTCTGTTACCCCTTCATAACCTCCAACGGATCCACTTGATGGGCTTCCTCATTGTCCACAAGGTTACTTTTTTTTCTCTTTCTTTTCCTGGTTAAATCATTCTGGAATTGCGCGTGCCGTAGATAAATTCTTTCTCTTCTTCTATCCTCTTCCTCAACTGCTGTTTCCATCTTCACATCTTGCTCTTGTGACTTACTCCCAAACAAACAAACTCTAATTGCTGGATTGCAGCCACTTACATTAGTACCTACTGTCTATCTTATCCTTGGCAGCCGAACCTCTTATCTTAACCAGCTCCATTGATACGACAGTCTCACCAACAATATTCTTCTGCAATCGACAGATTTGCAGGTCTGACTCTTTTAAATAACATACACAAAGTTGTGACTGTAACTCAAAATGAGTGAGACAGCCTCAAATTGTTCCCCCGCCGTGGTGCTCCCCGAGACCAGCTATCCTGAGTCTCGAGTCCTGATCATCGGCACTGGAGGAACAATATGCATGCAACAAGGCCCTGATGGCCTTCAACCCACTGACAACTTCTTGGAAAATGCCATGGCACCCCGTCCCTCGTTTAACGACTTCTCCAACCCAGGCAAGTCGCGGACAATCCCACTCACTCACCCAAAAACATACACTAACACACCATAGACACACTCCCTGCCATCCGCAACGGGGAAAAGATCCAAATTGACAGTCTTCGCACTCCTGCTACAGCCTACAACCGTCACGTTCGCTATGGAATCATTGAGTTCAATCCTCTGCTCGACTCGAGCTCCATCTCCGCCCACGACTGGGACGCCATAGCCTCATGTGTGCATGAGAACTACCACCTATTCGACGGCTTTGTTATTCTCCACGGAACAGACTCTTTGGCTTACACAGCCTCTGCTCTCTCCTTCATGATGGAGAATCTCGGCAAGCCCGTCATCCTCACAGGGTCCCAAGCACCCATCTTTGCTCTCCAATCTGACGGCGTCGATAATCTCTTGGGGTCGCTCATCATTGCTGGAACATTTACCATTCCCGAAGTCTGCCTCTTCTTCCACCACCGCCTCTACCGTGGCAATCGCAGCGCAAAGGTTTCGGCGACAGAGTTTGAGGCGTTTGCCAGCCCCAACTGCGAGCCTATTGCCAAGGTCAACGGTCTCGGCATCAGCGTCAATTGGTCTCTTGTATTACGACCCACCTCTATTGCCAAGTTCCACGTCACAAAGGGCCTCGACACTACCCACGTTGCTTGTCTGCGTGTCTTCCCTGGTATTAAGCCTGAAATGATCGACGCTGTTCTTCACCTGCCCGATATTCGCGGTCTCATTCTTGAGACCTTTGGCATGGGTAATATCCCGGGCGGCGCGGATGGTCGTCTTACACAGATCATCAAGGCGGCTGTTGAGCGTGGTATTGTCGTTGTGAATGTTAGTCAGTGCGTCAATGGTTATGTCTCCCCCGTTTACGCTCCAGGCACTGTCCTTGGCCGAGCCGGTGTTATCTTTGGCCTCGACCTCACGGCTGAAGCAGCCCTGACCAAGGTTTCTTACCTCCTCGCGCAGTCCAATCTAACAACCAAGGAAATCCAGGAGAGACTCTCTCGGTCACTACGTGGTGAGATGACTGAGATCGCTCACCAGAGCTTCTCTCACCCTGCAGGCTCACTCGACTTTGCCGCGTCCCACCTCACGAAAAGCGAGACAGCGTTCTCGGCACTCGGCTACGCAATCGAAAACGGCGAGCTGGAACTCATCAAAGAGCTACTCCAAGGCGAGGGTGCGCAACTGCTTAAGCAGTCAGATTACGCAGGCAACTCGGCGACGCACCTCGCGGCAGTGGCCGGCAAGCCCGACATCCTCCTGGAGCTTCTGCAGCGAGGTGCCAGCGTCCACGAGCGCAACAAGGCCAACCACTCGCCACTCTTTGTCGCCGTCAAGTCAGGCCAGGAGCCCTGTGCACAGCTGCTGCGTATTGCGGGTGCTCACTTGGCGGTGGAGGAGAGGGAGAACATGCCGGGTTACGTGACACCCAAGTACAGTCACATTACTGGACCTCAGTTTGATTGAATGGGATCAGCTTATATTATACGGGGTTTTATCTTACGTTGCATCTTGTTCTGCGCTGGTCGATTCTTGGAAGCGAGTTATGATATGAAGAGAATAAGAGCACGGGTATAGGCGAAGTTTGGTTTGAAAGTGTTGCTATTCCGGTAGGTATGGGTATGATTGAGGCGTTTCGGACCTTGGAATGAAATATAAGGAATTAGACTCAAACGATCAGTTGGATAAATAAGATGAAATCCAGTCACAATGGAAGTCTCAATGTGATGGTAGTGATTGTTTTAGTGGCTTGCGGAAGTGGGAGGTTGAAGGCTTGTAGGGGTTAATTCTCCGATACAACAGCACTCAAATGATGGCGATTCTCATACAAGCGAAAAGATAAAAAATACTATTTAATAAATTTATACGATGATAGCGTCGGGCTTCAGAAAGATCAATGCAACTGCATAGTCATCTGCTACACGCAACTCAAATCCATGAACTGACGTTGAATTCCCATGACTAACAACATGAGACTTCATAGGTCAAGCAACCACTTATTAAAGACGTCGGTCAGCTTGTTCCTTTAGTAATTGACCATCATACGGTTGTGGATTAGGCATTGAACGACTGCCAAGCGAGTTCAAACGTCTCCGCGGGGATCCTATAAAGAGAGTGCGCCCATAGCAGTAGTCGTCGCTAAAAAAGAAAAAGGGTTAGAATTATCCAACGTTAATACTCGTAACATGACGACTCGTGGGTCAAAATTGGCCGAGTTACCGATTGCGCGACGTCGGGGACGAATGTTCCCTAGTAAAAATACAAAGCCGAGTTTGCCTTACATAAACTCAGTCCCTTCTCTGCGATACAATCGAATATGGTGGATATAATTCAAGACATGTTCTTAGCTCAATTCATTCTATCATGAGTCCCTCAACACCAACACCAACACCAGCAGAATACCCTCCACCTCCCGACTTGGATTCCAGCGATGTCACATATCTAAGCTCAGAAATGGCAGCACCCGCGGTTTCAACGCCTGAAGACCTCAAATGCACTAAGTACGAACTCGATCATCGAGGATGGCGTCGAATTCTTGTCAATTTTACGCCTTCGTGGTTTACTGTAACCATGGGTACAGGCATCACCTCAATCCTACTGCATAATCTGCCCTACGATGGCCAATGGCTGTTTTACATATCAGTTGTAATATTCTGTTTGAACATTGCTATATTTGTGCTCTTTAGCTGTATTTCTATTGTTAGATATACTGTTCTAAGAGGGTCGTGGTCTTCAACGCTCCGGCATCCCGCACAAGCTGTTTTTCTGGGTATGTACTTCGTTCCACCAACACTTGACTTGTCTGACATTTCTTCAAGGAGCAATTCCAGTTGGTCTCGCTACGATTATAAACATGATCGTCTTCGTCTGTGTGCCAGCTTGGGGTGAGAGGGCTGTCCACCTTGCATGGGCATTGTGGTGGGTAGATATCGTCATGGCCATAGCCTGTAACCTCTATATCCCACATTGTATCATGCGCACAGAAGGTGTAAGTCAATTCTCATAACCACCAAGCCTTTACTTATACTGACTATTTCTCAAGATTACGCTCGATCAAGTGAACCCGTCATGGCTTTTCCCCGTCATTGCCGACATTGTCGCATCCGGCTCTGGAGCCATAGTCGCCAATGTCCTCCCAAACGATCAACACGCCATCTGGACTGTCATCACCAGTTATGTCCTCTGGGGAACCAGCGTACCCATGGCGATCCTTATACTCGCCATGTATTACAACCGTCTCATGATTCACGACTGCCTTCCTAGCCAAGTCGCCGTGACCTCTTTCATCGCCATCGGTCCCCTCGGCCAAGGAGCAGCAGCAATTCAACTCCTCGGCAGCGTCGCCCTCAAAGCATTTTCCCGCAACAACTTCATCCCTATGGCTCCCATAGCAGGCCAGTTCTTCTATCTCACCGGGATTCTCACGGCTCTCATAATGTGGGGATTCGCTCTCGTGTGGCTGTCCTTTGCTCTCGCCACTATCGCTAGACGCGAACTGACGTTCAACCTAACATGGTGGGCGTTTACTTTCCCCCTTGGGGTCTTTACAGTTGCGACGACAACCTTGGCTAAGGAGCTTCCTTCGCGGTTCTTCAAGGTGCTGGGCACTATCTTCTCTGTTGCCGAGACTTTGCTATGGATCATGGTGGCTTGTGGAACGATTAAGGCAAGTTTGAATGGCGACCTCTTCAAACCACCACAGCTTGAGGTTTGGGAGAAGAAAATGAGAGAGGTGGAGGAAGATGAAAGACTCAAAGACTCTCATGTTTGAGAGGGTAGGATTGGCATGTACAAATATACATGATGCAAGTACCTGTAATTTATAACCATAGACATAGCACATCGGTTGAAGTATCTTACATGGCTAGAGAGAGTTTCCTTACTGTACTAGTAGAATCCAAATACATGAGCTATCATGATATTTATTTCTTAAATTCCTTGGACTGACAACTCTTTGTTTTACTGTTGAAGTCGCCGGTATTCGATAACAACCCGGAGCGGGGCCGAGCCATACCGGAGGTCAGACGGTAACGAGTCCGGGGCCTCCGCAATTCGACTTGCATTGACAATTGATTGAATGAAATCTATTGTCTAAATTCGCGATTGATCATTGATCACAGACTGTCAGCAATTGACCTCAAATCCGAACAATAAAGCCTGAACTCAAGCTATACCGCCCGACAGTCTAAGACAACCTGACAGAATGCGATGGCGCCATTGGTCCAAGCTCCCCCTAGCTCCCCCCATCGTAGCGGCCAATACCCTAAAACAAGCTCCAGCTCCAGGCACCTTCCCCCACTGCACCACCCTGTAAGCTCTTGACCTAAACTAAGAGGTACCTAACCAGAGAGGAATTGAAATGATGGCTTCTTCTCCACCGTAGCACTTCCTCTTCCCCTTGTTCCCTGTTCCTTGTCCTTGTTCGCCTCCATGTGCTGAGGCCAGATTGTCACACCCACTGTCCAACAGGTTTCCCCCCCATATTCCATCATCTCCACCAGCTTCCTTTTTCCCATTCCATCTTCCCTCTCTTTCCCTTCCCCTTCATCCTTCTCCTTCTCCTTCTTTCACCCCCTCAATTCCCATCTCCCGCAGGTTCCTCGCTCATCGCCCGCCGTCGTCATGTTCTTCAAGGCTTCTCTGCTCGCCCTTGTGGCCGCTCAGATCTTCGGCGCTGTCGCCCAGGTACGTGTCGCGCGAGCTCATGCAAGCTCTTTAATTGCACAGCAATGAACTAACATCCTCTATAGGACGCTCCTGTCGTCAATGCCGCTACCAAGGCTCCCCTCAACGCTGATATCAAGGCCATCTTCCCCGAGGCCGAAATCCTCGGCCTTCAGCTCGTCAATGGACGTCCTACCAAGGCTGTCATTGAGGTCAACAACAAGGACGCCAACCCCATCACGGTCTCCTTCGTTTCCGGTTCTCTCAACACCATGAAGGAGATCCCCGAGGATAGCCCCCGATATGCTAGCATCGTCCGCAACTTGACTGCCGTCCAGTACAACATCGAGGTCCCCGCTGGCGAGAAGAAGGAGCTTCCTTTCTCTTTCGCCCAGGACATGCAACCCCAGGATGTTCGCATTGAGCTCTCCGCCCTCGTCACTGATTCTACCGGTAACCTCCACGAGGTCCTGGTTCACAATGGTTCTGCTTCTATTGTTGAGGCCCCCACCAGCTTCCTCGACCCCCAGATGTATGTTTCCTCTCTATTCTAGCTCCTTTCAACATCTTGCTAACAATATCGACAGCATCTTCCTCTACCTCTTCCTCTCTGCTGCTTTCGCCGGTACCCTCTACTTCGTCTACAAGACCTGGATCGAGGCCCTCTTCCCCCAGGCCAAGCGCCCCCGCACCAACAAGAAGGCCAAGAAGATCGTCGATGTTTCTGAGCCTCTCTCCGGCTCCGAATCCACCCCTGTCGCTGTCACTTCTGGCAAGGACTACGATGAGAGCTGGATCCCCGAGCACCACATCAACCGCCCTGTTGCCCGACGTGTCAAGTCTGGCGCCAGCGCCAAGACCAAGCGAGTCGACTAAAGGAACGGAATTCCTTTCGACATTTCGCGCTCCAATGCGCGCTGTATTATGTGACGAAACTGAACATTGTGTTTCAAGGGTCGTAGGCGTATTGCCAGGGTAGATTGGGCATGTGGTAATATGAGGAGCATTTTGAATTGCCTTGTAGGAATGGGCCAAGGGACACTGCAAGCCAAAAACCATATGTTGTATATTACATGTACCAAGATGAATATCAAATGCATAAATATTATGCTTCTATATCAATGTCAATGCATTTGCTTCATCACCGAAAGCCCATAAGTTCAACTTATTATCATAAACAGTCGTTATCAATTACAGCAAGTCTATCATCAACGAATTTACACTGCAGCACCTCCAGTACCTTTCGTGTGGTGATCCATAAATCGCAAACCCCTGTACCAAATCCTATTCTTACATGTCATGATCTTCGTACTCATGGAGCACTAGATGCGCTGGTCCTTTCTTCGGCCGCCTCTGCTGCCAAATATCCCATGATGGCTTTTTCTTGAAGCCTGGTATCTTTGTTGGGCTCCTTATCTCTACGGGCGACGTGCCCAAAGAGACACTCCCACAAGTCGTCTTCTTTAACGTTCTCGCCAGCCGTACTGTCTTTGCTCATCAAGCGCGATAGTGATGCTTGCTCCAGCTCAAGTGTATTGGCTTCCTCGATATTCGCGTCGAGCAGTTCCGGTGTCGACTCCTTTGACTTGCCCTTGTTGGTACGGCCCATGTGCTCCATTCGCCGCTGTACAGAAAGGTTGTAGATCGACTCCTCGACCGTACCTGATACTAGGTAAAGCCACACAGTTGTTTCGTGCGTCTGACCAATACGGTCCACACGTGCAATCGCCTGAAGTTCCAGCGCTGTGTTGAGAAGGGGCTCGCAGAGAAAGACGTGGCTTGCGTTGACAAGGTTGAGACCGCTGGAGTGTGCCCTGGCGTGGAGGAGGAAGCATTCGACTGAAGCATCTTCTTTGAACCGTGTGATGCCATCTAAATCGTCGATAGATGCAAACCCAATTCTGAACCGCAAAAATGCATTGCGCAAGATATTCAGGAATCCTTTATATTGTGAGAATACGATTGATTTTGCACCAGGGTCTGATTCTCGCAACCATATCAGGTGTTTGACAAGCGTATCAACTTTCGTAGTGAACGAAGGCCCATCCAGCTCGATTTTCTGTATCTCTGCTAGCTTGTCTGCATTGAACTCGGAGTAAATTCCTGTCTTTTTGGGCGAATCAGTTCGCCTTTGCTCAAGGTTGCCCTCGAGGTCGGGTTGGGCCTGCTCTGCGTTGTCGCTATGCACTTGGAGTTGCTGGGGGTTGATGGTGATGTCGTGCAAGTTGGTCGACTTGAGCTTCTTTTTACACACAGGACAATTACGATGGGCCTTGAACCATAACATCATGCATTCTTTACAGAACTGGTGCCCACACACAGTGAGCACACCAACCGTGAAGGGAGTCTGACAGATGACACACATTCGAGGCTCGTTAGACTTGTTACCTGCTGCCTTTAGGTGAAGGACTAGAACGTCAGTTTAGAGTCAAACCATTAAGGGGGTCTCACATACGATATCTGTGTTTGGCTTCGGCTGCTGACAGCTTCTGTCGAAGACTGTCCTCTGTCTCCTTCATCTTGTTCATGGTCGCTTCACTTGTAGAGCCCTCGTATGGGAGGACGCTGTCGGAGACCATCTGCAATTGACGGTAGTAATCCAGGCGGAGATTCATTACCGTCTTGAATTCATCAACCTCGGTTTCAAGAGAAGTAGCCAGCTTGCTCTGTGTATTCAAGATTGCCTGAGTTGCTTTGAGTTGCCGATCAGTGATTCTGCCTTCCATAATGGCACGAGTTGTATCCTTCGACAGTTTCGACGTCAGCGTTCGAAACTCACTGATAGCTTTCCGGATCGACGTTGATATTGGTTTAATTTGATCTCGCAATGCCAGAAGCTCTATGAGTTTCTCAGGGGCAGGCCCCTCCCCAATTGCTGCGAGTCTTAGCGACGTCTGGGTTTCGTGCTTGATGAGCTCATTGGTTTGTCCAGTTAGAGCATCCTGCCGATCAGCAATGACAACTCGAAGTGCTTGAACATAAACCATAAGCTCGTCCTGGACCCTGGCTGACTCGCCATATTCTTCTCCCGTTGTTTCAACATCACCTTCTTCATCAATCAAGGGTTTCAGGAGTAGTCCAACAATATGTTCCCTCCATTCGTCAATCACATTTGCTTGATCGTTCAGCTCTCCGTATAGTGTTTCTAAATCGTCGAGAATGCGGCCGCTCTCGATGCCGCGTTCCTCGCCAACTGTAAGCTCCGGAATCTCAACAAAGGCCTGCTCAGCTGCCTTTTGTGCTACCTTCATCATCAAGCGAGTTGCTTTGCGATGAGATCCGTGCAGAATCTCCCTTCGGATGACCTTTGCTTCTTCGTATCCGTCGTCCTCAAGTTTCTTTACTTGGCGGAATTCCTCTGAATTGGGCTCAGTCATCTCTGGGTTCTCACGGATCTGAAAATATGCGTTGGCGCAAAAGAAGATCGCCTTGTGTTCCATCTCCAATGCTCCTCGAAGCCGGCGACGGCTTTCGGCCAATTGTCCCTTGCCCTCTACTTCACTATCGTCATCAGATTCGATGTCGAGATCGTGGTTGGCAATTTCAGATTGTCGACCTGGCTGACTGCCAGTTAAAGTCTTGAGTTCGGCCCGAGCTTCAACAACAAGTTTGCGAGTCTGCTCTCGAACGGAGGACCATATTTCCAGAGCCTCCTTCACTCTTGGACTGTTTTCGTATAGCTGGCCTCGAGTTAGTTTACTCGACAGATATGCTCTTTCATCTGTCCGAATCGTGCTTTCACTCTGCTCGAGCATAGCATCAAGAACCTCGTCAACTGTCCTCATAGGTCGATTCTTGCTGTGGCCAAGCGTCCGACGGTTATAGCCTGCAATCTCAGGATGCAGTGCCGTCTGCCTTAACCGGACTAGCCAGGTTCTCATACTCTCTGCGTGATCACTAGGACGCCAATCATCCGCAAGTGGTGCTCCGTCAAGACTAAGCTCACATGCTTCTGTCATTTCTCGATAGAGAGATTGGTAATGTTGTTCCTCGACAGCTGTAAACGGCATACTGATAACAAAACGTTGTTGGGGCGGCAAAATCAATTCATCTCGAACCATCGACTTCGTGTGTCGGAGAGCAATGCTATTGAACAGACGCTGGAAGGCAGACTTGTGATAATGAATCAATACTTGCCAAATATGATTCAAAGAGCAGTACGGCTCATGTTGTAGGAAGAGGAGTAAGCCCTGGAGGTCATCAACATTATCTTTTACAGGAGTTCCTGTAATTCCCCAAGCGTTGACTCGAGGAAGCACACGAGCCACCTTTGCTGCCTGGCTGTAACCGCTCTCGATCATCTGTGCCTCGTCGAGACACACTCTCCACCATGCTATTTGTATAAGTGGAGACCCGGGACGCTTATAAACTCGTGCATGTCGCCTGGAACGTTCTGGTGGCGTTGTTGTATAGTGAAGCTCGGCAGATAGTACTGAGTATGTCGTGATGATAACATCGTGACCAGCGAGCTCATTGACGGTTTGATCCTCGTTTCCAGGCATGCGCTTCCGCCCTTCATAGATTTTGACGCTCAAGCTAGGAGCATGACGGGCAATCTCAGACACCCATTGATCTCTCAGTGACGGAGGCGTCACAATCAATGTGGCACCAGTTGGTGTAAGTTTAGCTTGGGCTTCAAGCTTATTCTGAGTCAGGGGTCGCGATCTCTGATGGAGTAGAATTAGGCCAAGAATCTCCAAGGTTTTGCCTAGGCCCATCTCCTCAGCCAGAATACCTCCTTTGATTGAAGTTTCCGCTTGTCGGAACAACGTTACATCCCTCGTCGCCGTATGAAACACTTCGCTCAAATAGTATTCCTTCCCAGCCAGATCCAGTAGTTTCTTGAAATCGTACACACTTTCGTCGTTGTTTGCCGCGTAAGGCACGACAGCATGGTGAACTTCTGACCATTGCACACCCTCGCGCTGTAACAGCCACTGTAATGATCTCTTTTGATACGGATATAGTGTCGACTCTAGAGCATCTATTTGAATGGTCTCTGGTACTTTGTCGCTTTTTCTGGGAACAAAGGCCGCGTCATAGAAATCCATAGGAGAACATGTTGAAGATCGGTAGGGGAGATCATCAGCAGAAGAGCCGCGTAATAACAGGTTGATGAATGGCTGGCTTGCTTTTCGAACTATCGTGGACTTGTACTGCATGTTTGGTGATGGAGACTCATTCCAATAGAAGTTGAAGGAAAATGACATCGTTGCCTGGACCCCCCGCCATTCGAGCTCTATGTCGGTTGTTCTCCATAGCGTATTCGGTTGAGGTTGCGAAAAGGAACATCCCTTGAGAAGCCTTCTGGATTCATCATCTTCCTCAGATCGCCAAAGACTAATTTTTGCATCAGATAGATCGGCTGGGCAATCTTTCGTTGGCGAGATGTAAAGCCTGTTCTGTTGTATATCAATGTGCACAAAGCGATCGATGCCCTCGCAAGATACCAAGCGGTTTGCTGAAGTATTTGCTGCGCACTGACGTGAAATATTAAAGGTCCTCTTTGCGATAGGAATAGAGGACACAGCAGGTGAAGAACCAGTCTTGCGCCGTTTCGCAGGAGACTCTTTCAGATTTGGTGATGAGGGTTGATTTGCAGACTCATTTTCAAAAGTCGCAATATCGATAAGTTCGTCTATGAGTGACTGTGGTATCAAATCTAAGAATGACAAAGTGAGCGCGGATACTAAAATATGTTATCAAGTGAACCTACCGTCTAGTCCAACGTGTAAGTGACCAGGCATGCTGACTTAGACTGGGGTATTAATAAGGGGGATTGTTTCTTAGTATCGATCTCCGATTTCCTGGAGATGGGTATGCCCATAAAGTGAAGGTGAAAGAAGATATCGATGGCACAATATGAATAGGGAAGGTGTAGGAGGGAAGAAGGTAGGACGAGGAGGGTAGGTAGTCCTTAGGTGGGATATCAGCCTTGCTAGTCACCAGTGGGTCTCCAATGAGCAGTGACAGACAGTCCGTGCCACAGCTGCCTACCACTGCCAGTCACTGTCAGCCACTATCCGCCACTGTCTAGCCTTGCTGACATAAACAGACCCATCGTCAAATTTCGAGATCAACGTTCGTCGGCTTGTGAGACCTTGTCGTTGACTCTGAGGCAGCGGCTGAACTGGTTGCCATTCGACCCATTGAACAACGTGAGTACACCATATCGCTTTGGTCTTTTTAGTTACCGGCCTCGGATTATCTGACAACATGCTTCCAGAAAGATGAAGGGCGAAAGACTCCGGTCGACCTTTGGCCTGCTTCTGCAGAGCGGCAGCGCCTTTTCAAGGACAGGACAAATCCGACAACTCCACAAGACACGGCCTGCGCACCCGATCCCCAAGCCTCGACCGTTCGTCCCAGATGTACCGACTTTTCTCACCCTGATTGGTCGCGGCCTCAACAAGTACGCCAACAAGTTCCCCTCATGGAACGCTCTCTTCTCCCTCACTTCGCCGCAACTCAAGGAGCTGGGCATCGAGCCACCCCGAAACCGAAAGTATCTTTTGCACTGGATGCAGCGATATAGAAATGGTTCTCTGGGTCCTGGTGGCGATTTCCAGTACGTCAAGGACGGAGAGGCCATCCTGAAGGTTGCGACACCACCTCCATCGGCCCTCAGCGATACGAAATGGGTTGTCAATGTGCCCGCCGAGTTTGACCCCGAGGCTCCTCCCCCAAAGCCCGCTCCCAAGAAGATTGAAGATGGTGAGGATACAGGATCGTATCTGGTGCGACCAAACGGATATAAAGTTGTGGGTCACAAGACGATTGCTGGTCCTTATGCCAAGCCTCTCCCCGGAGTCTCAGGAGTAGTTGTGAAGGTCACGGAAGGAATGTGGGAGGACAAACAGGGTCGCAAGATTGACGGTGGTGAGCGCAGAAGAGCCGAGACCCGGTTCAAGAAGAGATCTGCGGAGAGAAGAGCTGAGCGTGAGGCCGAGTTGTTGGCCAATATGTAATAGTTGTATGAAGGACAAAGATACAACATGTACATTTACCACTGTAGTTTTAGCAGATATGACGGGGGATTATGAACGGCTCAGCAAAAGCATCTTTCACTCAAGTGTTGTTCTCCAGCGCCTATTTGATGTGACGAAAGGAGAATTCAACTGGATTACGACAGTAACAATTGCTGTGTCTTTCCTGGCTATCATCCAATGCTTCTTCTTGTACGGCTCTTACAGGGCTGGCTATTGCTGGTGGAGCTATTATCATAGGCTCACGTTGGAGTTCTATCAGAACTAACACATTACTGCCTGATGAATCCTATATCTCTTGACAAGCAGAAAGAAATTGATCCTCCTACAAGACGAATAATTTGTTAATCCCCACATTTCCAATTGCAATGATGCCAAGGTGTGATCACATCCAAATCCGGTTCTGAAATTATGCGTGTTTGCCAACAATATTATTCACGTTTATTCAGCGCCCGAGCCGCTATTCCGTCAAACTCGCCTGGGCCAGAATATACAAAGAGCAGAGGGCTATGCTAATTAATGGAGGTGCTCTTTGACAGCATGGCCCGTTCATGTGATACAATACATGCATATCAGGCTTCTTCAGCTGCGCAGTCGGCAGACCCGCATCTAGACTCTTTTGTAAGTGGTGTTTTGATACTGCAGCGCCCGTTCGATGCAGAGCCAATCACTGGTGTTCATAATGCACCAGACAGAAGAAGCATGCTATGCGAGGGGTCAATATTTCTCTCCATCTTCTGATAGTCTTGCTTGGCATGTAATTTGGGGCTGTGTATTTGGTACAGACCGTGTATTTTTCAAGCCGAGTCAGCATCAGTCTGATGTTGATAATCCATAGGACTGATACTGGAATACTGTGAATTACAGAAACAGTTATCTGCGTATATCTAGGTAAGTAACGACCATATTGTAGGTAAAATGGTGAAGCCGGGTACCATACCCCTGACTTGTAGCTAATGGTGGTTAATTGAGAGACGGGTTAATTGAGGATTGCATATTGAACTGAATAGCCACTTTGACAGAATAATGCTTTTGACACCAAGGCACAAATAGGCCATTTTCTCTTCTCATAGTCCCTTCAAAATTAAACCTTGATTTCTACGCCAATTGGTTGAAAGATGCTGCAATTACACACTTCCAGGATGAGATTCAGAATATGTCCAGTTCATCTCTTGTGTATTATCCTCATTCCTCATGTTTTCAATTATTTCATACTTTATGGGTCCATAATAGTCGTATTAGTCGTTCTGTACATCCTGGTATTTCTTCTCAGTGCAACATGGATTGGCGACGAACTAACCTCTGATTGATTGGAGGGTGAAGTCAGAAGTGACCCCCAAACCGACTTGTTAGAGTTTCAGCTGCAACTGCTTGGTCAGGGGACCTTTGTTTAGCATATTCACCCACGAGACGATGCAACGGTGCAGAGGATGCCTAAACTTAGTCGCTACTCTCTATTGAGGTTATCGATCATCCGACATCACCGATACAAGTCTATAATTATTCCGAGACGAGTTAAGGACACCGAAGCTCATTGACAGATAGATATACTTTGACGATTGGTAATCAAGCGGAGCAAATATGAGGTTCCTAGAAATTCCTAGCGACGGCAGATCGCCAGATTAACCTGGGTCACGCACGCCCTTTGAGAGACAGATATGTACCTAGCGTGAGGGTTTTATCGGAGGTCATATTTCCTGTGACTCGTTTTATGGTTTTTATGTTGTTTTGTACTAATTGAATTGACTCGGAAGTAAATAACTCTATTTCACTTCCGATTATTTGGCTCATTGATACATTGGCCCTCTATCATACTCCATACAGTCCCATCAAGAACCTTAAGCGAGTGCGAGTTCTAGCAGGCCTGATTGGCATTTGCTGAGTGCCTGGCCCCATTAACTCAATGGCATCTGCCTGGCCGTTATAATCTACAACGTGTTCTCATAGCCCATGAGGGATGTACGTATGAGACATGCCATGATATGGAAGCCTTAAGGCAGCGATTAAACTACGCAAGGCAGCCCTCGAAAGAAGATATCCTGGTGACTTGGATGGGACGCGAAGGATTAAACGTAACGCTCAAGCATAACAGAGGCTTGTATTGATTGCACGTATCATTTTGATATACGTATCGTAATTGCTAAACGTGTCCAAGTCCTTGGGTAGTCTCGAACTACAATGACTCTTCTGAATCCCTGTCCATGATGACCGGCACGCAAGATCCGGGGATGTCGGATCGCCGGGAACAGTTGTGACAAGGATAGGATTGATCAGGACAAGTTTGCTCAGCCCAGTACCTTCAATTGGCTTGTGTGACTTTAGCACAAGAAGTGTGAAGGCTGGAGCAAATATAAGGATACATACAAGTTACAACAGACAAGTTGTACCGCACAAGCCACAGTGTCACAGTACTCTCTACTTAAATCAATTGGGGAACCATCTGCCTTGCAAGGCCAGTCCCACTGTTTTATTCCCTCGTGGAGTCCCCAACTTATCGTATTGCTCGCTTCCAGCTTCTGGGCGCGTGGCTTGTGACTGCAACGCGGCTTTTACATCCATTGTTGGCTGCCATTGGCTTCGCTGCAAGTCAACCGCTAAAACGCTTGACATGGGAGCTACAGTAATTAAGTACCAGATCTTGTGCGGCATGGCATGACAAGTTCCCAATGCAGGTTGAAAGCAGGGGGGGCTTGCAGAGGAGACGCGTGCAAGAGGTACATACATACATACGTATTCCTCACGATGGCATTTCCTTGCTACTAGTATACCAGAATCTCAAGTCATGCTCTGTTGAGACTCGGTCTTTCAGCTGTGACGTCGACACTGTACGTGGGCACGTACGTATTTCCCAGTTCTTTTGATTAGCCCCTGGGGGAACGTTTGCAAGTCAGTGATTGCAAGGTTTCTTCGAGTATGACTCCTTCGCCGTCATGGGGCCCAAGATAGCTGCATGTACCTTACGTAGAGCAGCATCTATGTTGCTCATCAACGCTGACCATGAGTTATTTGTGTCGAGTGTAATATACGTAGGCAAAATGCCAATTGCACCACGCGATCAAAAGGCCTCAGTCATCAACCACCCAAATATTGTTTTCGGATCTGATATCGCTTGACAAGGCGGCGGAGTAGCTTTGTACACACCCTCACTGAGCCCTGTCTGGTACCTTCACCCCAGCCATGGGTTTGATCCTAAACGCCATGCTACTCCCGGGAATGAGTTATACTGTAACACATAACACTAATTATAAGCTACGTCTCCATCGTTTAGTCAAGTCCCCATAAAGAGCCCCTGCAAGTGCGCGAGGCCAGACGTAAATCTTCCTTGTTAGTCGAAGGAATGGCAGACAGAAACAGTCACAATCACTCAATCAAGACGACTCATGATGCATAACACAGCAAATATTCACTTCCAATTGCTTTAATCTCCGATATCTCTGCTTCTTACGCATTTGCCTCGTGCCCTCCTCGTAATCTCTCCACGTCAATTCTGCCCTACCTGGCTCCCCCAGTTTGAAGCTTGACCCTCCATCAGCATCATTCACCGTCAATACACCCCGGCCCTTGCCGATTCAATCATCCCGCTGTCGCATGGGTGTTAGTTACTGGGTTCGCCAGGTACTACCTATGACGGTTCAGGGTCTTCTATTCTAGCTTGTCGTTAAAAGTCGTTGCCTTACATGTATAAGGCCTCGTCCGTCGTTTCTAGTTTCGTTCATATCATCAATACTCCAATACATACCTTGCATTCAGACAAATTCCGTCTGCCTAGTTATATTATTACCAATTCATCGGAGTCTAAGTACTGGGGTGTCCATTGGGCTACAACTCGGTCTTGAATCCACCACTCTCTGTTCAACAACGAGTTCAGCTCATACATAAAGACCTGCAACTTAGATGGTCTCTTTCTATTGTATCAGCAAACTTCATATCTTGTTTTCGAGCCCCTTCTTTTCATGAGTTTCTGCGAGTAAATGTCCCTGTCAGAACGGTCACCATCCGATCTACAAACTCCAGAGATTCGCATCCAGAGCGCTTCCCCTGAAGTTGCAAATCAAGAGGCAGAAGTAAAGGAGAAATCGAGACATAAGCACTCTCACTCTTCTTCAAAACTCATACCACCACGCCGGACAAAGTCACTTCCGTCAACTACCACTCAAAAAGACAAAAAGAAGGAGTCCTCTTCAAGTCACTCGTCTGAGACAAGCAAAATGGGCGGAAGTTCAAGACACAGTTCTCACAGCTCTCACAGCTCCCATAGCTCCCATAGCTCCCATAGCTCCCACAAGGGTAGCTCCTCATCACATTCTCCAAAGAAGTCAAAGTCAAGTACAGTCGATGATCTCGACTGGTCAGACATTACAGATCCTGAGGAGAGACGAAGAATCCAGAACCGCATTGCTCAACGCAAGTTCCGTAAGAACCACAACTCCTCTTGAACTATTGTAAAACTAACACATCATTCAGGAGAGAAGGCTCGAGAAAGTAAAGAGAGAACAGAGCGAGACTCCCGCAATCAAGAGTATGCGGGCAACAGTTATCGGATTCCATCTTCCAGCGACTTCAACTCTCAAGCAGATCCTTCAGGCCTCCCTTGGGGCAGTATGAACATCGGCCACTTCGTGGGTAGAAGTCAAGAGGCCGAGAGCCGGCATAGCAGCAGTAGAAGAGGAACGCATAGCGCAGAGGATAGCTTTGCGACAGCTACGTACGGGGCTTCACCGTCCTACAACACGCATTGGGCGCAACAAACAACTTACGGAGAAAGCAGTGGGGGAGATGAAATGTATTACGATGATTCTTATCTGTACGACCCTAATTTGGGGCAATGAGCTGAGATGAAACTACTGTAAGATCACCCATCCCATGTCACCCTCCGATATCCCGACTAACAGTGACGACAGTAATTTTTGGTAATAAGGTCGAATAGAGAGCACAAAAGGATTTGGACAGATGTATCACGATTAATGTCACTATACAAGATATCACACAACACAGGCACACCCTCCTCTGGATCTTATTTTGGGTCATACCCCGCTCGCTCACACAAAGTTGGTGTTTTTGGGCTGGGCTTCTATTCTTGGACGCGGCTGAGACTTGACACGATATGATTTGAAGCGGTCTTCCATGGGAGGGGTGAGGAGATAACCTTAATGCTTGGAGTAGGAGAAAACACTCCTCTTTGCTTCTTTTTCTTGTCTTTTCTATTCATAGACCATGTTGTAACATTTGTACTTATCTACTCCTCTAATCTCTCCGCTACTGGTTGGCGTTAAAGACGGCGGCAAAGGGGAACGAATACCACACAATTAATCAAGAAACCGATTACATTTTCCTAGTGAACAGTCCATTGGGTGATATCGTTATGATATTTGGCAACTCGTTCATCATTTAGCGGTTGGTACCTTGCTGTCTGGGAGGGAGCCCGGCTTCACACTAACAGATGCCTGCAGAATGAGAGTTTATTTTACCTGGTTCTTCATTAACGAGAACGGACCTGGGCGTATAGCTACAGTTGAAAACAACAGCCGCTAAATTGTCCCCAGGAACAAGAGCTTATTAACATAGCCCCGTTTGTTTCACGGGATGGGCTGACAATCACATATTCTACGCATGGGCACTAATGCTTGGCATTTTAACCTTAAAGGCTTGACTGTGGTTGTGGATATTCTACTCATGAGAAGGAATCTCGAGATCTTCATGTGTATTGATCACAAAAGGAGACTCTGCTATAAGTCCTTTAATGGAGCAGATATATATACGTTTCGCCCTTGTTAGCACGTTTATAAGTGTCAAATTCTGGTAAATGTACACAACGATACATATGCATGTTATTTGCTGACATTTTCAACTCCAAACCTTAGTACCTTATAACTTATGTACTGTCTTCGTTCAGAGTTACTGCAAATGGACATGGGAGAGTGTAGCTGAAGATAAAGGGCATGGTGCCTAATTCCTAATTCCTCGGAAAGAACAACCCGGTTTCCCTGACCGACTTGTGATTGTAACTTCATGATCCAAAACTTATAAGAAGAGAACACAGCCTCTATTAGCAATCTCACTAACAGGGCTCTTTGATGACAGCCTATACTGTTTCTCATTCGCGTGCGTGGACTTGCAAGATGGATGCTGCCGTGTAAATCGGTGATTGCCTAATCGGGTAATCAACAAAAGGAAGGCACGGAACGCTACCGCCCTGGTTGGGAATGAACTGCCTGGTCGGCTGTTCCTGCCCCACACGCTCCAATGGTCCCTTCCATGTCATGGAAATTCCTCACCGCCTGGCAGAAAAAGGTGATGCTGACTTTAGCCACTGCGAAGCCTCTGAAGCTATCGTCAATTCTTTTTTGCGCCATTCATTGTTGTAATAAACAACAACAAGATACTGATCTTGTCATTGATCTATGACAAGCGGATCCGAACAAACAAACTTCAACCCCAAAAACTTTCCTCGGATTCCATCCCTGATTCGTGCCTTGTCACTTTGGAACTAGCATCATGTCGTCCACAACCGGCGGTGTTTCCCTCAACCCTGAGGTGAAGTCCAAGAAAGGTGAGTCAACAAGAACTCCTTTAGCCTTGAAAACACCTGCATAGCATTCCTTTTGCAAATAATTAACCCTTCCTAACATGTGTGCCTTGCAGAGAAGAATCTAAAGCGCAAACAAGACAAACCATCCAAGCTTGAGCAGCGCAAGAAGAAGCGCTCCGCCAAAGCCGAGAAGCGTGCTCTTAAGGCTGCCCTTGCCGGACCTAAGGAGGTTGTAGTCAACAAGCCCCGAAAGTCAAAGGCTAAAACGAAGCGAACCGTCACCGATGTAAAGAGGAAGGAGAAACTCAGGGCCCGCGCCGAAAAGCTTCAGGAAAAGGCAAATTTGTTGATGGCAGAGGCCAAGAAGGCCGCCGCCCAATACCAAGCCTTTTTAGATGCCGAGGTGAGCTAATTGATTAGAAAATATTGGCATTGAATCCTAATTGGGTCGTACAGAAAACCGCGAATGAGTCCAAGTCTGAGCATGACGACGACGACACCTCTTCTGACTCTGACACCTCAGACGATGACTCCGACACCTCTTCTGAAAATGAAGGTGGCGCTCCCGTGGCCAAGGAGCCTACGGATGTTCCAATGGACATTCCCGCCGACGAAATCGTGATGAAGCACCGTCGACTGAGTAACGCCGCTTCCGAAAGAAGCCATGTTTCCGCTGCCGACATCCCCGCTGAAGCAGAGGAGGAGCCTAAGTCCAAGAAGGATAAGAAAGACAAGAAGACAAAGAAAGTGAGAGTCGTTGAGCCTAAGGAGGTAGATGAGCAGGCTGTCGAATCTGAGGCCGAGGTTGAGGAACCCGAGGTTTCTGACAAGAAGTCCAAGAAGGCCGAGAAGAAGCGAAAGCGTGCAGCTGAGACCAAGGGCAAGAAGGAGCAAGGATCCGACGATGCTGCGGCTCAGGCTGAGCAATGGCACGTTGACGCTCTTGAAGGTGGTACTGATCGACAGGCCAAGTTCCTACGACTCTTGGGTGGTAAAAAGGCGGGCGCTCCTGTTGCCGCTTCCCAGGGTACCAAGGGCACATCCGATCCTACCAAGGCCGAAGCCGATATCCAGAAGCAGTTCGAGGCTGGCATGAAGATGAAGAATGAAGTTGGTAGCAAGCGTCGCGGTCTGGGCGCATAGTCTTTTCAAGCACCATAATCAGGTTCAGCTGGCGATAGAAGCATGAGGCTTGGTAGAAACTTCCTTGTACGGACACAGAGGGCTGGTATTTAATCTCACGGTTCATGGCATGGCGTCGGGTAGATAAAAAGCAAAGAAAGAAACCCCTTGTTTTATTCTTCGAAAAGAAGTCGATTTATATTGAATCCAGTTTGCGCCTGTTCTCCTCAAGTTCAGTTCCGTGTGATATCAAGACAGCTCCTTCAATAGTGAAATACAGTAAATGCCCTCGTCTCCTTTTCAGCTCCTTCGGCTGGTGGACTGGTGATCCACGCTCATCTGTCGCTTTTGTACGCGTGAAAGCCGGTTCTCTCCTACACCCTCAGAATTGTAATACCGTCGCCTATAGCGAGGCTTGATCGGGTATACTAGTTGCTTGTGTTTTTTTTATGTGTGCTTGTTTGTGTTGTGGTTAAGAGAAGTTAAGGTTCAAGAGATTGCAAGTTTAACCAAAGAATCGTGAGAGTGCTTCGAAGACAAGACCACCGAAGACAACAAAGCCGAGGATGCCTGCAAAAAGAATGCTGTCAGTATATCAAAGCATGCTGTCGCGCTGGTATGCGAGGACATACTAAGCCAGAACATGGAGATAGGCGACTTCTGGACCTTCTCGACACGCTTCTTAACCTGCTCACCCGCCTTGCCCATCTTGGCCTCATTGCCCTTGGCAAAGGCCTCGTTGCGTCGTCGCTGCTGGGGAGTTTGCGCCTGGAAGAGAGGGTATCATGTTAGCTCATCATGCGATCGACACTGGATAGGTAGGTAATTGAGGGTCCTTCCTAGCTTGCAACGTACCATTGTGTCTTAGTGGTATATAAGGGGAAAGGTTGTATAGAACGATGTCGTGGAACGAGGATTTAAGCTGTAGAAGGAATATACTGGAGAGAGTAGACAAGTCGAGAATTGCTTCGGATATGGAAACTGGATCCTGATGTGTTCAAGTAGTCTATTAAGGGACAGATTTCATGGGCCCTGTAAGTTGAGTTAAATGGGCTTGGCTTGGCTGGGGCTGCTAACAATTTTGGGGACATGTGTTCCTTTCCCCTTAATAAAGGCAGAACAAGGGAAGGGAAGGGGAAACTGAAAGACTGTCTCCTTCCCCCACCGGCCCCGCCCCCACCTATCCCTCTAACGCCAGCACAGCCACAGGCAGAAAGGTGCTTGCTATGGCTGGTGTCATGAAGCTCAACTATCGATTGAGGTGTTTCATTTATTCGTTCATCCTTCAACGAGTATCAGCAATCATGATATCTACGACAGTGACAAGGCTACGGCCTATAACTACGCTAAGAGGCATATGTAGCAGGGCGTCTCCCTCGATCAACAGGAGAAGCTTTGCGAGCAAAACGCAGCCCAGCGCAACAGTGCGTATACAAAAACCAGTTACACGCTGAAGCTTGTATTGACAAAGATGTGCTGCAGTCTCAGTTCTACCGGTCCTTCACAAGACCAATCGCAAAGACCCTTCTCATTGCTGTGTTTACATATCAGCTGGCATACTGGACGTGGGTGAAGCTTGAGACAGATGAGATCCGCGCAGAACGAGAAGGTCAGTCTTCAGAGTGAGATGTGAGACGAGACAAGATGACTGATAGTTGCTTATATGTAGCAACAATCGCAGAGCTTGAGACGACGATTAAGGAGTATGATGCTGCGAACAAGGCAAAGAAGGCATAAAAGCCACATATGTCGCGAGAGTAGACGAAATTTATAGTTGAGAATGGATAGCTTTTTATTGGAGATCATGTAGGATCATGATATACTAAATCATTCACATGGTCCTTTTTCCAAACATGTAGTTGCGCAGGACATGGCTCATGACAGTTTACTGATGTACTGCAACGTCGCCCAGTTACGTACAGGGCACAGAGTGACAGGGCGGTCCTTATCATGTGGTCTCGTGATCAAGAGCCCAAAATGTTAAATGTCACTATCTCTAGATATTTTCGCTAAACCTCTAACAAGAAAACGCCAAGTATACCCAAGAACCAGATCTTCTATAGTGCCAGCCAAATCATCAATGACACCGCACTCAGCACTAAAGTGCCTGGGCGAAGGACCTCCGCTGCACTGATTCTTGTCCTCGCCTCGCCAGGGTAGTTACACGTTATACCAGAAGTCTCCGGATCCCGCTGCCCGTAGCTCACGCCAAAGCTCGGGAACCCGGGCTGGGGACAAGTGAAGCCTATGGCAGCTGGACATGACTGGACGACGTCGTAGCAGATGTCCTCGCAGGGTAGCAGCTCTTTGTATGGGCCGGGCTCGACAGTCTGATCGATCCAAGCATTGCGCGAGGAATTGTTTGCAGATGACCTGAGACCCTTGCGGAAATCATCAGGGAGTGTGGTTCCGTTGGGAAAGGCCTGGAAAGCATTACGAACAACGCTATGTCTGCCGCCACCCATCACGTCCTCACAGCGAGGGATACTGACGGTGCAAAGCCAGCGCTTGTAGGCTTCACGACATTGATCGCAGGTTCGTGCTAGCGAGTAGCGAGACTCAGGAGGAGCCTCGCAGGGTATTTGCGCTATGACTTTTTCAAAGTTGGCATACATCTTCCTGGCATAGTCATCGTAGTGTTTTGCCAGCGCGGTGTTGTTGAACTTTTTGTCATTGCCAGGAACAGCATATTGTGTCTCGTTGCAGAAGTCAAGATTTGTAACCATCTTGCAGTTCGTACCTGATGAAATGTTAGATTATATTTGAGCAAACGAGATGAGAATTTGGTCTTACTGGATGAAGTCTGGAACGTAGTAGCACGATAAATAGTGCCTCCACCCCCTATCGTTTGTCCAGATGTATCCCTCTTGCTGTTCTTATCCGGCATCTTGACGAGGATACCCGAGTACGTGGTGCTGTGATTAAGACCAGCGATCAGGAATTGCTGCTTGGGCAATTTACCAGGTCCTCGTGTCGTGACGCCAGTAGTAACCATATCGTTGTGACGTCCTGTCCTCTCACCATTGGCCCAAATTTCTGCACTCCTTGTAAGTCCACAAGCGGAATGTCGTAGGCCGTCAATGGATCTTGATTTCTCATCGCCGACAAAGATTTGATAAGGAGGCGGTGTCTTCATGATCTGCTGAGTCTTGCTTGAATCCTGAGTCAGGTTGCTAGTGACGAGAAGTGCCGATGTTGAGTCAGAATCCATCAACAATAGTCGGGCGGTCCCATTCTGAGCGTCGTAGTTGTGATAGTACTCGTCGAGAGAAATGGCGACCTGATAACTCCATTCTCCGTCGTACTTTTGAGTAAGATTAGGGGCCACGACGCTGATATAGATATCATCGGTGGCGTTCATGGTCAGCGTAACCGCGCCCTCCATGAATGGTATTTTCTTCAAATCAGGATTGCTCTTATTGTAGTTGCCGAAGGTTGGACACTTGACTTTGCTCGTTGTTGAGGTGTAAAGACTAATTTGCGGCGTCGACTCAAACTTCCCGTTTTTATCCTTAGACTTTAAAGTTGGTCTGGAGCAAGTATTGGCGGAAATATAAACGGTTTTTGTCTTTGCTCGACGAACGTTTTGGTGGCCTGACTCCATATCTACATCTGTTAATCCATCGGCATCGTCCCTCTTGTCGTCACCGAATAACGTCTTCTTATCCACAACATAACACACGGTCCCTCCAGGAATTATCGATCTGCTATCAGGGCCATTGTTGGTCAACAATGGCTGGTCCGCTTGCGCACGCCCGATGATGCTGCGATCGAATGGCGCAAAGTTGGGTTCGTATAACAATCCGGACGTATCGCTTCGATCGATAAGTGTTTCATGATCGAAGATGGAGTTTTGTAAAGCTTCGGTATATCCAGGGGCGCAGAGCAACAGGCTCAACACCAAGGCCAACATATATGCTATCGTCGACGTAGAGGGTCGTAATATAGGCGGATTGGGTATCATGACGGGTGGGCGTTCCCTCCAGGGGTCTTCGCCTTTTCGATGTGTACGACGTCGACTTATCGACACGCAAGATGGAAGCAAGCGTAGGTTCGTAGCAGGTGGCTTGTTATTGAGTGCGAGATACCATTGTGGTTTTTCCCAAAGAGGGTGCGCAGGGAGGTCCGTTCGCCCTCGGTATGGAAATTGATGAAGATATAAAAAAGATGAGTTGGGTTCAGACCATGAAAAGACAGACGTTACTCGTCGCAGCTGACAGGCATATCCCGAATTATTCGATGCGCCAAGTAAGGCCATCAAGGGGAAATGAGGCGCAGTCGGTTTCCATCTGGGGACGGGGTGTACAGCCACAGCCACAGCCAGAGCGGGGCCGTTCAACTTGTTAATCGGGGCATTTTGGGACCGGCACGACCCCGACGGTTAACGTTACAGAAAGCTTGGACCCCGCTAAGAAAGGGTTCTTTTACTGAACTACGTCAGCTCACACCAAATCGGAGCAGATCGTAGGGATCGAGCTTGAGCTTGGCTCGAGTGTCAGTAGGAGGATGTGAATTAGTGACATGGTGAGCTGTATACACTATTATGTAGGAAAGACCTAAATAGTCGACCACGCGACAGTTGCAGACAAATGTTTCACGAAGTAGGGGATCTTTCTGCAACGCCTGTAGATTAGAAGCCAGCAGATGTGGGGTGAGCAGGACGGCACAAATCGAAAAACGTGTTCTCGGGAAGCTCCAAAAGGAACATTTATCAAAGTAATTCTATTGTAATACCCGTGGCATTCAATCATCACACAGTCATACGACATGAGAGTCCTCCTAACAACAAAACAACTGCCCTTTACAGCATCCGGCTTGTATAGTTCCCAATCCTGATCCTTCTCATCTCCGCCAAGATCCGTAGCATCTTCGTTGAAGCTGCTTTATTTCTTCAAGTAACTATTTTTCGTTCCTATAAACCAAAGTTGCTTGATCCGGGTCATGCGACGTACGCAAGAGTTAGCTTAGCGATCAAGCTGCACCTCTGGGACCATTTATTCGGTCTTATCGAGGCCGTCAGCCTTGGCGCGGAGGCCAGAGGCGGTAGAGCCCGTCTGCTGGAAGTATCGGCCGAGCATAGGGGCCAGGAAAGATCGAAAAATGAGCTCAGCACCACTATTCAGGTCAATATTCGAATCAAATCTTGCCGAGAGCGGGGCGAGTGTAGACCCGCAAAAGGACTTACCGGAAGGCAGGAAGAGAGAGCCAGAGGAGGAAGATGAACTTGAAGACGAAGTAGAAGGGGAACCAGTAGACAACCTGGACGAAGCTCTCGAGCACAGTGAAGAAAGAGAAAACAACCCAATACTATAGAACCAGTTAGCAGCCGTTTGCGAGCAACATTAGTCCGGCAAAGTCCGGTGTTGGCTTTGGCGGTAAGGAGAAGGGGCCACGTACAGTCAACCACTGAGTATCATCGTCCTTGTTGTGGGTAAAGAGCGCAGCAAGCGAGTAGTAACCGGGAATGACGAATCCAGCCAAGTTGGTCAGAAGCTGGCCTCCGAGGTTGAAGATAATGAGGAAGAAGTAGAGAGCGCCAACGCCGATGGCAGCATAGGCCTTGGGGACACCAGCCTGCTTCTCGAGGTTGTTAAGGGCGGGGTACTTGGAAAGCTATTGTGCGAATGGCATCACCGTCAGCATTTACCCAGATGCGTAATTTGTGTGAACTGCGAGAGCTATCACAGTTAAATAATTGAGGGGGGAACATACCTCACGGTCGAGCTGACCCAGGTATTGTGTGGCCTTGTCTTGAGCGGACATTGTCGGTTATATTTTGGTATGTTTGTGATATTGCAAGGTTGATTGAAACTGTAGAGTTGGGAAAAAAGACGTTGGAGGGGTTGGTGTGGTGTAGTGTATCGAAATAGCTGACTTAGCGCCCAATACGTAAGAGGAGTTTGAGAACCTGAGAGATAAAGAGAGACAGCTGGAGGGCAGCTTTTATCGCGGCGCTAAGTCCAGCTGAGACGGGGAAAGATGACCTAGGGTAATAACGAATCTTGGAAGCGGGAAGGAGATTGACACCCGACCCGGCAGCGTCGGTGACAGCCCTGGAGTAAAAGCGAGAGTGACAGTGACGGTGTGTCGGTCGGTGGCTTGTGACCCTATAAATTCGGGGCTTTTTTTATTTGCTACGTGGTTGGGGTGCTAAGGCGATCAGCGAACTCGCTTGGAGACGTGTGTGATGATCTGCAGGTGATTGAAGATTGTTGTGTTCCGTATTTGTCTAGCAAAACAGTTTTTACATAAAACACAGGTTAGTATTTTGAAAAATTCTTCTTATTTCACCGTTGACTGTGATGCAGAGTCCTTTACAAACCATATGTCCAGGACTAAAACGCAGTCATGATATACATCCCCCGATGCGTGAATCTGCCTCTCATTGTTGGACTCGACGATTGAAAGTATGACGCAAAGCACCTTTGTCTTGCGCTATTCCGCACTATCACATGTATCAACCAAGAGTGACAACAACAGCACATGGGCAAAGGAAGAGAATTACATCATTTACAGCAACGACCACCTTGGCTGCAGGGTAGCGAATAGTAAGGTATTCATCTATTGGCGACGTATTAAATACCAAAAATCGGAAAGGATGTGCAAGAGGACTTGCAGGATATATACGTCTTGATGGGACTCTTGTTTTCAAGTCGACTGAAGAATGAGTTTACTTATTTACTTGTCCTTGCAAAGGGCCCAGGCGTGTCTGTCTCGTCCGTCTCTCATTTGTAGTGGCCTAATGGGTCGACACTGTGAATGTGATCTCGTGAACGCATCAGACTGAACCCAAATGCTCAACTCAACTGCCCATTGACTAACACAGACATGCATGTGCTCTCCTTGACATCCGACATCTCCCCCAGACAACTGAATAATATCCGTCAAACGTCGATCATGGCTGAACCATTTCTTGCTCGTTGCTATTCACGTTGCAACGGAACGGCCGATCAAAGACTGTTCAGGGCAACCATGAACATCTTCCATAGCTGAGAACGCATCCGAGTCTCGCGCCGGAACCTTTTGGGCGTGAAGGGAATAGCAGACCCAAGCCTCAAAGACACGGATCGAGACATGATCGTAAATAACAAGATTGGCAGCCAGTCAAAAGCTCGTATGCTGTAATAACAGGAATTTCGGCTAATTGGCGTCCTTCATCAAGTATGGCTTCTACTGCCGGGCCTTGGAGTCCAATGAGCGTGGTCTAAGACAAGCCAATAGAACAAAGTGGGTTGTTCCCCGCTCAGGATTACCTAACCCGACCGAGACCAGGCTTCCTAACTTTCTCGTTGACCTCGCAACGACAAACCAAGCACAACAACAGCTCCATTGCTTCAGCTTTCATTACCTCTCAGAGCCGGCCAAATATACCCTTGCAGCTCCCTGCGCGGCTTCATTTGGACCGTCTTCTTTCTAATCAGCTGTTGAACCCTTTTTTATTTCTTCGTCGCGTCTGTGGTTGTGTCTTTTTCCTGTCGAGGCTCATTGTTATTGACCTGGCGCATCTGGGCCCCAGCCAATGTTTGTTGTTTGAGCCCACAAAATTCCTCGACTTCGGACCTTAATCAACACAGAGCACCTAAGTATGGACCAAAGTGAGTTCACTTTCTCCCTGTTTTTCTCCCCTCAAACCTGAACCCAAAACAAAACCTTCTTTACGTGTCAGGCCTTCAACAAAACGACGCGCTCAGCCTCGACATAAAGGTTTTCGGTTCTTTCCCATTAGGGTTCCCCTTTTGCTCAATCCACCAAAGTTCATATGTATTGACAGAATCCCAAGTGGACATCTCAGGTTCAGGCCAAGCACCAGCACCTGCTACCCGCGCCTCTGCCAGATCGAATAGACGTCCTCTCTCTCAGGCATCGACAGCTTCACTGAACAGCCTCGAACATTCTGGCTTCGCCGACACCTCGGATATGTACGGGGGGCAATGGATGACAAACGAACAAGCCCAGGCTCAGGCTCAGGCCCACGCGCATGCGCACCCTCAAGCCCATGGCCATGGTCACAGTAACAGCCATGGCCACATCAAAGAGATGGGCGGTGGACCGATGTCGACGGAAGAATTGATGCTGCAAGTACCGCATCTTCAGGGGGCATCAGAATACGCCATGGATGCTTCCATGAGTGCTCCAATGGGCCACCCAATGCCTTACCAACAGAGGCATCACATGCAACGGCATCCTCTTCCTGCTGAACAGTACAACAACAACGCTAGCTTCACCGAGGGAGACAGCCAGATGATGGAAAGGGATGAAAATGACGAGGGTGATTCCGTCCCCAATATGCCTGGACCCGCGAAGCCTGCGTCAACCCGATCGAGTGCCAACAATGAGATGGAAATGAGACAACTATTTGGTATCAACAGGCATCGCAGCCTTCAAGACGTAGCTGGCGAGCTCCATGGTAACGAGCGAGGGCCTAACTCGGAGCGAACCAGACAAGTATTCGCCATGCTTTGGTATGTGATGGGAGTCGTGTTGCAACTGCCACCTTGCTGACCACCATGTTAGGATCAATTCTGTTTGTACTAAGGGTAAAGGCTCTGTTCCTCGAGGGCGAGTTTATGCGAACTACGCGTCGAGATGTGCCAGCGAGAGGATAACTGTACTCAACCCTGCCAGCTTTGGTAAGCTTGTTCGGGTTTTGTTTCCCGGCCTCAAGACACGTCGGCTCGGTGTTCGAGGAGAATCTAAATACCACTATGTCAACTTCCACCTGGATGATGATGCGCCTGAGGCTCAGGAACAATCAGTACAACCGACACGGTCTATGTCTGAGGCTACGTGTTTCACTCAAAGCTTCAAGTATGCTACTCCTCGTGCTCTTATCATTGATGCCAACTAACCAAGAGCCAGTACCCTTCCTTCTCAGCCGAGTGTCAACTTGAGCCAAGGCGCCCTGCCTTCCCCTCACATCGGCAGTGAAGCCAAACCCTCTACAGGATCGCGCCAGTCTGGTTTTGAATCACACAGCTTATACAACCAGCCTGAAGTCCCTAGTATCGATCACCTCAACTCTACAACAACGAAAACTCAGATCGAGTTCGCCTTTTCCTCCGAACACGAAGAGCCTATCGACCTCTCTGACCCTCTTCCTCTTCCTTCTATCGAACTGTTCCTTCCTGAGGGGACCGACCCAGATGCTGCCAAGTCTTTGTCAGCCTTGTACCGATCCCACTGCACATCATTAGTCGAGTGTATCAGGTTCTGTAAGGGGAAGACATTCTTTCATCTGTACACCTCCTTCCAGGGAACATTGACAATGCCTGTGCAGAAGCTGTTTAGTAACCAGGCTTTGGCCCCCTGGATCGAGGAATGTGATTTTGTGCTTTACCAGCGCATGATGAGGATTGTATCTGGCCTCGTCCTCCAAGTTGTGCCAAAAGCTGTACTATCAACTCTGAAGGAGATCTCACAAAGATTGGTTCTTCACATTCGCGAGTCTTTTCAAGGCCAACCCCCACACGTGTTACGTGCCAAGGAAGGACCCGCGACACTTTTTGCTGGTCTTCTGGATCGGGCGCTGAGAGTTAATTTGACTGCTCACGCTGCGGCTAACATGCTGTCTAACACCGCGAATCGTGATCAGATGTACCTTGATTGGATCACCACGATCAAAACCCGCAAGCTTGCCGAGTGTATACCAACTCGAGGTATGGACGATGTGGTGAATCTAGTGCTCCAAGATATCCGAAATCTTCTTGATCCTGGCAAAGTGCCGTGGGAGGTGGAATGCGTTACCCTTTACGGGGATGTTGTATCTCGCAGCGGTCGATCCTTGGAGGAGGATGGAAACACAAGCGAGTCTGGAGCGAACGTGCTGGATCGCTGGGTTGCATTCCTTCGAAGTCTTCCCGGAAAGTTTCCGTATGCTTCACCTACCCAGATCATGTGGTGTGTTGAGCGTATTGGAACAGTAGTAATGCGAGATATCACCGTTTCAGGAGGTGACAGCTTCGGTGCGTGGTGGGTGACAAAGACGTGGGTAGATGAAATGATTTGCTTAATGGCACAGCAAGGAGGATTCATGAAGCAGAAGAGTAGCCGCACAAGCGGCACAACTACATCATCCCCCCCTCAGGCAGCCAAAGAAAAGAGCCGACAAAACTCCCGATACAGCAGTGGCAGCGATGAACTCAACATGAACAACACATCTCAAAACCAAGGCGAACGTGCGCCTTTTCCGCCAGTTGGCAAAGTCAACCAAAACTCAATGGGCATGAGTGGTGGTGACATACACGACGACAGCGGAATCGGGATTAGAACACCAGAGGACGAGTTTCCTATGGAAAGGTTCGGCTTCCCTGGTGCAGAAAACCAGGACCATGGACTGTTGACGGGGACAGACTTTGCTCCTGAAGGACTGTGAGAGTTTTGAGTACGCCCGAAAAAGAGCAGCCTTGTTTTGGTGTCGAGTTGATATGGGACTGGCGTTTTGGGGGGTTTTTTTTTTTTTTTGGGAAATTCAATACCCTTTGGCGAATTGTAATACAGTATTCGGTGGTTCCCAGAAAAGGTGTCTGCGGAATGACGGAACGAAGAAATGATGATCTACCGCAAGTTGGTGGAGAAGTTTGTAGGCAGCGAGAGTTTGGTTTATGGGGAGCTACTGGCTAGAGTGCTTCTTTGGTTGTTTCTGCGTTTGCAGAATGTGGCATTGGATGAGGAGTCTCACTTATCAAGCACGTCACGAAGGCGTTGGCTTCTGGGAAACCATGGGCCACATGATGGATTGTATTGGGTGAGTTGGACTACCAACATCATACAGATTACATCAATCTAGCAGAGCTTCAAAGCATATATATTATTAATTCACGTTTCGGAAGTGACCCATTTGTGTATATTTGCAGTGTGGCAGAGGTTGCAAGCATTGAGTTCTGACTTTGATTGGTTGAGTTGCCAGTTACAAGCCTAAAGCTATTTGTGGTTGGCATGTGACGCTCATATAAACATTGTGCATCTAGACGCGCATGTTGTATCACAGCTAATTATTTATGTCCCTGTAACACTCTCTAGACTTTCCTATGGCTGGTATCGTGGATACAGCAAGTGGTGTATGTATGGGCATGGTCAAGCAGCGTGGAGCTCTGGAAATAGCGAAGTGGGGCCTTATAAACGTCTCAATATTGATGTGATAATACTTTGCTTCTTGGGCTTTAAAGTGACCTAGATAATGATACAGAAAGCAGCAACTCAATTTGGTTCTTGGAAGTAGCTGAAACTGTTTCTTCTCATCGGAACTTTTCCCCTTTAGTCTCATACCTCTCTTATATTTGAGATAAATCTGCAACGTCTGGTAGCATGCTTTAGTCCCACATTAATATGCAAGGCCTATGGAAGGGCAAGGAAAGGAAAGCAACAAAGCCGAAGACGGAACCTCGCACCAAAGTCGAGTCATAGTATGAAGAGCCATATACACGAACACAGGATGAACATATCATTGTATTTGAGCATGAGCTGTTATTCGGAGGTAACTTCGGCCATTCTATAAATGATATGATGTTGCTATATCTGTTTATTCGAAAGCTGACAGGGGAAAAAGTGCATCTCGTTGTTGACATTTGGTGACCGCATCCAATCATCTTGAGACCTTTTTGGCTCCGTTCCCGGACGGCGGCACTTGTATTCATATCCCGTTTCGTAGGTATATTTATGTTCATAACCTCCAAGGACACTTTTTACTTCAGGTCTTATCCTTCTCTTTTTCTTTCAGAATATACCTACCTGGAGATTGCTACTACTCAAGAATTCAAATCACCACGACAGCTGACTGTGTGCAAGCCTCTAGAGCAGCACTATATACCTATACAAGATCACCAACATCTTCGACGCCTTACAAGTTATATATCTTTACACGAGTATTCGAATCTACTCTCACCTCACCTCACTCTCCTGACTACATCATTCGACACTCCCAAGTGGGTGCTGATTCGAGGAATCCGGACGTGACTCGGCGCTTGTCCGTGGGTACAAGTACGGGTACATAGACGGTGCCTTATTAGTGCCTCAATCGAGATTTTTTCCCTCTCTGTTACCCAGCCCCGGGAAAAAAGGAACTCCACCAACAATCAATCAATTCTCTCGCCATCAACCTTATTTATAGTGGCAATAACAAAGGGAAAAGAGGATCCACGCAATTCTTCATTTCATATACCTATTACAGCAGTCATGGGGAGCCTCTCGTACAGCAATTCGCCGTCTCTTGGCTGGGTCGTCCAGAAATTCGGCGGTACCAGCGTGGGCAAGTTTCCGGACAAGGTTTGTCATCCCCCGTTTGTCCTCGGAGAACTATTGCTGACATAATTCTTTCTAGATTGCAAGGGATATTGTCAGGTATGACTCCTTCTATTAAGCATGAGATTGAGAAAAGAAAAGAAAGGGAACAAATGAGACGGAGAAAAGATGATTTAGATCTATCGTGTCTAACCCCGCCAATAGAACCACATTGTCTCAGAACAGGGTCATCGTCGTCTGCTCAGCCAGAAGCACGGGTAAGAAAGCAGAGGGCACCACCAGCCGGTAAGTTCTTATTTACATGTTTGCTGTATACGGACTCTGTCCGTAAAAGCAAATGCCCACATTTGAGGACTAACCGTCAAATAGATTACTCGCTGTCTATGGCAAGCTCAGGGGCGTTGGCGCTGCCATAGCAATTGACGAGGAGCAGCAGAACGAATTGGTTGAGCAGGCTCGTGGATTAATGCTCGATATCTGCAACGACCACGTCTTTGCTGCCGAGGCTTTCATCAAAGATCAATCTCTGCGTGATACGCTCATACAGACCATCAAGGATGAATGTCAAGAGCTAGTCGAGTATATTGTTGCTGCCAAGCGATTCAATCTCGAAATCAACTCAAGAGCAAAGGATCGTGTTATTAGCTTCGGTGAGAAGTTGAGCTGTCGGTTCATGGCGGCCCTTTTGCAAGATATGGTGAGTGCCCCATATCTCACCCACATCCCCTTTTACTAACACTATCCAGGGCGTCGAATCTGAGTATGTCGATCTTTGCGACTCATTCCACTATGATGCTGCGGGCAGACTCGACGATAAGTTCTACCGCACCGCTTCTGAGGCATTCACCCGCAAGATTGCCGCCTGTGAGAGCCGCATCCCCGTTGTCACTGGTTTCTTCGGCAATGTCCCTGGTAGTCTCATCGACGGTGACATTGGCCGCGGCTACACTGACCTGTGCGCCGCTCTCTGCGCCGTGGGTGTCAAGGCAGAGGAACTTCAGGTCTGGAAGGAGGTTGATGGCATCTTCTCGGCTGATCCGTCCAAGGTGCCCACGGCACGCCTGCTCTCATCTATCACACCCTCGGAAGCAGCTGAGCTGACCTTCTATGGCTCAGAGGTCATTCACCATCTCACCATGGATCAGGTCATTCGTGCTGAGCCGCCAATTCCTATTCGCATTAAGAACGTGAAGAACCCCCGCGGCAATGGCACCATTGTTGTTCCTGATCGCATGCGCACGGCTAGTCATCAACTTACACGCGGCTCTCCCAAGCTTGAAGCCGACCACAAGAAGCCCAAGAGACCTACTGCCGTCACCATCAAGGATCACATCAGCGTCATCAACGTGCACTCAAATAAGAGGTCTATCTCGCACGGTTTCTTTGCCCGCGTCTTTCGCATTCTCGACACCTACTCCATCTCTGTCGACCTAATTTCTACTTCCGAGGTGCACGTCTCCATGGCCATCCACTCGAGCAGCCAACAGGTCGAGGCCTTTGGCAAGGTTACCGAGGAGCTCGCAGAGTGTGGTGATGTGAGCGTGCTCAGCGACATGGCTATTCTGAGCTTGGTGGGTTCTGAGATGAAGAACATGGTTGGTATTGCAGGCCGCATGTTTTCTACTCTTGGTGAACATAACGTCAACCTCGAGATGATCTCGCAGGGTATGTATATGTCCAACTTGACCGTCTTGATGAGCAGTATACTGATAAAAGGGAACAGGTGCCAGCGAGATCAACATTTCCTGCGTGATAAACGCAAGAGATGCTACTCGGGCTATGAATGTATTGCATACCCATCTCTTTACCTTCCTTGAGTAGATGGAAAACAGGGGACGCTTTAGTTATGGCATAAATGGCGTTTATGGAGTTTTGACGGTAAAACCTCTATAGAATATTGACTATACGTAGCATTTGATGAATGTCAAAGTGATTTCACAGTACCTTGATCGTACTATACTTCGATGATGAATACATTCAACGTAGATGTTGCAAGTCTAGCACTTAAATTCAGAAATTGCTCAGTATATTGCATATCTCTTGTCCGTAATCAGTCGCAAAATCGCAATAGATACAATACATCTCTCCATACCTAGACCAGAGATTAATGTATGATACAGGGTAAGCATGAGTCCACTGCCAATGCGGGGCATCTGCTGGTGGGCTGCGACACCCCCTGTTAGAAGCTAGAACCACCCGCGGACCGACCAGCAACTTCTCTACAGATATAACATGACCTGGCCTCGCGAACCCATATTCCTACAAGTGATTCACTGTAACATTGATCTTCAATCAAACCCATCAATAAAAGCTGCAAAACAACAGAACACAACCTCTCGTTGACGACTCCAATATTCGAACAATCGTCCAATGCCGAAGCCGCTATAGATGGACAACCCGGCTGCCACATGTTAGACGCAACCAAACCACCTCGATGAACGAATTGAGCGCCGTTTCATGGCACTGCAGAGTACCCAATCGATAAATAGAAGCCACGAGAGATAAAGGGGCAATAGAGCGTTTGCAGGAACCCGGAACCATAAACCAACAACCTAAATCGCGATACATACACCTCTTCAACCATGTATAGGTCTAAAACGGGTGCTGCCAATCGTGGCAGCATCCTCAGCACTCTCAAGGCGACTGAGATGCTAGACACGAAAGCCAACCTCCCGGCGGGTATGCGCAACACTGTTATCGCCAGACCGAGCGCCTGCAGCTAACTTATATGATGCTTAGAGATCCTGGTGACGATTATCGACTACCTACCCGTCGCCGACCAGCTGCGCTTCGCCCGCACTTCGCACCGCATGCGAGATATGGTCTACGATGACACACGATGGGTTTCTCGACTGAAAAGCATGGAATGTTGGGATGAGCTCGAGGCTCGACGTCGATTCGAGGAAGCAGTGCGACGAAGACGAGAGTCAGCAAATGCGGCGACGAAACAGGCCAAAGGTATCACAGGCCCTGCGCAGCCGACAGCAACAACACTATTCGATGCGTCGTTAGAAGAGGCCAAGAACCGCGCCGTGGCGGACATCCGTGATGGTTTCGAGACAATGGCGGTGGGGGCTTCGTCGAACCCCGCTGAGGATCCGGCGGCATATTTGGATGTTTTCAAGAGAGTACGGAGTATCAGAGGCGGTGCGAGGCATGAGTACGGGAAGATATATGCTGCACTGGCACCCTTCTACTTTGACCTTGCGCGGGCAAAGTCTCATGCGGATCCTATCATCTTCCAGGCGTTTCGCGATCCAGAGAAACAAGCGCAAATGCTCGCCAATCTGAAGAGATTCGCCCATAGCGACTGGTCGCCAGGATGTCACGAGAGAGAGGAGAAGCTCCAGTCCATGATGGGTATTTTCGAAAGCGCCGTCCTCCGAGAGTTTGAGCAAGGCTACGAATTTTGGGATGTCGATGGACGAATGCATCGCTATGCACATGTCCTACACATGCTCGGGGGCGCAACAGGAGGCGTGGATATCTTCATCCACAAGCACCCCATTTTCAACGATGATGAGTTGTTGGTGGTAAATGCTATGGACTGTCTCAATCAAGCGACAGACGACGAAAAGATTATACTAGAGCCTTCGCGGCTGTTCTTTGAGATGCTGCTTGCCAAAGTAAACGAGCAAGCTTCGGTGATGGAACGCATCTTTCCCGAACCTGCAGATGTGTTCTGGATATTTGTGGAAAAGGTCAGGGAGGATATTATTATGGAGTATTCGACACCACTATTTGACGAAGCCCACGAACGTAGTATGGAAGCCTACCTCAAAGCTGTGTCCGGCGTCTTTGAGCAGACACTGCTCTTCTTCCAATCCCTTACACCCCCCGAGGGATCGAAGCGAGATGTCAAGGAGATGGCGAAGGAGCTCTCATTGCGCGTTTTCGAACCCCATCTGGACCTTTACCTCCAAGCTGAGCTGGAATTCTTCACAAATCATGCCGAGACAGAAGTAGCAAGCTGGGAGAAGAAGCTCTCTGAGCAGGATTCATCCTTGGAATCTTTCTACATGTCAAACATCAACCGCTCGGCCGACAAGAAAGACTTTCTAAGTTCGTTCAAGAAGGTCGTCATGATGCCTGTTACTGTGCTTCCCAGCTTCCCCATGGGATCCCCCTTTGCAGCAAACAGGTCTTCATCGGCGAAGCCAACATTACCAGCAACCAAAGAGTTGAATGGTTCTGGAACACTTACCCCTCAGCCCTCGAGACCAGAGAGTCCTAGTGTTGGGCTCGATGGCACAAGAAGTCCGTTGCCCGCTCAGGCACCTACTGACGAGCTTGCAGCCAAGGCGGCCATCATGGCGTCCAAGCTCGAGGGCATCAAGTCGCTGTTTAGTATTGAGGTGGCACTCAATCTGGTGCACGCCGCCAAAACCAGTTTGGGACGTGCTGCTGTCTTTATCAGCCTCGGTGGACAAGCTGGGGGAGAAGCACGAGAGCAGTGCGCGAGTATATTCGTGGTATTACTCCGCATTCTGGGACAGAAACATGTCAAAACTGGTTTCGACATGGCTGTCGATCACCTTTCGCATTATAACCCTCGAGAGGTCAGCGATCACAACAAAGCTGGCGTGGCACCCCTCGTTACTTTCATCGAGCTTGTTAACGTTGGAGATCTAATCTCACAGATGATCGATGTCTTTTACGAGCAGCAACTTGCAGCCCCCAAGATTGCAGACCGCAACGATTTCTTGGACCCAGCGGGCCTGGCCAAGAAGAAGTTTGAGCAAATGCTCGATGAGAGTGTGGCAGCTGGCCTGAACAAGGGTATTGATGTTCTGATGGACGAGGTTGAGTATCTTCAAGGTACAACTCAACCACCAACAGACTATAACCCCATCGACCCTTCAGCCGCATCCTCATCCTCTGCTTTTGGATCTGGATTTGGCGGCAGTTCACACACCATAGAGAAGCCTGCAATGCTTGCTGCAGAGCCAGATATCGGCCCTACGGCCACGGCTAAGCGCATCGTTGAGCTTGTATCGTCCCATACGAAGATGCTTGTCGGCACGACGGACAAGTCTATGCTCGATGTATTCAATGGTGAGGTCGGCCTGCGCCTCTTTACCGCTATCTGTAAGCATCTCAAGCGACAGCGTATCAGCACCGATGGCGCAATCACTCTCATCGCCGATATGAATATCTACTATGAGTACATCCGCACACTACGCAACGCGGATCTACTCGCCTACTTTGCCGCCCTGCGCGAGCTAAGTCAAATCTTCCTCATTGACCCCCGGCACGCGCGCGAAATGGCAACAGTCATTGCTGACGGTGATCGCTTTGGCGGCGTGTTTCGTGCAGAGGAAGTCTACGAGTATGCCCAGAGAAGAGCAGATTGGTACCAGGTCAGAAAGAGTGTTGAGAGGGCCATGTATGGACTTGAGTGCGTGGTTATGTGAGGAACTAGAATAGACCGAGGCTGTGCATCTGGAAATGTTTACGTGAAAAAGATGGCGATATCATGAGGACATGTCGGGAGCGAGCGTTTGTTCGGGAGATATGATATGTAAATGGCTTTAAAATTTATGAGCATGAATGAATCTCAGTATCTAATATTTAAAAAATGTCCCGTTTGGAACCAAGCCGTGTCCCCTTTGCCAAATGCTACATGTTTCCCTCATGTGTTGCAACCTAAACGCCAAAGAATGCCCAGCAAAAGCACATGCCCTATGTTCACCAATATCTGCCTCATCTTCCCCTTTCTATTTCATACCACCAAAATCAAGTTTGCGGGCAACCTTGGACCCTCTGTCATCCTCGATCACGCCTGGCCGTCGCTTCAGATCAGCGCCCATCTTGTCATCAGCCCCCGTGCCGCCCTTTCGAGGCAGATCTTGCTTGCGAGTGGGTTTGGGCTCGGAGTGCCACCAAGGATGCTCGAGCATGCCACGGGCTGTGATGCGCTTTTTGGGATCGAGAATGAGTGTCTTCATGAGAAGATCTACGCCATCGGAGCCTACGGTACCAAATCGCATTTCGTACCAATCCTTTCCGCGCACGGGATGTTGCCCAGGGACAGCGTAACCAGGTAGTTTGGTAACGCCAGGCCAGTTGTCGTCGGTCGGAGTGCCGACAAGCTCGCAGACAAGACGGACCTGGTCGAGATCGGTGTTGCCGGGGAGGTAGGGCGCACGCATAACAAGCTCGGCAAAGACGGTGCCGACCGACCAGACATCAACGGCACCGCTGTAATGCTTTGCGTCGAAGAGCAGCTCAGGGGGTCGGTACCAGCGGGTGATGACGCGCGAGGACATAAGCTGGTGAGGATCGGCGAAGCTGCGCGCAAGACCAAAATCAGCAAGCTTGACCTCGCCGTCATCGGCGATCAACAAGTTGTTTGGCTTGATATCACGATGGAGGACAAAGTTCTCGTGACAGAACCAGACAGCACGGGTGAGCATGCCCATCCATGTCTTGATGTCTGCGGCACCGTAGCGAACGGACTCGGTGTCGCGAATGAGCATCTCGAGATCACCGCGGGGCAGATACTCGAGGACGAGGTTGAGGTTTTGGTCCTTTGAGGAGAAAACGGAGAGGAGAGAGATGATGTTTGGGTGGGAGAGCTCCTGAAGATGCTTCAATTCGCGGACGGCGTCGGGAGCCATGCCCTCGTCGTATTCTTTCTGGACTTTGATCTTCTTGATGGCGACAAGTTGGGTGGGCTTTGAGCGGAGGTGGCCCAGGAAGACGACGGCGTAGGTACCTTCACCCAGTTTTTTGCCTATGAACATTTATGTTAGAACACAAACATAAAAAGATTTTAGGTATGTAAGCATACCCTTGACATATTTGCGCTTCTCCTCATCGTTCATCTGCTCGGCAAGATCGAGAGTTGTTGGGATGCTGGTCTGCACAGGCGCAGAAGTAACAGGAGGCATGGGCGTTCCGTTGGACGAAGATGTTTGCGAAGTGACATTCTTCAAAGGCGAAGAGATTGCGCGTCCCAGACTTTGCGGTTGACCGCCCTCGACCGTGTGTGTTACAACTGGTGAGAGCGCCATGTTGACGGTGGTCGGAGAACAAAGCGACTCTGGGTGGTTTAGGATGGGAGCTGGAACGGCCAGCTGAGGCACGGTGGAAGGTCCCCTAGGAGAATGAGACTGTGAGGTGTTACAGGTGCTTCGGCGAGTAGCTGCGCTGTAATTTGCGAGAGACAGGCTTGGGCTAATGCTTGTTATTGGGTGTGTTTGGTGTAGTTGAATTGGGTTGTTGGTCTTGGTCTGGAGGAAGCTTAAGAGCATGCTTATCGTTATCGGGAATTCGAGATCGGAGCATCGGCGCTTATCATGCCGATGTGCGGATGTCTCGGGTACGTATCTTTCTCTTGGCTGTCTGACTTACTGACTTACACCACGAACATTAGTACCTACCACGGATAGATGCATCTCGTTTCCTCCTTGTCACTTTCTTACATCATCGAGAGATCAAGAGTTCACGACGCGACCTTGTCATGTCCCTTTGTTTTGACGAGCAATATGTTACCCAGCAACATGTGGCGATAAAGCCTTTGGTCTTTTGTCAATCATGGGCATCGCTGAAGCCGGTTGCTACAGTAAAGAGCCCTCTCCGCAATGGGAGGAGGGGTTCGTGTGGACTGTAATTCGATAAACCAACTCATGATGCGAAGCCGAAGTTGAAGATTGGCGGTTATGCCGTGATTGGTACATGTAAACGCCTATATGGACGCCTCGTGAGGGGGAATCTTTCGACAACCAGCCCCAAACTATTGTCGTTGACGATATTCCAGCAAGATAGATACGGCGACTGGAAAGCTGTGAGCCCGTGATCACTTTGACACTCTTCTAATTGTTCATTTACTCTCACTTCCTCAAGAAAACAAGTTGCCACCATGGCTAAGAGTAAAGAGTACGGCTCAATGGCTTGATTGCCAGCCATTGAGACTTCATGTTCATAGCCTCATGGCTCTCTTGACGGTATCATAGATTCTTTACTCCTTGAACCAATGATGAGGAAGTGAGGGGAAGCGATTTGGCTATTTAAGACTGATCTTTGCCCATGGTTTGAGTATGTTTCTGATTTCAATATCCCACTTGGTTCGTTACATCTGATCCTGAAGCGGACATCTTCTTTTCTATCTTTCTCTTGGACAACCTTGACCATGAGACTGACAGTCCCTTTTGTTGCGCTTTGCGCAGCCCCTTCTGCCATTGGCTTCATCTTGCCAGACAGCTTCAAAGACCTCGCCCACAGCAAGCTTGATCCTGAGTCTACTCACTCCAAGGACTACGATCACATTCTTGACCTTTCCGACAAGAATGAGGAGCATGATCATGGTCTTGCTAAGCACAAGCTCAAGACTCACAAGCATAAGCACAAGCATCTTCACCCCCATGAGCATATCCACCACGACTACCACAAACATCCCATCAAGCCTTGCCATATCCTGACTACGGAGAGGACCTGCAAGGACTTCCATGGACTCACCGACGAGGTAGAGAAGGTGGTTCATGTTGTCCAGACCAGGGACTGTGGTAATGATGAGCATTGCTGGCACGTAAGTTGATATACACATCCAGAGTTACACCTTGGCAGATCTAACCCCTGAGTCACAGGAAGTCGTCAAGTACATCTACGGGCTTGAGCACAGCCTTGACTTGTACGACAAGCACATCGACAAGACTACCCTCCGCAAGTGTTTCAACTGTGACCAGGAGGCCACCATTGTTGAGTGCTACTACGACGTAAGTTCTACTCAACTCTAATAGGGGTCAAAGACAAGGCTAACGTTTGTTCAAGTATGCCGATGCTCTCATCCGCCTCCTCAAGGTTCTCAAGCACAAGAGCAAGTACCTCGAGGGTGAGGTCGACCGTCCTGTCCTCACTGCTATCAACAGTCTTCGTGTCGCCAACTACGTGAGTAAACCCTTTGGGACAGCATATGGTCTTTTATACAGGCACACTGACTGGTACGTAGGCATTGACTTATGAGTTTGGCCGCCGCATCAACTGCAAGGAAACTCTCAAGGACATCATGGAGAAGCAGGGTGCCAACGACGGCAGCACCAAGGGCAGCATCCAGCAGGCCTTTGAAAAGTTCATCTACACTCCCCTGATCACTGGTGAGGACTTCAAGAACAAGGGCTCCTACGAGAGCTCAGAGAGCCGCCGCGAGAAGAAGTTCAAGGACGAGGATGAAGAGGAGGAGGAGAGCGGGTACAAGAAGGACAAGGTCCACAAGCACCATCACGAGCATTTCCATGGCCACAAGCATGGCCACGGCCACGAGCACAAGCATGGCCATCTCCATGGTCATCTTCACGGCCATAAGCACGGCCACGAGCACGATGAGCACAAGCATGACTACGAGCATGATTACGAGGACAAGCACGAGGATGAGCCTCACTACAAGCATCTGAACGTGCGTGGCTACAGGGACACTGTTTTCCAAGACAAGAACACTTACTCACAAGGCCCCAGTAACGATTACTACTTCGAGGAGCCGTCCAGGGGTTACCGTGGCAATTGTCCGGTGCAGCCGCAGAGGGAGGAGGACCGTCGCTTGGAATGGCAGAAGAATAATCCGCTCCCTTTGTACGGGGATGTCGTGTTCCAGCCGCGTGAGGACCGTCGCCAGAACTATCGCCAGAACTATCGCCAGAACTACCACCAGAGCTACCCCGATACCTATTCTGCGAGTTGTCCCGAGAGGTTTCCCGAAAGGTATCCTCAGAGTTACCCTGAGAGTTATCCCGAGAGGGATCATGCTCCCGAGTGGTTTTCTCCTGAGCGCAGTCCTTACAACCACTACCACGACAGCCATGGCCGGGATTAAAAGATGGTAGAATTGTTTTCATTGCTATAGAAGGTAGACTTACAGACTTACAGGCTTACTAGAGTCTGTTGTCTTTTTGCAGTAATGATACTGGTGGATTGTGATTGGTAGAAGCAGAGTTGCAGTGGGATGATAGAAAAAAGAAAGAGATCTTCTACTTCAGCCCATGCATGATTCATTGTGTGCAAGGTCAAGGATTTGTCAGACCCCCCCTTGATAATTGATTTCCATTGTCTCCACAATGGTTGAGGCTTATTTTGGGCTGTGACAGACTATTAATCAAGAGGTATGATGTAATCATGTAATTACGCGCTGTATGTAATCAACGCGGCAGGGATGATGTCATTCGATCTTTATCACCCAACACCACTTTTTTAATTTTTACTGACGTTGTTTTCAGGTACTTTGGGTGATTGCAGACTTCCATGTTTTCCCCTTTGAGCCTAGCATTCTCTTCCATTTTCATTCTTTTTATTCCGCGCCACTGTAAATTAGCAACCAACACCTATTATGCCTCAGTGCCGCGTCAACGCCCAGCCAAGCACCGCAGTGTATAAGCCATTCTTGGCACTTCTCTTTACCACTATGAGCCTATAACCAAAGGGGCCACATACCCTTCCCAGTGGCACAGCACTACACTACCGACACAACATCCCGGACTTAGGAGCCGCGGGCTCGTCCGAGGAGCCCGTGATCTTCATTATTCGGCGTCTCGGCTCTGAGGAAAAAGGAAAAAGGAAAAGAGTGCGGGTGGAGCTTTAACAATGCGATGATCATCGGAGGTTAACTAAAACACTAGCCCCTGGCCCCGGCCGAAAGAAAATGCAAGGGTGCAAAAAGCTTGGAATTTAAATAAAGACGGCCCCAAGTTACGTATGTTTGCGTATCAAGAGGCCCATACCCATTTTTCGTTGCATTGCCAAGTATTCTGTATATCACATCACTACTGTACACATACCCATAATACTCTTTGCCGTTTCCTCCTTCTTTTCTGCTAGTACTTCATTTTATTTTACTGCATTCGATTTTCGCTTCTTCTTGGCAAGCAGTCAGGTACCAGGCAGAGAAGAAACAGGTACTTGTCGCATTGAGCTCCATATCACCATCTGAACTACAACATCCTCAAACCACTGCAATGGCTGTAAAGGGCGTCTTTTCTTACTGGGTACGTAACAAAGTTCACACTCAATTGCACTCATAACATACCAACTCTCGCAGTGGTTCCCTGTCATCTCAGGCCTTGTCTGGCTGGGCATGCTCCTCGGTCTCCTTCTGGAATGGCAAGTCAACCAACATGGCCGTCGCTATCCCACGCAGTCTCGCTACTCCGACATCGCCTACATCTCAAATGTCGGTGCCGATCGTCTCCAGCCTCTCTTCATTGTCGGCTGCGTCTTGACCTCCATCTTCCTCGACGCCGCGTTTCTCTCTGAGCGATGGCTGCGACATCGCGGCCGTCTTGCCCCCAACACGACCGTCATGGAGAAGGTCCTCAGCGGCCTCTCCATTATCTTCGCGACTGTTGGAACTGTTGGTCTTATCTGCTTGTCTATCTTCAAAACGGGAAAGTACAGCAGACTGCACAATACCTTTTTGGCGCTCTTTATTGGAGGCTATCTGTTCTCTGCTGTCTTTATCTGCTGGGAGTACCAGCGTCTCGGAATAAGTAAGTCATCATCTAACCTATTTCCCATTTACACAAACCCTTACTAACATACCATCCCTAGACTACCGTGAACACCGCGTTCTTCGCCTCTCCTTCTGGGTAAAGCTCACCTTCATCTTGGTCGAGCTCGCCCTCATCATCGCCTTTGGCGTCTGCAGCCGTGTGAAGGCTCGCAACGCCGCAGCCATTCTCGAATGGGCCATCTCCTTCATCTTCACCTTCTACGCCATCTCCTTCGTCATCGATCTCTACCCAGCTGTCCGCACAAAGGGTCCCGACAAGAGGTTCCAGAAGACTGGCTACGTGCCTTCTGCTCTCTCTGACTCCAGGAGCCCCAGCAATGCCTCGCACAACAACTTACCGACTGCAGACGGTCGTCGCGATGTTGAGATGGCCCAGAACGGCCCTCCTCCCCGAGATTTCTAAACGCTACCCACATCACCAAAATCACACATCACAGACAATATGTGAGTTATCATAATGAGTACCACGTACTTCTACATACCAAATTATCATGTTGCACGGAATAATGTCGGAATGATTCCCTTTTTGTTTCTTTGCATGGCGTTGGGTTTCAAGACTGGTTCCTCTTGCATTAGTTGCTAGCTTAAATGTCTTCTTTAGAGGAGATGCGACATAAGACAGTATAATATTTTGTTGTTTAGACATGAAAAAGTCTTGCATGCATACATGCGCAATTTCAAACTCGCAATCGTCGTTCATCATGAATGAGATGTATCTTATTATATCATCACCTAATTGTCTGATCCTCCGGAATGTTCGGCGCAAATCTTGAAAATGACATCAACAATGACACTTTCTGATTACGACTCGCCATAGCTAGTAAGGAGTATAGAAATCATTCCAAATATTAAGAAAATAGTCGACTGTTGTTTGCTGTAATACATATTGTAAAAATTGATAACGCTTTACTAATACTAGCAATTGCAAATTAGGAGCAAAACTCGTCCCAGCCTTTTCCAAATCTTCCCAGTCCCTACCTATCCAGCCCATCTCATTATACTCATATCCCATGCCGTAAACGTCATATCCAAGCCTCGACTTAATTAATCATTTCCCTAAATCTGGAGTCCCTCGATGGACTATGACTTTTTCTCTCCGCAGGGTCTGCAATTGCGCGAGGGGGTGCGATAGCCGAAACTCGATCGTCATCGTCCTCAAGACTGCTCACAGGGCTGACACCCCGCGAGTCATGCACAGCATCTTGTTCCCGGTCGTTTGACTCGGTATTGGTGACACGACCAGCGAGGGCGACATCTCGCATGCTGGTTGCGTGATTGTCCAGACTTGTAGCACTCTGGTTGGTCTCAGGTTCGCGAAGAGCTGCACCACCAACAAAGCTTCCCCTCTTCTCGCCATGGTTTTCACGATCCTTCTCTCCGAGAGATTTACCTCTGGAGAATCGGTTTTTGATCCATCCCTTGACCTTAGAAGTCGGCGATGCCGCATCACTAAGCTTTCTTCGCCCCCTCTCCGTGCTGCTAGTTTCTGTGTCAATCGCTGCTGGTGCACTAGCCTCCGTTGACTCGTTTGGTATGGCGATGGGAGACGAAACAGCATCTTCGCTTCGAGTGCTGACGCCGTCATCAACAGCCTCATCACCCGAGACCGCTGTGTCACCTCTGGCCTTTCGTCGCTCTTCTTTAGCCTGGCGCTTCTCTTCCGCTCTAGCTGCCTTTTCTTCAGCCTTCTTGGTTCTATGCTCCTGCTTCTCTTGATCTGGATCTCATGTTAGTCAATCGCTCTGAACTGGTGCTCTCGCCGCAACTTACCCTTGAGCTTTTTGGAGATTTCCTTGATTTCACGATCACGCGTCTTTTGCTTCTCCTGCTCGGCTTTTCTTGCCTCTTCCTCTATCTTGAGCGTGGCAAGTCTTTCACGCTCAATTTCGGCCTTTTCATTGATATCATCCAAGAGGGGTTGCATTCTCCTGGCTGCTATAACGTCTATTTCCTGGGGGTCCATGAACTTCCCCCCTCCGATATCAATCTTACCCTTGTTTTGGTTGCGAGTGTCGTGGCTGGCGTTGGCCACTTGATGAGCCTTCAGCTCCCACTCGCTCATCAGAGTCGGGTTCACTTGGCCAGTCTCATTATAGACCTTCTCATCCATGCCCTGTAGCCGGGCCTTGACATTGCGTTGCGCCGCAGCGAGCAGCGCGTTGCGGTCATCTTGTCTCTTCCTCTGGTCGACTTCAGTAAGCTTGTTGGAGAAGAGCGACATTTGCTGCCGAATCCTCTCGGATTGTTGTTGGTCAGCGATGTCTCCATCGCTAGAAGATCGACGGCGCAACTTGGACGTCAATGTGAACCGGCGCTTTGGCGTTGAATCATTTCCGTAGTACGATTGGTAGTCTCGGTTCTTTTGATGCTCCTGTTCGAGTTTCGCCAGTCGTTCTTGCGCTTGCTTATATGCAGCATCCTGAAGGTTAATGTAAGGCTTTGGCTGTGCTGCATCCGTATCACGTCCGTGGTTTTCCTTGGCCTCGTCGATAAGTTTCTGCTGTTGTGTGTACATCTTGCGGGCCATTGCAACTGCAGAAGCGTGAAGTTGTTCGTTGTTCTGACGTTCGTCCACCTCCGGCTTGACTGGGGGGTTGGACGTAAACATGTTGCGAGTCATGGTCGTGACCGGCACAGCGCCTGCATTCCCCGTTGGCGTCTTGGCCCTAAGGCTTGCCTTGTGTGCCAATGTAGCTCCGCTGAGGGCATCGGGTCTTGTACTCGACTGGGCAGGCAATGTAGCACCAGTATCTGGGGCCGACGGTGAGGATTTAGCCCGGCGTCTTGTGGTTGACATGGCCCCTTTAGCTGCGGCCAGGGACTTTTGTCCTTGTAGTGAAGTGTCGGAGGTTTTTGGACCGGCTTGTCGCATGGAGTTGGTTCGATTTGTGTTGAATGCTTGGGTCGCAGCAGAATTTCCCCAACCTTCGTGCGACTTTTGCTGGCTTGGTGCTCGGTTCAATGCAGCGTTGGCGGAACCAACAGCTAAGAGGGCTGCTTTGTGGCCGGCGGAGTTTGATACTGGCTCCCATGTTGGTGCCATCTTGTAGTTTTTTGCTAAAGCAGCAGCTGCAGATGCTGATGACGTTTTGTCGGGTTTCCAAAGCTCGATAGGTTTCTGGTTAGACCATCCAAGAGAAGCAGCAGCACTTGCAGCAGCACCATCAGGACGAAGACCAGAGGACGGATAGCTAGGAAGATCGCGGGGATCGGCGTATTTTAGACGACCCGAGTTGTTGGCTACTAGCATGTGTGTGTCAGAATGAGCTGGGCCACGCCGCAGGCGGATGACGGATGTCAGCCACTAGGATGCCGGTACATACCTGGAGCCGCTGCCGGCTGTGACTGGATCATGGCTGGCTGCTGGGATGTGCTGGTGGGCATGATAATGCAGGTCAAAAGAGTGCTCGCTGGATCCTTCGTATCTCAGCAGTGTTTGAGACCTTGGCGAAAGGATATGCGTGGTGGCCGTGATGCGCTCAACACGCAGAAGCAGCGCTTTTTGCAACGTCCAGGGCCTTGATAAGGTATATCGGAGCGGGTTCCCAAGGTTCTTGGCGGATTGTGAGGTCGTATTCTCTGGGTGTTAATTGAGGGTATCCGTTTTGAGCAAGGGTATGTATGCCGGATTGTCGTCTGGAGTCTGGAGATGCAACTGCTTGACCGGTGGACCCGAATGAGTTGTCTATTTGCAGGGAGTGTGAAGAAAGGGCTCGACAACTGAGTATATGATGCTGTTTGCGCTTGTATAGATAGGTTGTAAGTAAGTATGATCAGGTGTAAGTAACAGTTCGCGCAAACACAACAAGGTAAGAAACAAAGGAAGTATGGGGATGAACAAGATTTATTCACTAAGTCGATGATGATGCTAACAACGAGACCCCTCGTGGCGTCAGGCTCCCTCTTTCACTAGACTCACTTGAATGGCACTGGCGTTTGTTGGTTGTTGGCCCCGAAACGAGACGGACGGTGCTTTCCTTTCCTCTTGAGCTGCGGGCCTACGTCAGGGTCGCTGCAGTAGCTCTTTCCCTTCCCGGCCCTGCAATGCGCTACCCCAGATAGTGCTAGTCGTGACGTCACCAGTCCCTCGACGATGATCTCAGGTGCAGACGCTAGTGTCTAAGTGGGAAATGGGTGAGCACAGTGCCTACCTCTAGGTAGGTTATCTTTACTTATTTCCACCATTTCTTCAGCTTTGACTGTGATTATTCGGTAAAGGTTCCGTCATGTTCAAGTTCAAGCTAAGTGGGAATTTATTCTCCAACAAGAACGCCCTCTCTTGTGTCTTATCGAGAGCACATGGCTCACCTTCAGCTCAACTCAGCTTCTTTATGTCTCAACACTACGTAGCGAGTGCAACCCTGCCACCACCATACGGCTGACGATTATCAATTCGCACTGTACCATACTCATCCATTTAGTATTCTTTTGGCCTGCGGCTGTTGACTTGAAGACATCCTGTCAATGGTATTGGACCTTTTGGATAACACGCCATAACGTCGACTATCAAGCTGCAAACGCCTGATAATAAATACTCCTAAGGCCAATCAAGCAGAAGAGCCGCCAGACAACCACACCTCCTCTCCTTCAAGCCACCAAAAAAGAAGAAGTAAAATATCGTGCCTGAACTGAAACCTCGGTCGCATCGCATCACAGTCTTTACCTGAGAATTAACGGTGGGCTTTTTGTCTTGTGTTAGCTTCGGAATGACCCCTCGGCGCTTTCGGTATTGATATTGAGATCGACGCTGCCAGACGCCATTTTGGTCTGTTTTAGCCCTTCTTTAGCGTCTGTGTTTGAACCCTCCGATCTCCTGCGGCGCATTTGGCTCGGCTGATCGACCTCTGTAAAACCAAAACCCTGGTTTCACCTGTTGTGTTGCACACCAACTATCGTCCCCATCGCTTCTTGCTCGTTTGTTAGTTCAACACACTTACGTACAACAACAAACCCAGCTGAGGCACTACCAGTGGCTTGCGGGACTCGTATATTGAAACCGGCTTATCGACAAGTTATATGAGGACAGATCTCTTGGCAGCACAACATGACTTCATCTGCTAGCTTTGAGAATATCCTCAATTTTCGTGATGTGGGTAAAACAGTCAATCTGTTCACGGGCTCGAGGTATAGCATACTCCTAAATATTCTGATCAAAATGACTTACCCTTGATAGACGCATACGTGAAGGTTTGTTCTACCGCTCTGCAAGACCAGGTAAGGACATCACATAATACACACACATGTACATACCACTAAGACCACCCTAGACGATGCTACCCTCACAGATAGACAACTCATCAGAGATAATCTGGGCATTAAGACAGTCATTGACTTAAGGACCAAGTAAGATTTGTTGCAAAGTAATACATTATGTAATGCCATCCTGACAAATACCTAGAACTGAACACCTGAACCAAGCCAAGAGACGAAAAGAACAGTCCAGTATCCCTGCTCTTGTCAAATCCAATGAAGCTCTCGCCGAGCCTCTTCAAATTTCCGGTCTAGACTATCGAGAGGTCAAGATTACAGGCCGTCCTTTTGAGTTGTTTCTCTTGAGCCAGCTCTCATGGTGGGATTTCTTGTGAGTAATACTGAAGGATGCACACATATATCAGATATACTCACACTCTCCTCAGCCGTGTTGTGTTCTACTTTACAAGTGGCTATCGCAATGAAGCCATCAGCATCATTGGAGAGAAAGTCATGATTCCTCGTGGACTTGTAGGACTAGGTCTTGATACTCTTGATCAGTCCACAAAAGAGATCCACGAGGCTCTGTCTCTATACGCGAACCCATCGGCCCTTCCTTCTATTGTTCATTGTACGCAAGGCAAAGACCGCACAGGTGAGATCATAACACTTTAACCATGAGCCACATTAACCTTTCTACAGGTCTTATATGTGCATTGGTTCTTATGATATTGGATGTTCCTATCTCGGCCATCGAGTATGATTATGGTCTCAGTGACGAGGCCCTAATCTCCGAGCGGGAGCAGCGTCTCATTGAGATTCGTGAAATTGGATTGACTGACGAATGGCTTCACACCGCGGATGATATGATCGTTGGCCTCAAACGACACCTCGACGATAAATACGGCGGACTTGATGCGTACCTGGACGGTATAGGGTTTGGTGCCGATGATAGGACAAAGATACGCGAGACTTTACTCTACTAAGACTATAAGTCAAGGGCCAAGTACAGGGAGGGGGGGCACCACTGGGAGGAAACGAGTGTTCATCTTGAGATGTTCTTGTCTATTTCTTTCTAAAGCGACCCTGTAGCCAACATCTATACATCTTTTGCTTTGATGCTCTGTTGACGAGTAATCGTCGATCAACACCAAGATTCTCCACCTCGAACCGGGGTATCTCTGTCGTGGCTTGCTCTGTGTCTGTACTTTGAGCACCATCGACATCCTCAGCGGCCGGGGCAGCGGCAGCCTTAGCATCCTCGTCGGCTTTCTTGCCAGTCCAGATATCCGAGAGCTGATCCTTGTCAAAGAAGTAGACGCGGGTACCATCGCCTCGGATGTAAAAGTTTTCGTCCAGGTATCGACCCTTGCGGAACCGGACTTGGGCCAGATCTCCTCTTCCATAGTCTCGGAAGCAGACCAGGCCACCCGGTTTGAGTACTCGGTGGACGTTGTGAACAGCCTTGGCCCATTGACCGGGCGACAAGGCGGAGAAGATGAAAATCAGCACGGCGACATCTACGGAGCCTTCCTCGAGTCCAGGCGGTAAGCTATCACTAGCGACGTCCCATACGTCGGCCTGGATGAACTCAGGATTGTACGCTTCATTCTTGCGAATAACCTCTACGGCAGTCTTTGAGTAGTCGCAGGCATGGATCTTCAGTTGCGGGTTCTTATTCTCGGCCAGGACAGGGAAAGCCGTGTTACCAGCTCCTGCTCCAATTTCCAGAATGACCTTAGGACCGGCGTCCTCCTTGATTACCTCGGCAAGGATAGGAAATTCCTGTTGTAGCCACTTGCGATTCTTGAAGAAATTGGCGGCATTGTTCTTGTAGAACAAATTCCACCATCTAGCGGGGTCCAGACTGAACTTTCCTGAGTTGTCATGTTAGCAACTCTTCAATGCTTGAGTTGGTAGAAGAAAAAAGTGTAAAATTTGGTTTTAATCAGATGGGAGCGAAAGAATTGAAGGTATAGTTTGTCTTCAGTAGATTCAGATGAACTATGCATTGGTGTGATATCATCAGGTAACCAGGGGAGAGTCATGCAAGGTGAAAATTAGGGTGGCTGACTTACTCTTTTCAAAGTCCGAGACAGGATTTTGACGCTGCTTCGCGTACTGCTGTTCAGCATACTCTTTGTACGCATCGTCAGTCTCCACGTGATCCCAGGCATTGAACTCGAAGACATCATCTCCTTCGCCCAGATACCGGCTACCAAACTGGAAGGGATCGCTCCTCTTCAAGTTATTGGTTGGGTCATGCGATCGATGAGGCGGCACCTCAGCAGCTTCGGTCTCGGGTACGACAGCTTCGGTGGCGGCCTCAGTAACGGCCTCGGTGACCGGATCCTTAACGTCCAACGCGGCCATCTCCTGAACAGGAACGGGCTCTTTTGTCGGGCTTGCGACGGCCTCGCCACTTGGCGCAGAAGACGCCATCTTGGACTTGTGATGTCCTTGAAGCATGCACTCGCAGGCGCAAGATATGTGCGTTTCACGGCACAGGTATTGACACTGCAGAGGTGAGGATGAAGGATGCTCGAAAGTCAAGAAATTTTCGGTGGAAAGATGGGTTTTGTCTTCAAATATTTGGAGGTGGGGCACAGTTTGAACCAATGAGAAGGCTTAAGCTTTGCGTCGGAGTTTTAGATACGCCGGCGCCGATGAGCTTCTCAAAGCTAGCCAATCACATGCAATTTGGCCTAGCTGATGAATGTAGGTCGCATCAAGCCTTCTGTGTTCAATTGAAATGTATCATTTGTGAGGAGGACGATCAATACCATCCTCTCGACGCCGAACTCACTCCGATAGAGCTTTGTCTCTCTTTGAACTCCCTCAATCACATCTGCGCGATCGAAATAGACACATCTCAGCAATATGACCCCTTCTCTTACCAGGCCACAAGGCCAGCTGTCACCTGCTGAAGCTCTCCACCTTGCGCAACAAGCTCCCACTATTTTGAAGGGCAACCCCAAGGCATTCTCAGCGTCGCCATTGATATCACTCTTCTCAGCTGCTGAGACCGCTGAGCTATGGACAATCTACGAAAACCTCATCATCACATGTCTTCGAACGGGCGACGACGATTCAGCGCATCTGTGCTTGGAGAGGTTGATATTGCGCTTTGGTGACGAGAACGAACGCGTCATGGCACTCAAGGGGTTGATCAAAGAAGCAGAGGCAACTAGCAACATCGAACTTCAGGTGGTGCTTAAGGAATACGAAGACATTTTAAACCAGGACGGAACAAACATTGTGAGCATGACGCCGTGTGATTTCCAAAACGTCGTACTGACAAACACTAGTATATCGCAAAGCGGCGGGTGGCTCTTTTGCGATCTATGGGAAAGACACCTGAGGCGATCTCTTCTTTAGTATGGTTGCTCGAGTTCAACCCTACAGATGCTGAGGCTTGGTCAGAGCTTTCCGACCTCTACCTATCCCAAGGGCTGTACTCCCAATCTATCTATGCAATGGAGGAGGCCCTTGTGCTGGTACCAAACGCGTGGAACGTATGTAAATTTCTCGTCCTCACTCTCCATCGCATCTAACATAGCTCAATAGTTGCACGCAAGACTAGGCGAGGTGACATTGATGGCGGCCAACGAATCGAGCGATGGAACTTCTCAGAAGTATCTGGCGAATTCTGTCAAGCGGTTTTGCCGGAGCATTGAGCTTTGCGAAGACTACCTGCGAGCCTACTATGGCTTGAAGAAGGTCACTGATAAGATCTTGGTCGATTATGTCAAGCTCAAGAAGCACTCGGAGAGTGACGAGTTCTCCCTACCAGAGCAGAGCACTCTCCAGAAGCTAAACCAGGCGGCTACTCAGAAACTTGCGGAGATCGTTCGTCGGTATAGTGCACAGGAACCTCTATGGCAAGGGTACAACGCAGATGAGATTGCTGCAGCTCGTGAGCTTCTCGACAAGTCCTCGTCCGAGGTTGTTCGGTGAGCGGCGGCGCACGGAAGAATTTGAACCCATCGATATGCTCGCAGGCTGTATCACAGAAGGCTTTGACTCATCGACGAATACAAACAGGGTAAAGGAAAGCATCACAAACCCAACAAGGGGGGGTTCTCCTATGAAATGCAGTGCGCGAAGGTCCCTGACTAGTTCGCTTGTAACCGTGAACAAGTCTTGGGTTCGAGGAGGTGGATGTGGTAGAGCATGCACAATATGGGCTATGGTGGTCCTCAGAGGCTCTGGCAGATAAGTCACAAGTGGAGGCAGTAATGCTGAGTTGGGCATTGCTGGGCATCCAGCACGTGGCGCCATACAAGGACGGGTCGGTGGGGTTCACCGGACTCTAATGCGGGTGACGATTCAAGGTTGACAGGAAAGACAAGTTGAGCTTACAGAGCTGGGCTACCTGATGTCCTTATTATCATGTTGGCTTATGTTGGATGCTTAGGCAGAAATTTACAACATCAAACAGTGGAAGCACCTTGTCGCCTTTTGTACAACCCAAAAATCCAGTGTCTAATGCGAGCGGTATCGGGTCCCTGGGCTAAGATACTGATGGTTTTCCATTGCGACCAGGACAACATCGGCATCGGAACTCAGCTCAAAAGGTGGATTCTCTCCGCTGTATGCGTAACATCATGTTTGTTCCCCATGGTGGCCCTGTTTATGGATCACCAACAAGCGGAGTCTCGCGGAAAAGCCGCCGGGACATGAACAGGACGTTGGTTAATCATGATTAATCACGAAACCGAAGATGTCCTGATTCTCAAGTCTACTTATTTAAACCACTAATAAGAGGGCGTTGCTGTGTTTATGAAACATCTTGGTCGCTTCACTAACACGCCATGGGGTTGATGGCAACAGGGAATGAATCACGAAGAATGCCACTGTAGAAAATTTGCTGCAGTTTACTTCGCCACTGTCCACTTGGCTACGTCTGGATGGCTGCGGCTCTGCGGGACGGCGTAGATGCTGATATCTGACGCAAGTTATTTCTGGCTGGGTGGTATCAAGTTGAGGTGAGGATGTGTGAATATGAGATGCAGTTGGGGAAACTCAATCCGCTGTGTTTACACAACAATCAGTGAAATCCGAGCCCAACGCGAACCTCTAGTAGTTGCGACAACAGCCTCTGTCTGATTCCAGCTCCCTATTGCAGCAATTTCGGAGCAGTCGTTGCGGGTGCTCGTGATGAGCTGGCCTTGGGTTTCTACTATCGGGCCTCAACGCTGAAGATGGGGCGCATATCGTGCTTGTCAGCCAGTCGCGGAATGGAGGGCAGCGGGCTGGGAGAGGATCATTGCAGGGCGATAGGTTTGCTTTGTTCTCGTTGACTGAACGAAGAAGGGAAGAGCAGAACTCAAAAATGACAGTGAATGGGATATAAGGAGGTCGCAGTTTGCCAATGCCTGAGGTTTCTCCCTTACTTTTAACCTTCAGTTCAGTTCAATTCAGGTCAGCTCTTGTTAACACTGATCAAGTATCACCACTTTTCAAGACCTTTGATACGACAAGAGTCCGGGTAGCGACACCATACGCCTCGGTCCGTTCCGATTCTTCGTTTCGCAAACGGTTGAAAGTGCAATTGATAGGTCATCGAACGATGGCGTTGCACAGCCTTTGTCGGACTGAGCGACATGGCAGAAGGCCCCCAGTGAGTCTGGGATGTGGAATGAGTCAACTCTTTTGCCAGCTACCGACTGAGTTGCCAACTCTCATGATAGTTTCAGGGAGGGAGAAAGAGACTCATACACATCCTGGGACTCTCCACGGATATCACCCGGCTAGTGGTTAATTGGCTATTCCAAGCCTCCCTCGGCGCTAACTCATTTGATGGACGACGATATCATTCTAGCGGTCAGAGCTACAGATACAAGTGTGCAGTATCATTCGGCGGCAATGAAAGGTTCAAGCGCTGGAATTCTATGTCTATCCTCCCCAGCAACAGCAACAGCGACAGCAATAGCAGCAGCGCAACTAAAATCAAAATTGTGCATCCTGTCCAATCTTGACTGGAGGCTGCGTAACGTTGGGCTGCAGCACCGCCATGGTACCCATGAAATTCCTCTCAGTTTCAGCCCAGCTGAAGAGAGAGCCTGGCCCTAGGTCTCGTCTCCTGTTTACTTTTCTTTTTCCTTTCCTATTCTTTCTCTTTTTCCTCCAGTTTGTTGTGTGTGCAACTTGAAAGGTCTCCCACTCACTAGAAAAAGTTCTCTCACCTCGTGCCCTAAATTAATCACTGGCCTTGAATCTTGATCTTCTGCCATTCAAAAACCCAAGCCAGTTCATCCGTGCTCTAAACAGAAAGTCGCTGTTTGGCTTGCACATGGACCCAACTACAAATCACAAATTAACCCCACCCCACCACCACTTCCCCCCAGAGACCCGCTAAACAAGCTGGCTAACCGGCCACTACCGATTCACACAAAAACAATCCATCCCAAACAACAACCTCCTTCACTTCAGTTGTGAGGAATTTTGGGCAAATATTTATCCACTACCTACCTATCTGCTGTGTCTTCTCAATCTTGCCAAACAAAACGTTGCCATCAACTCATATTATTACGGTATGTTATTGGAATTTTACTAGTGTCTTGGATCTACTCTCCAGCAACGGCTCCTCTCCCTCCGCATCCGCTTGCGCTTTGTTTCGGATGCATTTCTGGGGGTGGGCTCAACTCCAAAAAAGATGGCCCATGTGATCACGACTGTTCGTGTCAAAGCAGCACTGGAAGCTCGGAAGCAAACATGCTCCGGCAGTAGCTCAGCAGAAGCAGGTCAATGACTGCATGACATTCATTCATGTCATGTCATGGCATGGTGATGCCCGCTACGCAAGAGCTGCCGCACATACCGGCAGTCTACTAAGGCATTCTCGTACCTCGCTCGTTGTGGTCTGGTTTATCTAGGCTTTGGCGATGCTACCTACCTACTGTAACATCACCACTGTCACTCTCCCATTCATGCAACAACTCTAGATCCTTCCATGAATGGACAATGGGCAACTGGACCATTGGGCTTCAAGACTCGCTTCTTTTTGGCCCCCACCCAGGGTTGGGCAACCGCATTCACAGATCTTGACGCCCTACCATCAGCAAGTCAACCACACAAAGGATGCTGCTTTTTGACAGGCACAAATGGATCACCAAAGCCTGGAATAAACCGGGAGTTTGGCGAGCCAAGGACCTCAACGGCTCGAAGCACGACCACTCACGTCGATGGATCAGTCAATGGTCAGCCCAATGCAAATATCCCGCCAGGTCCAGCCCAACGAGCGCTAGCAGCATGCTCGAATAGGGTTCCATTTAGCTCCCTGGACTCCATCGCCAGGGCGACGAACCGGGGTGTCCCCAGTCCTGACGGCTGACAAGAGGGATGTTTTGGTGCCTAGCAAAGTCCAGCACTCCAGTCATGAAAACACATGGCATGGCTTCACGATACAGTGGACGTTCCTTCATTAAAAGCTACGCTGGAGTTTAAACAACGCTATTCTATTAGAGCCAAGCCCAAAATCCCACCCAGAATCTTGCTCAGATTGCCGTGCCGATTTGAGAAACTGGGTTCGCAGAAAAAGGGTTTGGCGCCGCTGTGTTGCTTGGTCCCCATGCAAGGGAGGGAGATCCTAGCCTGCAAGGATATCGACTCTTGATGTTTTTTTTTATCTAGACAATTTTCCATCTCGTGCCCAACTTTACTAACTTGCTGTTATGTTTAGTCGATATCATCGAGTTCCTCTAGCCTACGAAGCTCCGGCTGGCATCCTGTGACCACGAAGTCGGCTTTCTCAAAAACTTAGACGGTACAGACACACCCGGATTTAAGCGTGTACATACACGCACACCCACAGCTGCTGTTCGACAAGCTTTCACCATTGCGATACAACGGTCGTTCGTCGTTGCAGTTGATTCACTTTGGAGTCGGTTGCTGTTATTCGGTTCACCACAAACAACACACAGCACCTGACTTCTCTAGGCTCAACAATTCAATTCGATATCTACATCCATTATCCTCGCCGTTCTCAATCATCGCTCCAAGGTTTCGTCCAGTGACCCATAAGTAAAACGATCTGGAACCCCTCACCGCCGATCGATTTCTGCCGCTTTCCCATCCTCGCAACCGCCAACCGTCAACCGCCCGCCGCCCAAATCCACCCCGCCCACACTCTTTACGCCTGATCTTATAGTGCGCCGCGCCGTACAGCACTTTGCTTTGGTTTGCTCTATTACAACTTTGGTACCCTCCTCGGTCAGCAACCACAAGGCACCATCGTTCAGTTCAAATTCTTGTTCTACGACTCCGCACCAGCTTCACAACCAGGCATTTCCCCGTCTCACTGCTTTCGTGACCAGCCGACCTTTCGTCTGTCACGCCCTCGTCATCTCTTTGGTGGCGTACTCACCCAAGTTTACAACTGTTGACCCCTCACTCGAAGCCTGTTGCGCAAGTCTAGTTCTTCCTCGCCACGACCCTCGTACCAACACTTTCCGTTGTATTTTTTTTCTCCCTCTGATAACGGCTACGGCTACGGCTACGACCTCATCCTTCGTTTCCCCCAGCATTTCGCTCTGTTACTTTGGGGGCTACCAGGCAGTGTTTCTACCCTGTCAGCTGAACATCTGCTTGTGTGCTTTGTCGCCATCTTTCTGGGATTTTCCTACCTACCTACTTTCAGTGCCTTTGCTCCGGCTTTCTCTTGTGGATTGTCGTGGGTAGAGGGCATCCCACCAAGTACTAGCTATGTGAGTCCCCTCCCTCCACTACCATTACCATCCTTCTTCATATCTGCCTGCGCCTACGTTCCTCCCCTCCCCTCCCTCTTGTCTCTTTCATATCCACCTTTCTAGTTGTCTCAACTGCGCCCCCTTTGGTTCTATTTACTTGTTTCTTCCACATTTGGTCTTCATCTCCTGCTCGTTTCTCTTAGTCTCACGGCTCACCTCTTGTTTTAAACAGGCTCAAACAACGCCCTTCCTCCAGAGCCCCAACGTCCGGTAGTCGTCCAACCGAGACCTCCGCTTCTGGGACAACTTCTTATAGCGACGATTCTTCTCAAGAAAACAGTCAGGGCTACAGTTCTGAAGAGGATCTATACGACGACGAGGACGACTACGACGAGGACGGTCTTGGCCCGTCTGACTCTGCCTCAACTAGCGATCACGAGCAGCATTATCGTTCTCACCATCCCCAGCGTCAGCACCAGCTCCCTCACCAGCTTCCGCCCCAGCATCAATACCCCCCTCAGCATCAGCAGCTAGCTCCTCATCAACCACCACCTCGCCAGCTACCTCCTCACCAGGCCCATCAATTGCAGCCTCGACCACCTCGGCAACCAGGTCCCCCTAAGGACCTCTACCAGCCTGGTCCTCCCAAGGATCTCTATCAACCTGAAGAGGATCCTCACCAGTCTTATCGTCGACCACGGCGCGAGCGTGCAGCGCCGCCCACCGCCAATCTGGAGGACCCTCGTGGGTATGGCGCGCCTTATGGCCGCGGTGCATATGGACATCCGCAGGCCCCGGGGCGCCCAGGTCCGGGTCCGGGTCAAATGTATGGCAGAGGCCAGCAGCCCGGCTACCAAAACCAAATGGCGCCTTATATGGGCTACCCTTCTAACAACCAGATGGTGCCTTTCGGCTATGGCGACCCAACCAGCCCTTATGGGGCCCCTGGTTATGGCGGCGAAGGCAGAGGCATGTATGACATGATGCCGTATCAACAGCCGCATCAACAACCACACCAACAGCAACAAAACGGGTTTTATGGCGCCATGCAGCCTCACCATTACAATATGTCGGCTCATATGGGCGGGATGCAGTTGGGACCACTGACAACACCACCACCTCCTCCCCCAACTGAGGCTCCTGCCAAACCTGCCACACCCGCTCCTCCAAAAGAGGACCCGGATAAGATTCGATTGGAGGCCGAGATTGCTGCCTTCAAGGCAATGGAAGAGAAAGCCAAGGCTGCCGAAAAGCAAAAGGAAGCCGAGGCGCAGATTCGAAGAGAGGCGGAGGAAGCCTTCCAACGAAGGATGGAAGATATGAGAATAGCTCAAGAAGAGGCCAAAAAAGAAATCGAGAAAGCCAGGCTCGAGGCCGAGAAGCTTGCTAGGGAGAGAATGGAGGCCGAACGAAAGGCCGAGGAGAAGCGGGCACAAGAGCATGCTCGGGCTATGGCGGAAGCCGAAGAGAAGGCTCGTCTCAAATTCGAAGCCGAGATGAAGGCTGCCGAAGATCGGAGAAAGGCTGAGGCTGAGGCTCGCATACAAGCCGAAGAAGACGCCAGAAAGAAGTTTGAGGCGGCCGCAAAGGCTGCTGAGGAGCAGCGAAAGGCCGAGGCCGCAGCACGCGCGCAAGCCGAGAAAGACGCTCGCGAAAAGTACGAAGCCGAAATGAAGGCGGCCGCCGAGCAGCGCAAGGCAGAGGCAGACGCAAAGGCAAAGGCCGAAGAGGAAGCCCGTCTGAAGTACGAGGCTGAATTGAAGGCAGCTGAAGAGCGTGGTAAGAAGGAAGCGGAGGAACGAGTCAGAGCCGAGAGGGAAGCTCGAATGAAGTTCGAGGCTGAACTAAGAGCTGCAGAGGACAAGCGAATCAAGGATGAGGAAGAGAGAAAGCGCGCCGAAGAGCTTGCCCGAGTGCGTTTTGAAAAGGCTTTGCAAGAAGAAGCCGAGGCCAAGGCCGCTGCGGCCAAGAAGGCCCAGGAAGAAGCCGAACGACTCATGAGAATCGAGCAGGAGGCTAAAGAAGCTGCTGCGAAGAAGGCTGCGGAAGAAGCAGAGAAGCTCAAGAAACTTGAAGAAGAGACTCGCGCAAAGGCAGAGGCTGAGACGCTCAAGAAGATTGAGGAGGAAAACAAGAAGGCGGCTGAAGCTGCCGCCGCTGAGGAGGCCGCTAAGAAGGCTGCCGCAGAGCTCAAGACGAAGATCGAAGAGGAAACAAAGCTCAAGCTCGAAGAATCTAAGAAGAAGGCCGAGCAGGCTCCGATCCGATTCAAGGATGCTGTTGGTCGAAAGTTCAGCTTCCCATTCCACCTATGTGCCACCTGGCAGGTATGTACTTAACAAACATCACGACGATGTGCGCACCATCGCTAACAACTATTCAGGGTATGGAAGACCTCATTAAGCAAGCTTTCATGCAAGTGGATGTCCTAGGCCCTCACGTCATGGAAGGCCACTACGACCTCATTGGCCCTGATGGCGAGATCATCTTGCCCTCTGTGTGGGAGAAGGTGGTCCAACCCGACTGGGCCATTACCATGACAATGTGGCCGATGGATAAGATGCCACCCTTGCACTCCAAGATGGCTGGCGGACCTCATATGCACGGCGTGCCCGGCAAACATCCTATGCCTCCTCCACGCCCCATGCCCCAAGGAATGCGACCTCCAGGTATGCAAGTCCCTGGTATGCCCCAGGGGGGATTTGCACCACCTCCTGGATGGCCTCAGGGAGCAGGTCCTCGCCCTCCTATGCCAATGCCCAACGTTGTCACTGTTGGTCCTGGGCCTGTGAAGTCAAGCAAACACAAGAAGCCATCTAAGGACCACGGATCATCCGTGGCTGGATTCTTGTTCGGCAAGCCTCCTAAGAAGAAGTGAGCTTCCACCACGTTCCCAATATTTCGGGCAGTATACTAACATTCATCCAGGTCCAGCAGCAAAAAATGAGGTGCTTTACATACGACATGATGAATGTGCGATGCTTTTCTCTTTCTAAAGTTTTATTTGTTAGCAGATACCTCACCGGCATCAGCTGCCGGCTTGATTTTGAAAACACCCTTTGACGACGTTTTGATTTGGTTATTTGCTTTATTGTTCAAGATGGAAAATTCGAGGCGCGGAATTCTGGTCCTTTCCCAACTCATGGTTAGCGTATTCATATCGCAAAGGCGTCGCGAATTGTCCTATATGCATGTGGATCGGAGTATGATGATACGGTTCAAACAATGATACTGGGGAACGGGAACACGATCCAATGTTAGGGACTTGGGCTTTCTTCTGGCAGAAACAGAGCTGAGATGGTCCAGGTCTGGGTATTGGCGCAAAGACGACGCGTTTTTTCCTCCTTCTTTTCTTACTATTTTTATTTATTTATGGTGGACGAGACCGTTTGATAGACACGGCTGTCCTAGACATGCGTCATGTAGAATGAACGGAGTATGCAGAATGAATTATTTAAAATCTAGGTTTTTACTTTATTAATGCCAATGCGTTGGGTTTGCCTGTTTTTATTATGCTTTAAGCTTTGTTGATATGCTGCATGCTCTAACTGTGCAAATAGTCTAAGCCATGGTCCAAAACTCCATGTCTACATCAAGAGAGGATATTATGTGTCAGCAGCAACGTCGACATCTACGCAATACTAAAGCTTCCGCTGAGAGCCCAATTTCTCTAAGGCTCGCTTCTCGAAAGCTTCAATCATCATGCCTGCTACTTTATCGGACACAGCCGCACTCACTGCGCCGTAGAGAGGGTTTGTGAACTGAAAGTCAATTGCAAGGTGGACCTCAGTTCGTGGCGAGGGTGGCCCAGCAATTGGCCTTACGGACCAGCGTGTTACAAGGCTCCGGAAGACGGTCGATGCGTCAGGCCCTGTACCTCCCGGGACAGTCTCTCCACTGACAGCCTCGACAGACTCGCCAGGGATGCAGCGCAATCGACTTGTAAAGACCTCGTCAAATCCTCCCCAGCCGACGTGGAGATCGGCCAGTGTGGGGTAGCGATGACCAGTCGCGGGGTCGGGATTGGTCCAGCGAGTTACTCGGGAGCGAGAGCAGTACGGGACGAAAGAAGAATATGAGTCGATGTCGGCAATGAGATCGTAAAGAGGTTCGGTGGGATATGGAAGGGTGCGATTGGCGGTCAGCCTCTGAGGTTCGGCAGAGGGGAGGGTGATGAAGGAGCGGCGCAGTGGTCTTGAGGCGCAAGTGAGGTTGGTGACATTTGAGATGGAAGCCGATGAGCGCGCGACAACTGCTCTCGCAGGGAGTAGGCGGAGGGACATTGTGGAGTATCGGTTGGATTATTGAGGTATTTCTTTTTCGAATTGTCACCGTCGTAGGAAGTTCATGATCCTGGAGAAAATACTAACTCCTGAAGAAGGGTAGAGAAATGGCCAAAGAGAAAATCGATGATGGTGTTGAGGCTCTGCTAACCTGAGTTGAGAATAAGTTGGAGGCTTGCCGCCACTTTTAGCGCTCCACCCTAGCCCGATCTCAGTGTAAAATCCGCTAGACTCGGGCTGTAGGGGACCATGCCGCTGTAGACACTCCCTAGCTCGGGCCGTCCTGGTCGCCGAGCCAAGGGCGGTGGGATCCATTATGAATCCATGGTTCCGTCATGTTTAGTCCCTACCACCTAAAGGCGCAGACGCTGTACTCGTGCTGCACCTCGCTGTACGTAGCTCAACACCAACTATCCCATACCATCAGGTCGGATCTCACTAGCACGCGACATTGACGCTCGCTGCTGAACGAAGCATCCTCCTCCTACCGAATACGATACGAAATGCACCGCTACAACATCCCATTACAAAGCCCTTGACACACGTCCTATCACCTAAATAAGCATCTCCTCCAACGGTCGGCCCCACGCCCGCGGGGCAGCTTCTCAACATGTAGGCCCGGATTGAAGCTTGTGGCTTCGCCTACCATGTTACAGCAGAGGCGCTGACAATGTGCGCGCAGGTTCGAAAAGTCGCTTTACGACCTCATCCGAGGGCTACGGAACCACAAAGGCAATGAGAAGGAGTATATTCAGAAGAGCCTCAAGGAGTGCCGCGCCGAAGTTCGCAGCCAGGATATGGGTTCGTTTGACACCCGAGTGAAGCTATACATACAGAAGGGGTCTGGGTTGCTGATGTTGCGTGGTTAGATCTCAAGGCGACGGCGCTGCTGAAGCTCATCTATCTGGAGATGGTCGGGCATGACATGTCGTGGGCGTCGTTCCATGTACTCGAGGTCATGTCGTCGCCCAAATACCATCAGAAGCGGGTTGGATATCTGGGAGCTGTTCAGAGCTTTAGGCCCGATACTGAGGTTCTGATGCTGGCTACTAATCTGCTGAAGAAGGTCCGTTGATGACATGCTATGCTCTCCGGTGTTTATCAAGCTAATCATGATTATGCAGGACCTTGGCACGACGACACCGACGGTTATATCTCTCCCGATAGCGACCCTTCCCCACGTCATTACACCCTCATTAGCGCTCTCGACACTCCAGGACTTACTACCGCGTCTAAGCCATAGCCATTCGAACATTCGCAAGAAAACGCTGGTTACACTGTATCGACTTGCGCTAGTATATCCCGAAGCTCTGCGCGCAGCATGGCCCAAGATCAAGGAGCGGCTTATGGACCCCGACGAGGACCCCAGTGTTACAGCAGCTATCGTCAACGTGGTTTGCGAGCTTGGCTGGCGAAGACCGAATGACTTTCTTCCCTTGGCCCCTCGACTGTTTGAGCTCTTGGTTGATGGTGGTAATAACTGGATGGCCATCAAACTCATTAAACTTGTAGGCTCTTTTCCACTGTTGCTATTTTGTTATCATACTAACTCATTGCCAGTTTGCAACATTGACGCCCCTGGAACCTCGACTTGTGAGGAAGTTATTACCCCCTTTGACCAATATTATTAGGACCACTCCTGCTATGTCATTACTTTACGAGTGCATCAACGGAATCATTCAGGGTGGCATTTTGGGGAACGCCGATGATTCGGGTACCGACGAAATCGCAACGTTATGTGTTAACAAGTTACGAGGGATGATCATGATAGATGGCGATCCTAACCGTAAGTCTATAATCAGCCTGCTGACCTGGAGACACAAACTGACTCAAGTACAGTCAAATACGTTGCTTTGCTAGCGTTTAACAAGATTGTTACCACACATCCTTATCTTGTATCCCAGCAAGAGGATGTGATCATGGAGTGTATCGACAGCCCAGATATCACTATTCGAATACAGGCGCTTGACTTGGTGCAAGGTATGGTCACCGGTGACAACCTCGTGTCAGTCGTGAGCCGTCTCATGAAACAACTCAAATCATCCATGCCCGCCCGAGACAAGTCTCAACCTGGAACTCCTCCCAATGACCCGAATGAGTCGGAGGATGAGTATGCAGAGTCTGTTCAAAGGCCTAAAGCCGAGTCAACACCTTTGCCCGACGATTATCGAATCGACGTCATTGGAAGGATTCTAGGCATGTGTTCGAAGGACAATTACTCTAGTGTTTTGGATTTCGATTGGTACATTGACGTTCTCACACAACTTGTTCGCATGGCGCCAGAATCTCGCAAGATCAACGAAGATCTGGGTCCAGCAGAGAAGGCGCGTGCTAATATCTCAGAAAAGATTGGTGACGAACTACGTAATGTTGCCGTCAAGGTTCGGGTGATGCGATCAACAGCTGTGAGAGCGGCAGAGATTATTCTCAGTCAACTCAGCAGCGATACCCCTCCAGGATACAGTATTAACTCAGGCGCCCTGAAATCCGTAGCATGGATTATGGGTGAATACGCCTCACAGTTAGCTATTCCAGACGAAGGTCTGAACGGCCTGTTGCAGCTTATTCCCCGAACAAACGCCCCTGAAGTTCTGACGACAACCCTCCAGGCTGTTATCAAAGTTTTCGCGACCATAGTGGGAGATGAGAGTGAGCCGTGGACAGCAGAGAGAAAGTCAATCGTTTCACTACTTATGGCGCGCATCATTCACGTCTTTGAGCCGTTAGCATTGCACCCGAAGCTCGAGGTCCAGGAGCGAGCTGTTGAGTTTACAGAGCTGCTGAAGCTTACGGCCGAGGCCGCTTCATCTCAACCAGCTTCGACCGATGACGTTGAGCATGACCCGCCGTTACTCCTTACACAGGCCATTCCTTCACTGTTCAATGGCTGGGAACTCAACTCAGTGTCCAAAGGTGCTCAGCTCAATGTCCCAGTGCCCTCAGGCCTTGACCTGGATGAACCTATCCATGCAAACTTGGCCAAACTGCTATCAGAAGCCGACTCTGTCACATTGGCGACAGACGATTCGGATGAATTCGAGACATACTATCACCAGAAGCCACCACCCACGAGCATTGACTCATCGGCTCCGGCCATCAGCAGGATAGCCGAGCCCGCAGAGGAGTATGTGAGTTCCTACCAGCAAGCTACTGAAGACACGTATCTGGATGCGGATATTGTTGCTCGGAGAAAAGCAGATCGTCTTGAGCGCAACCGAGACGACCCCTTTTACATCCCTAGCAGCAACGCCACTCCTCGCACATCTACTCCTATTCACAACATCCTTCAAAGCAGCAATGGTCCTGACTTGGATATCGACTCTATACCTATCATGCAACTAGATCTATCACGAGCTGGAACGCCTGCTGCACAGCCCCCACGCCCACTGCCAAAACCACGGCAAAAGGTAGTCATCGCTGCAGACGAAACTCTCGAAGGCAGTGCGAGCGGAGGACTTCGATCGTATGATTCGGAGAATAATTCGGACAGCTTCTCGAAATCCAAGGTGCTCAAGCCCAAGACAAAGCAGGGTTTACTTGGTGTCGACTCAAGCGGCATTGGGTCTTTCAGTCTCGAAGGCAAACCATCAACTGACTTCGATTACGAACAGCAACAGCGCGAAGACGTCGAGATGCAAAAAGCCATGAAAGAAGTCGAGCGTCTTCGTTTAGAGATGCAACGCGCAAATGAGCGCATCGATGTTGCGCAGGGGGTCGATGTTGAGGGTACAGTTGTCAAGAAGAAGAAGAAGAAGCCCAAGAAGGACGCCGCCGTGGAAGGGGTAGAGGGTGAAGAAGTTAAACCAAAGAAAAAGAAGAAGAAGGTCCCGCGTGCTGCAATTCTCGACGAGGGCGGTGACGATAACAGTGCCCTTGGTGTCGAGTCTCCTGCGTCAGGGGGTGACGTTGCAGTCGCCAAGAAGAAGAAAAAGAAGAAGCGCGTTGCTGAAATTCAAGAGTAGATAGATATCGACGATGGATATAGGTTGTTTGGAGATGTTGAGTGAGCGAGCATTCGGTGGCATAAAAGAGATGGCCAAGGCAGGAAGGGACCAAACTGAATATTAATAAACTTCAAAAATCCTCGACTTCATTTCTCATGTCATAAAGTGTTCTATCTATCCTCATTCAACAACAAGATCGCCTCAAGCAAATAATATCAAGCCAAGGCTTGGATGTCCTGAAACAAGTCTCTTAACGAATAGGGGATCACTGCCATATCATGATACAGCATAAATACAAAAATAGACCAGATCCAGAAGGGAAAAAACGGCAAGAAAAAAAGCACACCGGTTGTTCTTTTTTGCTCATGTTCCATTAACACATACACATGACAGGGTAGATTATACGGTCGAGTCTTTTGAAGTTTCTTCAAAGATAAACCTCTCTCGCTGATCATCAAATCCCAACTCCGTTCAAAATGAAAGCTTTTCTGGTCAGACCAGGAAATCTTCCTTGGACCACTGACTAAAACTCGGCTCCGTGTCGTACATCTAATCTTCCATCGGAGCATCTTCGAGCTGCACGCCGCGGCTGGGGTCTGAGGGAGGAGTGGATGGCAATGTGGAAACTCGCTTGCCACCAACAAACTTGGTTGGTGTTCGTCCTGTGCTATCGCGGCTGTCTCGCTTCTCCGAGTCGGTATCTGTCTTCTCCTTCTCAGCGTCGCCATTGACAGGCGCAGTAGCAGGTACAGGCTCGGGCTCAGGAACTTCGAGACTTTGACGCTTAATTACTCCACCCAAACTGGTGCGATGTCTGTCGACGGCTGAAGCCGCCGTTGGGCTCGCAATAGGGAACCTGGTTTCTGGTCCGCCAGTGCTACGGTCTCGGCGGTGACCACGAGGGCCGGGGGCAGGGCTCTTATCACGGCCACGGCTTGCGTTGGCCTTTTCAAGCAGAGCCCTATTCCGCTCTTCCATAAGGGCCTTACGGTTGCTCTCGTCAGTGCTAATGGCTCGAGGTCGGTTGTTGCTGCCAACAGAAGTGGAGTGGGTAACCATAGACATGCGCTTCAGGGCAGTGAAAATGGCGTCCTTATGGGCAAACAGGTCCCTGACCAGTCGGTACGCATGCTTCTCTTCCATGGTGAGAGACGTCTCAGTTCGCGGTCGTAGGATACAAGGTGCTAAAGCACCAGCGAGAGATGCAACATAGCCTTCGTCGGCAGAGGTTAAGTCTATCAGGCGAGTGAAATGGTTCATGCAAGCATCAAGTGTCGCAATGTTAGTAAGGCGGAGCTGTGATAGAGTAGATTGCAGGGCAGCAATGCGCGAAGGCTCATCGGTGTCGGTTGAAGGAGTAGAGTAAATTGTCCGGATAATCTCGTAGACATGAGAGGATACCAGAGAATCTAATACAATGTCAGTCCACCTTGTGCGTCGGGTTGATTGAGCACCGTTACTTACCGGGCAGCTCCAGAAGATAAACCTTGAGCAAACTAGCAACTGTGGGGATATCAAATTCGTCAAATACGTCGGGAGAAACAGGCTTGCCATCGTTGACCTTGGCGCGTAGACGATGTGTCTGCGTTAGAGGGACCTCCAACAGCCACACACCTCGTCTGGCTTCATCGCCTTCAAGATCAGGGTAATGGTGATCCAGGTAGGTCAAGATAGTCGTAACAATCATAGGCACTCGCTTCTTGTCAGCCCTAGCTCGGGCTTCAAGGTCAATGCCGAAAGTCTGCTCATCAACCTTGTTATAGTAATTCTCGTACACCACAACCTTTGGCACGAAGCTTCCTGTGCGGTAGGTCTCGAGCAGGTACCGCAGATCATTCTGGGGCTGGATGGTCTCTTGGAAGAGCATCATCTGGTCCACAGTAGACTGGAGACTAGGAATGACGTTTCCAATAGTGCCTGAGAAGTCGAGAATGACAGTCTTGACGGCCTTGAGACGGTCGAGCTCGCAGCGCTCAAGGAACTTGAGATGGAGATGAATAGCCTCCTCAAGTTCACATCGCAGCTCGTCAAGCTTACGAACGCCTTCGCGGTACTTCTCATCGGCTTCGCGGGCTTCTCGTTGCATGCGCTGGCTAGGGGTCTCATTGGGGTGAGCATTGTTGAGAACATTCCAGTTAGCGAGATACTCGCTGACTGTTCCGACAGGTGAATCAGCACCACCCTCAGAACCAGTTGAAGCCAGTGAAAATGTGCGGTTGATAGACTTCTTCTCAGGAACACCGGCCATAGCAAAAGCCTTGGGCTTCCATTGGTAGAACATCTTAGAGCTGTTGGCAAATGTGCTTCCCACGTTACCGACAAGACGAAGGAAACCGTTGTTGACAAGATCTTGACCAATTCGCTCAGCGTAAGCGACGCTAATATTACCCATGCTGCGCTGCAGATACTCAACAATATCGGACCCGGAAGAAGTGTTGAGATAGGTTCCCAGAATGGGCACCTTAGTCTCACCCATCTTGATGCTGGAGAGCATTTGGGAAAGGATCTTCTTGACTTGCTCAGGTTGGTAAGTGTCGTCACCGATCTCATAAAGTTCTTCCTCCTCAGGCTCTTCCTCCTTATGGGGTTGAACTTTGATTTCAGGAATAGCCGGATTGTTCGCCTTAGGACTGTTTTCGGGGTCCTGGAAAGCGAGCTTGTTCTCTTCTTCGAGATCCTCTACTAGTCGGCACTTGTTAAAGTAGACGGATCGAAGCTTCTTAACTGCCTCGGCTTGACGGTCGTGGGCCTTGATGCGGACCTGTAGCTCATCTTGAGAGTCTTGAATGCGAGCTTCGTGTGAGTCGCACCATCGGGAGAAGGGATTTACCACGAGGTCGCGAATGCTTTGAGCGATACGGCGGTGGTTGCGAGCAGCATCTTGCATTTCAGTTCGCATGCCATCGAAGGCCTGTATTACTGTTAGTTTGATGAACTCGGCTTCGACGGCGGCGCATCGCAAAAACAAATCTGCGACAATAGTTTATTGCGCATGCACCGAGCGTTTTCTGGGGTAAGTAGCATGTTAGCGTACCTTGCGGACGGTAGCACCATCATCACGACTGAAGCCACCAGTGATTTTGTCGGCAGCGGGAGCGATATCGCTAAGGCGCTGGCCATATGTCTCCTCAGCCTCGGCGCGTAGACGTGCAATTGTCAGGACCTGTCTGTTCTCATGAACACCTTGCTGGAGCTTGGTGAACAGGACACCTAGTCCCGCAGCATAATCGCTCGACCAGAAGGAATCAGCAAACCCCGGCATGATGGTCTGCCTTTTCCAGCCCCTTCGACTGATGCGGTGATTTTGCGGCTCCCGTTGTTGCTGTCCGAGGGGAAGTAAGAGCTTGTGATGGCGGTGGAGGGGATGCGAACGAGGGTTATTCGCAATATAGCAGGCGACGTGAGCGTAAGCGTGACGGGGGGTTGTCTCCGCGATCGTCGTGGGTATATAGGGGATGTCGGTCCAAGGAGGTCGCTGTTGGCGTTGTGCGGGAGGAAGGTGGAAGGTGGATGGATGATGTATCGCCGTATCGGTTGCGTGTCTCTGTCTTGCGTAGACTAGCTTCGTGAGACGGCTACTGCCGATGCAGGGGCAGAGCAGAGCGAGCAGTTGATTTATCGTTGTGCAGATGCAGATTCCAGGGATCGAATCGGGGGTAGGATACAACAGACACCTACGGAGTACGGATACAGACAAGTGACTGACTCTGAATCTTGGTTCGTCGAACTTTCTGTCCCTTAGGCTGACACCGTCTGGATTGGACAAGGCTGAATGGGGGAAAAGAGCGGCGCCTTGACTGGACCGGAAACTTGCGAACTGGGGTCTGTGTGGGTGAATTGGGATGAGCCAGGGTTGGGATGATGGTTTGTTAGCTCAAGGGAGGCTGGAAGTCGACGTTTCGGAGCTAATTAGCAGGACTCTGGAAAACACAGCGTCACTCCTTATTGGGTGCATATCATGTCAAGATGAGATGTAAAAAGAAAGCAATTATAGATATTGATGGAGGAGGAAGCCATCGTAGGACAGAGCAATAACTGCCCAGGAGGTGGGATCGTGTCTGTCTTTCCTGCCTTCTTCAACAGCCGAGTTTAGCGAGTTCATCATACCTAGGTACCCAGGTAACTACCTAACTAGTGGACGTTGGTAGGTTGGACTTAGGAGGAAGGAACGATGGAATGGACAACGTTGAACAATGCTGTACCCGGTAAGCATTATTTTATGGCAGCAGTCAATTTCAACTACAGTGCCTATGGAAGACGATTGATTTGTTCAAGTTTGTGTTTATCTGGTTTTTAACTTCAGCTGTGACAAAAGACTTGATTTGTGATTCAGTGGCTCTCTTTTCTTCACCATATACCGAGTTTTCCTTCCCTGTCATCGCCAATCTGAAGTCGCCTGGCACTTGTTCAGAGCCAGAGCCAAAGCCACCTATAGACGGAACCTATCGGTGGCCGTTTCAGGGGCCTCTCACTGGACAACGCAAATCTGTTGGCGGGTTCAATCAGGTCCTTCCAACCACTCAGGTTTCTCTCCGTTGCCCCCTGAGGTTGCTGTCAGGTCCTGCAGCTCGTAACTTGCTGGTCGCAGGTGGGGACGGGTACCTAATTTTAGAGGCGCCCAACGTTTCAGGGAAATGTTGCTGGGATGTTCAGGGGTGCATCGTCATTCCAGGATTCCATTGATCGGCTCCGTAATTATAGCAACCAAAAGTTATGGACATTTGCAACTCTACTCAAGCTCTAGGTTGAGGTTTGGCGCCATGGAATTACAGTTCCTCCCGAACTTCTCTGACCGCTGGTAGCATAGGTACGCTGTGATGATCCGAGCTGAGTCCGAGGCTTACAGCAGGGGCTTAACTAAGCGTTTGGGTCTGACTTATCTGCAGTAAGCATTCCATTCTTCAGAATTATTTGCCTTGGCTATCTACATCAAGTAAGAACTTGGTTTCAAAGCCGACGAGAGCAATAAGAGCCTTATTTTTCAGCCTGTCTTATGATCGAAATGTATATGCTTTGGCTGTCATCAAATTGTTACTGCAGATTCTTGCACGAACATTTTGCAAATAGCAGAGATTCGGAGGTTGATTCAAAGAAAATCTTCAATATTCTCTATATGGGCAAGTAGCCGAATACTTATTCAATAATCAACCAGGCTGCAATGCCCAAAGCTGAGAGTCATCCGATAAAGGCTCACTTGACAGGTCTCTGGCCTCTTAGAGGACCTGGCTTTCCCCCACGTCTTGAATGTCTATAATAATTGCTTGGACTTGCGAATCTCAAGAGGGCGAGACCCTGATTGGTGTCCCGGATCCCGGTTCCCGGACCTGGTCAAGTGACGTCCGATTCCAATAAGATATTCGATGATGCTCATAAAGGCAGTGCTTTGACAAACTAAAGCTAGCCGTGAACGAAAGAATTCACCATCCATCTTGGAGTCAAAACGGAGCTCCTGTAGGGCTGCGAAGCTCTCAGAGGGGGCACTGGCTCTACATTAGTTGCCAAGAATGGATCTCTATCTATGGGAACAAAGAGTCTTTGGTGACTGCGGTGGAAGTCAAGATATCAATTTCACTAAAAAGAGGACTCCAGTAGAGACGAGATGCTTTATTCGGAAAAGCACTGGCCCTTTTTGCTTCCTTTGGGAACTCAAAGACCAACCAACAGTTGGTCGAGTTGGGCGGTTCAAAGACTTGACCCTAGTCTAATTGTCGTATGATGGTCACTGTTGACAAAGACAAAAAGAAGAATCATTCATCTTCAGTATGTTACTGTTGACGTGGTCCAACCCTGTCGTCTATGTTTCACTGCACGGGTAAATCTACCATCTTCAGACGATCGACATCACGTGTATCGGTTGCTACCGAGCCTTATCACAACATGTATCTTAATCTTCATCTTCATCTTCGTCTTTGGCATCCCATCACCAATTCACTAACCAGGGATGGGTTCAATATGATTGATTAACCCTTGCAATAAGGAAACGCCTCCTACGTGCAAAAAAAGGGACCACTATTCCCGGCAACCTCGGCCAAAAAGAAAACTTACGTGATTCCCTTGTAGCGAACCGCCCTTAATTGGCGTCTGTTTCCCTCAACACCCCTCTCTCCCATATCCAATAATTGGCTGTAGACCTCTTTACTATTTAGCTCGGGACCTGCATCCCCCACTCACACAGGCGCTAGGGAAAGCGTCTTGAGCGTCAATGTGTAAGTGCTTTCTTCTAGCACAGGTTCCAAACGGGGGAAGATGGGGACATCATCTCTTTTGCCAAGGGACCGAGCGATCTGAATAGGTCTTGGAAACAGGTTCTGATATTCAATTTTGAGGGTTGGTAGTCTCTTTTCTCAGCTCCCTTATAAAGGAGCAACTATGCCCTTGAGGGCGATGTGAATGAGTCTTTGTTCCTTTGGTGTTTTGTAAGTCGTATTCATATTCATTGTTACCAGCTATATAGAGAGCTTGTAGTTCACTCCTTCGCTACAAGAAACCTCGTCAACATCACATTCTTCCATTCATTCCTTCTATTTGATTCTCTTATACCATTTATCCCGTTTGTATCCTCTGCTTCTACACACAATGCCTTCAATCAACACGTTCATCACCGCCCTCGTGGCTGGTCTTGCCATTGGGGTCCAAGCTGGTCCTTGCAGGCCTCATGCTCCTTCAAGCTCTGTACTCCAGCCTCAAGTCACTAGTACCCGGCAAGTTGAGTCTGCTGCCGGGACTTCTGCTGCATACACTGATGCTGTGAGCATCTCCGAGTCTGGGGCTTCTCTTTCTACCGCTGTGCAAGTCACTAGCTCTACTGAGACCGAGTCCAAGCCTTCCACTACTGATGAGAACGAGACTACTACAGCTGCTTATCCTGCTTCCGAGTCTACCTCTATCACTTCTGGTTCTCTCACTACCGAGTCCAAGCCCGAGTCTACTTCTGTCATTTCGTCTCTTGCTACCGACTCTACCACTGAACCAACTTCTTCATCTGATGAGATCGTCTCTTCTGCTCTTCCTACGACAACCGAGTCTAGTGCTGCACCCTACACCACCTCAAAGGCCGAGGCCGTCCCTTCAACTACATCAGAGGCTGAAGTCATTCCTTCAACTACCTCTTCAGAGCCAAAGACTACTCTCGACACTAGCACCATCGCACCAACAACAACTTCCGCCTATCCTACCACTACAACCTCCCAGGCTTCCACCACATCTGCAGCCGCTTCTTCCGAATGTCCGCCCCTGTCTGAGCTCAGCTGTGGCCTGGCTGGTTTGTACACCAACAGCGATAGCCATCTCATCCAGGTCCTTTACGACACCGACCTCGACGGATGCTGGGAGGTGTGCACTAAGAACGACAAGTGCAAGTCCATTGGTATCACTACCGCCGATCAGTGTGAGATCTACGACACTGCTGTCGCTGGAATGGGGTTCAGCGCTCAGGCAGGCTGGTATTTCTCCGTCTATGATGCTTGCTGCCATCAGGCAACTGCAGAGTAGAGCAATGATTGGAGAGGGAGTTGTATATATGGCAACCACATATGGACTGGAGTAGGGTAACAAACGAGTTGGAAATACATCCACGTAAGGCGCATTTCCCACATTTAATTCATAATTTCATAGCTGTATTTCAATACATATTAGTTTTTCGAAACCTTTTTGGAGACCCTTTGCAAGGTCCTGGTTTGTCGTGTTTGTTCAGTACTAGAATTTCATGGTACAAACGGGTCGAAAACTGCGTACCCTATATACTTCCTTCGCTTTTCGGACTTGTGAAAGGCTTTGGGAAATATTCCTTGGGTTTGTCAGATATCACAGTACAGTAACGCCAGTGGATGTTTAGACTAATTCTTAATCAACCAGCGGCTTTGCCTAATCATGGTAATCTTGCTGACCTAAGAGACCTTACCGCATTGTTCTGTTTACCACGTGAAAATGGTTGTATCGTATTCCCAATTTTGAAGGCTTTCTATATTTTGTCTCTCTTCTACTTTTTCCATTACACAGTCATTACTTTTTCAGGCGGTAGGATTGGCCTCAGTTGCCTGAACGTCGGCAATTGTCAAGTCCTCGGCCCTCTTGGTCACTTCGGCCTCAGCATTCTCTCCCCCCTTAGCTCCGGGAAACCTTGTGCCAAGGTTCTTCTTCTTCTTCTCCTTCTTCACGGGTGGGGGGTAGGCCTTCAGGGTGACATCCTGCCATTCTTGCGAGGCTTGGTATTCCGCCTGTATTGGCTTCATCAACTCAAGAAGTCCTTCAGTCAGCGCAGCCTTCAGAGTTTGAGGTGTCAACTTGAGAAATTATGTTAGCAACCATAACTGATAACAATCATTGAATAAATGGCAAAACATACCACATCGGCTCGGTAATCCTCCTGGACTTGCTTGATGTCGTTGTAAATCAGGGGCTCGGCGTCCCGTCTTTCGACCTTGAACTCCCGAGTACCGTTTCGCAGACCAGAAACTGGTAGAATGACATACTCGACGAGTGCCAGTACGCCGTTGCCCTCTACTTCCTTAGGAACACACTCGGCCTTGCGGATCTTCTTCGTCACAACCTCGGGGGCGTCCAAAAGGTCAATCTTGCTGTCTGTGGATGATTTGTCAGCATGCTTCAAAACGAATAGTTGGTATGCACATACTCTCGTCACTTGAACTCATCTTGTTACCGTTCAAGCCGGCGATCATAGGGTTCATGAGATGAGCTCGCTAAAGGAAAGTTAGTCATAAACAATATGTCAGAAGAGCGGCACATACCTTTCGGTATCCAAGCTTGGGCAACCACTCAGTGGCAGCAGCGAATAGCTTTCTCTGGTCAACACCACCAAATTGAACATCACAGTCGAGGTACTGCTCGTCCAAAACTTGCAGAAGAGGGTACAGGAGACCGCTCAGAGGCGCATTGGCTGTCTGCTTGACAACCTCAGCACCAGCCTTCTTGGCATCGTGTTCCGACACGACTGAGGATAGCTTGTACAGGTCCATAACATAGTCGGAAGTCTTCTGGTAAGAGCTACCAAATACAAAACGCAGCTTCTCGGTAGAAACTCCGCATGCCTTGAGCATAGCTGTGATAACAAACTTGTAGTATTCTGCACGCTTCTCCACAAGCTCGATAGGGGCCTTCAAGTTGTCGAGGAATCCATGGATATCGGCGAGGAGGACGGTGACATCGCAACCAGCGGCAAGGTACTGAGCGATCTTGACGGCAGGGACGAGGTAACCGCAGTGAGGTCGACCAGTGGTGGCAGTACCTGGATTTTGTTAGCATTGACTAGGTACTTAGATCTAGTCAACATCAATAAATTTACCCCAGTAGATCTTGGGATTGCGACCCTCATCAAGAATGGACTGGATGATCTCAGGGTTCAGAACCTCGGAGAGATTCTCCTTGATGAGGCTAAACCTCTCCTCTGCTGATTGGGCCATGACGAGAATATTTTCCGTAGTGGAAAAAGAAGCAATTGGCGTGGTAGAGAGATTCAGATAGTGAGGTTAGTATATCCGTACAGTGATGACTCAAGTGCTGTCAAGCCCGTGTGACTCTATGCCTGTCAATACCCCTCCAAAGGTGAATTGACGCTCGGAACCAGCACTCCCCGCCGGAACCTTGTTTTTTCCGGCGGGGAGTTGAGAGCGTTTCAATAGGACATCGGAGTTCGGAATTCATAGACGGAGGATATTGACTGAACGATCACTCTTCTAAACCTCTCCGTTTTCTCGACGTCTCCGTTTTCTCGACGTCTCCGTTTTATCTGTCCCCGTTTTCTCAAGTACCTCCGTTACAGAGAACTCGGTAAGTGGGCGGATATGAATGCATAACTCTTTATGCATTGTGAACAGTGGGAACGCCTTTAACGGAGATCTCGGGACAGGAGCGTCTCCAAAGTCAAACTGAGCGTGTGAAGCCGTTGCTCTTCATCAAGTCAACACGAATAAACGTGTTTAATAATATTGTCAGCTCAAGTATCCCGCTCAATCCTCTCGTGATCCTCTTCAATTCCATCAGCTTTTCGTCTGATATAACACCTTGTTGACCCCTTAAATAAGTAGTAGGTTGAGTGTAGCATATTTGTCAGCCCGTGGTCTATGTTGCAGGCTGTTGTGTTGACGCCTCATTCCATCCCTGTTCTGTGGTCATCTTCACTTCAACACGTCCATACTCATACTTTCCGTTACTCAACTAACCCTACAAACACTATCATTCTTCCACTTTCATCAACCTTTACTCGTGTTTTATATCTTGTTTCGTTTATTTCATCACCAAAATGGGGCGGCAGGAACCTCTCCTATCATACAACACCACGCGGTCATCAAGAACCAAAGGCGCAAATAGACCAGCCAAGGGAGGACTGCTCTCTCAGCTTCACAATAGCACGCATCATGAGCCTCCCTCTTCACCAAAATTGACACCACGAAAAGCCCTTTTAGCTATCTTTTTGGCACTGCTTGGATTGAGCTTGCTACATCGGCCAGTCAGTAACCGCTATAATGGTGTTCCTCGCTATGGAAATGGTTTGCGAACGCCTGAGGAGCGAGCACGCCATGTTCTCACCACCACTCCATTGATTGGTATGGTAGCATCCCTCCACCGTGATTGAATAAAAACTAACATGGATTTTCTCAGATGGTCATGTTGACTTTCCCATATTATTGCGCTTCTTATATGGCAATCAAATCTACGATGAGAACTTTACTCAGCCCTTTGAGCAAGGTGGGCTTCCAGGGCATGTAGACTTGCATCGTCTTCGCCAGGGCCAAAGTGGTGGTGCATTCTGGAGTCTCTTTGCTCCTTGCCCAGCAAACGGTTCTGATTTCTCTGATGAAAACTACGCTCCCAGTGAGTACATGCCGCTGCTATTCACACAAGAACTTTGCTAATCATGTATCACAGGTGTTCAGTTTACACTGGACCAGATCGATGTCATGACCAGGCTGCAGGCGGCCTATCCCAATCATTTCTCTGGAAAGGTTGACAGCTCCAACGCGTTCCAGGCTTTCAAGCAGGGCAAGTTGATATCACCATTCGGCATTGAGGGCTTGCATCAGATTGGAAACAGGGTCTCCAATCTTCGCAAGTTCCATGACCTTGGTGTGCGTTATGCTACCTTGACCCATAACTGTCATAATAAGTTCGCCGATGCTGCCATCTTAGACAACCCTTCTCGCAAAGCTGAGCCTTTCTGGGGAGGTGTCAGTCCTCTGGGACGCAAGCTTGTTGATGAGATGAACCGTATCGGCATGATTGTCGATATTTCACATGTCAGGTATGTTCTGGGTCCTGTCTCTTACCCAAACCCCAAATCTAATCAAGCTCTACAGTGAGGACACTATGCTGGACGTTCTGGGTGGTAAAGATGAATGGACTGGCTCTGAAGCTCCTGTCATCTTCTCTCACAGTTCCGCCTGGAGTGTCTGTCCCCATCCCCGAAACGTCAAGGATAACGTTTTGCAACTTGTCAAGGAGCACAACTCCCTTGTCATGGTTAACATCGCCCCTGACTTCATTTCTTGCGTCGATACAGGAAATGAAAACGGCCTCCCTGAATTTTACCCCAAAAACTCTACTCTTGCGCACGCAGCCCGACACATCATCTACATTGGCAACCTTATCGGTTATGATCACGTTGGTATCGGTACCGATTTTGACGGTATCCCAACGGTCCCTGAGGGTCTCGAGGACGTCAGCAAGTATCCCGATCTGATTGCCGAACTGCTTCGACAAGGTGTCAGTAATGTTGATGCGGCCAAGGTCGTTGGTGGTAACCTGCTGCGTGTATGGAAAGACGTGGACACTGTGGCAGCTCGGTTACAGGCCAAGGGACAGCTGCCACTAGAGGATGAGTTGCCGAAAATGAAGTTCGAGGGCAAGCAAGAGGCTTTTGAGGGAGCTGTCTAAAGCTCAAAGTGTCGCGCAAAGCATAGCGATCTATAATTTAGTTTAAATTGATCGTACACATATACAATTCTTGTACAGCAAGGAGATGGCTGGGTTTGCCTTTTTTCCTTGGGATAGATTCCCCTCATAATATTCTTGACTGCGACCACATCGCCTTTAAATACCCAGGCTAATGTTCAAGCCCATAACCAGATCGCCCAGTCTTTCCATGATTCGTTTAACCTCTTCGCTCGACCCTGTTGAGTCTGTTGGCAGTTGCCGTCTGTGTCCTTGTTCGTTGACCGCGTACTGGCAGACCCATCGCATGACGTCTACCACGGTATGATCCCATATCCTTTAGTCGTCGAATATTATCTTGTACCAAGCGGCGGGCATCCGTTTCGATAGTCATCTGTGATAACTCGGCTGTGATGGAAGTGACAGTTCTGGGGGCGAGAGATCCGACTTTGGCGAGCTTGTGAATCGAGTATTTCGCCATGATACGGGCAGATGTCGTGGGCCCAAGAGCGTAGAAGGACTCGAGAGCTTTCTATCGGAGAGTCTTGTGTGAGAATGGATACGAGGATTTGATGGCTGTCGTCAGGGAACCTACCTTGACGAGCTTCTGCTCGCCGAAATTGACACCTAATAAGAAAACCTACAAAGGATTAGTGACTAGCAAAAAGATGTGAGCAGAATTGAGCCAAGCATACCATTGTGACGGATTATCGTGAGTGCCACAGTCGCATGCCTCGATCTCGAATTCCAAGCGGACCTGACGTGCAATTGGAAAAAGATGGACAATCCGGCAAAACTCGGGTTAATACTTCGGCGTTAGCTTCACTGAGAGGTACATGCTGAGGTGGCCCGCTCTGGAGTTCCAGTGGAGCAGGGTCCATTGGCGAGGTGAGCTATGACAGGGGGGTCTGACATAAGTGTTAGTGAAACTCTCACTCATAGAGCATTGTAATCAATATGTCTGCGCTTTTTTGTCTCCAGATATGGCTGCAAACAGCGCACCACCTCACCACCTAATGAAGTGGCTTTAGCCGCTGAAACGTGCTGGAACGCTGGGTGAGCTTCTCCCCCCACCTTACCGCGTCGCCCCTCCCACTCCGGTCCATAGCATCTGCAGGCAGTTTAGGTCCAGTCCATAGGTCCCCCAATTGCGACAGGTACCGCCCCCCCTGTCAGCGCTCTATCTCTATGGTATAAGTGTCCCCATCCTCCAAGCTTCCTCTCTCCAACCTCTTCTCTGTTCCGTATTCTTTGCACCATCAATCAGCAGAGAAACAAACAATCATGTTCAACCTTCGCCGCCTTTTCGCGTCGGCCCTGTTCTTGGGACTTGGCCTCCTCTTCCTCGCCCAGACGGCTGAGGCTGCCAAGGGCCCCAAGATCACCCACAAGGTCTACTTCGACATTCAGCAGGGCGAGGAGAGCCTCGGCCGTGTCGTCATGGGCCTCTACGGCAAGACTGTCCCTGAGACCACTGAGAACTTCCGCGCTCTGGCCACTGGCGAGAAAGGCTTCGGTTACGAGGGCTCTGCTTTCCACCGTGTCATCAAGAACTTCATGATCCAGGGCGGTGACTTCACCAAGGGTGACGGTACTGGTGGCAAGTCCAGTATGTGATCGCTTCATCACCTTGCAATTGCTCAATGGCTAACAAGATTCACAGTCTACGGTGACCGCTTCAAGGATGAGAACTTCAAACTCAAGCACACCAAGAAGGGTCTTCTCTCCATGGCCAACGCTGGTCGCGACACCAACGGCTCCCAGTTCTTCATCACCACCGTCATCACCTCGTAAGCGAAACCCTCAATCCCCTCGAACCGATTACAATGCTAACAATTGTTACAAGGTGGCTCGATGGCAAACACGTCGTCTTCGGTGAAGTCCTCGAGGGCTACGAAATCATTGAGAAGATCGAGAACACCAAGACTGGCCAGGCTGACCGACCCACCGTGGCTATCAAGATCGCCAAGAGCGGCGAGCTCGAGGTCCCCCCTGAAGGTATTCACGTTGAGCTCTAAGAGGCAACACTTGTATTGCATTGTCCGTTGCCTCGCCATCATTGATAACTCAAAAAGGCCGGATTGCTGATGCGTAGCCTTCGCCTCACTTAGAAATTTACGGCGACTCTGAACTCGTCGCAGAGGAGGCACCAGCTGGATGGTCTCCCCTGCAGAAGGCTGGCCTCTTCGCCGTTGGTGCTGGTATCGTCTTTGTTGGACTTCGCCAAGCCAAACGTCGCTCTCTTTAAGCGACTCGATACTCGATACTCCGTAAGGAACAATCCAATACCGAATATACCAAGACCCATTATGTGTCTTGAATTTGATCAATTACCTCTTATGCCGTTAAACTTGTAATTCCCGGCCTGTTTATTACCCGTAAATCAGCACACTGCGATTCTCTTACCGTGATGTTTGTATTCGTAGCTTCTACAGTGCCATCTGGCAACATCCCTGTCACGTGGGGCTTACGACTTCCAAGCGGCTCCCCCGCCATAGAAGAAAAAAAAGTTGTAAGTACAAGACAACTCCAGATTCAAGGCTCTCGATCTCTTACACGACTACCCGCGGTTTTTTTATTGGTCTTTGTCACTTGAGATTAAAAATGAAGGTCCTCAGTCTCAACTTTCTTACCTGCGCTGCCAAGGCTTGCAAGTCCTCCTCGGACTCATATCCTCTTCACCCTAAGGATGCTGAGCTTGTCCAGGACGATATTGAGGTGAACCCCGATATGATCCTCAACGTGCTGCCCCGTCTCGACTGGAAGGCGCTTCGCACAACCGCCTCAGAGGTAAGTTCAGGCACAGGGCGGTGATGAAACTCGTAACTCTTTTTCGAAACAGCTCTCTGACATTTGGGCGTTACAGCTAGGTTTCCCTCAACTCCCTGAGCAGGCTCCTACAGCGCTTGAGCTCCAGGCGGACGAGAAGACACTCAAGGATCTCCACCACCTTCTTCTCGAGACTCAAATGTCTGAGGGAAAGCTCGTTTGTGGCAGCTGCGGGCATGAGTACGCTGTCAAGGAGGGCATCGCCAACTTCCTGCTGCCTAGTCACTTGGTGTAAGGGATGAATCGACTCTGCTCGAGGAAATCCATTAGATGGAGAGGCTCTACGGAGGGAGATGCATAGCATTTAAGAAGGGGTCTGTTGTTCATGACTGGAAGTGTCACGACGGAGTTTGGCGTTGAATTCTTCATTACAACTTCAAATCGCATCTAAGAAAAGCACTCAATAAAGCTGGGTTGGGGCGCATATTTGATATCCCGTCCCCTATAATCTGTCTACAGTCCATGCTTACAACGTTGGATGCCAATACTATCCTCCCATCAAGTCACCAAAGAAACCCAAACTCCATAATCTGATATACAAGTATCGTCCCACATAGAAGGTTGATACATGAACAACACTCATCGATCAAATACAAGCGAATCACTGTTTCTTCTGAGCACCAGGTCCCATGTCCTTCTCAAAAGAGCCGTAAGACACTTCGAGGCTGGCCAGGGCCCGGAGGCCAACTCCGAGAATGGAGAAGAGGATGATAGCAGTAATAAGAGCCATGAAGATACCTACAAAAAATCAGTATTGCGCGCAGGTTTGCGCAGGGCTTGCGCGAAGTAAGCAAGGGGTTACTAACCAGGAGTGAAGAACTGGTACTTCTCAAACAAAGAACGGGTGTCGCGAGTGGTGTTGCGAGCCTGGCTCGAAGCATCCGAGACGTCACGCTTGATGTCCATATGCATAGGCTCGACGAACTCGGACTCATATATGGTCTTCTCGGAACTGGAGACCTTCTTAGAGGAAGAGGCGGTCTTGGCCTGGGAGGATGGCGTGCCAACAAATAGGACAGTGAATGAGTCCTTCATCCACTTCTCGTTCGAGTCCCATTGCCTAACAGCGTCTACAATAGTGTTAATACGCGATTCCTTAAGGGAGATTTCTGGTGTAACCAACCCTTTTCTTCACCAGAGTGCTTGATAAGGGTGAAGTGAGGCTCGACCTTCTTCGCTTGCTTATAGCACACCGTCTGGATGTAATCCTGAATCGCGTCCGCATCCATCGATTCGCCAACAACCTCCGGGACGATGAACTTGCCCTGGATGTTCTTGCTGGCAATGGCCTGGTGGAGGCTGGGCATGGCGTTCGACCGTCGAATATCAGCAGCGTTGACACCCTCCTGGGCAATCAGGACGTAATTATCGGTCGGACATGACGCCAAGAGGTCTCTAACCTGCTCGAGGGCTTGGGATCGCGTCTGGATATGGTTGTTGCTGGTAGCATCGGAAAACCTGTCACCGTCATCGTTCAGTAGGGAGCTCCAAGTATAGGACACGGGGGGCGCGCGTCATACTGGGAGGTAGAGAACATGACCAGGGGCCATGAGTCTGAGAAAGCAGCAGCTGAGCCGCTGAGCGCGAGGGCGCTGGTGAGGATTTGGAGACGCATCGCGGATGGTATTTGCTGGATATTGGGCGTTGAGTCTGCCTGTCAATTCCAGCTTGTGATGATAATGCTAGCAATGAGAGCTGATGCAGTAACGGTCACCTTACGTAACTGCTCTGATATAAGCATATACTCGGCTTTGTGCACACCACGGTCAGCAATCCGCTGTGGAGCTACCCTGGAAACTTTCGCGACAGTGGATTTTCTATGCTAAAGGAACGATACCAACCCATAAAATAGTTTAACAACTTATTTTTATGTCGTCTTTCCACACCAGGTCTGCTGTGTATTTACGCCATCATGTTCGCCAAGCCAAGGCCCAAGAAGAGTGTTCTTCCACCACCCTCCAAGAAGCGAAAGAATGTATCCGCTGTAGATGAAGTCAATTTTGATTTCGATGCGCGAGAAGAATACCTGACTGGTTTCCACAAGCGCAAGCAGCAAAGGATTAAGAATGCCCAAGAAGAGAATGCCAAGAGAGCGCGTCAAGAAAAGCTTGAGATGCGAAAGCAGGTACGCAGAACAAACATCTATTATAGAGTTGTCGTTTTTTGTGCTAACATATGTTTGCCTAGATACGAGAGGAACGAAAGCGCGATGTCGAGGAACACGTAGAGACCGTGAACAGGCTGCTACGAGAGTCAGAAGCTGCTGGTGCGGTCGGCTTGGAATCCGACGAAGAAGAAGGAGAAGAATGGGATGGTTTCCCTGACCAGCCCCAACTCGACATTGTTGATCACGAAGAAGAATACATCGACGAGGATCGTTACACAACAGTCACGGTCGAGTCCGTATCGGTTACAAGAGATGGATTACACAAGCCTCAGGTCGACGACCCAGAAAAGGAAGAGGACAAGAAGGAAGAATCCAAGGACGACAAGACAGAAAAGTCACGCCGGGAGCCCAAAAAGAAGAAGAAGAAGTTCCGATACGAGTCCAAGTTCGACAGGCAGCTTACCAACAGGAAGCAGAAGATTAAAAGGGCCAAGAGGGCAGAATAAATTGGTTGGGACTTAATGGATTTGGACAACAAAGAAGGATGCAACACAACATACAACACACCATTTACAAAAGATACCCTTGAGAAAAGCCAGCTTCAATCAGCTAGTAGAAACGTAACATGACATGCGGCAACTGCTCCTTTCGCTCATCTGGCCAACACTTTGAAATCCCTGCAACGAGGGCATCATACAACTGGACGAGTATACTGATGGCTGAGGACATGCTAACAAACATCCCGCATCTGGCGCAGGTGTATAAAGGTCGAAGGTTGATTAAATGTTGCCAATCTCGGCCTGGAGCTCCTCCAGCTCCTTCTGCAGAGTGGTGTACTTCTGCGACATATCCTCGTACTTGGTCTCCCACTGGTCACGCTCGTTCTCGAGAGCTTGCACCTTGCGCTCAAAGTGTCCAGCCTTGACATCGGTTTGTCGGAGCCTAGAGAGTCGCTTTGTTAGCCGGTGTGTCATTTGTTGTGTGTAAAATTGATGGTTGTCAAAATGGCGGTAAGGGGCTCGCTAAACGGGGGTTGAGCGTACTTCTCGTTGGCCTCACGAAGAGTCTTATCGGCATCCTCGGCCTCCTCCTCGAGAAGTTGCAGCCTTCGCTGGAGGGTCTCGTTCTGGGTACCGTGCTGCTGGCCCTCGTCGGCGGCCTTCTTGAAGTCCTTGACGGCGTTCTCGAGCTTCTCAACCTCACCCTCGAGGAGGTTGTTCTTGTGCTGCAAGGAGGTGATCTCCTGCTCCTTTGACAGGTTCTCCTGCTCGAGGGCCTTGAGCTTGGTCTGGAGCTCCTCGTTCTTGGAGCTAGCCTCATCGGCCTCCAGACGGAGCTGGTTCATTTTCTATCCACCATCGCCATGTTAGCATGGGTCGACGATAGTTTACCCCTCCACAACGGTTTCTTTGGGGTTCATGGCGGGGTAGCAAGGACAGCTGTTCGGTGACTGACCTCCTTGATGCGGTCCATTTTGATAAGCGGCGAAAAGATTCGTTTAGTGTAGGAAAAAGGCTGGAGAAAGGCTGAAGGAAAGCTGGCGATGAAGACAAAGGTCGTGTTTCTCGGATGTAAGATGAAGCGGTTAAGTACCTATCAAGAAAGGGGAGGAGTGATGTCCCTTCAGTGCCTCCACAACTGCCACAGTGGAGGCCAGCAATCGAAGGCAGCCCCATTGGCTTGTGGCGGTCGCCGGTGTGTGGCGCTCACATGCCGGCACTTTCCACTTTCTAAGGCGTCTTCCAGGATGAAGTGTGGCTGTTGCCCTGCCAGCCAGCACAGGCCGACCAAAACACCCCGGCTTTGAGGTCAAGCCAGATGGGGACAGGACGCTTTCATCTTCTACGCGTAATTACCTTTGATTAATCCAATGACGAGATTAACATCTGCCTAATTCCATCCAAAAACCACGATATTCTGAATCCTTGATTCGTTTATTGTCGCCATAATGTTGGCGGCGCATCGCGACCAAGAGAACCTGGTAGTCAGCCAGCAGGTTCCGACTAAGCAGCAACACAATTCACGATTTCCAAAGACGCCCTCTCGATTTCTTCAACATGACGAGAATGCTCCAACTGCCTTTACCGGCAAGACCGGAATGGGTGGGGTGAAGACCTTTCTCGGTGACAAGACACTGAACAAAGGCCATGGACCACGACAGGCCATGGTCACTCCGATGGGTATGAACGACCCCTTCGGAATACAAAGAGTAGTGTGCTAAGAATGTGTCAACAGGAACTCAAAACAGAGCACCTCTGGGTAACAAAACCACCAATGCCAAGGCTAAGAACGGGCAACTGGCTGGTTTTAAGAATATTATCCAGGACATCGAGCAAACGCAACTTAAGCCAACAGCACAGAAGCCCAAGCAGCGACCAGTGGACCTCGGACCTCTGGAGATTAGACTCAAAGAAGAGCAAAATGCTGCTTGGCAACAAGAAGACGAGCCTGAGTATGCCCCTCCAAGACCCAAGGATCTTCCATATGAATCGGACTGCTTCCCGAAGGATATGTTGACCTTCGAGGGATTGAAGAAGGACAACATCCTCAAAGGATACTATCAGCACTTCTACAACCCTGTCGATGACGACGGTATTTCGCGACAGGATAGAGAGTTCGCAGAGACAATGAAGAAGGTGGCGAAGAAGGCCGAAGAGAAAAATAAGCAGGAAACCGATGCCCTGACTTTCAACATTGATGATCTGTCCGACAGCGAAGCACAAGCGAAACCAGCACTCAGGACGGCCATGACAACATCCTCGGAGCAAAAGATCAAGGGAATTCGGGCCAGACAACCCTCCAGCCTGGCCTCGAGACGTGCTGCCTCTGCCTTGTCCGTCCACTCAGACGTTAGCAGCAGCAGCAGGGCTTCAACTGTGGCACGAACAACAAAGATGCGAAAGCCGCTTACTTCGTTGTATCAGGGCAGAAAGCCCGCTGCTCGAAATTTGTTACCTGCCAAGGCTTCACCTGCTGAGAGTGCCACTGGCGAAGCGGCATCACGAACTACTATTGGCTACAACCGCGGTAGGTCAACATCGTCTATGGTGAATGGTCAACGCCGCGGAGCTGGTGCGCCAGTTGGAACACAGCGGGTAGTTAAGCCTGCGGAAACGGTGAGCTCTGTTCAGTCTGATCTCACTGTGACTCCGGCGCGCTTCCGCCAGGCGGCCCAGAAGCATCAGGAGGTCAAGTCACGACCTCAGTTCATGTCCATCTTTGACGAGGATGGTGAAGATGACGATCTTCCACCTTTGAGCCAGCCACTTCACATCTCTGACGATGAGGAAGAGTTCGAGCTCAAGTTGAACTTTTAGTATCCCACCAGGACTTGTACTTTTAGAAATGAAATTGGCGTTTGGGAGGAAGCTCATCATGATATAAAATTTAGTCAATGAGATGGAGTTTTAGGAGGGTTCTGCTTTCAGCAGTCCCAATACGTTATCTGTGTACTCAAACAGTACAAGCTCTGCCCAGCAGTGGCCAGGAAAGAACGAGCCTTCTTAATTATGCTTGTTGTTTGAAGTCTGAGTGTCAATATACTTGGCGATCATCGTCTTGTCGTTGTAAACCTTGTGTGGTGTAGGTTAGGAAGCAGGACATGAATATTCTAACTCTGAGATGAAAAGACGTCAAAGGTCTCAGCGATGTTGATTGAATGTGTGTCACCACCTAATCTTTTACTCATGTAAAGTTTCATGTTGTTTTAAATGGCTCGTCAAAGGCCCTTTCATCGTTATTTATGAAATGCTTGGACAAGTCCCTACTTTGTGCATGGTAAGTGAACACAGCTTCTTTGTCAAACTGTTGGTTCCAACAAAGATAGACACGGCAAGTACTTGAATAATAAAGACTTGTTAAGGCATATTTTGGGCACGAGGATGTCCACATTCAAAGAAACTAACAAACCACTAAAGTGCGATGGATGTTGACCAGCAATTGGACCATATGAAACCTACAGATACCTACGGACGGATAGGCCATTCGCGCCTTATTTAGACCTGGGGCCCCCAGGGGAACGCGTTAATTGGCAACCAAGATACCCCGTCAACCGTGTATTTACCCAAGCACAACATCCAATCAGAACAACAATCGTCTTTCAAGCCACTCCAAGTGTGGCTGGGTGACCCTCTCATTTGACTTGGACCTTAGCGCTAAAAGTACCCAACTCTACTCATCCATCCCTGAACCAAAAGTCAAAGCAAAAGGCCTGGGTCAAATCGTCAACTTCCTTGGTCGTCAGCCATTTTTTCCCTTTCTCCCACCAATTTCCCCCCTCGTTTTGTTCCACGGGCTGGAGATTGCCATCGGATATCGCTTCCACCCTCGTCGCGCTCATCAACCTTTTGGTTCAGTCTACTCGTTTATTCCCTGACGGCTTTTTCCTACTCCTTTACTATCCTCAGAGTCGGTGGATGACGCTGCTCCGCCACATTCAACCTCGACATCACTCGGTCGCGTGAAGCCTACTCCAACGTCGTAACCTCATACACTTGATCGTTTTCACGATCAACGCTATTCGTCTGGAATCGCCTGCAGCTCAACAGTCTTGATCAGGTCGCTTGTTTTCTTTCCTCCGCTTTATCGCAAGGATATCATGGTAGGAGCACGGGGGAAGAAGTAGAAGAGCGCATCGTCACGATGACTCGCCCGCTAGGCGCGAGCTTCGCGCAATTCTTCCCCACAGCTCCAAAGGTAAAGGCTCAGACTCAGACTCGCGCAGACCAGATCAGAGACTGCGATCGTTCCAAGTCTGGGTTGACATCGCCCTCTGCCAACGGCACACTCGACTCTACATCAGGATCCGCTGCATTGGACCCCGACGCGAATATCGGCCAAAACGGCATTGTTTCGGCGTCAGAATCTATACCTCCCCAACCTGACGACACCGAATCCCCATTCACAGACATCCCCAGCACCGTCGACTCGGCCAGCTCATACAGCAGCGCCGCCTCATCGATATTTAGCACAACCGCCCGCCACGGAGTCGCGGTAACTACAGCTTCGTCCCGTCTGCCCACCTCGAGCCTTACTCCCATCGCTTCTAAAGATTCTCCCAACTTCTCGGCTTCGGCCACCGCAAAGCCAGATATGTCTACACCCCATACCGCCGATCGGGCTGCGAGACAGTCCTCTCGAAACTCGCCGGCCACAGGCCACAATGGCTCGACATCAAACGGACTCACATCAATTGAGCGCATTCCGGCTCGAGATCCTCTGCCTTCCGTCAAGGGCCTTAAATGCACATATGATCCGCTCCTCGATCGAGTACACAATAAGAGCGTCAGCAAGAGCGCCAAGCCCACATATAAAGAGTTCGGTCGAGTACGTATAACTATAATTTCCCTCCCTAGGGGGGGCGTCATCTGCGGTGAAGAGACTCATGGCTAATGGAATTGATTAGGACGATGACGCCCCCCCTAAAGACCCTCGACTATCCAGGTCCGATGGTCGCCTCGGTTATATCAACACCGATTTTTACCTACCCAAATCGCGATTGCGAACAGCGCCTGAGAACATCAAGCCTTACCCATATGATCCCAAGACCTCCATTGGTCCTGGTCCACCCACGCAGATTGTGGTGACGAGGTACAACCCTCTTATTCCTTTCAGTAAAGTGACAGCCATTTTTGCAACCTTCGGCGAGATTGCCGAGAGCAGCAACAAGATGCACCCAGAGACAGGTAGCTATCTTGGCTTCGCGACAATTCGTTACCGTGATTCAAAGCGACCCGACCGACTTCCCGTCCCTGCCATCGAGGCAGCTCGCCGAGCCGTTCGGACACGCGGTATCAAAGTCGATGCCGACATTGTCCGTGTAGAATACGATGCCGAAGGTCGGAGAAGTCGACGGATGTTGGAAGAGCATCTCAAGAGGGAGAAGGAAAAGTTCGAGAAGATAGAACAAGAACGACTTGCTCAAGCAGCCAAGGCACCGCCAACTGGTCCCAAATCCGGAACTGCTCCAGCATTCACAAGACCTCCTCCGACCGCTCCTAAAGGCCCGTCAGCACAGCGACAACCTGCGGCATCCAGCGCACCACAACTCCCTACACTGGCCTCGCAGCCCAAAGCCCTCAATATCGAAGCTTCGAATCTCGCGCAAAAGCTAGCGGATGATCCATATATTTATGTTACAGGTGATAGTGTCCCAGTCTTGCCAAGTATCCTTCCGCACATGAAGAAGCGACTTAAGAATTATGGCTTCGAAGAAATCCGTGTTGACAAGTCGGGTTACTTTATCGTGTTTCGCAACTCGTTCACTGGCACATCAGAAGCTGAACGATGTTTTCGCGCTGTTAATCACACAGAATTCTTCAACTACGACATGACGATGCAGCTTTGTCTACCTCGGCCACGTCGAGAGGACACTTCTGGCCGCCGACGATCCAGCGCAAGTGCCGATCGGAAGACACATGCCGAACCACGATATCGCGACGAGAGGGACAGGCGACGGAGAGAAGAAGAGGCGGACTTGGAAGAGGAGAAGAAACAAAGAGCTAAGAACTTTGATCCTGTGATCGAGGCCGTGGAAGCTGTTCGACGAGAGATGACCGAACATCTCATTCGACACATTCGCACCAAGGTCGCAGCGCCTGCGCTCTCAGATTTCCTGGATCCTGCCAACCATGCTGCCAAGAGGCGAAAGTTCAACATCGAGCACCCTGATGATATACAGGAGATACCTAGTATCGAGGATGGCAATGATAGTTCGCGTGTGGGAACACCCAACTCCCGCGCGGACCCGATCGAGCGCCGGACTGGGCGACTTGAACCCAAGGCTTTACCAAGGATTCGCAAGACGAAGATCAAGGGTCAGGCGCAAAAGACTGCATTTGTTGATCCATTTGCACGAAAACGACCGCCTGTTGCTCGAAATGCCTTCCGTTCTCTTCACCATCGCCTTAGAAGTCTGGATAGTGATATCGAGTCTGACGACGATACGGATACACGGACGCTATTGGCTCGCGAGACTGAGGAGGCCGAATCTCGACCTCGCAGCCGTATGAGCACTGATGATGAAGCCTCCAAGGACGACTTTGTTCCCTGGGAGCAGGGCGAGGATGACTCCACGACCGAAGCCAGCTTCGCGATAACAGATTCTGCAATGTCCAGGAAACGAAAGTTGGTGGCTTCAGTAGAATCGGTTTTCAAACGTCAAAAGAAGACAGATGAGGAATTGTTTGGTGTTAGACTCGGAGCACTTGGCTCTGGGTTTGAAACACGAGAGGACTCCGTTGATATCATCCCCGAACTAGAAACAGGTGATGATGTGGAAAGTAGAATTTCCCGATCTGAAACCCCAGCGTCTACTATAGGCAAAACTTTGAAGAAGCGGCCCTCCAAAGCGAAAAAGACAAAGAAAACAGCGTTTGAGGAACTGGAGACTTTGAAACCTCTGCCTGACGCAGACTCTCCTGGCGATGAAGATGAAGTTGTAGAGGCTTCGAGGGCCGAGACGACCGACGAACAGACCAAGAAGCTACCGGCAGAAGGGGTGGTTCCTCAAAAGTATAATGAGAAGTTCTTGGCCACGGAACCGTTAGTACCTGCAATGGTGTTACCCGACGGTCTCAAAACAGATTTACCACTCTTTCAAGGGTTAGCGATTGGTGCTAATGACACGCCTGACCTTGCAAAACTTTCTCGGAGGTTCAACACAAAGGACATAGGCAACCCAGAGCTATGGTTGTGGACTCGCAACCGCGTCAGAGAGCTCAACTCCACTCACAGGACATTGGACTCACCTGTCACTATCGGAGGCTACTATGTGCCTAACCCTACTGGCTGCGCACGCACTGAGGGTGTCAAGAAGATTCTTAACTCTGAAAAGTCAAAGTACCTACCTCACCATATCAAGGTGCAGAGGGCAAGACAAGAACGAGAAGCCCGCCTGAAATCTGGCAAGGATGCCGCTGCAGAAGCTGCTGACGCCGCGAGACTGGCTGCCGAGAAACTGGTTGCCAAGGGCAATTCACGAGCGAATCGTGCTACCAACCGTCGCTACGTTGCTGACCTTAATGATCAGAAGAAGACACTCGGCCAAGACTCAGACGTCTTCAAGTTCAACCAGCTCAAGAAGCGGAAGAAGCCCGTCAAGTTTGCTCGTTCGGCTATTCACAACTGGGGCCTGTACGCTATGGAGAACATTGCTAAGGACGACATGATTATCGAGTATGTCGGAGAGCAAGTTCGACAGCAGATATCCGAAATCCGCGAAAATCGTTATCTCAAGAGTGGCATTGGAAGCAGTTATCTGTTCCGTATTGATGACAACACTGTCATTGACGCAACCAAAAAGGGTGGCATTGCGCGATTCATCAACCACAGTTGCATGCCCAATTGTACTGCAAAGATCATCAAGGTCGAGGGAAGCAAGCGCATTGTCATCTACGCGCTGCGTGACATTGCCCTGAGTACGTATTCCCATTCTTTAACCGTAAACACGATGCAGGTTGCTAACAAAAACGATAGACGAAGAGTTGACGTATGATTACAAGTTCGAACGTGAAATCGGCAGCCTTGACCGCATTCCTTGTCTCTGTGGCACAGCGGCATGCAAGGGTTTCCTCAACTGATACTACTATAATACAATTTTTTTCTTTCCCCTATAGCATTTCTCTTATTTTCGACTCTCGCGCCATCCTACTACTATTGATACCGCCTTTGGGCACATGCCCCCTTGAAGGGCGAGCAAGACGTAAACACTGCGGTTTGGGACGGGCATGGGATTTCCATCTTGGCGTTGAAAAGAAGTGGTTCACGGTTTTCGATGCTAGGAGGTTCTTTGGTCAACCTAGAAGGGATTTATGGATGGGAATGCCCACGACAAAATGGGAGATGTTTTTTTTTTGGCAGAGCTGCTTTCGTGGTTTTGTTATACTTACGCACTCGGCGGGGAAAAAGGCTATTGTTCTTTGCTGTTTTACTGCCCAAGGACCGAAGTGAAAGGGGGCAATCTAGCTTTGAAGGGGCGTTGAACCGGCCAGTGCTACGTGGCTTTCTACCTCTTTCTATTCATTTATCTCAGACCAGTCAGGATCAAAGGACTACCTGGCTGACGCCCTACTGTATATACCGACCAAACCCAACACATATAGACGCGGAGTTTAAGGTGACTCCAACGCAAGGAGTGCAAAAAGAAGTGGTCTACCAAGGAAACATACATCGTATGCAAAGTGTTCAAAACAGTGAATTGGCATCGCTATGCTGACAAGAGTGGAAGTGTAGGTACTGGTTCCCCAACTTCCCTCTCAATGTATCCAACTATGCATCTGCTTCTTCCGTACATGATCCGATCCATAGACATATGCTTTCAGAGAGCACATTCCAGTGTCGTGCAAAGAATTTTAAATGCTCTCAGCTAATCAGTCATGTTCCTTCTTGACGTTCACAAAGCGGTCGCCAATATCAGAAGGGGCCCTCGGCCCCACCATCCAGTCTTGCATTGCGAGCCATTCGCTCCAGTTGGATTCGGCTGCCTGTATCTCGTCTTCGGTTACGTTTTGCAGCGGTCTGAGAAAGGGGACTGTTTGTCCGTCATCCATATCATATTGAGTCTTGACCCGCAACCAAGTATCACTCTTGGCAGCAAACATGTAGTTTCTGCGTTCACTTTCATGAATACGCCCAATACCCTGCAACCAGTCGTCTCCAAAAAAGCCATGAAGAACTGCAGGGGTATCGAAACCAGTTACTATGAGGCGTCGAATGTAGGGAATTAGAGTGACTGAAGGAGATGCAGGACCTCCTAAATGCAAGCTTCCGTGAACAGACGCCCGAGATGAAGATGAAGATGATGAAGGGCCATTGCGTGTTGGCGTTAGGGGTTGTGAGTTTCCTTTCTGGAAAGGGAGGAGAATATTAACACAGGCAGATACTGTTTGAACTGCAGGGCTATACTGAGCATGATCGACAAAGTATCGAAGACAGGACAAAAATAGAGGATGCCATTCGAATACGTCAAACTGTTCCTGTTGAAACGGCTATACTAAATTGTTAGTTTGATGCCAAATGCTGAGGCTCGACAAGCCAGTGGACGATTCGAATGTCACTGAGTGGGGTTGAGACAAAAACCACGTACGTTTTGAAACTGCATAGACATGACTGTCGAAGGTGTTCGTTATGAAGAGAACGGGGTAGCGTTTCTGATGTGATTCGGGATTTGGAGGCAGGGTAGGTATCCGAGGACTCGGATCAGCGATGGCCACGGAGGAGGCGACAGAGAGAGGAGACAGGGGAGAGGAGAGAACGAGTGTCTCTCATAACCAAGCTACTTCAAGCCGGCACAAGTGGGCGTGCTGATAAGCCCCAAGCTCAGCCCAGCCCTCAAAGAAACTGAATGGCCGAGAGGAAACAAGACCACTAGACAGCGGGTACCTGAAGCCAATGGTGCCGGACGGGTTGAGTTGAGATCATACAGACGGGACAGCTCAAGAAGTCCCAGCGGTAAGATTAATAGCAAGAAGGCGAATATAATGGGGTGCGTAATGCAATCTAGTTGAATAATATTCACTGAGCTAGAAGTCCTTAGTCGATGATTGGCCGAGTCAAGGAACCAGCTTGATTTCGAGTGGGTTGTATGGAGCCGGGTGTAAGTCGAGTTGAGGGAAGGGCTGTAGACGGTGAAGGAGCTGAGTGCTGAAACGAGTTATGCTTTTCGGTATTGCGTTGTACTGGTATAGGTAGGTAGGTAGTGCTGCATATATCAAGAGGACAGTGAGTAGTCGTAGGCTAAAATAAAATAAAAGTCGAAAAGCCAGATATAGGATGTGCGGATCTTAAATGTAGATATAAGAGGTAGTGAATGCAGTGGGGATGGGAGGGTAACAAACAAGGTGAGGAGGAGCAGGACAGGCAGAGCAACAATAGGTAGGTTAGTAGGTAATGAATGAGATTGATGAGGCAGGTATTAATATATCTTCGGCTAAAAGGCAGGTATTATCTAAACCCACCTACCCATCATGTGTTTAACAAAAGCAATGGGTGGGAAGGGAAGGGAAGGGAAGTCATGGGTCAAGACTGAGGCGAAAAATTGTCATTTGGAAGTTGGAAGCTGAGACCGGAGACTAGGGGAGGCAAAGGTCAAGGCAAGTGGAAGGCCAAGGCAAGAGGGAGGTGAGGAGTTCAACGTAGGCGTGGATGTATGTAGGTAGGTAGTAGGCAGGTGTGGGCGAGTGAGGTTGCAACTTGCAGCTCGTCAGGTTTCTCTTTCCATTTAAACCTACGGATACCTAATAAACTCAATTTAAGGGTAAGTAGCCACTGCCTTCTACGGATAGCTAGGAGGTAGGTACCCTAGCCTGGACTCGACCTGCCACCCCGCCTAGTACCTGTTATGTAGGTACCTGCCACAATGGACTTGCCTTGCCTTGCTTTCCTTCTTTCCTTTCTTACGTTCCCCTATGCCATTTTTCGGACGTGCCTACCTGGCGCCTGGGCGAATTGAAGTGACAAGTGATAGGCAGTACTAAGCGAGCCTCTAATATGCACCCTTGTCTGGGTTGTCTCTGGCGAATGAGCTCTCGCTTGGTCAACTTCTTCAACATCAGCACGCCCGGACAATGCATTCAAGACCTGTCATAAATTCACCGACTTCAGCGTTTCACCGTACAGAACAGGGCTTGCCTTTTGTCCAAGGGGGTCCAATGCCAGCCAAAACCACCGATTCGATGCCCTTCCTCTGGGGCGGACCCCATGCACCTACGTTCTCCGAGTCTATTTTAGCTGCGGTGCCACAGCCCACAACGACCCTCGTTTTCCGGCTACATCAACGGAAGTAGGGTACAGGATAGGATAGGACAGACAGGATCCGGAATACAAACCCAACAATCAGGGCTGTCTTTGCTCATCATGGCGAGAAAATCCCTAGACTCACTTGTTTGTAATGGCTTGTTCTGCAATTAGAAGCCATTCTACGACAACATCGCCTTGTCTTGTCTTGTCTTGTCTTGTCTTGTCTTGTCACACACGACACCAATGGTGCTGCACCAACCAGTACATAGATACATACTCCCAACTCAAGTACTCGTCATGCATGCAATGCAGTAGTACCGTCTCGGCTGCCGCAGACTTCACCAGCTCCCAGGTCCTCGCTCCCGGTCGATCCCCTCCCGCGTGCACGGGAAACCTGCGCCCACTCATAAGTCACAGCATTGAAGGTCCCTGACCTGGGCTTAACTCTTAACTGCGTGTCATCGACCGCCGAGGCCTACTGAGCATCCCTGCTGGCCTCACCTTTAGCTAGTCTTGACAGCGTTCCCGTCAATTGCGCTTGAACATCTAAATTCCCTAGTTGGGATACTGGTCCGTTGTCTTTCAGCTCTCGCTGGCTGCGCTGATAAACAACGTGAACATAAACTTGAGTTCGCAATATACAACTACGCACGCACACGAATATTCGTTCCTGGTTATTAACGCATGCGAGCCATGCTGTACCTCTGTCTCAGATCTCAGTCATGCTCTTAATATATTCACCCCGGTGCGCACTATCAGAATGATCTTCAAGGGTATTTTTATATTACTCAACAATGGATATGGTGGGTGGTTGGCTCTTGAGCCTTGCATATGAACCCCCAAGACATCCAAAGGAGACTTGGAAAGGAAAGAGGCTGCTCGGCACATACTGTATTCTCCCCTCTTGAGACAGGCCTACTAGGGTGGAAGCTGGGACGCGCAGCAAGGATATCTGTTTGTTTCCGGTAATCTGGTTGGCCAATTTTCACATCTTTGATCCCTTTCCAGACTGATAATGGCGCGGACCTAACGACCCAGTTCTTGGGTCCTTAGCTGCCGGCCTAGTCTGGTATGTACAGAGTACCACAGACAACTTCTGGCTGCCTTGGTCGAGAAACCATGCACCCACTGTCAGCCAACTCGATATGAACAACATCAGAAAGATAGTTCCATACTGGCTGGATTAGACGGCTGGCGCCGCTGTCAGACAGTGTTTTTGACTACCGCATTGCATGTCACCAAGAAAAGGCTCGTCGTTCGCCCTTGTAATTAAACGTTGCCACCACCGGCTGCAAATAGTGAAGACATTCATTCCGAGTAAAAGAGGATAGCAATATTACCCTACTTCGGGCTAGCGGCCCAGTCCATTGGGAAAGTACACAACCACCCCACAGATGACAGGACAGGACAGACATGCATGTTTGAGTGCATATTGTTGTAGGTCGACATGACTCGTGCCAGTCTAGGTGCAAGAAACAGCTGGGATCAACGGTTGGTCGACGGCCTATCCGTATATGTTCAGGATAATGCAGCTGCCAAGTTCTAATAGCGACTATGGGTCCTATGAAGTATGAACACAGCACAGATAACAGAATCATTACATTATATGTGCCTCTTTTGGCCTTAGTCAACTTTTGTTTATGGACTTCTGGCGACTATATAACAACATAGGGCCTCTCACAGCAGTTCCAGTGTGATAGGCATTGGCATTGACATGGTAATGGACAACGCCAAACTGTCTATGCCAGGGGCCAGGGCAGGGCAGGGCAGGGCAGGGCAGGGCAATAAAGATGAGATCAGCACGACCCATTTACCACCCCTTTGGGCTCCGAACAGTGTCATCTCTCGAGTGTCGACAGGTTAACAGGGTAGCTCAAGGAATTGGTGACGCATTTTTCAGCTGCGGCTGTTAGATCTTGAGTCGAAAAAAAGAAAAAGAAAAAGAAAAAGAAAAAGAAAAAGAAAGAAAAAAGTAATGGAAACATTCTTTCGACCCGCTGCCCCCGAGACAAACGGATGAGAAGGCATCCGTATAATGCATCGATCAAACACTACAAATGATGCTTCCCTTGCTTTGGGTACAGTTTCCATCACGACATGCGATCAATTCAGGCATAGGCGACCAGTGATCCATTCAACCAACACGGAAGCTCACGACAATTCGAATCTCTTGATCCCTTGCTAGCCTCGTGCTTGGCACCCAGCTGAAAGGGTTGCAGGGTTACAGCACAGTATGTACGTCGCATGGAAGCTGGACCCGATCCCTTGACGGACCATGGGGCCGGTACGCCTGATTCGGTGTGGCAATCGGATAATTTGTCAAGATGCCGAGCAAAGAGTTTGTAAACCTCCCTTACAGAGCAGTGTGATGGCCTTGCAGTTAGTGAAGAAAGATATGAAGGCACGGTGGTGTCAGCGACTTATCGACTGCAGCGTGTTGCTAAAACATTGCCAGATCAAGATTATAGAACTCAGCATCAAGCCAAGCCACAGAAATGAGTCAATCGTCTTATTGCAGAATAAGGTACAACAAGACTTGTGGTTGAGGAAGCTTTACTCCCAAATACGCAAGTCCAGTGGTCACAATGGCATTGAATTACGGATACAAGGCGAGTAAATGCACTTGTCACTCACTCACTACCTTGAGCTTGACTAAGTACTTGCCCGAGCATCTCAGAAATCAATTGTTGGAATGGCGTCACGGATGCTGTGTCTTCCGATATTTCACTGGCTGGCGATATACGAGAGAGAAGAGAAAACATAAGGCGGATAAGCTTCCACGACGTCGGGAAGATGATACAAGCCCTTGGTGACAGCCCACGACGTGCTGGATCGACGACACGCTGGATCTCTTGTGCTACGTATTTACAGCATAATTTGACTTGATCCAAGAAGCCCGAGTGTCACACGAGCCAACGTGTGAAATCTCAACATAACAGCGCAGATCAGAATGGATCTACGTAGGGCTGGCGGATACCAGATGGTGGATGGCCGCAGGGATGTTGTCTATTTGCTTCTCAATGTGGCTTGCAAACATGACGGCTGCTTGTATTCCGTGGCAGTAACGCCACAACAGGGGTTCTTGGGTTACACAAACAGATCTTCTGCCCCTGCTCAGTTGATCTGATCTGCTGCTGTCACAATGTCTCGGATCGGTGAAGGGCTCCGGGGCCGAAAAATCACGGACATGTCATTTAACCTCAGGGACGTGAACAGCATGTCAGGGTCAGACATCAAAAACCAGACAGGATGCTCCTTTTTGGTCTGTGTGATGCAAGGGGAGCTGCGTACAGTGGTATTCGACTTACAGCATCCATATCAATATCGCACAGTACAGAACAACTCCAGTAAGCCTTGACAGGTTTCTGTGCCGCCCACCTGCTTAATCTTGAGCTTGGTCCTGTTCGTGCAGGATCGTGCAGGATCGTGGGTGGCGTGGCATGAGATAGATGAGTCTTTTGAAATCCTCCCGAACATAATTTCGTTTCGTTCTGGAAAGTATGCCACACCTCAAGAATGGATGCAGTATACATCATGCAGCCAGTTCACATATGCTAGCCAGCAAGCCTTGTCTCAGCCAATGTGAGCAGGCTGTAGCTTTTCATATTTGATACGTACTTATTTAACCTGCAAGTGCTTTTCCTAACAGCTCTTGGGCTCGTTCACTGTGGTTCATCTCAAGAGCTAGCTGCCGCCCCCTTTCTCCCATCTTTACCCACGTCTTTTGAAGGATACCTATCGTCTTTGCTTCGTCAAGATCCGACTTACTTTCGAAGTCGTCAAACTGGTCGTCAAGGAAGACCAAACATGCGGTGTCTTCGAGTACTTGAGTTTCTTCGTCCGCCTTGATGTTCTCCTTGCGAATCAGAGCAGCTACTCGCTGGCGGTCCTCCTCAGGGATCGAGGGCTGAATCTCTGGGGAGGCCAGTAGTTCGGCGACTTGAGCAGCGGCTTGAGCCTTGAGCTTTGCCCGCCAAGTCAAGTATCCCGGACGAGTCATAGGATAGCTGCTTCGGGGTATCTCCCACCTGTTTCAAGCTTAGAAGCTGTGAATGAAGAGCACAATGAAGTTTTCAAGACTCACCTCCGGAAGTGCTGGGCTCGACAAGCAAGTTGGAGAACGGGGCTTGCATCCGGGCATCGACGGGCGAGCCACTTGGTCATCTTCTGGGCGTAGTCAAGCTCATACGGAATTGTTGTTCCATCAGGGCCTCGAACTGTTCTGGTGTCTTCGGCATGAGCAGCATCAATGAGCTCGAGGCCGCGAGCGTACTCGGCTGGGAGGGCAAGTAAAGTGTTGGCCATCATTTCTATTCTGTGTCTGTCTTGTATAGAATGTCGGACGAAGAAATCAGAGACAAGAGGGTGAAACTCGAGTTGGCAGTGGGATATAACAAGTTGCGTTGTGGTTGAAAGCGATAGATAGATATATCTTGAGCGTTGTTTTGGATACTACTACCTAACTACCTTAGGTAGACAATTATGAGATGAGTCAGCAAGAATGGGAATTGTCCCATTGGATCTAAAGCTCCAAGTTACCTAAGTTAGACTGAATGCAACTCGAACTTCTGTATCTCAGAGGCAGATTGTCATACGATATGGAAACTCTGATAAGTGGCCATTATAGTAATAATCATATTGGCAAAACGTCGCAGACCCATTGTCTGTTGTTCACCAACAAAACAAAGCTCAACGTGCTGTTCTCGTTCCTCCATCACAATTGGGGACGAACATGAGCTGAGATATTGTTCTATACCGTAGTGAATATGTTCGTCCATGCATCCATGCAGTGGGTGCTAAGGGGATCAACTATCGAATAGTCAAAGTCATTCAACGGGAGGCATAGTAGATTCCACAACTCCAATCCTGCAAAACAAGCAGAGCAGTTTTTCTCTGAGTGCCCTGTATGATACGGTATTGGTCACTGCTCACTCCAAGCCCCCCTTTATCATCCCATCTTTAGCACGGCATTTACTCCTTGCTCTAGAAGCATACCTACCTAGGCATAGGCATAGGCATAATTCACCAACTGCTCGGCACTGGCACTGGCACCGGAATAGCAGCAGACGCGAGTTGCACGCCCGCAGTGCAGCCCCGAGAGTATTCGAACGCACCTTTCCAAAGCGTTTAACCTTGTTTTTGTAACCTCTCACTTCTCTTCTTTTCCCTTCCTCACTGCACCTCGTAGGTTACCCTTTCTTCAACCAACGATCTTCGAGACATCCCGTATCAACACTTGACGCATTTTGCATAGCAGAAGATAGCAACTATTACTTCTTCTTCTTCCCTCTTCCCTCTTCATCTTCTTCTTTCTCTTCTTTCTCTTCCTTTTTCTTTACCCTTCGTTAGTATCAGCATCAGTACCCAGCCAAAGACACACCTACCTGTGAAGGCCTCTTTGCTCTCACTACTATTGAGTACGATCTTCTTGATTCTTGATCTTTGACTCACCTCCACCGTTACTTCGCATTATCAGGGTAGGCAAAGGCTTCATCGGGAGCAGTGGATGCCAAGTGCTGACTTGTGATTGTAGCATCAACATTGTCGTCATTGTCTCCGAGAGATTAACTGGTTGCGCACCTGAAGTCTCATCATGGCCGCACCTCTCTCACCAGAGAGCTTTCATCGGTCAATCATCAACGCCATCATGAGTAACAACTCCGTAGTCCCAGGCCGCGCTGAACTTCCTGGTGACTCGGGTACCATAAGACTGGTCGAGCTCGAGGGTTCACCTGGTCGAACTCTTTCGTCTTCATCAGTCGGTGATGGATCGTCTGGATACGAGGCGAGTGAGTCGTCTGACAACCAGCATGCCTGCATCAAGAAGCGAGGCAACGTCAACGTCAACAAGAAAACCGGCAAAGCCAAAGACCGACATGTCAAGATTGTCACCTCGAGCGATGTAGAATCCTCAGAGAACGCTGAAACTACTGAGTCAGCTGGTGACGAAACCACCGACAGAAGCAACAAGTCTTCACCAAAGGCAAAGAACAAAAACAAGAACAAGAAGTCCAATACGACCAAGTCTATGCCCTCTACCGACAACGAGTCTTCTGCACATACAGAAGAGGTTTCCACTGACGCCGATACTTCGGGTAAGTCCTCTCGGGTTTCTACCAAGGATCCCAACTGGTCCGTCTCTGAGGACTGTCGACTTCGAAGCATGAAGGAGGCCGGTGAGACTTGGAAATTTATCACCACATCTCTTTGCAAGACCAAGACTGATGTCAGAGCTCGCTGGAAGGTCCTTCGGAGCCAGTCCAGTGCTTCGGAACCGACTACTGAGGCTGAGGAAGACGAGGCCGAAGATAACTATGACTATGAGAACGACGAGGATGAGCATGGCGATGCGTACGAGGATGACTATGAGTACGAGTACGAGGACGACGATGGAGTTGACGATGAAGAAGAGTCCGACTCCAATGCCAAGGACAACACCTCAACCAACAACAACAAGTGGCACAAGGGACCTCGCAACGACAAGGTCGCCATCGAGAACAAGTGGGCTAAAGCTCGTGCTAAGGCCAAGGCCTCTGACGAAGGTGACTCCGTTGCATCAGGCCAAGAGACCTCTGACGAAGGTTCCGTATCTTCCTCATGTCTCGGGTACGGCGACCCTGAGAAGGAGAAGCAAAGGAAATATCTCCAGGATCACATCTACAAGGAGATGTACCCAGCCGAGATCCATCCCGAGCCTGACGCCTACATTGGCAAGCGAGACTGCGACATCCTTGCAAGCCTCGACAGCAAGTACAAGAAATCTCGCTGGCTCGAAATGCAAGCCAACTTCTACAACGTCACGGGCCGCATGGTTCCCCTTGAGGCGATCCGAGCCAGATGCGAGCGCGCTGAAGCTGAGGAGGAGGAGCGTTCTGAGGCTCGAAAGCTCCAAAAACGCCTCGACAAGGTCGAGAACTGGATTGCCAAGCAGTCGCATGAGGACTCGGAGGAATGAGTTGATCCAGCGAAGTGATAGATCCTCATGTCATAATAAGGTTTTGTTTCGTGAGTCTTCTTGACGGGTTCAGACGGAGACTGATTCTTGGTCAAACAACTCCACCTGTTGCGAGTCTCTTGAAGACTAGAGAGACGATCGGGCCCGTTCATGGCGTTTGAGGGAATGTTTTTGCGGTTGATTTTTGGTCGCCGGGGGAGTAAAGGGAAAGTCGATTAGATGTGGCCAAAGTTGCATTTTGATAACTGAGACTGACAGTTAGTCCATCATAGAATGCTGCTAATTACACAAATAAATGAACGGGGGGCACGTCCTGGATAATTGTTAAAAAACAGTGTAACATGCTACTGTAGTGGTACATCTATTAGCCACCCCCAGCAAATGCAGCCAATTTCTTGATATCAGACACCTCTCTCTCTATTTTTCCCAACCCTCAGTTCAAGGCAAGTCCGCCAAGCACAACCATTGAAGTCAATGTTGTTCGATATGAAAGCAAATAATAAATAGGTAGATCATAAGTCCAATCCATATGCAGATAAGAATTCAAGAAATAGTAATGGGTATCAAACAACAGGGCAGAAGCGAAATTTGATTAAATGCGCGCTCGCGACAAATTCGCTGCGTCATGATGGGCGTAAGTGAGCAAAGGATCAAAGCCATTCTATAAATCCAAGGAACACACGCGCCCACACCCAACGCTAGGTGATGGGCGTTCAAGCTCTCATCTCATAACATGGCCATTGTAGGACAGCATCGCTATATTCTTCGGCGAGTCAGTACCGTAGGGAACCCATGTCCAGGTGCGCCATTCTTGTTGATGTTGTTATTAAAGCCCCTCACAAGGGACGTAGCAATAAGGTGTGTTGCATTGCGGAACGGGCCGTCGAATATGGATCAGGCCGGTTTCTTTTTAGCGTGTGTGGCGATTCAAACCACAAGAACATATCCATTGTCCATTGCCATGACGATCGTCGACATCGCCAGTGGGGGTTGAATCAGATCCAAGCATAAAGCTTTCTCAACTTCTTAGGAGCAATCTCCATGTTGCCGCTCCCATTAGATAGCCATGCAAGTTTCGTACGAAACTGCCTGTGCTATCCTCATATCGGATTCTCCATTCCAGGAGGGGGAGTAGCTCTGGGTATCGGACTTTGGTTCATGACAGCACCTTTCCGCAGTGTGCTATTAGTCCCCAGACCACGTTTCATCATCTTGCCCAGGACCGTAACCAGCTCGCAAGCATCTCCAAACATGTCGTCGTCCATTCCCTCGGTGGCTTCATAAACTTCCGCAATAGTGTCTTTGGCCACTTTCCGGCTTCCTTCAGCATCATGCGCACATTCGTACAGGAATGCAGCATATTCAGTCTTGACCGAGAGGCGTAAGGAATGAGACCCCCAGAGCATTGAGTCGGCAAGCTGAATGGCCTCCTGGAAATGCTGCTTGGCTTCAGGTAAATAATCTTTGGCGGGGATGAGAAAATTTGGCGACAACGTAAAGTTCCGATCCTCAAAGCCTGGAGGAGGTAGCACGGGCCCTCCTTCGAGAGGATGAGTTGGTTGAACTGACGATGGCCTGGAATCAACCTCCAAGTCTGCAGCACGTCCTTTTCCCTTATCCAGGCGGGGTGTCAAGATGGCTGTGACATCTGGCGTTTGTCTACCGAGATTTGAGACTGAAGGGGTGTTTCCAAACAGTGCAAAGATATGCGAAAACGAGGCGCGAAGCTTGTAGGCGAGGACCTTGAGTTCGACATAGTTGCCAACCATGGGTAAGACATACTGTTCAAGCATTACCTTGCCTTCTCGGGAGAGCCATATGATGCGTAAGACGCGCCGGATCGCGTTGGGTGATGGCTCATAATCAGGTCGACGTTGCTTCTTTGCGGCAACAAGTTGTTCGGCGAGATTGAGAGATAAGCCTAGAATCTTGAAAAGCATGTTGGCCAGGAGAGGATTGTCATTCTCGACAGCTTTGGCCAGCTTGCCGAGAAACTTTTGGTCGACCTCAGAGGACGCCATGCAGCCCAGCCGATACTTCCAAGGTAGAACTTGAGTGTAGACAGACTAGGCGTAGAAGGGTCCACGACTGAGACTAGGGACTTTGATTTAGTTTCGATATGTTGGCTAGGGCAGAGGGGCGACGAGGGGAAGAGAACAGCCTCGCATATGAACCAAAGCACGGGTACAGGCGTCATAAACGAGAAGCAGACATGCGACGAAAGAGAAGCAGGGAAACATGAGAATATGGAGGCAAGGAGAAGGAGGTTGGCTGAACTAACCGTTACCGAGCTCCACAAGTGCAGCAAACGCACAGCGGGAACAACGCGAAGCACAGGTTATTGCAGCAGCACGCGCGATGCAACCAAATGAGAGCGAGAGGCAGCCAGAACAGACTAGGAACCGCAAGGCGAAAGCCTATTACTTGGTCTGTAAAGGCCTGAAGGGGCGACTCTACGGGGTCAGCGAGGCAGGTTGAAGGCGCGCGCGAGACAGCTGGCAAGCTGTGATTGGGTCCAAGGCGCACTGGTGATGGTTGGTTCGGATGGCAGCGATGAGATGAGATTGAAGACCCAGGACGACAGCTCTGGGACAGGAACGATTGACAGATGACGCTTCAAGAGCAGAGTATTGACCAAGGAAGCTTCCTGAAACCAATTGGCCTAATCCGAGTTCAGAGACGGACGATACACGAAAGCGCATGCGCATGAACGGTCAAGAACCCGGTGTTGATCAGCTGCGGATGCCTCAGCGTACAATGACGACGAATGAGATGCAGGTGAGCAGACGCGACAATGCGATTGAGGGCTAAGGACCACAAGACTACAATAGAATGGAGAGCTCGAGAGCAAACGAAAGACTATCAGCAAGAAACAAACGCAGTATTAGAGACACCGAATAGCATGGCGGAGAAACGACAGGATGGCAGGCTCGCTTGAAAGTTGTTATACGGCCGGCCAGTCGCGCGCGCTGTGTTGAAGACGGGAGTGAGAGCAGCCCGCGAAAATCAAAGAGAAGCCGAGGCGCCTCCAGGTTCAGCGAATGACCAGGGCAGGCGGTGAACGGAGCGGGTAACTTGGCAGGCCTAACGAGACGGTCAGTGGGCTGCCGACTGGGGATTTGTTTAGGACCAGGTCTGTGAGATGGTCGACCAAGCTAGACTGGGGGACCCTGAGCCCCAAAGAGGCACCACTTCGACAGCACACCCACTGAGATGACTGAGTGCTGATGTAGTTGACCAGGGTAGGAAGGGCTGCCTATCTAGTCTGATCGGGGTGCTTGTTTGAAGATGATTTGAAAGGTGACTGACGGATTTGTGTGAGCAGTATCTTTGGCTGTTTGAGGTTCCGTTTGAACCAAACAATAAGGCCGTAAGAATGAGAATTGTTCGCGGAGTTCCAGTGGTTCAGTTGACTCAGTTTAATAAGTGGTTGGTTCTGTGGACGACCAAAACTTGGTCGTGCCAAGCCGATCGAATGATCGAGTGATATCGTAGTGCTATTTTTGTCGTTAAAGATTGACGTCGTTAATGGGTCTTGGGCCTTGGGTCTTTGGGCATGATATAAAGCTCTCAGATACCTATATCCAGATCGAAGTTGACGTATTACGGGTAAGAAGCAACTGATTCAAGGTCCTAATAAGAATGAGCTCACGAAGAAAATAATATAAAAAAACCCACACGCGCCGCACGCTAGAGACATTCAACGCGGCACGACACGACGCGGTTGCTGTACTCTGTACGTTAGAGAGACTGGACTGAACCTTACCTTGAGTTTAGCTGTGGGTAAAAGCGAAGACTAACACAGACCCAACGAACAGGAAAAAGGATCGAAATAGGTAAAAGGGCGACGAGGCGGCGGGGACAATTATAAGGAGGTTGGGCCAAGTCAAGGGTGAAGAAGTAGCTCCGTCCAGGAGACGAAGAAGAAAAAGAAGAAAAAGAAATATGAAGCAGAATAGCATCAGGTGGAAATGAGGTTCATGTTAGGCGCGGCACGGCTTCTTTCCTAACAGTGCCTTTTTTATATAGGTATTTTAAAATGGCCAGACAAATTAGGCGCAGAGAGGAAGGAGCATCTTATCTTGGGGCTCGATCTCTCCAGTCCCAAGCAAATATCAACCCAATAGCTATTTCCTAATTGAGCATTTTCTGTTGTTTGTGCGTCTCACTCACAACAGAAATACTACAACTTAGGTACCCCAGGTAAGGTACCCTGCAATATCTTGTTCACTTAAACCTTTAAACAGTATCTCTCCGCTTGCGCAAATCTCCCTTCAGTACCTACCCGTTGGACTGTGCAGTGCCTAAAAAAACGGGCAGGGCATTAACGGTCAGCCCTGTCCAGGGAACATGCCTGATGTGTCTGTGATCCTATCCTACACCACATCAAATGTCAAAGCCATTGATCAGTAAATTAAGCTTTTGCTCCCAGAGCATGGATCCGTTTGCTGTTGAATCTCATGGGCTATGAGGTAATTATATGGATGTCTGACGTTGCTCTCGTTAGGTACTCCAACATGATCTCAGTACTTGGACTTACATGCTTATTTATATATTGGGTTTCAATGTGACGAACATGCTTCTTCTGCATCGTCCAACACGGGGCTTACAACGCATACTCGTTTATCCCACAGGTCAGTATACTCCAGTGTATTACCCAAACACTCAATCAAAGCCAGTTTCACCCAACTGTCCCTTTCCTGTCTCAAGACGCTGATATCTATCTTACCCCCAACCCCATCCAATCATCGCCTACCCTGCACTTCCCAGCCTCCTCGATTTGTATCTCGTGTCTGCCACTCAATCATCATCCGTCCAATATCGCGGACGGCCTCTCTTCATGCGACCGCCCACTTGAACACGTAGCTTCCACATATCCCAATTATCTTCTCATAGTTCGCCTTGATCTACTTTAATTCGCATGGACCTTACCCCGACTGCCTGACTATTGCAAGTTGGAATTTAGACTTACACACCATGCATGTGCCGGTCACCCAACCTCTTCTTTTCTGACCGTGTTCCACTTCAACGTCACCCCTTTACCTCTAACCTTCGCTCAGCTCCGAACAGACTGACCAATGTAGATACGTCAAAGCGGCGGTGAGATAAGCTGAGCTTCGAAATATTCCCAGTGACACCCACTGCCTTCGTGAAGTGAGTTGTGAAGAGTGAAGCATCCATCGCCACAAACAGCCCGGAACAAACGATAACTACCATATAATTTTTGTTCTACTATGCAGTAACCCTGTACGCAATAACATGAATGCAATAGTAGCCATGCATGAATCTGCCACATAGAGACTGCTATCACCAAGCCCGCTTGTTATTCAGGGCCACCAGGGTCAACAATGACCAAGCATGCTAGTTAACTCGCAATTACTCAAAGTGTATTGTTGAAATGCAAATATACTCTTCAAGAGTGTTTGCTCCAACCGTCTATAGCGTGTGCGCCGACCTGTTCATATATCAATCCTCGCTAGCCCATTCGATTGTTGCCTCTGTGATCCTTTAAACAGCTTGCCCAAGAAAATGACACCAGTTTGCGCCCTTCTACTCCAATCCCATCAATATGCATCCAGAAACCTATATCTAGTTGCCCCAAAGCCAAACGCCGAATATCCCAACCATGATGCCTCCTATTCGACCAGACTAGCTCCAAGCTCTGGGCCGCACCAGCGCGCCTGGCTTTCTACGTCTGCTGCCAATGTTCAAGTGTTCAAGGCCATTATTCGTTACACTATTCTCAAAACGTTCGTGTCCCCCGACTGTGACGAGCTTCACCACATTCCCGAAGCTGAAAGCGATTGATCGTTGACCTACTTGAACCATTGGACCCAGATCCGTCACAATCAAATGTCCAGCCCCCTCATCGTCTTGGAAGAGAGGTCTTGTTTCGTCAGTCCTCGTTTGGCCGCTCTGTGGCGCCGACCATATCTCCCAGCGTCCGAACAAATCTCGCCCTGGTTCCTTGCGCGGAGATCTGTGGCGAAGTCCATCTGTTTTGCGTCGCCCGTTTGCTTCGGTGTGGAAGACTCGGTTCGACTTTTGTCTGATGCCTACAACACTTCCATCAGACAAAACACTCCAAGAGCCAGGATTTTCTATATGTCTTTTTGTCTCCTTGGCAGACTCCCACGCACACCAGCCTCTGGCTTCTGGGGTCGCAGAGCTCTGGTAATAAATCATGTCGTGCTCCTTTTGCGGCACGTAGGTTTGCACGATACAGTCCCCTGACTCTACGCCAGTATAACCTAAGATGAACCAGACCACGCCGTCGGGCCCTGGATGTGAGGGTGGGCAAAAGAATGCACTTTGCAAGGAGCGCGGGGTCATTCGTTCGGTGGCAAACGTATGTACGAGGCTGTAGTCGTCCATGTTAACAAGATGCACGTGGCTGGCTCCGGCAATCAAGAAGAGGCCCAACGAGGCGAGGGGCACGACTTGATGAACTTCATCTTCTTCGATCCCTTCCAAGTGCACACTCCGGGAATCCCAAGATAGTGTCTCTCTGGTTGCTGCATGAACACATCCTCTTCTAGATGCTGTGATGATGGCGAACAATGGAGCTGCTTGCTTGTTTCCTGTTAACGACATCGGATTAGTATTCTGACGAAAACCTCTAGCTGTACATGGTTCTTACGCTTTCCTATCAGAGGCCGAACACACGTCAGTGCACTTCGGCAGATGCCATAATCCGCTCCTTCGCCTACATCTGGCTTGAATTCTGTCAATGTCCCATTGCGACGCACAAGTACTAGCCTAGGAATATCTCTTTTTGGGTCAGAAGCGCCAAAGAAGAAGGCCTCGGACTTTTGGCCTTGAAGATTGACAGATAATGAAGGTCCCCAAGTTTTCCCTTTGAGGTCCCACAAGGCTATCTTATAAGGAGATAATATGGCCAACCACTTAGAATTGTCGTCAATGGTCATCGCTAGAACCGGAAACGGAGCATCGACTGACGGCTCGCCATTAGCGATGGCATATGACATACCACCGGGCCGGGCGTCCCAAACTTGTATTGTACGATCCAGACCAACCGAAACAATATGACCATCGGGCGCGGCTGTAAGCATTGCAATGTCAAGGGCGTGCCCTCCGGGGAACGACTTCACATCCAGCATTGGATCCATGTCCGAATGATGATCGTCATTGTCGGTATCGTCTTCCCATAAGAGGAAAGTTGTAAGCAGCCTGACACCTGCAACAACGACCAAAACTATGACAACAAATCGCGTGAGCTGGTGGTTGATAAAATCATAGACTGCCGGGAGTAGAGTGGGTTCCTTATAATGAAGCATTCGGTCCGAGCCCTTCATGACGAATACGACTGGCTCATAGACTCTCGCAACGTAACTGTGGGCTGTGGGCTTGATAATGCTGATGATTTCCTGGGCCGTCTCATGGTCTTGTAGTCGCAGCCATGATTTTGGGCTTCGTGCCTGGTGTATAGAGTCCAAAGAACTCTGCGCCGGGCTGACGTTTTCCTGTGAACTGTATCCTCCGTACAGGCGTGTGAAGAAATTAAGTATAGCATCGTACTCGAAGAAGTGCCACTGGGCGATGAAGATAAAGCCAAGCATGATAATAGTACCCGCTATTCGTGTTGACAATGTTGCTTTGCCCTGAAGCACAAGCTCCCACGTTCCTCGAGGCTTGAACTCGGATTCTCCACGGTTGTGGCGCATTGAAGCTTTAGCAAGCGCATCGCTGAGCTCTGTGCGTCGGACGTCAACGCTAAGAACCGACAGGAAGAAGGTCGAAAGATAAAAGAGGTCGAACCCGATCGCAACGGCGACAAACATACAGAACGCGGAGACACCGGGCGATACCCACCGTGAGAGTAACAACAGAAGAAAGACATTCTGCAGTGAGCTAGCGATAGCTGTATGGGAAGTATCCCCAAAGGCATGCCCGATACGACTGCTAGTTGAGTCTTCGGCTGGAGTAAGAATAACGGCATTAATGAGTCTAAAAATATTCTCAAGACTCATGGCGAGGACAACTAATGGATAAGCTGCTCGAGGAATGCGCGATAAGTCAAGTCTGAATATGGCGCATACAGTAAAGCTGGACATGACAGAGAATGCGATCTGAGACAGGACGGTGACGATAAGACCGAACTTGGACTTGAATGCTCGGAGTTTGGACAAGCTCATCAGGAAATAGATTGCGGACAAGCTGTATGCGACAGCGAGGATGGCCGTGTCCTGGCCAGATATAGGGCGGAACTGAAATTCATAAAGTTGACTCGAGGTGGATCGGCCGTCAGGCGGATATATATCCCATTTGTTTGAAACCTTTTCTGAGAGCAAGGCTGCTTTCCTTTCCCACTGCTGACCCACGGGTGAGTCTCGAAGATAGATCAGGGTGATGACAAGGGCATCGGCAGCAAGTAGCCGGCGCTCCTCGAATCTTTTGCCGCTAAAAACAATAGAATGTCTAAGTGTGACATTGACTGACGTTGACTGCGTTTTCTTATCGTTGACGGTTGCCAAAATATCAGGGTCGACCAGTACGTTATCCTCGATACAGTCCCAATATTGAAGTGGTGAGTGAAAGAACCAAGACTGGTTGTTCAATCCATTGATGGCGTGAAACGCATCGCGTTGGCCTGTAGAGAGATCAGCGCCAGGCTCGGGCAAAGAACGAGCGACATGACGAGCTCGAATAGGGCTGAAGTTCTCAGTGCTCCCAAGCAGCTCGTTTTGCAATTCTAAAGCAGAGACTAGTAGGTCTTTCTCTAACGCCTGCATGTAGCTCCCATGAACCCATATAGAGCGCATCATGACATCAGGAAGGATGCTTGCGCCGTAGGGCAGCGGTTGGGCAACAGTCCAAGCATGGTGAGGTAAGTTAGAAGCGCCATTGACGTAGTCACTTGTGAAGAGGTAGGGAATGGGATATGTTAGCATGGTAGCCACGACCACCGAAACGAGGAGGGTTGCGACGACATGACTGGCGGCATAGGATCCATATCGATTAAGAGCGCGACGGACAGGATGAGTCGGCGCTAGGACCGGGGCCTCCGTTGTTCTGCGACGGGATGTGAGTTGAAGACGGAAGAGAGAGCGGGGACCGGACACGGAGAGCGGGACGGAAGCACAGGGAGGATCGGGGCAAATAAGACTGACCCTCGGAGTGGGTACAGGAAGTACCAAATCATAAGGACGGTAGGTGAGATTCGAACGGCCTATTGTCCCATGTGCGAATTACGTGTGGTGATAGTAAAGAAGTGAAATAGTTGGGGCCAAGATGAAGTCGGAGCGGGAGCTTAAAGCTCAATATGTCTCGAATCTCAATTGACTGGCGTGACATGGACCAAAATGTCTGTCGATAAACTCAAAGTAAGGACAATGGTTCGATGGATCCAAGCGGGTGGTGCCGCCTTGGAGCACCAGAGGATGTTCGACAGAGCTAAGGATAAAGCCAGGACCGCAGCAGCGGCAGCGGCAATGGGAGTGACCAGGGCGCGTTGAGGCTCGTGTTGGCGATTTCCATAAGCGTCAAGCGTCAATTATCAAGTACCAAGCGTCTTGTGTCGTCAGGTCAGGCCAGGTTCAGCGCGGATCAAGTCACGAGACTTGGACCAAGCTGGGCATTTGAGCTTGGGAGGACAAGGACTAGGTGTGGCTTTAAATGATTGTGGCTCGATGAACAACAGTCCAAACAATTCATATGATAGATAGTTCGGGGCGTCTGCCTATACTGTAGAAGAGATTGGTAGAAAGTGAGCTTGGGTTTGAGCTTGAGTTTAAGGACGGGATGTTGATGGAAGATGTAGAAATGACCGGCGCTACGAGGGGAGAAGTGGGAAATATTGACAACTAAAAACTAGTAGGTAGGTTGAACTAATTCGGGAAAGATACGATGACAGAAGGCGCGATGTTAGACTACTGAGCTACTGCCCTGGATCGATCTCAAATCCAGAAAGTCAAAATCCTAGTGTCTTGCCGTATTCGGGGGTTTAGTCTAACTACCTAGGTTGTTCTTTCTACCTACGTACTGTATCCGTACCTATGTACCCAATATTGAGAGGTAGGCAAATGTGGGAGTTGGATTAGGTAGATTGGGCCGGATGTGTTCCTGAGTAGAAAGAGCAAGAAGGAACGAATAAGAACCACCTCAATTGGGATTAGGAACGTCCCGACAATTTGGACATGGCCGAGGCCCTGTGATGTGAAGTCGCAAGTGATCCAGGACCGGGAAAAAAAGAGGAGATCAAGGTGCCGCTAAGGGTGGCTCTTGCCGTTTCCATTGGCATGTGTCTAGGAACTGCACAAGTTCATACGTTTACCGTCTGCGGGAGAAAGGTCCGTGTGCGAATATGTCTTGGGCTTGACCGGGAGTCGACACGTTTTAGAGACAATCCTTGAGCCACCTCACTGAAAGCGAAAAAGTTGAGGCCGAGTACAAGTCCTGCTTGTCCTATGCAAGAATGACAAGAAAGATATGCAACAGAATGGGGAAAGCACCACTAGAAAAAATCCCCGATATCTATCTGCCGAGAATGGGCGTGGAAATCAGCTGTTTTTTTGTTTTGTACGCTGCACCTACGCTGCACTCACCAGAGACAGAGAAGCCCAGAAACCTGGATCTGGGCCTGAACCTTGTAGCGCGTCTAGCGTCCGGTGCCCCCTGAAGGGCTTAATCCACTCCACTGAACGTCCATCCTATTTTGGATCGGCTCCCGTCTCCCCTGCTTCCATGGATATATATGAATGTTGTGATACTTGCATGTTGCACAAGAACAATTCTGGCTTCAAACACTCTGGTCTGACAAGAAATGGAAGCAGTTCGTCAGCATTGGCCATTAGCCATCGACCAATCAATTATAATTCAATCCCCTAGAACTGCTAATGCTACCCCTTGAAGTAAGGAACTGCTTTTTATGCCACCCTCATCGTCCTATTCTGGTAACGCCTCATACCCATGTCCTTGTTCCCGTCTGCTCACAAAAGCAACTTCTTCACCTCGAGCGTCTCAATTTGGTTCCCAGCTCCACAGGTCAAAGCCATGAACCATTTTGTTATTGAAGTGCCATCAGACATTTCTGCCCAACCATGTTTTAGCCATGTGGTTTGCACTTGAGATCCGGTTTATTCTAAGCCATGACCCGCAAGGGTGACGACACGACAGTATGATTTGTCCCAGGCGTAAGACATGGTGTTCAGTTCGTCAGCTCAATCTCAAAGGGTCACGTTGTGTGAGCTGGGCTTGATGCCATGTGAATCTACGTAGTAAAGCCATCATACACGATAGTGGAACAAACTCTCCGGTCAGTCCAATCTGCAGGGCACTACCGGTTGGGTATACGAACTTCAAGTATGAATACTCTTCCTCTCGATTAAAATTAATCATATCTGTTTATTCTTACGAACTTGAGAATCTACACCTTATGAATGTGTAAGTTGGGATGGAGTGCTGTTTTAACTAAAGAACTTCCACGTTGCAGATGCCAAGACACAAAAGCGTTGCCAATGACTTCAAGGGCAGACAGTAAGGAGCACTTGAGTAACATCATTTTCCTGCTTATCACTTGTAATTCTAATAAAAACTTTTAACACGCTTCAGCTGGGTATCCTCATTGGTCTGCCTTGAGCAACTTAGCCTGTTCATGCTCCCGGATCTTCCTGTACGCCTCCAAAACCTCCGCCCGAGCCTCCTGCAGCTCCTCTCTTCGCTTGAGACTACCCGCAGCCTTGGGAATATTGTCTACATCGGCGGCAGCACCCTTGATCTTGATCGGCTTCGAGATGTTCTTGTTCAACTCTGGAGGTGCTTGTGCCTGCTCGTGTAGGCCAATCTTTGCCTCTGCTCTTTTCTTCTTCAGCTCCTCCCAGGGGTCGTCCACTTTGCCACCCTTTCTTCGTGCTCTCTTCTTTGTTGATTCTTCGAGTATTGCGCGAGCGATGGCGACCTGGCCGGTAGGGTCTTCTTCGAGTTCTTGTCCGATCGCTTCGTCTGCCTCTTCCTCCTTTTGATCTTGAATCTTGCGCTCTTCTTCTCGCCATTGAGCGTACAGTTTATGCATGTTCCTCTCCTTTCGAGTGCGGTAGACCTTGAATCCCTGCTCGTCTTTGCCGTCCTTGATTGTTGTCTTCTTGGTAAGACCAGCGACGGGCAGCGATGCATCTACTCGTTGGGCGAAAGCTCTGAGGTCTTCGCCTGGCCGGATCTTGAGTTCCTCTGCCTTTTGTTTCGCGCTTTTCCCGTCGTTACCGTCGTCGAGTCCGGATCTGACTTTTTGGCCGCTTGCGACAGCCATGAGCCGCCGAAAGGCTCGCGGGGCATCGTTTTCTTTGTGTGCCTTCTTGCCCTTTTTTGCTTTTACTGGGGCATCCATCTTCGATTCCGCAGCTGTCGCATTTTTATTTCCATTCTTTCCATTCTTTCCGCCTTTAGTATCTGGCACACTCTTCTTTCCAACATGTAGGGGTCGTGCTTTTTGAGACGGAGGGAGGTTGAACCTAGGGAAACGGTTAGATATGCTTGCAGGAGTTGAGGGTTGGCAGATGTTGACTTACTCGCCGCTGTCGTCTCCTCTCTTTCTCTTGTGCTTGTGAGGCATGATTGTAGCTATGACGAGTGAGCTGGTAGGCAAGGGACGGAATATTTGGGCTAGAAAGTAGCTGTTTTGCTTGTCGGCGCCGAATTGCGATGCGATTTTAGTGTATCCTAGACAAACTTGAAGTGAAGGTAAAAGTTACGAAAGTTGCTCCAAAAATTCTCTTATCGCGGCTTATCGCTACGCCAAGTCCCCCGCAACAACAGAAAGTCACTTCTCTAGGTGGTAGGTAGGTAACGAGATACTTGCATAACCGCGCATGAGCTAGGTATGACGTTCAAAAGTCATTATGTACAATGGTACCCAAGCCAATCCATATAATGATGTATCCTAAATCTTGACATCCATAACACTTGCACCTTTGCCTTGTTTGTTTGGTACTGACTTCATATATTTCTCTCCATATCATTAGGATGAAGGTCAACACTCGATTGTCTTGTTCATCTCTTTTCAGTGCCTACAGTTCCGTGCAAAAATCCCCACAATGAGCCACGGAGAGATATACAATAGAATAGGTAGGTATATATAATCTATTAGTATTAGAAAACTTAATACATAGTCTTAAAGTAAGATTACATAAGGTTATTTAAATTAAAAAGAGCTTACTATAATTTAGATAATCTTATATAAAATCTGGAATAGAGGAAATTATCGAAACTTTTACACGCCCACTGGCCAAGTGAAAGAAACCAGGATAGCTCTGTGGGGCCTTGCCATTAATTAATGGCGTGCCCAAGCATGCAATCACTGTCTTCCTCAATCTCAACACAAACGATGAACCAACTTCTGCTCGCTCGTGGCATAAAATGTTTATTGTGATATATTCATCACCAACCAAGTTTGAACCATGGCTTCCTCAGAATCCAGCCCCTCCAAAGGGGTCAGCAAGGGAGCACCAAACCCGACTTCAAAGTCAACCCCCTATGTCTCTGCGCTGGGCATAGTAGGAGCAGCCATTGGGTAAGTTCTGGGCCTCAATTTGTTGGTTTCTGCTTTTAACGAGGAGTAGCACTATGGGTGTCATGTTCGCCCTCATCATTAGTATCACATCCATAATCTGGCCTTACGTGTCCGGGCCACAAGTAAACAATCCTGACATCAAACGAGGCCCGGGGCCCAATTCTGTACTTCCTGTGCCATGCCACTCACATAACGACTACTGGAGGCCGATGCCTTTCTATTCTGCCATCAATGCCGGCTGTATCGGAATAGAAGCAGATGTTTGGGCGGTCCAGAACGAGCTTTACGTCGGCCACGATTTGGGCGGTCTATCAACCGACCGAACTCTGACGGCCATGTACATTCGACCACTAATGGAACTGCTCCAGTCTAAAAATATAGATAGAGATCCAAGTCTTCCACCTAGGGGCGTGTATGGCCGCAAACCAGACCAGACAATGGTCCTGCTGGTGGACTTGAAGTCAAATCCCAACACGTCGTGGCCACTTTTGCTCGAACGACTTGAACCGCTTCGCCAAAAAGGGTGGTTGAGCCATGTGCATGATGGCAAATTCGTTCTGAGGCCCATCACAGTGGTGGGAACTGGTGATACTGAAGTTCGCTTGGTGAACGAAGAAACGCCTTCGCGTGACGTTTTCTTCGACGCGCCACTGGATCAGTTGGAGGAAGGTCTCTATGACAGTCTCAACTCGTACTATACAAGCGTCTCGTTCGAAAAGTCGATAGGTAAGGTCAGTTCCAAAGGGCTTAAGCTGGCGCAACTTGAGAAGCTACGGGGTCAGATCTCTCAAGCCCATAGCCGAGGTCTAAAGACAAGATATTGGGGTATGCCATATTGGCCGTTGCAGGTTCGCAATCAACTCAGAGATATCCTGATCGATGAAGGGGTTGATGTTCTCAACGCGGATGATCTGTTGGAAGCAAGGGAGATTTTTGCAAAAAGAGGGCACTTGACTGAGTAAAAGAATATGCTATGGTCGTATCAACACCAATTGATCTACGGAGTACTAGAGGCACTATCCAGGATATAGCGGCAATATTATCCGCAATTCTTGTAAAGATACGCTCAAACACCCACATCTGACAAGCACTCCGAGTCTCCGGACTATCACCGAATGCATTCTCGATATCTATTAGTGCAACCCATTGACACGTCATGGAGTCAGTAACCCCGCAAGTTGGTACCGGAAGGGAAACATCTCCGTCATAACTTGATAGCCTTCTTCAAGATTGAGGTTGAATCTTGTCTTCTTACAACAACCAACAATAATATCACAATCTCCTCTACAGCCACAATGTCAAACGAAGGACGCATCGCCACTCTGGATGTAAGATAGCCATGACCCTAATGTCCAGCGATATCATGCTCATTCAGCCTAGTCAACTATCGCGGATAGGCTACCGGCCTTTTCCAAGACGCTCTTTGACGGCAAGGCCGCCAAGGACCTGAGCTTTGAGGCAATTGCAAAGCATCTGGGCCGTAGCGAAGTCGCAGTTGCAGCATTGTTCTACGGACAGGCCACCGCCTCGTCTGAGGATGTTGAGAAGCTATCGGAGATCCTTGACCTTCCCAAGGAGGCGTTGGCCGCTCAACTAACAGGCTTCCCTAACCGTGGCCAGGCTGGGCCCATGCCTCCCACAGAGCCTCTTATCTACCGGCTGTACGAGATTGTGCAGAACTATGGATATGCTTACAAAGCCATCCTTAACGAGAAGTTTGGAGACGGTATCATGAGTGCCATCTGCTTCTCGACTACCGTGGAGAAGGAGGTTGATGAGGCAGGCTCACCGTGGGTGGTTATCACTTTGAAGGGCAAATGGTAAGTCACTTCAATCTCTAGGAATAGTTTTACGCTAATCAATATGTTCAGGCTTCCTTTCAGTCGGTTCTAAGTATTGTTCTTATGTCGGAAAGGGTTTATGTTGGGCGTTATAAGTTACGACCATAACACATGCCATATGACTTATACGAGTGATCACTCAGAAACACAGGATTGGTCATCACAAATGTCGCAAAAGGACTTGCTCAATAATCCGATATAGACCCAGTAATTTTGACAGGGCAGCATGTGGCAATGCGTCAATGAACAATATGAAGCGAGAGGAACAATACTAAGCATTTTACAAAGAAATGTCAACTTTAGATCCGTGCGCTTCGAAGTCTGTGTACCACAAGACAACATAGCTCGAGTTGAATTGAAAAGTTCAATCTTTTGAAAGGCTATCGGATATGTAATTAGAACTACTGGTATAGTCTAGAAGGCCTGTCACAAGTTGGTGGCTGAACTAGTGGTGTTTATCCTTTTGTCCATCAGCAACACCATCTCGAGAACAATATCAAGCATTTTTGCACGGATCACAGGCTTCATGATCAACGCTGCAACTCTGCGGGAACGCCGCATTCATTGCCTGCCATAGACATAACTCTCACCTTGACCAAGACGATCGAAATTCAAGTATAAAGACAACGTTCTCTTCCTCCCAAACCTCAATCTCTTCATCCGCAACAACCACTCACTCACTCACTCACACACACTCAACACTCTTTTCACCATTCTCAACACTGAACACTCTCCGACTTTTCTAAGTCTTTCAACCCCAACTTTCAAAATGCCTTCCACCAAGAACACCTCTGCCCAGACCCCCGGCTACCCTCTTAGCTGCACTGTCATGGCCAAGCCCACCAAGGGAGAGCAGACTCCTGGCTACCCCCTCAGCTGCAGCGTCATGAAGAAGCCTGCTGCCAACGGACAAACCCCCGGCTACCCCCTTAGCTGCACCGTCATGTAAACAGCTTTTCCAGCCTTGGGCTTTTAAGAGCGACTTCCAATGACAATCAACATCGCCAGAGAACGACGACACCACTCGACAAGCACTGTTAATGGTGAAAAGGATTCGCTTTCAAACAACATTTGGAGGAAGATGGAGATGATACGGCAAGGAGAGGATTCATTGGCTTAATCACATTTTTGTTTACCTAGTTCTAAGTGAAGGGACGCCGACATGAGGAGCTATTTTTATACCAGGCTGTCTATTTCTATCATACGCGTGGTGGAAAACTGACGCCTATTGGCAAATTGGGGACGATTTTATAACTTCTTGAATACAAGCCTTTGGATTAGTATTTTGTACTCATTGTTTTCGGTGAATACGTGATTAATATGTGACAGATCGTGTAAGTGATTGTTCTTAAGCATAACACCCTGATACTTACCAAACTACCTAGGTAGCTACCCACTTTGACATTTGAAACTTGGAAAGTAGGTAGTTAATAAGTGGCACAAAGAGTAGAGGATTGCATAGTATTGAGATAAGTGATTTCATCATATCTTATTAATAAGGTTGTTGAAATATTTCGAGTCTTACTAACACGACTGAAAGTTAACAGTATGGGCGGTAGAAAAAAGGTAGATGAAATAAAACTAAATGAATTAATGAAATGCCTATAGAGACCAATACACGCCTGCACAGAAGAGTCTCAAGTCAGTAGTTAACTAATCATGATTTCTTTACCAACTTCACTCGTGGTCTTACTTCCGTGACATGTCCCAATTTGGAAGTTCCTTAAAGTGGATGCCGGACGCGGAAAAAGAGAGGCTCCACTAAAAAAAAGTGAGGGCGGTCAACCAAGTCCAGCGGCAGAATTTGGAGTTTTTTCCCATTAGCACCAGTAACATTTGTATTTGCATTTGCCTAGCAGCTTGCGCCGACCACTCCAAAGTCGCAACAACCATAAAAACAAACCGCAGCAATGGTCACAAAAAGCAAACTAAAGATGGCTCTCGCCGCCGAGAAGGGCACAGATTTCAAGAAGCTCAAGCTCTCGAAAAAGCAGAAGGAGGCTGAGAAGCGCAACGCCGCTGCTCGTGGGGCAGAGGACAAGGAATCAAGCGACGACGAGGAGAAGACGATTCAAATCGAGGCTGAGTTTGAGGACGATGATGATGAGGAGGACGATGATGAGGAAGAGGAAGAGGTTCAGGTTTGTTTCAAATATTCATTGCGCTTGAGGCTCTGGCTAACGAGACCGTCAATCAGTATGATCTGAACGGTATCAACGACAGCGACGACTCAGACTCTTCAATCGAGCTCGAGGAGAAGATTGTTCGCGCACCCAAGAGAGATACACTCAAGAAGAGCGAGATCCAAAAGCTGGCAGCTGAGAAGAAGGCAGCGGCCGAGGAGGACGACGAAGAGGAAGAGGAGGATGAGGAAGACATCCCCATGTCCGATCTCGAGGACCTCGACGACGAGGATAAGGAGGATATTATTCCTCACCAGCGCCTCACCATTAACAACACAACCGCCCTCCTCGCCGCTCTGAACCGCATCTCAATCCCCACCGACAAGTCCGTCCCCTTCTCCGCCCACCAGTCCCTCCTCTCCTCCGCCGCAACCGCCGAATCCATCCCCGACGTCCAGGACGATCTTCAGCGCGAGCTTGCCTTCTACAGCCAGAGTCTCGAGGCCGCCCGTTCGGCCCGCAAGCTTCTCCGCCAAGAAGGTGTTCCCTTCTCTCGTCCCAAGGATTACTTCGCCGAGATGATCAAGGAGGATGCCCACATGGAGAAGGTCAAGGCCAAGCTCGTCGAGGAGGCTTCCAATAAGAAGGCCGCCCAGGAGGCTCGCAAGATGCGCGACCTCAAGAAGTTCGGAAAGCAGGTCCAGGTTGCCAAGATCCAGGAGCGACACAAGGCCAAGCGTGATACCCTCGACAAGATCAAGAACCTCAAGCGAAGTAAGCATTCTCGTTCCCGTCTAACTGTTTCTCATTTACTAACACCCATTGCTAGAGCGCTCAGAATCTGGCGGTGCCGGTCTCGATACCAAGGAAGCCGACATCTTCGACGTCGGTGTCGAGAAGGAGATGAAGGGCCACAACTCCCGTTCAGGCGCCGGCCGCGGACAAGGAGCCAAGGCCGGTGGCCACAAGCGAGCCAAGAAGGACGAGAAGTACGGCTTCGGTGGCAAGAAGCGCCACGGCAAGTCAGGCGATGCCATGAGCTCCGGCGATCTCAGCGGCTTCGATCCCAAGAGGATGAAGGCCGGCAGCAGGGTGTCCAAGTCGCGGCCTGGCAAGGCGAGGAGAAAGGTCATCGGCTCTCGATAAAAGGGGAGATAAAAGGGGTGTTAATGCCTGTTGTTGAAGTTGAAGCTGAAATTGGCCTGTATGACGCATTGCTGTTGAAAGAAAAGGCTACAGATGAAGTACAAGGGCTGGCGTTTAGGGTCCTCTTGCATGTAAATCGAATCCGTTTGGTCAATATTCATATTTTCTGTCACCATATCATGGTGCATTTGCAAAGTGATCATTCTCTCAGTCTTGACTTAGCTGTGGTGTACTCGCGGTGTCAAAATCACATACTTGATTTGAGTCCGATCACCATTCACTTCTCTATAAACACAAATGTGTTGAATTGTTTGATCATTTCGTCTATACCAAAAAGAATATGTAGCAGATCCTGATTGCGACCGCAAGTTGATCCTTAGCAATCCCGATCCCTTCATGACAGATACCCTTTTGTAGGCAGAATTATCATGCGAGAGACGGCACATCGAACCCTGTTCGTTGTGCCCATCAGCATCCACTGAGTCAATTTTGCAGCCGACTCTGCTCATATCGTGTCTTGCGAATCTCCATCGCCGCTCCCCGTTGTCGTCCTCCGTCGTCAGTCATATCCAGATGCCAATGCCCTCGAATGTGGCGCCATTCGAGAGCTTTCGGCAGTCAAAGGTATCTATATACATAAACAAGCATTGTTATCTGCTTGGTGCCCTTCCGTAGTTCAAAAAACGCCCACGCTCAGGGAGTTTCCTGAGCGATTGCCAGCCACAGCAAAAAGAAATAATTAAGAAAGCGAACCTCCAAGGTTGAGGAGTGTTAGATGGAAAGGAAACAAAGAAACGTTGAATTGCAACGACACGCGATGATGCACCCAAAGCCAGCGACCGTTAATGCCTAGCCTGCACGCCATGAAAAAAGAAAGCAAAACCAGTGGTATCGAGAAGAAACGCCATGCGCTCATGACACGCTTTGCTGTGCAATGCATTCGCAACCCTTGAAAGAAGAATGTGTATGAATCAAGCATTGATGCTGCAGAATGCGCCGAGAAGATGCTGTTGCGGATTGTCTGTCGTGTAAATCGTTGTGCGAGCTCCCAGCCTACTGTGTGGCCGCTACACACCAGTGGCGATGGAAAGCCCATGCACTCTTCTGGCACTCTTTGCTGCAGTATTTGGTTCGTCGGCATCGGCGACACTTGGCAAACTGACGAGTGTACTCTTCCCACTTGCCACACTGGTAGTAAGCACATTGGCGGATGCCTCCACGGGTGTCGTCCTTGCGGCAGAGATTTCTCATGACCACACCAGCCCAGTACTGCATATCAGTGCTGTGGTAACGAACTGTGAACTTCTCAACAAGTGGGAAAAGGTTGAAGTCGTTGTCAAGGAGATACTCTTCGTCGTCGGCATCTTCGTCGTAAACCTCAGGAACTTCATCCTCTTCATCCATAGCAGAAGGGTCCTTGTCAATGGCGGCAAGCTCCTTGCCGATCTTGAGGCGAGGCACAAGGTGACTCTTCTGGAAATAAGAGCGAAGACCACAGTACTTAGAGACGTAAGCAAGGAGCTGCAGAGACATGAGCACGTCCTCCTCCCGAGGCATGGCGGCAACCATCTGAGGGTTAGGAACAAAATTGCGGTCGAGAAGATATCGAGGAACAGTAGTAGCAGCCATAGGAGGTTGAGGAGGCGTAGCCATGGCAGGGCGGTTAGGAGACAGTCCAATGGTCGGAACCGGGGTCGGGTTGTTGTTGTTGACAATGCTACCGTCTAAAGGAGAGCGATGGTTGATGTTGAATGTGCTGGCTTCCTGATGAGTCTCGGAAACTGTTGGCGTGGCCAGGTCGAGAGCTGTGCCGCCTAGCATGGCGTCGCCATCTTCCATAGTGATATCCTGGATACCCACCGCGGATTGCAGGTTATCGGTGCCAGTCATCTCCGTCTCAGGTGACTCGTCTGAAGGCATACTATCACCGTTAATGTCATCGGCGTCAGCAGTCGAGTTTTGATGGCGAATCGATGGGCGTCTGCGCGATCGACCTGAAGGACCAAGGGCCGATGCTGGGCGAACAGTGGGCGAGCGCATCTGGGGTGGTGGCAATGGCGTTGTTGGTGAGGTGGGTTGGGACACCAAGTCTGCAGAGCCGAATGGTGCCATCGAAGCAAGGCGATCGATATCACGAACCGGTCTCACGAAACCCTCAACAGTCTCAGTGGCCGGGACTGCAGTTGCAAGGGGCTGCATGGTCTGACGAGGAGCTGAAGTCGTGGCGTGACGGCTTTCTAGGCCCCTCAGGGGCTGATGGCGAGCCGATCCCCAAGATTCAGAGCGTCCCGAAGCGGATGGAGCCCATTGGGAGTTACCCATAGCAGCATCTAGGGGCTGTTGTTGCAATTGCTGCTGAGGAGCGGCTGTAGATGGGCCAGCGTAAGAGGCTGAAACATCAATGGATGGCGGCGGACCGTGACGTCGAGATCGCTGGTCGGCAGTATCGACTCGTGAACTGGATCGATGGCCGAACGGAGAAGCACCTACAGTCGCAGATGAAGAAGACGCAGACGCAGATGCAGAGCTAGAGGAAGCCTTGGGGGTAGAGCGGTGCTCGTGGCTTCGGTGACGATGGTGGTCGTAGCTCTGCTTCTGCTTAGCCTCCTCTGCCTTTTCCCGGCACTTATCGACAGCCTTGGTATAGTTGTCGAGAATAGTGGCGATGACAGGCACCATGTCAGCCTCGACAACACGAGTGCGAACGTTTTCCGTGCCTCGAACGCCAATATTGACAACGCACTGGAAGGCAAGGTTCCACTTCCACATTCCCATCATGTCCTTGCTACGGCCCTGTTTCAGAATGCAGACGAGGCGCTCGATACCGCCATCTACGGTGAGGATATCGCGGATGCGAGCGGAAGATGTGGTGAGATAGGCGAGATGGTTGAGCGAGTTGATGAGGGGGAGAGTCGAGGTGCAGTCGAGAGCACGGCGATCATATAGAGCGGTCGTAATACCAACGGACGCCTTGTTGACGTTGGGGATACTGAAGTTTACTTCCCTCATGGTTGTGGTTGATGGCGATGGCCAACGGTCGAGAGGGTGTTTCGGAGGAGGATATTGGAGGGATTATTCAGGGTCCCAATCTGTCGAGATGGTGTGGCAACCTGACTGAGGCCTGACGATAGCAAGGATGGCCAGATTCGCAGGGTAAACGAAATAATTCGATAGATGACGAGATCAAGCGATGATACGGGCAAACCCCTCGATGGGGGACTGGCCAGGGAGAGACGAGTCGGACAGAATTTTGAGGTTATCGTAACGGTTCGTGACGCGGTGGAGCGGGTTGGCGCAGGATGGATGACTCGTGAGTAGACAGGGGAGCGATTTGTGACGGCCAGAGGAGAAATCTTTGAGGATATACAGATGGAGAGTACGTACAACGCCGGTAATGGAAGAAAAAGGAAGATGAAAATGGAGGGTATTTTGTGGATGGCGTTGAAGCGGCTGAGGAGGGTGAGTTTGATGAGAGACGGGAGAAAAGACGGGAGTGGAGGGTTGAGGGAGTGAGGTGTGAGGTGTGAAGAGGCTGGTTTGGTTTTAGGCGGGTTTTGGAAGCCCAGGCATTGGATTCGGCCGATGGCAGCCCAGCGAGATACCTACGTTACGGTACGATGGAGCGCCGTAGGAGAGACCGAATTAGGCGGACGCACCAGGGGGGAAGGCTCTCTTTGGCGGGTTTTGGGGCTTCGGGGGAGGAGAGGATGGGGGAGGTCTGTGTGTTCTCTCAGGTGCGCTTGTGTGCGTGTGTGGCGGTGGAGGGACCCGACACCTGATGAGTTGCAGCAAGGTATTGGAAGTACTGTGCTTTTTTATGTTGAGTATATTTGGAGTATCGAAACCCAAGCCGAAGAAGCATCGATAAGGGTGATGACTCAGACTTGGTGATAATATTGAGTTGTAAGAAAGGATGGAAGCGAAAAAAGAATGTCAGGTAAGAAAGACACTGACAAAGATCACGGCCACCACAAGGGAGGATCAAATGAATGTACATTTACAGCCTGGACTACATGTAGGAGCCTACTAACCTACTAACCTACTACCTACTCCGTACAGCTACTACTACTACCTCTCCAGTCAATAATTGATTTCCCTGCGACAAAATCATTTTTCCGTTCTCGTACTGGCTTATTAGTCGCCTCCTCAACAGCGAACAACGAAATCCGCATCTACTGCAGGCGGATGGATAGTGGATCGGCGGCCACGGCCAAATTTGTATAAAGGATGGCTAAACGAGATGTGACAGCTGTGATGGCGAAAATTAGGTAAATAACTTGCAGTAATCGAAACACGGTGACGGCGACGGCGATGGCGATGGCGATTGGCAAGGCTATTGAAAAGCTGATGGGTGAGCCTGAGTAAGGTGACTCAAGCTCAAGCAAGCTTATGAAGCTCGAGCATCCAAAAGGCCCAATACCCGGCTGCTTTGCTGACACCTGAAATGAAGAGGACAATAAAAAAACGCAATGCCTTGGACTACAGCAGGCTTGCTGGACTGGCTTTTTTTTCCTTTGACGTGAGGTTGGGCCTTTGGGGCCCTTCTGAGTGGTTTGATTTTGATTACAGACGGCCACAGGTGGAATTGTTTCAGGCGCAGCTGGAGAACGACAAGGGCTTGTTCTCCCTTCCATCTGTCTTTCTGCGCCATTCGCATTTTAATTACTCAGTTTGACTCGCATACAATGCTCGGCTCCAACTCCCGGGAATGCTTGAAGCCCTGATCCTTTGTTCGAGGGTTTCTCAGTGAGAGTACTCCGTAAAGCTTTTGAATAGACCAACAAAGGATTGAATTGAAACCCATGGTTTCGTGCTGACGCCAAGTCTGGCAGTGACTGTCAAAGGCCATAGCTTCATGTATAAATTACTACGCATTAACAACCTTGACGGATACCTTCATAGATGGCAAAGGAGCTTATTTAAATATATGCCGCTTCTGAGAGCAAATAAACAAATAAACAACAGCCAGGCTTGTCAAGCAAGGTCTTGCATGGTAATCAACCGGACTTTTTCTCATGCAGTGGCTTGCTTTGTATGCACATGAAACACGGCGTTGTAACATCATGAAGTGAAATATGATAGACGATCTCTGCAGATGGTCTGAATCAGCATTTCGTCAGTGGGAGATGCTACCTTAGTAGTTAGTTCGAGTTCCAAGTCATCTCCCTCTGTGGAAGACCATCACGAGACCTCTCCCTTGTTCACGAGATGAGCTTGTGTCGGGCCGCCAGCTAAGAAAAAGGCAGAGGCTAATAAGGGTATTACCTATTTGTGAGCGGTTGCGCTTGGGGACTTGCTTGGACTTTCACTTGGAAGCCCCCACGTACCGAATCCGCAACTAATTTGGGGGCATCAGCCCGGAACTGGCGGTTATTATACGAAAATTGGTCGATATGAAGTGCATCGCTGAATATCAAGTGTCTATTACGATGTTAGCGCCTTGATTATGATCACCTATGATACTTCGTACTAGCTCACGCAATTCCCGTGATTGCTGAAAACCCGGCAGCATCACAATGTTCATTCATGCTTGGCCAAGAATCGGATTGTTGGGTGCGGCGAGTTCTCGACTCCTCTAGACCTTTTCTCTGACGACGTTTTTGGCTGGTGGACTGCTGATCCTCTCATGCAAATCAACGGTTTTATGACCCAGACTGAATCAGGCAATGCTTGATATTGCTCGGGGAATTGTCAGAGCATATTGATTGCAAATCACCGACCTCTACCCTACACCGAGTACTCGCCAATATCATTACCTCAAGATCGAAACAATTTATTCGATTATACATCTTTCTATCGCTGAATAATCAGATCTTATTCAGGTCGACAACGTCTGCTTAGCTGCCTATGCAACAAAGAGCTCAATGTTGCCACTCATCCCTTGGCTTCACACATGAGGCATTACTGACCCGAGACAAGTAAGCTACTAGTGTAAGCTCCTAACTGTCGGCACTTATCCGTACCCAGACATCAGACAGTCAAGATCCGAACCGAGCTGGTAAACTTCTGCAGACACGAGACAACGTCGCCTGAACCGCAGAGCCAACTGCATATTCTCATGTAAGTTCCATCAAGCTTCTTCGTCATCTCCGTGATAGAGGCTTGCACAACCCCCCACCAAGAAGTGCCACGATCCAATGCCGTAGCATTTGGTTAGGATTCATCTCTTCATGATTGGCTACCCTAGCGTTTCTTGCCGCTGAACCGGCGCTTAGCTTTTGCAAGCACCAACGAAATATTCCTTATCAACGAAATGAAAGTGTACAGCAGACAAATCAACAGCTTCATTGACCAGTCGATTTAGACGGCACAGCTAATTAAAGATCCATGCATTGCGGAAAAGCAAAACATCAATGTTTGCACACGCACAGCGATCCCAATTGTTATCATTAATAATCATTAATAGCATCAAGTCTGGTCAAGGTCAAAACTCAATCTGAGCCCAGAAATTAAAGCCAGAAATAGTTGCCAAACAGCTTATTAGTCGCCACTAATTTTGGCGTGCCGAAAATACTTCATACCAACCCAAGCTACAACAACCCATACCCACGCCATAACGCCCGTGAGAATGATCAACGCAGGGTAGTATCCCACAATTGGTAGAGTGTCATCGTCTTCAAACTCTGGCGGTGCATATGGCGTCTTGCCCACATCCCATGCCCAGCTCCAGAGATCGAGACAGGATCCCATCCCAACAACAAACACGAACCACGTTACGCATAGCACAACCCAACCCCACCATTCTGTCTCTGCGTAGTCCCAATCTTCATGAGCTGGCAACGTATTGGAAGGGAGCCCGCTGAACGACAACGGTGATTTTGCTCGGTTTGTGAGCCGTCTTCGTTGGTGTGATGATGTCGAACCCAGACTATTGAAGTACGAGTCTGGTCCTGATGACATTGACAAGCCCTGTCGTAGCGTCGACGAACTCCTCGGTATTTGAAGCATGTCCTCTTCATCCGTAGAAGTGTAAGATGCCCCATCTTGATCTGTAGCGGCTGTTGGACGAGCCGTAGTTTTCAGTGCCGTTCCCGTCTGGGGATGTACGGGTGCTAAACCGAGCCCTCCAGGGAGAGGTGCAAACCCATTGACCAGCGTGCGCTGTGAACCCTCCGATGTAGCGTTCAAATCCAATGATTCTATTGACGACGGGCTTTCTGTCTGAGAAGCTGTCGGGTCGAGCACATATTGTGCGGCATGCGAAGTATCAATGACCAAGGGGCGGCTCTCCCTCCGCTCACGTTGCGCTCCTCGACCAAGCAGCGCAGCTTTTCGGAGGGATCCCCGCCGTCTTCTTGTTCTTTGGTACTGTATTACGCTCGCAGATGGTCGTGCAGCGGGGCGGGAAGCAACAGCATTGGTGTTGTCGTCGATTGCATGGCTCGTTTGCTCGTGTCGTTTTTCAGGGGATGTTCTTAAAAAGGGGAATTTGGAGAGTATGCTCGAATTCGACGAATCTCGTTGGAGGGTTGAGGATGGCGTGGGTGAAGTATCCCGCCGATTCAGAGAAGAATCCCCCATAATATGAACGGTATCGGCGAGTAGATTAGGCGTTTGGGTAGTTATACGGATAGCAAGCTTCGATTAGCTGAGTTGTCGGAGCTGGCATTGAAACTGCAGGGCGAGGTTATTCATGAACTCATGCAGATGCCACGTTTTAGCGTTATTGCAGCATAGAAAAAGGCTGCATGTTACGGGAGAGTCTCTCCTGTTCGATTGGCGCAAATATGGTTGTTGAAATAATTCCTAAAGCCAGATAGAACCCATGAGGCTGATGACGATTTCCCCAAGGCTTGCTTCGTTGTACGCCACAAAGTATCGACCTGTTTCCGCTAGAACCGACATGGATGCTGTGGCTTAAGCGCTTCTGCAGCCCCTGCATCTTCTGGAGTACCCCTGAACCCGAAGGCCCCCCATCGGTCCGCCTCCACAACTTAACCTAACGGATATCGCGACGTCAACGCATTCCATCTCAGTCTCTCTCTGTTCTTTCACGACTCGCGCCATCGACGAAACCGGTTTTGCGCCCAAAAACCCGTGGAATTTATATGACACAGTTCTCAAGCCTCTAAAACGGGGGTCCTTGAGACAATCGATCGGGGTCGTCGAACCTAACTAGAACGAGAGGCGCAGTATCCGAAAGCAGGTTGCAACACATGTCGGACTATCCAGGTGCTTGTCCTCAGAACCTCGCCCCGCCAAGTTTGGTTGTCCACGGCGACAGCGACGACGATTTCGACTTTGCCAATCGTGACGTATCCAACGACTTCGGCGTCAACCCCGATAACGACTCCATCGCCATCAACCGCCAACTCAATCGCGACGCTGCCGCTCAGAACTTGGCTACTTCGAATTCACTCTTTCCTTCCTCGACCGCCGCGTCCTCTTCCTCCCTATCACTCCCAACCATGAGCGCCGAAGATGAAGCAGGGGATTCTCCTGCGTCCCCTGGCTTCAAGAACCCTTTCAACTTCCAGACACAAGTTTACTCTGCAGGTCCAGTCAAATCGGTGCGTAGACATGCTTCTTCAGTATGTCTCACAATTGCTAACACTTCTCCTTAAGAACATTGGACAACGTCGTGGTCACAGATACAAGCACAGTAGTATCTCCTCCCAACATCAGATCTTCAAAGAGCCGCCTCAACGGCCACCTCCAGTACTCCCCGCTTCCCTACCCATCCCAACCGTCCGCGAAGCCTGGAAGAGCATGACCAAGGATCAGCGTATCCATTGCTATTGGAGTATGTGCCATCTTGCTGTGGCCACATACATCTTCTTCCGCTCGGAGGGATCTCTTGCTACTACAGCCCTGTCACATCTTGTCTTCTTCGACGCTGGCAGTGCTGCAGTTTGTGTCATGGTTGATGTGCTTGGCAATTTTGAGGTTTGGCGTCGCAGCAGTATTCGCCATCCTTTTGGTCTTGAAAGAGCAGAGGTTCTTGCTGGGTTTGCCATGTCTGTCTTCCTCCTCTTTGGAGGCTTTGATCTGATCTCGCACACACTGAAGCATTTTCTTGAGTCTCTTGGTAGCCACGAGGCGCATCATGAACACGGCCATGAGGGCCCGGATGGCTCTATCGACCTTGTGTCCGCTACTGCTATGGTGAGCACACTCGTCTCGGCATACGGCCTTCGAAACCATGCACGCATTGCCAAACTTATGCGTGTTTCCTACCTTGCTTCTCTCCCGAGCGTACTTTCAAACCCTTTCCACTTCCTCACACTCTCCTTCTCCGCTGTCATCGCTCTTCTTCCGCTCCTCTCCATCTCGCTCTACACATGGCTAGATCGTCTCATCTGTGTCGTTATCGCATTTGCCATGTTTGCCTTGGGAATGCGACTCGCCGTAGCACAGGGTCTTATGCTCCTCATGTCCTACGGTGGCACCGGGGGTAACAACAGTGTCAGTGCTGTTCTCAGGGAGATTGAGACCGAACCCAGTGTTGTTACCATTGATGATGCCCAATTTTGGCAAGTTCATTATGGACTTTGCATGGCCAACCTCAAGCTTAGTGTCGTCAAGGGATACGATGAAATGTCACTCAGCAAGCTGCGACAGCGAATCTCGGGGTTGATCCAGAACAGACTTGGTGAAGGCTATGGCTACGGCGGTAGTATTCGATGGGAGGTGACGTTACAAATGAGCACTGACGGCAGCACATAAGAGAAGGGCTATCCGGAGATAAGGATAGCATACACGTACATGTTGAAATTCGATATAAGTTTAAGTGAACCACATACAACATAGATGGATATACCCTGTGAGCTATTGCCATTGGGTAGATTGGAATAGTCAATGTTATTGAGGAGCGTATCCTTGCGCGCAACAAAGCACTTCTATCCACACCCTCATTCATGTCCTGTGTATCTGTGCTATGTAGGACAAACACATATATATGCTGTATAGATACAACTAGTGAGAGCAAGCGAGAGCCCCTTCGGCATCCCCTAATAAACACTCTTGTGTAGCAAGTTTGTCTTATCTTTACAGAAGCGGTGATATTCTAAAACCAACACCAAGCATTCAACTCCATCAACTCCCAATATGAACATCATGTCTCATTTTCTGCGAGAAGCTGTTCGTTTAGAACAAGCCCCAGCGGGTCTGCTTACGCTCCCTTCTCGAGTTAGGGGTTGCTCGCTCGCGTTCGCGGCCGTCAAGTTGTCGAAGACTCTCCATCTTCTCGAGGACCAGCTCAAGCAACTCCTTGCGGCGGATGACCTCCAAGTGTCGGCGAATCTTGGGATCCTCCTTGGCAAACTTCTCGATCTGATCATCGGACAGGTGGCGACCAAGTCGGAGATCCAGCTCTCGAGGGAAGTTGTAGTAGAACTCTGAAAGTAGCTCAACATTGAGGAAGAGGACAGCAGTAGATGCCAATTTGGTGGCAGCAGCGTCAAGGAACACCTCAGGGCAGTAGTACTTGTTTTTGGGGTCAGCGCACTGCTTTGACTTGACTGCAAGCAGACGCATCTTGATGATGTCGGCTCTGTCGCGCAGGAAAACAGCCTCACGTGCTACAGATGGGTCAGTATTTGAGTCGCCGGTTATTGCGTAGTTAAACTCACCCTTGCTTAGAAGAGCAGCACTGAAACCTCCAGCGCCGCTACGGTTGTCACCTTCAACAACAACCTCGCCCTTGCGGGCCTTATCAACGAATGTCATAACTTCCTTGATCTTTCGTCGTCCACCGACACTGTCTTCCAGGCTCTTCATAGCCTTCTCGCAGTCTTGAAGCTCCTTTTTGAGAACATTGCCAACGTGGTCACGTCCCTTGATCCACTCCCGCTCCTCGAGTTCAACCTCAAACTTGTACGGCTTGATGCAGTTTTCCACTTGATCACTAGTGCTGTAGAATCTTTCGTTCAGAATGGTGGAAGCAGATTCCATAATGGCTTGTCGGGCGAAGGGGTGGCTAGCAAAACTGGAGTTGCTGATCAGGGCATCAATATGGGCCTGGATAGAAGACGCGACTGCTGTCGTGGCCAAGCGTCCAACACCGAGCTTCGTAAGCGCGGATGTAGAAGCATCCAGTTGTCGGTGCCAGTAGAGAGAGTCAGCAGGAGCCTTAGGGAGATCCGCCAGGCTATCGAGATCGGGGTTGATAGGTGTTAAATCATCGATAGGCTTATTCCAATATCTGGCTGCGAGCAAGTCAAGAACCTTTTGGTCCAGCTCGTGTTTCAGGAGCTCGTGCATCTGAGGACGTCCGAATTCCTCTGCGAACTGCTTGAACGAGTGCTTGAAAGCGTCCAAGCTCTCCGCAAGGTAAGATTCGGCTGAAAGTGGGCGGTCATTGTATTGCACCTTGAACTCGTATGTCGCCTCTTCAAGCTCTTGTCGAATGGCGTCACTAGTGCTTTGCAGGCTTCCAGACATGGTTTGTTCCAAAACATGCATAAGTTTCTTTCGCAGAGTGGTGGTTCCAACATTGACTCCAGCTTGAGGGCCAAACTCAGAGGGATGGGACGAGAAGAAAGCATTCTCGGTCTTCACAATTTGGGTAAGTAGATTGGTGTTGCCCATCTTGAACAGTCCCTGGTTCTGAGGGGCCTTGGAAACCACGCCAACATAACCCAGTCTTAGAGGGTATTGTTGATCATTCAGGATTCTTGCACCACGAATAGGGTCAACCAAGTCCATCTTGGTAACGACACCAATTGTTCGCTCACCCCTAGGATCAACCCTCCGAGAAGCTCGCAGGGCAGTAGAATTCGCAAGATCCACGTCGGCAGCTGAAATGGCAAGAATGACATTGGGTGGCTGGATGTACTTGTCACAAAGTTCGGAGATCTTCTGCTTCAGTTCCAGAGGTTGGTTTTGTCCGACAACTTGGATGTAGCCAGGAAGATCGATAAGTGACAGGTCGGGTACGTTCGGGGAGTACACTGTAAGATGGATCGGATCGTCGGAGACACACTGAGTGTCAGGAACAGCAAGGTTGAGTTCGGTTAGAGTTCGTTGAATGGACGAGAAATCAGTGATGTGCCTCAAGCCCAGGTCGGGAAACTCTCCGTACTCCTCCCTGGATGTAGGCGTATTAACAAGTGTAAGCTCAATCGGTCTCCTTGTAACCATGTTGGAGCCCTTGGGAAGGAATTCATGACCGACAATCGCCTCCAGGACGGAGCTCTTTCCAGAAGATTGAGAGCCGATCACAACAATTGAGGGAAGCGTCAGGGTGCTAGACTGTCCGACCTTTTGGAGAATGGTCCTGATCTCAATCATCTTCTTGGTTAGAACCATCATTTGGTCATCCCTAGCAACCTGTTCACCATTTCGAGGGTCCTCTTCGTCCGATTTGTCGTATCCATAAGCAGCGGCAGAGGCACCAACAGCAGCTGCGGCACCGAGCTTACTCTGCTTTGGATCGCCGCCACCGCCGCCTGAGCCTCCTGAACCACCAGTACCAATATCCTCTTGAAGTCGAAGTAGATCTTTCATCCAATCCGGCAAAGCGGCCTTTTCTTTCGTGGACGCCCACCCACGATTCACTTGATCAGCAATATCCTTGGCACCGCCGAATAAGCTCGAGGCAGCACCCGTAACGGTGTCCGTAGTCGTGTTAAATAGGTTCACGGCAAATGTACCGGCCTCTGGGACCAATTAGCGACGGTTTTGATAATAACTTTATCGGAATCTTGACGCACGAGCTGCCTGATATTGTACCCAAGCAAAAGCACCTATAGCCACACCGCCGAACATTGCCGGCACTCTCAAGAACTTGACCATGAGCTTGGGCAAAAATCTCGCGAATGAGGCATTCCGTGTAGTGACGGCATTATGAAACGCATTTCCACCCTGCCACATTCGCTTCCGAGTCGCTCGAATTGCAGCATCGGCCTGGAGGAGTCCGCCTGTCGATTGGCGATGCAGGTGTCTAACGGGGTGAACTGTGGCACGGCGTGGCAGAGGCCGCAGCCCTGCAGCGAGTACTCGTCCACTCATGATTGTCGTTGGCCGTTTTGCAAAGGTTCAAGCTCAAGGTCTTGATGGTGAGGGCCGACGACACGCCCGAGTATTTGGTGACAATGGCCGGGGACAAGCTTGTCACATTCAAGGTTGAGTTGAACCGCTTTTTAATGTGGTCTGCTATGGAATAAGTTCTGATATCATTCGTGCCGCCATTTCGAGAATCACAAGCTAATGCGGGAGTTAGGTAAGCACCCCCACTTTCTGCACTAATTTCTTATCAGCACGTGATTCTCTTATCCGTCGCAAAATTTCTGGCGGGGCGTGTTCTGCAAAGAAGTTCTCGTGCTGTTTTCTGGGTGTCTACAACCTCAACACCATATTGTCTTTTTGTCCTCCACGTCGACAAGATGGCGATTGAAAAGCGGTTCGGTAAAGGCCGTCTGGACAAGTTCTACAGACTTGCAAAAGAGAAGGGATATCGTGCTCGAGCTGCTTTCAAGCTTATTCAACTCAACAAGAAGTATGGCTTCCTCGAGAAGAGCAAGGTCGTTCTGGACCTTTGCGCCGCGCCTGGTGTACGTTTTATCAATCTCCTTATGCAATGTACTCTTGAGAAACACATTGAGGCTTCCTTGTTATATATACTGACATTTCTTTAGTCCTGGTGTCAGGTTGCGGCCGAGATCATGCCCAAGTCTAGCCTTATTGTAGGTGTAGATTTGTCGCCAATAAAGCCAATCCCTGGCGTTATTGCATTCCAGAACGATATTACCTCAGATTCCTGCCGAGCCACGATTCGACAACACTTGAAGACATGGAAGGCCGACACCGTGCTGCACGATGGAGCTCCCAACGTCGGTACTGCCTGGATTCAGGATGCTTTCGACCAGAACCATTTGGTGCTCCAAAGTTTGAAACTCGCTACCGAATTCTTGAACGTCGGAGGAACTTTTGTCACCAAGGTTTTCCGAAGTAAAGATTACAACTCTCTGCTGTGGGTTTTCAACCAACTTTTCACCAAGGTCGAGGCAACCAAGCCTCCAGCATCCAGATCGGTCAGTGCCGAAATCTTCTGCGTGTGTCGCGGCTACAAGGCGCCCAAGAAGATTGATCCTCGATTCCTCGATCCCAAATACGTGTTTGCTGAACTTGCCGGCGCAACACCCAACAATGAGGCCAAGGTCTACAACCCCGAGGTCAAGAAGCGCAGACGAGAAGGTTACGAGGAGGGCGACTACATCCAGTTCAAGGAGATGCCCGCTAGCGAGTTCATTCACACTACCGACCCCATTGCGGTTCTCGCTTCTTACAACAAACTCACCTTTCAGCAACCCCTTAATGGCGATGTAGCTCTGGCCGCGCTTGAAAAACTCTCCGAGACTACAGGCGAAATCAGAGATTGCTGCAACGATCTTAGAGTGTTGGGACGAAAGGACTTCAAGCTTCTTCTTAAATGGCGTTTAAAGGTCCGCGAGATCTTTGGATTAAAGACAAAGGACACCCCAGAAGAGGAGCCCGAGGAAGTGGCCGAAGTTGAGTCGATGGATGAAGAGCTCAAGATTCAGGAGGAGTTGCAAGGTATGAAGGACCGGGAAAACTCCAAAAGGAAGAGGGAGAAGCGAAAGGAGAACGAGAGAAAGCAGCGTGAGGTTGTGCGCATGCAGCTCAACATGACGGCTCCCATGGATATTGGAATGGAGGAGGCTGGCCCTATTGGCGAAGGTGCAATGTTCTCACTTAAGAAGGTCGACAAGACGGATGCTATGCGAAGGCTGAATCGCGGCAAGATGGTCATTCCTCCCAAAACACCTCAGAGGGAAGCAGACAGCGGACTCGGCTCTTCTGGAGAGACCGATGACGAGAGCGATCCTGAAGAGGACCGTCTGGAACGAGAGCTTGAGTCCATGTACGATCAGTACAAGGAGCGCAAGTCCGAGGTCGATGCTAAGTACCGCGCAAAGAAGGCTCGTAAGGAGCACGGCGACGATGAGTGGGATGGCTTGTCCGGTGAAGAGGCAGAGGAGAGGGACGATTCGTCCGAACTCGAAGAGGACGATTCTTCTTCTGATGAGGAAGACGAAGCTCCCGTCCCTGGACTTATTAGAGACCTGGATTCTTCGAAGGGAGCCAACGGACTTTCCAAGAGAGCTACCGCCTTCTTCAACCAAGATATCTTCCAGGGTATTACCGGTATAGTCCCTGAGGCCGAGGAGGCCGCCGAAGACAGCGCTGATGAGGAGATCGACCGAGATGTTGCGGCTGTCGTAGCTCAACAAGCCAAGAACCGCAAGACCGAAAAGCCTACAGCCAAGCCTGTCAAGGCCAAGGACACCTTTGCCGATTCCGATTCCGAGATGGAAGATAATGATGGGTTTGAGGTAGTGAAGCGAAGTGAAGAGGATGACTGGGACAAGGATACACGAAGACCCGATGGACGTCCTGGTAAGTCACAATCACCTATAACTACTCAATACGTATTACTAACATCTATACAGATATCGATATCATCACTGCAGAGGCCATGACACTTGCACATCAACTCGCCACTGGTCAGAAGACGACTCAGGATGCCATCGACGATGGTTTCAACAAATTCGCCTTCCGCGATCGCGATGGTCTGCCAGACTGGTTTGTTGAGGATGAGTCAAGACACGACAAGCTTCAGAAGCCCATCACAAAGGCTGCTGCGCAGGCTATCCAGGAGAAGATGCGAGCCTTCAACGCTCGTCCCATCAAGAAGGTGCGCGAGGCCAAGGCTCGCAAGAAGTTTAAGGCTGCGCAGAGATTGGAGAAGCTCAAGAAGAAGTCCGACATGCTCAACAACGACGAGAACATGACGGAGAAGGAGAAGGCAGACAGCATTGGACGATTGCTTTCCAAGGCGATGAAGAAGAAGCCCACACAGGCAGCCAAGCTTGTTGTTGCCCGTGGTCTCAACCGTGGTATCAAGGGACGTCCGAAGGGTGTCAAGGGTCGCTACAGAATTGTCGATCCCAGGATGAAGAAGGAGTTGCGAGCGCAGAAGAGGATCTCCAAGAAGAAGAAATAATCGGTGGGTTTGATTTGAGTCGAAGAAGTGGACGTCGTATCTTGGTTTTATTCTATGTATGGCGTTTGTCTAGATTACTTTCTGTTTCCCAGGCTTATATCGCGAATAAATGTGGACGCAGGATAGAGAGGGCCTGTAAAGTCCAAGTCATACCTAGTTCAGGGATTCATATTAGCATTGCAAAGGGAAATCAAAAGCATGGGATTTTGTTACCAGTAATTGACGGCGAGGACAAACCCTTCATCTTCTTCGGTACACGATTGCATGACCTTGTGATACCTTGGAAAGTAAGCATTACCCACTGCAAGGCGAGGATGTGAGTGAACCTACCACATTGCCGGAAGATATAGCATGTCTCCGGGGTTCAATGTCACCCGCAGAGGCCGTGCAAGGTAAGAGAATCCTGTAGCATTCCTCTCAGGCCTGTCAGGGTCCCAGATAGCGAATGGAACAGCCTCAGCATCATAATCCATCTCAAGTTCCATGCCGTCTTCTCTCCGTTTGTACGTCGCTGGCCTGAGAGGCTGCTCGTTAACGCAAGGATGGCACAACGAAGGTAAGAGAACAAAGTGTTTCCGCCCCAAGACCTGTACGTATATGTTTTCGTAGTTGTCCTTGTGCATTGCTGTCACAGACTTGGAGTTGCCGATCCACAGGTTTACTGCATCGGGGCTCTTGTCAAGTGCTATTCTTGCAAAAGGCATGTCTTTCTGAACATCTGAGAAGAGGCTGATGTACTCTTCACGGAGATTATCGTTTTCTAGAATGCTTTTTAGTACTTTATCCCTGTGATGGACAGAGCCGAGCTTACGGGTTTGCGCATATCGCACTTCAGCATTAGGGGGAAAGTCAGGATCTGTCTCTTGGCGAGCTACGAACTCGAGAAGTTCTTCAAAAGGCTGATCTTCGTAGTGAGGTTTTGCAAAGACTAAGGATTCTTCTCCAGGAGGAAAAGTAGGCATATCGGCGTTACTGTTAGGGATCAGCAAGGGTCTTTTCTATGTAGGGTTTGGTTCCAAGTGGTATCAAGCATCGACATACCCATGCGGCGTGACTGCAACATTAACACTCTGACCTTTCAAAGCAGATAGTAAATACGCAGAATTCCACTGCTGACAAGCTTTCCACGAAGACGCTCCGCCTCTTATGACAAAAGGCGTGTTGCGGGCAACATATCGCATGAATTCGAGCGGACTTGGCTCCTCGTGTAGCTCATCGATGAGGTTACTATTGAGCTCGTTAAAGGTGGAAATGAGACTCTCAATAGCCTTGTCTGTATCTGTATGTAAAGACATACTTTTGAGTCTTCTGATTTGGTGCCAGTTGACAGGTCGATAACCCTACGTTGTGTCTCGACAGGACGGACACTGGATAATGTTCTCAGGCCAATGAAGCTTCAAAGTTGATAGATATTATGGACTCAAAGAAGAGACCCAAGATAGATTGACTCTTTATTTGTGTATTTGGAGTGGTTCGAGTTGAATAAGTCGAGGAAACCAACGAATCCACTCTTATCCATAGCTTTTCCATGAAGTAATGAAGGCCATGCATAATATTTTATGCAAATGTGTGTCACCTACCCACCATGTACCAAGATCAGGGCGATCTAGTAGGAATTACAGCACCGGTGTTTCTTCCAAACAGCCAAAGTCATCGTCGATAATATTAGAGCATGTAATATTAGTCTCCGTCAAGGTGCTTATATAATTCTAGTCTTTTTTTCAAGGTATTAACCTCAAATGATCCATCCTTCTAGATATATTCACTAGCAGATTTCCATTGTAGCCTGCTTATGTCAGCTGCATACAATTTATTTTATCCACCCCTCGCACCCCGCCATCTCCACTTCATCTCCCTCACACGTAAAAAAAAAGTGTTCATAACTTCTACTGGAGCTCGTCGCTTCAACTCGCCCCAGACGAATTTTATAGATTTTTTTTTATAATTTCTTAACGCGTCGCTTCGACTCAAGAATGAACCATATGGTCCCTTGGATGAAATGGCGTCAGAGCTCGAAGGCTTGATCGCTGGCCTTTTGGTCCATATCTCATGCCAAGGCGAAAAAGGCGAGTCCTTGAATTTATTGTATTTATCTGTTATTATAGGAGAACTATAAACTGACTGCATATATCTAGGCTGTCCTGTGGCTGATGTATTGAAATCAATTCGCCACCCTACAACTCACAGCGAATCGCCGCTGTCTGAAGGCAATTCGGCTGTGCAAGACAGAACTGCCGCGTCAATATGGAGTTGGCTTGTTGCAAGACGGGATATTTCTGTTGGTGTTGATCGCGAGTACAACGATCTCACTCTGAATGAAGTCTTGGCGCTTTCAGATTCTGGCGACGCCCCTAAACTAGATGCAGAGACTTCAGAGCCACAACCAGATGACCCAGCAGAAGCTCAACATGTCCGGGTGTACGCCTCCGAGGATACCATGTGGGAGTCCCTCACTGGCCATGCAGTCGACTACAAGCGAGTTCCCAAGTCAGAGTGGATGTTGCTCCTGGGTATAGCTTCGACAACTACTCAGGGAATTCTTCAAGGAGACCTTGGACGTCTTATGGGGCAGGACAAGAGAAGTGTGCCGAAACGCACTGATAGTCTACTTAAGAAGGGCTACATTGTCAAAAGAACGACACTTGTACGTGGTACTAAGACGAGCAAAATGTGGTTGAAGATATTCGCACCCCCTTTACCAAAAGATGGTGAGGGCGCAGACGAAGTCCGACCAGACATGACACTAACTCGGCAAATTCTGATCGATGATCTCGAACCTGTTCCTTGGTGTATTCGTTGGATTGGCGAGTCTATCGACTATATCGCACTAGCTACGACCATCATGGCCATTGTCAAAGAGTGGGGAGTTCTTCAAATGAAAGACATGAAGTCCAAGCTCGGCGTATTGGGCATGCGGTGGCAGATGAAAGTGTTGGCCAAAGTATGTCGGTTTCTCAACCAGCGTGGTGTAATCCAGTATGTTGCAGCAAAGCTAGGAGAAAAAGTATTCAAGGACTGTGTCAAGTATGTCCGAGATCTCGACCCAGAAGACTGGGCATTATACCTATCAACAGGCAAGAGAAAGAGCAAGACTGTCAGGCATTCCGACCTGGACGGCTCTGATGGAAACAAGCAACTTATAGGGCAAGCTTCTAACGTCTCCGAGATTACCAAAGCACCACCGTGGTCTCTGGACAAGCCAGTTCCAGTCATTATCGCTGAGATGGCAAAACGACTGGGAGATGCTGGACTTACGAACCCGGATGTTTATGCCTTAACTCTGGGTCCTTCTTACAGCCGATATCTTTCCTCGATGACCACTGCATTGTCGGTTACAAACTTGCAGCCGCCTCATCTCGCCCACTTTCAGATTTACAGCGAACACACGAGATCCGGAAAGGTAGCATCGTATCGCTATTTCGCACCAAATGATACTCCCTCAGCCCCTCCCCTTTCGACCGATCCCGCCAACCACCCGCAAACTATTGCGGATACGTATGGCTTCTCGTCAGTTCCCTCTGCAACTATATCACCCCAAGAGTCGCCATCGTTAATTGATCTCTGTAATATGGGGATGGTTGGTCGGAAATCAAAAGGTCGCCCTACTAAGCCCAAGGCTAAAAAGCAGGGACCGACAGCCACGCCAAAAGCAAAGACGGCTAGGAAGCGACGCAGCGGAGTGATTGAGATACCGCCACAGGATGCGGTTGTTGTTGTTGTTGACAGTAGCGCTCCTGCAGAAGAGCCTGTTGATTCACAAGTACAAGAGGCTGTGATCGAGGAGCCAAAACAGGACGAAGTCACACAAGCACAACCTGAAATCGCACAAACAGAACCTGAAGTCACACAAGAAGAAACCGAAAACACAAACGGGGATGATGCAGTCTCTGAGCCCCAAACCGCCGGAAAGCTCATAGTAACCCTGAAAGTGTCTCCTGACGCTCTGAAAAAATGCCTCGCAATTTCTCTCGAGATTGTTGCGACCCCTGCCCGACAAACGCGTGCCCGTCCAACAAGATCCTCAGCTAAGAAAGATGAGACGAGAATCGAGAGTACGAATGCCGATAACGACGAATCTCAAGTTCAAGAAGTTGACGAGGAGGCACTTGGAGACGATGCTTCTACCAATACTCCACTCACCGGAAGAAAACGCGGTCGTCCGAAGAAGGGCGAGCCCAGGAGAAAAAGAAACGCAGAAAAAGCGAGTGCAAACGAAACTCCTTCGCGACCTTGGGCATGTGAGAAATGCGGCAGAGTGTGGAAGAATGACAATGGTTTGCTTTATCACATCACAAAATCAAGAACAGCGTGCAATCCTTCATTCGATGAGTCTACAATAACACCGGCCCGACATGGTAAAAAGCGAGCCGCTTCGGAAATGGATGACGAGGATATCACAACGCCTTCTGTTGAGAAACCACACGACGAGGATCAAGGAAATGTCGAAGAAGAATTCAGAGAAGAGCCCAAGGATCAGGAAAAGGACGAAGGTAGGGAGCTAACGGCTGAACATGAGGAGGCGCCCACACCCAAGCGAGTATCCAAACTACGTGGTCCTGTTGCTGGTCGCCCATCGTGGGCTGCACGGCCTACAGTCAGCTTCAGGGGAGACGCATTCCAAGTCAACCCAGAATTGCAGCGACCTCCAGTTGCCATGTTTGGTTCTTCAACACAACCTTCGCTATTGAACGCAACCAACGGTGCCCTCGTGCAAGGTGAAAACGGTCATTTACGGCCAGTTCTTGGGTCTCTGAACCGCTTCCCTCTTTCTGCAGGCTCGCCGAAGACGCCTCGTCCAAAATACCAGAGAAATGGATCTCAGCCCACCACAGCTCATCAACCAGAGCAGCCAGGATCCGTGCAGCATGATGCAGATGAGACGCCTAGTAAGGTCGGTTCTGTTGTCAATGCTAAAACGTCCGCGACTATTGATGAACCCCCCTCTAAGACTGCCATCAACAACCGGGTCTCTCAGATCATTATGGGAATACTGGGAGAACAGCAAGGCGTCTTCCCAGCAGACAAGCCTCTCTGGACAGCTATCACTGCTCGATGGACCGAAAACTTCCCAGAGGCAGTGCCCCAAATTCGCTCATATCAGGCTGCGTTCCGGGAGATGCTGAAAAACAAGAGTGTCGCCGAACATTGGTTCACATTTCGCAGCAGCAAAGGCGTTACCGAGAAATGTCATATCGCTGTCCTGGCTGGAGTCGATCCTTTCTCTCCTGAAGCTACAGAGGTAGTACAAAAGATTCAAGAAGTCCACCCAGACCCATACCTCCCGCCTCCATTTGATGCTCAGGTCGGTCAAGATCTGTTGAAGCGTGGTCGAAGGGACCTCCCTGAAGAGGTTGAGCTACTAGATGCACCTGTATATGTGGCACGAGCTGCTCAGAAACGGGCTCACAATGAGCATGAAGACGACAGAGATGACTTCCCGCCTCCTGCAAAACGAGGACGGAAGCGCAAGAGTCTGATCGTAAGAGGGCGTTTATCAAGAGGTGGAGCACGGCAAGGGTCCATGGGAGAATCATTGCGTTATAAGCCATTCGAATCTTCCCACGATGCCTTCGAAGCTCTTGAGTTCCTTGAACCCAACACAATGCTGGGAAGAAAGGGCAACGATGTATCAAAGGACTGTTTCACTGACGGATTTACTACTGCTTCCAACGACATTTCAGGAGATATCATCTTCGACAAACCGATTATCGTTTCTGGCTATGACGGTATTTGGCCGTATATTAGCCCATCGGACTTTGAGATGCAGGATGGTAGTTACACGTTGAGGGGTTGGCAGCCTGACAAGAATTGGTTTGCTTGGTCGTCAATGATAGAGATGATTGACCGGAAAGCACATGCGCTCAATCGTCAGAAGTTTCTGCGTCAAGGCAAGATCGATCCGTACGAGTCATTTGTTGGCAAGTTATATTGCTGCGTGGACTTGGAGCGGGCATGGTCCGAAGCATTCATTCATGCACCGCAAGGCGCTGCAGGTCCTCACAATATCTTCGTGTCATTCTCTAGTACAGTTGGCAACGACAGCGTGGAGACTTCGGCTCTCTCTTGGCCTTTGGAATGGCAACTGGCCCCCAAGTCTTTCCCAGGAGACGTTCCAGATCGTGCTCTCCTTGTGGACTCTTCATCTGATGAGGAGAGCGACAGCGATGAATGGCCGAGGTTCTCCTCTTCCGTTCCTAATTCTGGTTCTGGTAACGCACGCCCACGCAGCAACCTCCCACGGTCGTCCACCAGCAAGCAGCATACATCGTCGCGTCAATCACCTGGGCCATCTAGCCAGATGGAACCGGAGCCATTGCCCAAGACACGTCGCCTTCTGCCTATTCCTGCGGCAAGACGACTACCAGGCCAAGATGATCATCTGATTGCCGACCCAGACCAAGAAGAACGTCTCCTTGCTGCCTTTGTGGCCGTGCGGGTTCTACTTGGCGGTGTCGAGCTATCCATTGACTGGGGAATGTTACTTGAGCTTTTCCCCAACTTTGGCCTCTATGCTATTCGCAAATTCTGGGCTCGTATTCGCCAGAGTGCCCATCTCAAGAAACTTACCAAAGACTTTCAAGATCAGGTAGTGATAGCCTTTGAAAAGGACGAGCTTCTAATACCCGACTTTGATGCCCCGTTGGACTATGATTGGCACAGCCTGATCGACTGGACACTTCGTCTTCCTCGGCGAAGGGGTATCGACCTTCCATCCACTAGAGAAGCATTTGAAGCAATGTTTACACTTACTTCAGTGGCTACTCACGATGAAGACGATGCACGGAAGATATTCTACAACCCGCAATCATCTGTTTCGTCCCGATTGAACGCAGTGTCTACTTCAGCTGTTGTCACTGTCGACAAGATGCTTAGTGGTGGTGCCCGTGTTCGTGGTGGTGAACATGTTGAGATTACCCAGGATGTCATTGCCAGGTCCTGGGTCAAGTCACTTTGTTACACAGACCCGAAACACTGCACGGTTGAGCAAATGCAGCACAAGTTCGCTATGATTGCAGGAGGAGACAAGGACGCAGCTAATGAAACCCTTAAGAAAGCAATCGACGCGTTGAAGAAAGATGGCATTATTGCCAAGAGCGAGAAGTTCTCTCTTTCTACCCAGAATTATTATTTCAAGAAAGTATGGCATAATGCGCTGGAAAAGCATGCCCAACGAACAAAGTATCAGCAAGCAGCGGACTTCAAGACGAAACTGGATGAAATCTTTCGCCGCGGAGACAGCTATCAAATTCCTTCCAACCCTAACGACGGGTCTGTTATGGCGATCTTGGGATTGAACGCTTCAGAGAGGATCGAGTTGTGCCCTACCAACGTACCACACATCCCTCTCGGCTTTGTCCCTCTACAGTATGAGTCAAGGAAGTTGGATAAATCAGTATTCCATTTCGATCTTGTCATTGTCCCAACCGAGTCTTATAAGTATAACGAGGATATCGATGTCCTGCAGCGGAGTGTCAACGAAGGACCTCCCACGGCAGGCAAAGACAAAGGCAATAGCGTGCTCCCACATTGGGTTGATATATTCGGACGCAGAGAAGCGGAACGTTGGATGGATGTCTTGGGTGCTTTTTGCTTCGTCTTTGCTACAAGGGGTTATGTAACCATCGAAGGCGTGTGCAATGCCTTGTATCCGGTCTTGGAAAAGTTCGAGGCCAAGATGATCATGGATTGGGGCCTGAAAACGGGTGTGCTTGAGGAATCAGAGCTAGGAGTCAAAGTAGGTGAATGGTGGTGGTTGGCAGTACCCTGGCAATGGGGACGCCAGTTTCAACTCAGGGGACGTCGTCAGAGTCCAGACTAGAGTCAGTACAATTTAATGATAACTACGAGTGTTACTATCTTAAGTTAAACCACATATAGTTAAAATTGAGGACATCGTTATTTTTATAGGCAGCTGACCAAGAGAAGACAGAGTTATCGGCCAGCTTTAGGAGGACACTTAATTCAACAGGATATCTAATTCGCTTGATAGACTTGATAACAAACCCAATAACTACACCATTCGCCAAACCCAACGAAAACACGCACAAAACACAACCGCTTCTGAATACGCCTGTATCACGCTTATACTCATACAGCAAATATGATCTTAAGCACGAGCGCAACCAAGAGTACCACCAGCACGACAATACTACGGTCCAGCCAGAGAGGTACACCATCGTCAGACGCCCTTCGAGCTTGTTGAGCCTGCGCCACAGGCGGTGCCAGACGTGCATGAACGGGTGCTTGAGCCTGGACAGGCAAAGGAATAGTTCGAGTTGGAGTGGGATTCCGGTTCTCAACGGGCGGCTGAGGGATCCTGGTACTTCCATCATCAAGCTCAACGTCTGGGGCAGTCTGGACGAATCCTTCGGCAAGTTGAGCTGTTTCGGCATCATCGCTCGTCTGTTCGGGTTTGTTTTCGCCTTCTTTCTTGGCTCCCATCTCGTCGCGCCATCCCATATTCAATTCTTTGGGCACCTCAACCTCTTCGGCACTTGTTGAAGCTTCCTTTGCTCGCTCCTCGCATTCCTTGATTATAACCGCATTTGTCTTCCCGCAACTCGAGCACTTGAATGTTGATGACTCGTTAGCTAGACGTTGGCGCACAGCATCGGTAGTTTCAAGACCACCAAGTTGGCCACGAGCGTCTGTCTCCATAAAGCTTCGAAGCCTAGTCGTGTGAAGTCAGCGATTGTGATATCAATAAGGCTCAAAGGTGCTGACATACGCTACAAGAGCTGTCCGTACTCCCCATGCAGGCTGCCACGTCTCCTCATGATGACCACTGATACTAAGACAAATCTCACGGTTGGCCTCGAACCGGCCACTGGGTGTCATAAACCGGAAAGACGGCGGGCGAAGAGGGTATGTAGGAGGAAGAACTATGCGTCCATGGTAGATGCCATTGCTGTAAACCGAGTTGGGAGGCCCACGGAGGGTGAAGTGCCATTCAAATAGGTCGGATTCGAGAGGCTCGGCAGTATAATCGGCGGAAGGAGAGTTGGATATTTCGGCTGCCTCACGAACTGGAAGCCGAGTTAGCTTTGGGATCAACAGTTCAGGTAACGATTCGGGTATTATCTTGAAGTTGAAGGAGACTTACGTATACGTCGAATTGTGGGCGATTTTGAGCTGAATTTCGGAGTCGCCATGACGAGCGTTCTTGGCTCTCCGGACCACCTCAGAAGCTTTTATCCGCCTATGTATAAATTCCGATGTAAGATATATGTGTTGGATTCCGAACTGTCACCCTAGAGGAGTATTGCTTGGCGAGCGTGGGGTTGGAAGCTGGCTAGAGTGAACTTTGGAGGTTGGGAACGAAGGCAATGCAATCAGGCACAGGATCTCGAGGCCAAATATGACACGTACAGTTACAAAATAAAGGAGAAGTATAAGTATCGCAGAACAAAAAGTCAGCTTACTCTATGGTGGAAGCTCTTGTTAAACGCAAGGTGGTATCTTAGACTATGGTTGCTATTGTATCATTGCCGGGTCTAGAAGCGGGAACTGGGTCCACTGATGATGCACGAAAGACTCCCATATAACACTCTACTGGCTATGGGCTAGCATATGCGCCAAAACAACTTTACCTACATACCCAGTCTAACCAATCACAAGCTCCCCTTACCTAAGCAGACCTGTCACCGAATTGGCTCGGGTTCACGACTCCATCAAGACTGACCATTTGCCGTATCATCACCATTATCGTCGCCTCGTCCACGGCTTCCAATTCGGTCTCTACGTACGTCAATCGCGCAATCTCACCAAGATTAACACTTCGCAAAACTTCAATCGCCACTAACGCCTCCAATCTTCACAGGCCGAACCCCCGAACCGAGCGACATTCATCTAGACTTCATCATGGCTGGTCACGGTCACCACAGCTTCAACGGCCCTCCCAAGCCCCCTGTGGCTCACGTGCCCCGTGTTTACCGATTCACCGCTACAGCTCTAGGCGCTGGCATGTGGTTTTTCGTGAGTCGCCCTGACGAACTGCGACTTTAGGCTTCAGATAGATCGGAGCATCAACGACAGGATCATGAGGATTGCATGGATGGCTTGCTAACGAATTATAACACAGCTTATGTACCGAGCGAAGAAGGACGGTATGTCACCAAACACAGACTACAATGCGGATTGTTGGTTGTCTGGGTCACAATGGCTAACTCTCTCCAGGTGCCGTTCTCCTCGGCCTCAAGCACCCATGGGACCACTAAACGATTACCATGTACGATTACTTCTTTCCCGCAACAACTACAACAAGGAAGGCACTGGGCGCCGATATTAAAGGATACGTGGATTCGATGCAGTGTACATAGTGCAGAAGAGGCTCTAAAATCGAAACAAAAGATTCAGTTACAACTTGAAAATGATATCATGATTTCTTGGGAACCGACTGGTTGGAAACGTCGAATCAAAACTGCGGCATATCGTATTCTTATGCATTGGCGACATTGCATGTCGCCGTGGGTCTCGCTTGTTCACCATTCACGCAGAGAAGTGACCTCACTATGGGATACAGTATGCTCTTCTCTCGTTCATCTTGTGCTGTGGACTTTCAAACTGTCGTGGTCCGCCAGCGCAGTCTAAGTAGCTTACCCGGTACCTTTCAGAGTGTCTTGAATGCAATTGAATAGTATCAGCGAACGCGAGGGCAATTAACATGGCAAAAGAAGTAGCCGTTGAGTGGAATGAACTTTCAAGTGATTTAGTGGGTGTCATTGTCCGATTCCACGGCCAGATGGATAGTCACCATATGCAACATGATCTCTATGAAATTATGGGTGTTGGTTGTTGGTTGTGCTGCTTGCATTCAATCACCTTGTCGGTGACATGACTAGATTGAAGATGAATATACAGTTACGGGACTCGTTACCCTTTCTCTAGATTGCTCTTGAATTATTGATATTCTGAGAAAACATGCAAAAAGACCCAAATGCAACATGACGCATTGATCTTACCCATTCAGCTCCCATCCATTTTATAACTCACCCTTCTAATCCACCAACATCCAGGCCATTCATTACAACGACCCCTCATCTTGCTCGATTGCTACGCAGCAAGTTTCGTTCAGCCACAGCTTAAATACGAGATCCTTCAGCAATAACCTTGTACTGCTTGCGCTTCTTGGCCTTTCCTGTCACTTTCTGCTGAACTGTTCCAATAAATCGAGCCAGCGTCATGGCGAAAAAGTGCTCAAATGCCCATGCAACGATAAAGTAGGCAAAGCCCAGGGCAATCAGGAAAAACTCATAATCCCAACTCATTTCTGTCAACTGCATCAGATCTGCAACCCATTTGGCAGGCGACATAATCATGTAAACGGTTATGATGAGCACAATAGACACAGTCGTAGCGAACGGCCCTGTTCCATGTTAGTTCTGCTCTTCGTCTCGGGCAAGAGCAATGACTTACAGTTCTGCGTTGTTCGCTGTCGAAATGGGCGTCCGGCGTTGAGGATAACCCCAGACAAGATGTACTCAAAGCAAGAGAACAAGAAGAGCGCAGTGTTTTGCGAGTTCTCGATGCTAGGTTCGTCCTTGTGCACCACCGGGGGAATGTACCAAGGCTGCTCCTTAACCGTGATATAAGTAACAGTCTGGAAAAGAATACAGATAAGCATGAATCCCAACAAAGGCGTGAGAACCTTGCGTGACACCAAGTCCGCAGTAGGCCGCTTGCGACAAAGCCTGGGTGCAGGTCCTGCCCAACCCATGAAGATGGCGATGGGAAGAATGAGAGCGAGATCGATGAAGAGGAACTGGAAATCTCCCAAGTTGGAGGCTCGGGCATAGAGGAATGTGACTGATGTGAACTGAATTGCCGAGTACAGACTCATGTACTTGAAGCAACTGAAGCTTGTTACCAGAGCAGCTCGACCCTCCCTAGAAAAATGTTAGATGATTTACAAGAGAAGTTTGTTTTATAACTTACTTGATGACTTCCAAAACACAGCGAATGTCAAATACTCGAGAAGTGAAAGGAGCTGCCACGGAAGCTTCTGCTTCGGACAGAGAGATACCGACATCTGCAGCCTTCAAAGCACCACAATCGTTCGCACCATCACCGCAGAAACCACATGTGTAGTCGATGCTTTGCAGCTTCTCGACCAACTCGTGCTTTTCATCAGGAGACATTCTCGCAAATACTTTGCCGTTGATGAGCATCTACAAGTTAGTTAGCAGGAAACATCACATGGGTAGAAAAGTAGGGACTGACCCGTTGGAGTGCTTGTGGTGCTGCATAGTCGACCATCCATCGGAATACATCACCGCTAACAGCCAAAGTATAGTTGCGAAGATTGGAGATATCAAAAGGCAACGACGCGTCTGCCTCAGGAGGTGGTGGCATAGGCTGTTATTGTTAGTTATACCTTCATTCCAATCTGGATTACGGCGAGAAACACTTACCAATAGAGTCTTTTCATTCAAATGGTAGAGATTGTTGTCGATGCTCTCCCAGTCGATTCTCGCCTCAGGATCGCGGAAATCACCTTTGCAAGTTAGCATTTATCACAAAAGTACGCCAGACTCTAGACATACCTTCAGTAAAGCGTGGAACAAAGCAATGGGCCTTTCGATCCATGAGACCACACTCTCGTGCCACGCTGATGGCCGTCAAGATGTTGTCACCGGTCACCATTACTGTCCCAATGTTGGAGTTAAGAAGCTCCTCAATGACAGCTGCAGTTGTGGGCTTGAGCTTGTTCTCAAAAACAATGAAGCCAACAAAGTCAAGGTCGCTCTCGACTTCACTTCGGGGCATTTTTTGAGCCTTGACCCAGCTGAGCTTCTTAAGATGACGGCTAGCAACACCAATTACACGATAACCCTTGTGAGTGTACCAAGACAGAAGCTCGTCATAATCCTCGGGGACTATAGAGTGTTAGTTAATGTCCCTCTTGATCCCTGGCCCGGTTACTTACAGCTTTCAGGGCGACATATCTCTTTCATTGCCTCAGGCGCACCCTTGACAAAGATGTCACCGCTCTTTTGGCCGAACTGTCGAACAATTACACTGGCACGTCGTAGATTAGAAACGAATTCGAATGTCTTTTGTACACCGAGTTCGACGCTGGACTGTTCTATGTCAGTGATTGTCTTGCCATTAGGTAGCGGCGAGGGTGCGTACATTAGGGGGTCGTGCAACAGAGGGCGCGAGTCCCCCTTGCTCCTCATCTTCGTCCGAAACGGTTTGCTTTCCTTCCTCATATGACCAGCGAGTGAATTCAAACATCTTGAGGTCTAGCGGATCACCGACTAGCTCATCGTCAACAGATCGAAGCGAGTGGCAAGTGGCCATGGTGTGCAACGCGGCACGGTAGGTATCCTGAGCGTTCTGCCTTGTGGCTTCGGCAAGCAACATCTGGGGTTCAGTCACAATCTCACTGAATCTGTTCGAGTCGCGGTCAACGACTCGAACACCAAGAACGTCCAACCCTTCTTCCGTTAGGGTTCCCGTCTTGTCGAAACACATTATGTCGATCTTTCCACCAACATTGACTCGTTGCGGGCTGATACAGAAAATCTGCTTCTTCTTCAGTCGGCTGAGAGCAAAGTTTGTTCCGATGGTCAGCGTAGCAGGCAAGGCAGGAGGCACAACGATGGTGATAAGATCAAGCGCTCGAATGATGATGAGATGCCATGCGAGTCCAAGCCTAACAAAGTTGACCAGCGAAGCCAAGAATCCGATGGCAGCAACAATGGCCATGACACTAATATACCTGAACGAATCACGGTAGAACTTGAAACCAGATGGCTTTGGGAACAGCATCGATCGTACCAGAGCACCCTTTGTAGTGTTAAAGCCAGTGCGGACAACGAGGGCCAGCGCAACAGCGTCGTCTCCCTCATCTTCCTGGGGTCTTCTGGTACGAATGATCTTAGTACCACAAAAGAGGAAGTGTCGAGCTGTCTCGGGCGAGACAGACGACGCCTGCAAATCCATGGAGCGCAGAGTTTCATCAGTTGCTGGGAGCTTTGAGACGGGAACCGACTCGCCCGTAAGCATACTCTCGTTGACAATGCAGTCGCCGGTGAGTAGAAGACTATCACTGGGGAACTGAGTCAAGCTGGGATCGCTGAGTTCGTAAACATCTCCAGGAACGAGCTCGCCTGAGCTGATGAATCGCCAGAAACCGTTGCGAAGAACTCGCACATCGCATTCAAATTTCGAAATTTCACGAAGGCGTTTCATGGTAGCTCGTGTCTCAATCAGAGTAGCAGCAATACTGCCGACTGACATAACGAAGATAGCAATCGCATAGTAGTAGTAGCTGTCCATGGACCACAGGACCAAACTGGCAATCTGGAAAACATAGAACGGATGAAGAACTTCATCGACCAAGAGCTGTCCTGTAGTCTTCTGCTCAATATCGATAAGGTTGCTGCCAAAGACGACTTCACGAACGCCTCGCTCGTCGGTATCCAATCCAGCGCGAGTCAGTCGTACGTCAGTCCAGTTGGGATCTTTCCAACCATTGAACATCATGAACTTGTCTTTGAGTGGATGAAAACACAGGCGAATGTAGCGATAATCCAACGTTCTGAGGTCGTCGACGATAGGATCAACGTCATCATCCAGCGCATCAGAATAAAACTTTTCAGGCAGGCCAAAGATACTTGACAACGGTCGGCCGTACATTTGGGACCGAACATCCATGGTGATGAGTTCTCCCCATTGGTTCTCTATAACGACCCATTCACATTCTCCTAGGGCAGACGCTTGTCCAAGAAGACCAACGTACCACCTGGGCAACCATCGGAATAGTAGGTAAGCGAGACCGCAGGTAAGGATACACAACGAGATGTATATCGCAGAGCCAATTTTGCTTGTCGTGAATCCCGCGATAACGATGGTGAGATCTTCGTTGGCAAGGTAAACCTTTTGACTAGTGCGCCCGTGGCGACGAAAACTTCCGGCAGTAGCGGTGCTGTCACGTCGCAACAGGTGTGCGTTGACTGAGTGGCGAGAGTATACCGATGAGTGTCTACGGCGACCATAGTTGTCTTCAGAAATGCGGTAGTCAGGCTCTGGGGATTCGTCGTCGTATTCTTCGGTACCATCCACTCCAAACTCCAAATCTCCAATGTCTGAGACGCTTCGTCGAACATGATCGCCGGCGATGCTTTGTACGGCTACACTCTCGGCATCGTCGTCGTCGTCGTCATCCGGGAAACCTTGGTTCTCGTCATCGTAGTAGGCGAAGCTGGTGGTCGAATCGGCGCGAGGTCTTCGATGGGAAAATGCCGAAACACTGGTGGGAAGACTTTCGGCGATAGGTCCAGAGAAGAGCTAAAGGGAGGCTGTAATTAGTATTGATCGTATGGAGCAGGACACGCGACGACTCCGTCATTAGTTGTCCATTACCTCTTCATGCGCCATCTCGACATCTTCGAAAATGCTCGATCTGCTCTGATTAGAGCTCATGCGATAGAGCGAGGCGCGCCCATTGCCATTGCCATTGTCATTGGGGGCGCGATGACCACGATGGCCGTGATCCTGACCCGGCTCCGGGGTAAGAGGAGCGTCTTCGTCCATCAATTAATTCAAGGATGGTCGATTCGCATGGTACGCAAACTAAACTTTTTAGAAGTTGAGATAAAAGTTTTGCGTCTAAGTTGGATGCACCCGGTACTCCATTCTCCGTATCTGCATCCCGATTACGTCGTTGGCTGAGCGCTCGTGCCCTGACCAAGGCTGAGACGGAATCTCAAACCGATATACCGAGCTAGTCCCGCCAACAGCCATTGGCCAGGTGTTTCATGCAAGGCTGTGAGGGGTGACACCGAACTTGACCCAACGACAGAAGAAAAACAAAATCAGGTGACATTGTCTAAGTTGTACTGGAATTTACAGCAGTCAACTAAAAGGGTCGAGTTGGGTAGAAATGGGGATGCTTTGTACTGCCAGACTATCAGGTTGTTCCTGATCATTATTTCTTTTTTATAGATGCAAGGATCATTGGTGTTAATGAATTTGGTGGCATCTGGGGTTACCAGTCTATCATATCACAGTTTATTAGACCCAACTAGAACCCATCTAGAAGCTCTGAAAGGTCTGAAAATAGGATTTAAAACCTCGTGGAATAGGTGTTCCAACTTGGAGAGGACCTGAAACGGTTGAGTATAATAAGATACTCACTCCCGGGGAATGAATCCATGATCATGCTAACGATGCCTACGCTTGCTTGCCTGGCCCACGGAGTTTGTTATTGAAAGTCAACAGACAAAGCATGATGGACGAATGAAATGCTGCATGAGTAGTCAACCCGCTTTGTCACTCACTTACAAGGGCGCGATTCGTGAGTCGTACCCATCCCTCGAAATGTTGGTATCGGTCACTTCATCATGCTGCAGCCAATGGCGCAGGGTCTATCCACAGTGCGTGTGAGCCGCATCCGATCATGTCGAGATACCATGAGTTGAGTTGTTGGATATGCCTGCGCTTCAACCCTTCTATCCGAGCCAGGAAGAGGTGAGGTGAGTTCGTTGCCGAAGGCAAAGAGGACTTTGCTTTTTCCAATCTGATAGCCTGTTCAAGTACGTAATGAACATGCAGGTTATTACAACAAGGTAGGTAGCTGGTAGATAAATATTCTGGGGTCAACCTCGCTTGATTCATGCTCTTGACTTTTAAATGTAACATGTAACACGGTCCGCCATCGTTAGCCAGCTCACGTATCAATCCCGAGTTCCCCTTTCGGGCGAGGCCGGGTGTCTAGTCAACAAAAAAACAAGAAGATGCACTGCAAGTCATGGACAACTGACAGCGTACAGGGGCGCCACCATTCCAGCACCCTGGGTGAGTGAGAGCGACTGAGAGTGACCGGGAGAAAAGGGCAGGTATTAACTGAAGGGGTTGCAAATGGCAAGAAATACAAGATAAGGGATCTGCCAAATGTTGATGTTCTGGAATCCGTCTAGAGTGTGGCGAGTACTCTCCCTTACATATCGCTAATGGGTAAGTCGGGGAGAATCACGCATGGCAACGACGCCACATGTGCAGACGGCACAAGTAAGTCGGTCTACGGTGCATTTTGTGTGGCCCCGTGTGAGGTATTCTGGATATGCACTGTACTTGTCTATGGCTGTAGGTAGCCTGTAGCCTCCGACCTCTGGCCTGTAGCGAGTCGAGGTAACTTCCAGGTTCCTCCACTCCCAAGGGTCCCTAGACTCCCGTCCCTTTCTGTTGTCTCATGGGCAGGGCAGTCTCACTTCTCCGCTCTCTCACAGCGCCTCCACACTCCAACGTACATGAGTTAGTGGAGGATCCCTTCTCTCTCACACAGTCTAGGTCTAGTTTTTTTCCTTCTCCCTCTTAGGCGATAGACCAGTTGAGCTTGGTGCTTTGCTGCTAGGTGCTTCGTCCTTGGTGGGCGGCCCCAACAAGTTCAAAAAGTCAGAGCGAGTGAGTGTCCGTAGTCCCGTAGTCCGTAGTCCGTAGTCCATACACTGCCCGCTGCTGGCTAACAAGCCCAAGCCCAATCCAAAGCCCACGCCTGAGAGCCCAGTGCCCCGAATATTTTTTCAACTTAATCGCCCCCCACCAGAATTTAGCAAACGTCAACAGCCGCTGTCTCTCTCAACTTCCTTTCATCCCTCTCCTCTCAACCTCACCTCCTTCCCCTAGACGTTTATCACAAGCGCCTTTTCGCATTCTTTTTCATATCAGACATCATGGCCGAGCCCATCCGTGGAAAGCGCGCCCAGGACGCCGTTGCTCCGTAAGTCTACTCATTTATTCGCAATCCGATATCATTTTGATCTTTGCTTTGCCCGCCGCCTCACGATCCACGATGCTAACTACCCCACCTTCGATCAGTACGCCTCAGAACACACCAGCAACCGCTGCTCCTATCTCTTCTCACGCTCAGCAGCCCGGTGTTGCTAGCATCAAGGAGGGTGAGTACTCCGGTTTGTTTTTTATGAAACCTCGTGAATCAATTTCGCGGTGACGAGAATCATGCTCTAACCCCGCTATAGAGGACCTGGACCGCGCCGCTGCGGCTTCTGTTTTCGCCCAAAACCCTCAGCTTATCCAGATGATTCAGGGTCGCCTCGGCTCCCTCGTGGGTCAATCTTCGGGCTACATCGAGTCCCTGCCCGCCCCTGTCCGCCGACGTGTCGCTGGTCTCAAGGGTATCCAGAAGGACCACTCCAAGCTAGAGGCCGAGTTCCAGGAGGAGGTTCTCCAGCTTGAGAAGAAGTACTTCGCCAAGTTCTCTCCTCTCTACGAGAAGCGTTCCGCCATTGTCAACGGAAAGGCCGAGCCTACTGAGGATGAGATCAAGGCTGGCGAGGAGGACGACGAGCCCGAGACTGAGGATGCTGTCAAGTCTGAGGAGAAGTCGGATGTCCCCGACAATGTTTCCGGTATCCCCGAGTTCTGGCTCTCCGCCATGAAGAACCAGATCTCTCTCGCCGAGATGATCACTGACCGCGATGAGGCTGCCCTCAAGCACCTCATCGACATCCGCATGGAGTACCTTGACAAGCCCGGTTTCCGTCTCATCTTCGAGTTCGCCCCCAACGACTACTTCAAGAACACCACCATCACCAAGACATACTACTACCAGAACGAGAGTGGCTACGGCGGTGACTTTATCTACGACCACGCCGAGGGTGACAAGGTCGAGTGGCTACCTGGCAAGGACCTGACTGTCCGCGTCGAGAGCAAGAAGCAGCGAAATAAGAGTAAGTGATGATATGCGGATGCCCATCACCGTAAAAGTTAGCAACTAACGCAAAAGCTAGACACAAAGCAGACCCGAATCGTCAAGAAGACTGTTCCTACTGAGTCATTCTTCAACTTCTTCTCACCGCCCAAGGCTCCCACCGATGACGATGACGAGGATGCCGAGTCCGACATCGAGGAGCGCCTTGAGCTCGACTATCAGCTCGGTGAGGACATCAAGGAGAAGCTTATTCCCCGTGCTATCGACTGGTTCACCGGTGAAGCTCTCGCCTTTGAGGAGCTCTCGGATGATGACCTCGAGGGTGCCGACTTTGACGATGACGACGACGAGGATGAGGATGACCTGAGCGAGGAGAATGATGACGAGGAGGAGTCTGACGACGACGTATGCATTTCCCTTATCTGAAGTTTTTTTTATTGGGATAACACTAACTCTCATGCAGGATGAGTCTGGCAAGCCCAAGCAGGAGGCTGCTGAGTGCAAACAGAGCTGAGCGAAGCGATAGAGCGCGACGTGACTCATATTTACACTCATGACATGATTGGCTTTATCGGGTTTGAGGATTTCAACTGAACAGCCGGCCTGCCCCGAAAAAAAGGATGGGCGGCGAACGACGGGAAGAAAAAGGCTACAAGATTGGGAAGCGGTTAGACATGTCGGCGACCAGCCGGTGCCGTTTTTTCAGAACAAAAGGTAGCATCGTCATTTGATAGGCATCGTTTGCAGAAAACCCCTACCGTTTTGCAGCAAACTCTGGGACTGGAAACCGTATTGATAGACACAGCCAGAGGGCAGAAGTCGGCCCCGCGGTATTATGTTGCCCTCCTTTTTTTTGCAGCCTTTTTCTCTTGCTTCGTTTTTGGGGTTCTTTGTCTTTGCTATTTTCTTTTACGATGACATTGATTTTGTTCCTAGCACGGATGTAAGGTAGTGACTGACGGAAAGTTCTTACAAGGGTGCAAAGGTTTTCTAGGTGCATAATATATAGAGAATGAGATTCTTCCATAATGCAATGCATGTTCTTACAGTCGATAATTGTGCTTTGACTATGACTTTGATCTGAGGTTTTGTACTTTTCCCTTTTGTTTTCTATGTTGGGTTTAACATATCTATGGATGACTTGTATGCTTTAAACTACGATATCACCTAAAAGCATCAGGTCGATGACACCAAGATGGAAGTCATCTGAGCCTTGATGCCAATGATTTGATTATAATAAAACTTATTTATATTCATCGCCATTCATCTACTAATTGAACTGTCAGAGACTGAGTTGAGAACAGTTAAGGACTAGACTTTGGCGCTATCAATGTAGTGTTAAATACCAAGAGTCAATGCTCAACTCTGCTAGTCGCCAGAAACTCCAACAGTATCCATGGGCTTCAGGTATAATTCTAACATGCTCTACATAAGTTAACACCCATAGTGTAATTCTCTTTGCTCATGTAGATAGACACCTGATACGACATAGAGCGAGCACTTACACGAAGCTCGCTGTTATCTCCACGTGACTTATCGCTTAGCGCCCACACATACAGCTTGGAGAAAACCTATCTGGCGGGGTTCTGAGGCCCCACCAGAGAGGGCTATTCGTCTGGGACGAGAAACTTCACATTATTCCGCTCGTCGACCTTACAAACGTTTCGATCGTCCCCGCCGCCCCCCCCGGAGTTCGCTGCTTTTCCCTGTTCCTATTCTTCTCGTGCGCATCGCCGAAGCCGGAACGAATAACTCGACGACTACCGCGACCGAAAATCTCATATCGAAACCTCCCCCCGCGAGGGAGCCAAAACGCAACATGGCCGAAACTAAGCCCACTCTGGTCTTTGTCGATGGGACCTTCCAGGAGCTCGCTGCTGAGATGGCCGACTACCTCAAGGCCGAGGATGCCAAGCAGCTGTTGAGCCAGGAGAACACCGTTTCTGAGGAGGAGGTTATCTCTAAGCTGGTCTCTGCCTCCGGGGCCCTTAACACTGTCCCCGAGAAGGAGTATACCGCCGCTTCCAACCTCATGACCCATTTGGTTCTGCAATCCTCCGAGCCCAAGAAGTACCTGCCCACCCTCTGCACCACCTTCGCCAAGCCCCTCAACAACTCTCCCGTCCACGGTGCCGGCCTGTCACTCAACGCCTTGACCACCGTCTTCAACCTACTCGACCCCACCGATCCCGTCCGCGCCCGTGTCTTTATGGAGATTTTGAAGTTCTTGAGGGCTCATGCTATGTTTGAGAGCCTGCGCACATATCTCGAGAAGCTACCCGAGTGGCTTGCTGCCTGGGGCACCGACGCCGATTTCCAGCGAAAGATTTACGAGGAGGTTGCTGAGGTTGCCCTTGAGGCTGGTGAGGAGCAGTAAGTTGCGTCTTTGATGCATGGTGTATGGATGCTTCAGTTGCGCTGTTGGAATTTGGTTCGGATAAGTCCCAGCCATGATATATCACAGACAACTATCATCAGGCCTGCATTGCCCAATTGTTGGATACCATACTAAACATTCGACAGGCAAGCCTACGAGTATGTTGTTAAGGCTCTTCGAACATTCGAGGGCGATGCTATCTCCACCGAGGAGGCCCAACGATTATCCCTCCGCGCCGTCAAGAAGGCTCTCACCTCCAACAACCACTTCATGTTCCAGGACCTTCGCGGTATCCCTAGCGTGCAGGCTCTTAGCGACTCACACCCCGTCTACTCGCAACTCCTCGATATCTTTGCGGAGCAGGACCTCGAGGACTACAACGACTTTAACGACGAGCACCAAGGCTGGGTCGAGAAGGAGAACCTGGACCACGAGAAGCTCCACCGAAAGATGCGCCTCTTGACCTTCTGCAGCTTGGCTGCCTCCACCCCCAGCCGCGAGATCGAGTACTCCAAGATCACGAAGGCTCTGCAGATTCCCGATAACGAGATTGAGATGTGGGCTATCGACGTGATCCGTGCTGGCCTCGTCGAGGGCAAGCTCTCCCAGCAACGTCAAAAGTTCCTTGTCCACAAGGTCACATACCGTGTCTTTGGCCAGAAGCAGTACCAGGAGTTGGCCAACCGAGTTGATCACTGGAGAACGACTCTGCAGAACGTCCTAGGTGTCCTGCGCCAGGAGCAGGTCAACGCCAAGGCCCAGAAGGAGCGCGAGATCCAAGAGTTGGAGCGCAAGGTCGCTAACGTCGGTATGGGCGGCAACCAGGATCGCCGCCGACAGAACCAGAACCGGGAACCTCGTGAGCCTCGGGAGCCCCGTGAACCTCGGGAGCCTAAGGAGCGAACGGAAGATGACGATTAAACGCCAAAGGAAATGCCAGGGTACGAAGAAAAATGAGACTAGAGCAGTCGTGGGGAAGCAAAAACGAGGGGGCTTTTTATGGGAATGGGGGACATTGTTATACCTGCTTTGTGTTAATACATCGTTGGGCCACATCAGAGAATCCAGCGAACGAAGGGTTGCGAATGGCGTAGCCGGTTTCATGAGCATATTGGTCTTCTACCTTCCCAGGATCGAGGCGAAGATAGTGTCACGACACTCTTCTTCAAAATTTAGAATCAAAATGAATGTCTGTTAAACACAGAGAGGGCCTTGTGACGTTGTATAAGATGAATGGTGCAAGTTTTGATATTGTACATAATTTATTTTGGCTGCCCTGATGGATGTCTCGAGTGAATTTGAAGATCCATTAGTTAAAAGGATGATGTGAACTTTTTGTTTGGATCCGGGTTATGTATCTTTCCTATAAACGAGTCAGTATGGCTGAGTAGTTATCGGAGAGCAATGTTTCAATGGTAGCAAGACACAGGTGGCTTATGTTTAGTGTGATCCCTCTATATGATTGGAATAGTAAGAAATCACCGAGCCACAACTCCTTCACACGAGACATAAGGAAGCACACTGAGATGTCAAACTCACCATGGCGGTGCTTGGCCAAGGCCATGTAACCCCCGGTTCCCACGATAATGACAGCCAAGAAAGGCCAGAACTTGACCTCGTCATTACGACGGGGTTTGGGTGGCTGAGAAGAGTAGGGACGACTGGATAGGGCGGCCAAAGAAGAAGATGTGCGAGGTGTGAGTCGACAGGCCAAAGCGAAGAAACGCCCGGGGGCGACGGGGATGCGTGAAGCCATTGGTATCGGTAATTTGAGATAATATGGTAGTATTTCTTGTTTGAAAGAGTTTCTACCACTGAATTGAAGTTTGTTCGGAGACAAAATGGCAATGAGTTGATATTAAGACCGACGAGCGTCATTCACAAAATCAGGTCAGGATTTGGAATGCGATGGTTCGAGGGTGTTGGAGTACCATCACGTGACTCCCATAGTAGATCTAAGTAAAAGTTGATTTGAGCGTCACCATATCACGAATTGGGTATATCTTCTTATCTTATAGGCTTACAAAATAGCAGGAGTGCGTGAGTTGTCCAGAGAGGTATGCTCGTCAGCACCAAGCCCATGTGCGTAAGTTTGTCGGAAATGGGACATTGGCATTAGACATGGCCTGGACAGTGGCATGTATTCACAATAATATAAAGTTCTCCATGGGGAAGTAATTCCAGGTTCCTATATTAACATAGACAGCTGTTGGGATGACTCTAGCGTTCTGTTTTATGCCTTTTACTTGGTAAGATGTGCTACCTTGGTCGTATTACAAATACCCAGGTCGGTGATGGTAACTGCTACATGCCAAGACTTGACCTGTGAAAGGAAATATGAGTAGAAGCAAATACGACTGAATAAAGACTATACTGATGTATATAACTACCGTAACTAACAAACAATTATTTTATTGTTGGCTACTTTGAAACATAAAACAGTGTGGTTGGTCATTTAACATTCAGCAGCTACCCAACCACAACCACAACCACAACCAGCCTCTCATATTTAGCCTCAGCTTCTCCTACATTTCATGGTTTAAGCGCTTGCACCCCGCATGAGCTCATCAGGTACCGTTTCTCAACGGCACCTCCCGCTCTAACGTCTACGCATTCTTCTTGACATCATTCCTCGATTGTAAGACGATACTCGTATTTATTATATCGGTAGATACCTACCTTGGACTGTGTATAAGCCTGGTTGCTGCGCCAACCGCCTATCATCATGGTATCAACACCACGATTCAAGAGTCGACAAGCTCCTCAGACGCCAAAATCGCAGAAGAAGCGTCTCCCAAAGGGTCGTTACAGCGACGGCCATTGGTGGTGTAAGTTAAATATTGTCTCTGTAATACTTTGTAGTCCGATATCTAATGTCGCTGTAGGCAATTGCGAGCCTCGTCAAAAGGCTACGCTTCGTGAAGTCAAAAAGACAGGTCCGAATGTCGGCAAGCTCTTTTGGAAATGTGACGACTGTAACTTCTTCCTCTGGAGAGAAGAGGCCAAGATTCGCGAGTCTGGCTTCAAGGTTTCCCGGGGAGTTGATGATTCTCCCAGACCTGAGCCTCCGCCAATGACACAGCAATCACTTGTATCATATGGTTACCAAGTTACTCCTGGTCGGCACCAGAGCGACGATAATTCTGCCGATAGCACGCAATCTGGTGAAGAATCTGAGCCCGACACTCCTATGCCGAAATCTGTCAGGGACAGGACCCAAGCTTCAGGCCCTTCGAAACTACCTTCTCCACCATCGGCGGCCGTGGTAACTCCTAGTCGTGGATCTTCCAAGAGACGACGGGATGTTTTTGAAGAGGATGAAGATGAGTTTAGCGACATTGGTTCGGATGAAGAGCGTCAGATGGCCATTATTGCGGAAAAGAGTGCCGAAAAGGCTGCGGCCCAGAGACGTTACAACACACCTAGCACTTCGCGCTCTGCCGATGTCATTTCTGGACTGCCGACACCCTCTGTATCCCGAACATTGTTTCCTGCTAGCGAGTCTAAGAGACAGAAGCAGGTCTCGTTCAACGACACCCCTACACGGTACACGGATACTATGTCTTCCGCAACACTTTCGGCCAATACCACGCCGTCCAAGACTCCATCCGGACCACAGGGGATCCCCTCTAGTAGCCCTCCTGAGACCAGTTTTGATGTTACAGACGAGGTTACGGATCTTTTGCGAGGCCAGAAAATTGATCCCAAAGTTCTGGCTTCTGTTCAGAGCACTCTAGCCACTGCAGCACGCCGGACTAAAGGCATTGTCTTGGGACGTGATTCGGCGCGGGCAACACTCAAGGCGAAGGATGAGAAGATCACCACTTTACAAGAGCGCATTACAGCGTTGGAGAATCGAGAGAGAATGCATAGAAGCCAGATGACGAACATCAAGGCTGGTCTGATGAAGATGTATGATGACAACTGATTGTATTCGAGTTTGTTGGGATTGAGGCTTGACAATGGCGATGGTATGAAGATAGTATGGGCACTGGACTTGATAATGGAATATAGATATACCCTTTGAACGATTAAGGTAGTGGGAGTTAGAGTAGTCTTGTTAGCATGTGTCGGATGACATTCGGTAAAGTTGGTTTCTTAGTTTAGTCGCATCAGGTACACTGGCTAGTAATAAACTGACAAGGTATCATTTAGTCATCCAGAACAATCATGTGTTTCTATTAACATTCTAGACGTGAGGTCTTTGTCTTTTTAAAGGCTTAGCAACATGGACATTAGTTATTTTTATTTCCAAACTCTCAGGGGTTCAACTCTAGGACGAATCACTCCTAAAAACACGCGCACTTTCGATTTGTGCCGCTTGGGCACTAGAAGTCCGCACCCAAACGCTCAGCGAGGGCCTTTTCAGTGTTGGCGTAAACCTCATCAGGCTCAGGTGTAGCATCGAGCTTCAGGACCTTGCCAACCTCCTCGAAGCGGTCGACAACAGGCATGCTCGTCTCGATGAAGGTGCGGAAGCGCTTGCGAATGCTCTCGGCGTTGTCATCCTCTCGGCCGCTGGTCTTGCCGCGCTCGAGCAGACGGGACTCCATAACCGCTTCGGGGCAGTCGAAAAAGAGGACGAGCTTGGCGGGGCAGACGGTCTCCTCGAACTTGACAGCCTGGTCCATCTTGCGGGGGAAACCATCAATGAGGAAGCGGCCCTTTTGTGAGCCTGTCTCCTTGAGGACAGCAGCCATGGCGTTCTCGAGGAGAGCGATAGTCACCTCCATGGGGACGATGAGGCCGTTTCGGATGTAGTCCTTGATGAGATCGCCGTACTGGGAACCAGGTCTCTCTTGCTCGGCGCGCAGAAGATCGCCGGCCGAAAGGTGGGTGAAGCCGTGCTCGGAGACGAGCTTGGAGCACTGGGTACCCTTGCCGGCGCCAGGGCCTCCAAGGACAAAGATGACGGTCACATCGTTGGGGCTGAAGGTAGGAGTTGACTTTTGGGGCGCGGGGATTTGTCCAGCGGACTCGGGCGCATTTTGTTGGATAGCAGGCATGATTAGAACTGAAGAGGGGAGAGACAAGGTTAGCATGAGGCTTTCATCATGGAAGAGGGGGGGACGGACCTTTTTTGATTGGATATTGTCAGTGCGGGATCATCTAAGACTGTAGAGAATAGAATTATACAAGGAAGAGTAACTTGATCGTTATGCTCTGTAGGAGATCTTGTTGGTACTGCCAAGACAGGGTGGCCTGGACCCTTGATTGAGCGGTGTCGAGCATGCCACAGGCCTGAGGCATCCATGATGCCCACCCACTTTACCAACTCTACTCCGTAGGGGAGATCGGCTTCTTATCAGATTAGCATGGATCATCAACTAAGTACGGAGTAGCATCACATTTATTAACCATAATCTTGACAAAAGTCAATACCGTCTCGACTAATAATCACCACCTTTTTTTTTTGTGTTCTGCTGATGAAAAGAGCAGATATAAAAGCAACATCCATAAAAGCGACAGTCATGATCAACTATCACGACGACATCCTATCATCAAGTACCTTCGTGGTACATGATAATCCTCAAATACACAATCAGGGCCCATTCCACACAATCCTGATCATCTACTGAACCTGGCCTTGACCTTCAGATCACCCGAACTCATGAATTTGGCCACGTTACAAACAACTCGGCGATACCCCCCTGAATATGATACAGTATCATTAAATCCCAGATTGTCTTGTCCTCAAATGTTAACAATTGTCACCTGGGGCTTGCACATGACCACAGCCTTGTCCAAGTGTTTGCCATCAGCGTTGCCGATTTTGGACAATCTGGGTGATATTTCTATGTCCAGTGTCGGCTGTCCCTTGGGTTTTCCTCCGGTGTAGCAGATGTCAAGATCTTCTAGGTCAAACTCTTCCTCGACCCAGTTCGTCAGGAAAAACGCTTTGGATTTCAAGAACTTTTCGTTTAGTTCGACGGCTCTGCGGACAATGTTCCAGAGAAGTTTCCCAGATTCTTGGGTCCGACTTTTGTCCATGAAGATGAGAAGGTGATTCCTCATTACTCTGGCAATGTCTTGTGCTTTGCTCCGATTGTTTTGGTCGTTGTACCCGCTTAAGAACTCGGCGGTGTGGGCCTTGGTTCGGCTAAGCTCCTCCATGCCTTCGAAATCAATCTCTGTTAAGATGTTAGTACATGGTCATGGCAGGCATTGGGCAGTCGGATCTTACTGGAAATGTCCAAACAGAAGAGATTGAAAGCTTGACCTGTCGGGCCCCCCCAGGTGTTCACTCCAGCTTGGAAAACGTCGGTAACAAGGCGCCTCCAGATATACTCCTGAAACTTGAAAGGGGCAAGTTCGGGGTTTTTTTTCTGACTTTTCTTGAGAGCCTCAATCTCTTGGTGATTGGTCCCCTGAGGAGCAGAGACACGAAAGGGTTCGACTGTGAGGATCTGCAAAACGAACTGCCTGATATCGACTGCAATTCCTCTCCATTCCGTATCGACTTCGTCGTCCATCAACTTGAACGAACCATTGGGTCTGGACTTCCTCGCCTGAATCTCGTTGTGGTATGCCATTTTTAGCTCCTCATGAAGAAGTTCTAGATCATCGTAGTTTTCCTGGAGACGCTTGTTCTGTCTGAGTAGGGCATGCTCGTTGGCAAGGCTTTGGGACAGTACATCCTCAGGTTGCCTCGACTTCAGCTGTTGTTCGAGCAGCCCAATTGTATTCTTGGCCTGCTTGAGTTCTTCTCCTTCCTGTGCAGATTGAAGAGTGGAGAGGAACTGAGCCTGAATGGCACTGAGACCTTCACAAAAGACCTGAAAGCGGGAAGCGCCAGCTGGACTGAGCTGGGTCAGAACCTCAGCATGCGAGGGCGACGGGATGAGTGCCTGGACCAAGGCAGCATTGACGTCGTTGTTGGCAACTGTAGGGGCTTTGGCACCGGCGGACTTATTAAGCTTAAGAACCACCTTCCGCGATTTCTTGGAAGGTGAGCCACCGTCGCTCTCACTGGAGGTTCGTTTGTTTAGGGATGTGGGTTTGTTAAGTGCTTCTAAAGATCCATCTGCGTTCTTGGTTGTAGTAATGGATGAGTTCGAGTCGGAGCTGGAGTCTTCATGCTTGGTCTTGACTTTGATACGTTTGACTTTGGCTTGAGCCGAAGCTGCTGCTGCAGGCCGGTGGCGTTCGCCATCTTCCTCAGAATCGGAGATTGCCATATTCGTCGGGGCCGCGGCTCGAGAGAGGCGCTCGCGTCTCTCTGGAGTGGTGGGATACGTCATGATGTTTGTCTTCTCGTGTGAAGGTAAGAAGTGGTGGAGAAGAATAAAGTGTTACTCTTGTTCAGAGAGAAGATGCAGAGGTGACGAGAAAGTGAAGAGTGTAAAGGGGAGGAGCCAGTGCTTATGCTGCCTGGAGATGTTAGTGACAGGTGCATGCAAACAAACAATGCCTCGGTGGCTGTCAGTGCCAGAGCGCTGCGATGAATATGAACAATGGAGCATCAATAGCTACAATATCTTAGCAGGCAAACGATCGAAAGAGGGGTCGCCGATGAGCAACATGCTGGAAGTGACTCCGTTTGCAGTCGATAGCGATGTACGATGTACTTGGCTAGTATCTTCTGCACGTCGGATACTGAAGATGAGCGAGAGTTGAACTGTAAACTTAAGCTCGATATGTGAACCACCTGCTCAGGCAGTGCCAGCCGCAAACTGTCATATCCACACAATACCTCGTCTATATAGCAAGTATTTCGGTTTGAGGGGACTTTGTTCCATGCAAGACCAAGAATATAATGTATAGAGGTTAGTTGATGAGAATGAAGATTTTCAGCAGCAACATCCTCATTCACATGAGTTTAGTCCAGGCTCAGGGTCGAAAACAACTCTCGCCCACTGGTCTTACAACATATTCTGGGATGTTCAGCGCAGGAGACATTCGCTGCGATTAGATCTCTTCAAATGTGTTTCTGCCAGATTTCGAATAGTAATGTCGAGATCCAGCTCATGTTCCAGTGTGCGTACTAGGTATGTTTGTCGTGAAGTTCAAAGTCGTCACGTGCGACTGGAGTTGGCGAATACCTTCACTTGGGCGTGTCCAGATACAACCATACAAAGAGGGGAAGCTGCTATTTTCCAGCTTCAACGTTATTGCCGTTGAGAGCAAATAGAAATTGCGATCGAATATCCGTGTATTCAACACTCATTCTTGAGCGCATTGGCTCGTGTTTTTTACAATAGCTATTATCAGTATAGGTACGTATCGCCGTTACAGATGTATTAATAGACACGAACTGAAGAGGAACTTGTGTTTCGTGTCTCGATGCTTGAGCCTTGAAATACGCTGGGCAACCAATCCGGACTAAGCATATGTCCTGGAAAGGAACTTGACCCCAGCTTGCCGGGTCTACGGCACCAAAATCCATGTGGTTTTACCAAACTCTCATTGGAGTACTCGTAGAACTGCCGGGTAAGAATTAGGGGCTTGGCTCCCATTCCTTAGCATGGCAGAGCCTCTAGCCAAGCTTCTGCCCACCGATTCTTCAGTGGAGATGGCCTGTGCCCATCTTAGCGTCAGTCGTGATTGGTCAAAGGACAAACTTCATCTCTTGTTTCCGTATCCGTAGAGCAACCACTACCAAAATTGCCCGCGACATAAGCTGGGGCTGTCTTCGTCAATTCGACCTCTCTCCTTTATCCTTGTACTACTCAGTACTCGCTCACCTTCACACTTGTCTGTCGTCTCGATAACTTGGACTTCTTGATTCTTACATCATAGTCCATTCTCCTCCTCCTTCTTCTTTATTCTTTCGCCATTCGTATTTCCCTGCCATTAGTCGATAGGTCACTTTTGCGTCTGCTTATCCGGATGAAAGCGTCGTCGTCAACATAAGCCCTTTTTCGCGACGATTTCTCACCGGCAACTCCTCGATCCATTGCGCCCGACTTGATCCCATAGTCCTGATAGCAACAACAGCAACAAAATGGAGGGAGGACTCATAGGATGGGTCATGGAGCTGACGGCCTGGGTGGCCCCTTTCTTCATCGTCATGTCGCCAATCCTCTCCTATGCCGATCAGATTATCTCCATGTACCGAAACAAGACCAGCGCAGGCTTCTCTCTCGATATTCCTCTTATTATGCTTGTCGCATCTTTCCTAAGGTTCGATTACTCTTTGCTCCATGCGCCCGGCGTGGACCGTGGCTGACCCGCGCTTCCCGACACACAGAATCTTTTACTGGCCTCAAGCCCAATACGATACGAGTCTTCTCCTACAGTCTCTACTGATGGTTGTCGTCCAAGTGGCACTCCTTAAAGTTGCGCTCGACTTCCGGCCCCCTCCACCTTCCAAGGGCGGTGACGCCGGCCTGCCCTTTGCCGGTACCGACGATAGCTTGATGGGCTTCCAGCGCCCCTACAACTTTTGGCAATGGCGATCTCCTCGACGGTAGGTGTGCAAGACTGGTTGCACGTGTGCAACTTTGGGCTAACTGGTTACAGATACTGGCATGCTATTATGTATTTTGCTGCTGCTCTCGTTGTTCTGGAGCTCCTCCTTTCTCAGATGCCTGGACTTTACGCTGTGTATGCAAACACTATCGGATGTATTGGACTGGGTGTGGAAGCGACACTCCCTATCCCTCAGATCTTGATCAACCTGCGAGCCAAGTCATCCAAGGGTCTACGCTTGTCGGTCTTGGCTGCTTGGATTGGTGGAGACACCATGAAGCTGTTCTGGTTCTTCACGTCCAAGTCAGAGATCCCCTGGTCTTTCAAGATCTCGGGTATGTTCCAGGCATCGTGCGATTTCTTCCTTGGCTTCCAGTACCTGTTGTACAATAACCAGGAGGACCAGGCACAAATCAAGGAGCATCCCATGGTGGAGTGGGAGGCTCCTAAGGCAACAACACGAAGCCACAGCCGAAGCCTTACCCCTACGCGACGACCTGCTCCCTTTGTTGGTTCTGAGGAGCTTAAATAAGTTTTCCCAACCATCAGTTACACGAACGATATAATGACGGCGATGTCGGATCTTGATGCGTCGATATGATTCAAGAACTTGTGCGGAATAAGTGCCAGGGAATCCTGAAAGGAAAATGAGAGATATCCCGAAAGAGATGGAACAAGGAGCAGCACAGACGGAGTTAGCAAAGCAAAGAAAGATGAGTGGTCAGCTTCGACAGACCCAAAGAGCCGAGTCGAGTGATTGGGCTCGATAAGTCGAGGCGAAATTCTACATGTCTTTGTCCTCGACATGAATTCCCCCACAATTACGCAATCCCTGAGCGATTGCCGGGTCTTGGCTTTGGAAAACACAGGCCTTGGCGTATTTCTGAAACAGGCACACGACAAGGTCACACCACTCATCGCCAGCTACAGCAGCATTCAACCACCGTTAGGATCTGTTAGCGGGGTACATATCTGGAGGAGATTTCAAACAAATTGATCCGCATGTCGGACAACGTAATATAGGGAACGTAATAGAATATAGACTAATAGAATATAACGCCATATTACCTTGCTTGTGTGTGTATATTTCCGCGTATCAGTCTGCTGCTGACGATGCGATGCGCTGCGACTGTATATAGTAACCTGAAGTCTCGAGCTATCTGAGCTTCACGGCTTTCTGCCCCTGACTTCTGCCCCTGACTTCTGCTACCAGCTCCGTATAGACGCGCCGAAAGACATCGATACCTATCCGTACTCTCATCACCTGCCATCTCAGGCAATTTCAAACCAATTTCTTGGACATAATCGTTTATTGCCGCGATTTGTCGAGTCTAGCATGTGGCACTGACACTAATTGGCCCGCTACAGACAGTTCTTATGCAGACGAGAACTCGCAAGTCAACAAACCCCCAAACCGACGTACTCCTCCACAGCCACATCCCATTTAAGTTGCAAACAAGAACCCATAGAAGACGGTCGACTTTGACCATCTTGCTTTCTTTCTTTGTCTATTGTACCTACACGGCAGATTGTGGTTGGTTGAATTACCTAAGGTATCCTTGCATTTGCGCACTGGTCGCCCAGCAACTAACCTCAAATCGCAGCCAACTATCATCTACACCTCAAATCTCCAACTATTCAATAAGGATATAATATTGTGTGAACGCGCAAGACAAATTCGCAACTGATTTAGGTGAGCACCATTTTCCCTATTCTTATCGCCTTGTGGTTCGGGTCGTTTCGACCGTGAATCATCGCCAAGGGCCACTATATACATTTTCCTCCGCTTTCTTTCGTCTTCACTTCAACCTCATCCCATTCACACCTCGCATCATCACCACTCATCGATGCAATTCACTCTCTCCCTTTAACTCACATGCAATCATCTATTTCATATTAATCGGTCATCCTTTCTTACACTCTTTCATCTTTACTCTTCTTTCTTTTCTTCTCGTTCTACTATCTTCGAGTTTCGCCCTCGTCTTGTCCCCTCCCCGATATCGTCTCAGATATCGTTTCTTTCATCGTCGTTCTCCATTATCACCAAACGCGAAGTCGCCTTCATATCTACTCACGCCTCTCTAGTAGGATACCCACAATTTGACCTTTCGTTTGAGGTCAGTGTTTACTTGGTACCCCCTTATCGCGTTTGTCGCCTCATGCCCTTGATCTTGGCATCATTATCACGATCATAAACCCACCACACTCACCAAATCTTTCCCTTCGTTTAACTCAAAACCATCCTCCTCCTTTTGTTCTTTACGCTCAAACTAACTCAACAACTAGTCAACGTCCCCACGTAAAACATGGCTCCCGCGAATGCCAAGGCCAACTACAAGACCTACGAGGCTCAGGCTCGTATGGTTCGCGCCATTGTAGCCGCCCATCCCGAGGTTAAATGGAACTACAAGGGTAAGAATCTTTCCGTCTCCTTATTTGCCCTGTGATTCTGCTGCCCTTTCTCTGCTTGTGCGTCTCTGGATGAGAATGGGAGATTGACCCTTTCTCTCTACCCCCAGAAATCGCTGCCTGTTATGGCTCCGACATGACTGATCATGCCTTGAACCATCGCTTTCGCAAGGTTCGCGCTACGGTCAACATCATCAACGATGCGCGTGTGCAGGGTCTCGATATCAAGGACTTGACCACCGACGAGAACTTGCTTCCTTCGACTCAAGCTGCCATTGACAAGAACAGTACGGCTCCAACAACCTTGTCACATTTCTAGTCTTAACAGACATCTCACTAACTTTGCTTCACAGACATCGCCAAGTACTTTGGCCAGTCGACTACTGATGGAATTCAGTTCCAGTTCCGCACTATCAAGAAGGACGCAGAGAATCTTCGCCAGACCGCTAATGAAGGAGGCGACGTTGCTAACTGCCTTAACCTTGGTATCGGCTCTGGTCCTAACGGGCTCAGCACTCCTTCCAAGCCTACTCCTGCTCGTGGTGCCGGGAGTCGCTCTGGTAAAGGCTCGAAGCGCAAGGTCAATGCACTTCCCATGAACCCCATCAAACGCTCCGCTTCTGATGACGAGGACGAAGATGAACTCAACTTCGACGACTTGGACAACACCCCCTCCAAGAGGGTCAAGACAACAGGTCGCACTCCTCGCGGAGCTACCCCTGCTCGCTCAGCCGCTCGGAAGGCCGCTGCTACTATCACCGACGCCTCTGCGCAGTACCAAGACAGCGAGTCTCCTTACGACGACGCGCCCATGCCTGTTCCAACCCCTGCTTTCACTAGCCACCCTGCGAGTCTGCCCCCTTCAACTACTGTCGCCCCGACATCGCTCTTTGGAGATGTCGAACGCAAGCCTCAGTCCTACATGATGCCGCCTCCCGGCCTCGATATGATGGCCTCGACCGAACCCTCATTTCCCGACATTTTCACTGGTGGCAAGAAAAGCTACACCGGAGCTCCCCCAGATGATTCATCCTACATGGATTGGGGTGACGGGGAAATCTAAAGCACGCGATCTCAAATCTTCTCTGCCTTGAGCAACTACTGGCATCCTTAACAGAAGTAGATGAGCTACATATCGCATGGATGAATGCTCTGCAGAGTGTACTATACACTGCGCTCAGGGGACTAATGCGTAAAAAACTTTCATCAGCGCACATGGCTATGTCGACCATTCATTGCTTTTCTTTTGGTATTGCGACACATATTTGATGGCCGACTCACCACTCTGCCCCATATCCCCTTTCCCCCAGCACAGATACCCATTTCCCCATTCGCTATTTTCCCCTGGGCCCAAATGACTTGGCTCTTTTCGTTTATATCAGATATCTCTGTCTCATTCATAACATCTTTCGACGGTTTGTTGGGAAAGGAAATCATGGGGCATGAAAATTAAAGGGGGGGCTGTAAGAAAATTAGCTATATAACCCCCATGCAAACAATAAACGGTGCGATTCTTAACATAATACCTAAACCGCTCATTGTGAAATTCTCCCGGTTTTGCCTGTAGAGTATAATACTATGTGAGATGTGTATGGTTGGTTTGTATGAGAGAGCGCTCATTTTGGTGGTTACTCACTACTCAATACTCAATCCTAATACTTCGTATCACCCACTACTTAATACAGCGAATTAGTAAAGACGTATAAATATTTTGCTCAACAACCTTAATGCTAGATCGTGCTATTATAATTTTGCATGCTATCACGGAGTATCTTTATTCCAGTTTAGATACTTCAGAACTCCTATAGTTATTTTCATTTTATTTCATCCAGATATATTTACACCCCCTTGCATATTCCAAACACCTTGCTTAACTTAACAAAACCTGCCACAAAGCATCCTTTTCCACAAAGTCGTGATGAATCAGATTAACCAGCCAGTACTCGTCCTTTATGCCGCTGAGGAGCTTCTCGCTCTCAGATCCCCGTCCGTACACCTTGGCCCACTCACCCCAGATACCAAACGCCTCCTCGCACCAAGCTCGGAAACTAACCTCCTCGATAATAGTCGGCGTAATGATCTCCTTGCCCGGGAACACACCCCATGTCACAGCGTTTGTGCTCGGGCTGGACTCCGCCGAGCCGTCCACGTGATCGCTGCTGTCTGACGTGACATAGTCGCCGCGCGCGTTGCTGGCGTAGAAGCACACATAGCCCTGTAGCTCCGACGATACCAGCTTGGCCTTGAGAGTGTTCCATTCACTCTCGGGAATGAAGAACTCTACAAACGACTTCTGGAAGACGAAGCCGTTGGGCGGGCCCCAGCCGAAAGTGCCGTCGGCGGAGCGCAGGCCGTTGACAGCGGGCTGCGAGGCGACAGTCCACCATCCTTTGCTGTTGAGCTGCAAGAGATGAGGCTTAATGGTGGAACTTTCGGCCAGGAGCTCCTCCTCACTCCATGGGATGGCCGAAAGCTCTCCTTGGATGTGCTTGACGAATAGATCGTTGATGTCTTGCCGTGTCTTGGGGTGACCCCAAAGTCTGACGGCCTGTGTAACGGACATGTGGAGGCTTACACCGTATCCGTCAATCTCACCATAGGCAGGCGAGCGGGCATCACCAAAACGACCGTTAGGGAAGTCATCCCATGTCGCCTCACGGCCCAAAGCGCCTTCGCCCTCCGATATAGCCAGCGTGTTAGCACGGGTGTTGATGGCTTCGGCACGGCCGCCGGCTTCCTGACTGGTAGCCTCCCACTCGGGATGTATCGCTGGTCTATCACCAACGATGACATAATTGTGAGGGTCAGAAACGACAGAAGAGTGTCTTCTAGATCTCGATTGTCGAGAGCGGGAGTGGCTGCTGGATCGCATGTTGGTGCTGCCATTGATCTGTAGTGCAGGAATGGCGAGTTCGTCAACTGAGACGGCTTCTTCATTCTCAGGGGGGTCGGGAATAAGGTTTGCTCGCTCCAGAATGAAGGATACAGCCTTCTCCAGGTTGAGTGTGTAAAAGTGGAAGCCCTTTGGACCTGGCGTCTTGCTCTTGATGTCCTTGACCTTGTCTATCAACTCACTGACAATATCCACACCAACCATCTTTACACGCTCGTCATCGCCCTTCACGGCATTGAGGCGTTCAAGAAGATGGTCGGGGATTTTGGCGTGGCTCAGTTTGGTTGTGCGCTTTATCATTTGGAAGCTCTGGATAGGCATCAATCCGGGAATGATGGGGATGCCCTTGAAGGCGCCGCTCGGGTGTTCTCGTAGAGTGTTCTCGAAGTGCTCGTACGCCTCGATATCAAAAAATAGCTGAGTCTGGATAAAGTCTGCGCCAGCCTGCACCTTCTGGACGAGGTAAGGAAGATCGTGCTCCACGCTTTGTCCGAGGGGATGGCTCTCCTCAGCGTGTCCCTCTGGGTATGCTGCAACACCAATGCAGAAATAGTCGCCATGGGTCTTGCGGATGTATTTGACCAAGTCAATAGCCCAGTTGAAGTCCTGTCCACCATCGTCCTCCGAGTCCTCCGCATCGCGATACTCCTCCCTTCGAGGAGGGTCACCTCGCAGGGCCAAGATATTCCTGATTCCCAATGCCTTTGCATCGGCAAGCGCTTCGTCAATCAACTTCTTACTCATGTTGGTACACGTCAAGTGCAGACAAGTTGTAAGTCCAACCTCTCTCTGGCACAACTCGGCCAACTCAAGTGATTTCTGGGATGTGCTTCCACCAGCGCCCCAAGTGACGTTGACAAAGAGTGGTCGAAGAGCTCGCTCCATTCTGTGAAGACGGTCTCGTAGGTTGGAGAAACCCATTGCTGTCTTGGGAGGGAAGAATTCGAGGGAGAAATATGTGCCATCAGCCGGCAGAGCGGCGATGCGGTCGGTGATTTTGTCCATTGCGAAGGACTAGAAGTTGGAGAGTTATCGTGAAGAGGAAATAGGTTGTGCTTGTTCGCGAAGTTGATGTAATTGTAGATTTGGAGTCGCAGGTGCTTGAATCGTCGGTTCGTGGAATAGAGGAACGTGATGGGAGAGGAGATATGCAGGACCGAGATCGGAAGAGTATCTAGCTCTCCAATGGTTTGTAGACTGTAACCGTCTCTTATCGCTTTGATAGTTGTCGAATTTGGCCTATTGCGTTTGCCTCTCTCTCCTCTCTCAAACCAAGGAGATAACTCGGGGTAAAACAAGACAAGTCAAGTGAGACGTCGGCGTTAGGTCTCTTTTCTCTGATCGTGGAGGGCACAAGTTTTGTGGCGGGGCATCCATGATAGCGGGGGTTCTGTTAACAGCCTCCAGCAGCCGTTCTCGGTGTGGCCACTGAACGTTAGCAGCCATGACCGCCCGCATGATACATTCAACATGCAGCTGCAGGCGCCTCTAGTATAGTAGGTACCTGTAAACAGGCATGATGCTGGTAGTGATTCAAGTACCTACCAACATGGCCCGAGCTTCATTTTTTCCACAGCTTCCATCCATTTATCGCGTGCTACTGCGAACGTACCTAACATCTGAACTTGCTACCTGCCAACTCCCCTCGACACAATTGATGCGGATTAGCATCATACCATGCCTGCGTCCCAATGCCGTTGCTGCATCAAAGGCCCATGAGCTGCGCTGCGGCAAGGCGTGCTTTGACTAACCTCTCCGTCTCTAATACAATTCGAAGGCCGATAATCGCCCGCACCAAGACTGCGACTCTTGGGCCGCTCTCACGACGATACTACGCTATCGACCTTATTTCAATAGACGATAAATGGCGAAAGAAGTGGAAAGAATTCAATGGGTCTAGAAAAGCCTCCAATAAACCAGCTGATGGCCAAAATAACCACTATGTGTTGCCAATGTTTCCGTATCCCTCGGGGACGCTCCATTTGGGCCACCTACGGGTATACTCCATTGCCGATGTGGTTGCTCGATTCCGAACATTGAAGGGCGACAATGCTATACTGCCCATGGGCTGGGATGCTTTTGGTCTTCCGGCTGAGAATGCTGCGATTGAGCGAGGGGTACCCCCAGAGAAATGGACAGCAAGTAACATGAGCAAAATGAAGGAGCAGCTGGAATTGATGAATGGCAGCTGGGATTGGCATCGTGTAGGTACAACAGCAGTATGGCATGGATTCTCAGCCCTAATATGTTTCCAGGAATTGTCTACTTGCGATCCTGGCTACTACAAGCATACCCAGCAAATCTTCCTCATGCTTCATGAACGAGGTCTTGCCTACCAAGCCGAAGCCGAGGTCAATTGGGATCCTGTCGACAAGACCGTCCTGGCAAACGAGCAGGTCGATGCCAATGGCTGCTCATGGAGGTCGGGTGTCAGGGTCGAGAAGCGCAAGCTCAAACAATGGTTCTTCCGCATCTCGGAGTTTCGTGAGGCGCTACTTGATGAACTTGACGCGCTTGCAAAGGATAACGCATGGCCGGAGAGAGTGCTGGCTCAGCAAAAGAATTGGCTGGGCAAATCAACTGGTGCCACTGTCAAGTTTCCGGTTCTAGCCATGGGTCACGATATCCATGCTGCGATCGAAGTATTCACCACTCGACCCGATACCCTCTTTGGTGTTCAGTATGTGGCTCTTGCTGCCAGCCATCCTATCGTAGCCAAGCTCGCGACCTCGGATCCTGAACTGCAAGCCTTCATCGACACCATCCCGGGTCTACCTGAAGATTCCAAGGTTGGCTATCTGTTACCTCACCTGCGGGCTATTAACCCACTTGCCTACAATGAAGATACACCTGGCGCCACCAAGGTTTCGCTACCAGTTTATGTCGCCCCTTACGTCTTGGGCGACTATGGCGAGGGCGCTGTTATGGGTGTTCCTGGTCACGATTTGCGTGATAACGCATTCTGGAAAGAGCATCTTTATGATGCGCCTGTTCGACAGGTCCTCTCTGCCTCAGAGGATGAGTCGACCACAGCTATGGAAAACGAGCCCTTTGTCGAACATGGATACATGACAGAACATAGTGGTCCCTTCAAGGGCAAGCATTCAGCAGCAGCTGGGGAAGAGATTGTTAAGATGCTCGAGAAGGCTGATCTCGCCAAAACTGTCGAGAAATGGCGTCTACGAGACTGGCTCATCAGTCGACAACGGTACTGGGGCAGCCCTATTCCTATCATTCACTGCGATTCTTGTGGCCCAGTACCTGTGCCAGACGAACAGCTGCCAGTAGAGCTTCCTGATGTAAACTGGGCGGAGACACGCAACGGAAGTCCCCTGGAGACTTCTTCTGAGTTTGTCAACACGACTTGTCCCAAATGCAGCAGCCCTGCTCGACGAGATACAGACACCATGGATACCTTTGTCGACTCAAGTTGGTACTATGCTCGGTTCGCTGACCCTCATAATCAAACGCAACCATTCTCTCCTGAAGCGGGCAAGACTCTCCCTGTCGACACTTATATCGGTGGTATTGAGCATGCTATTCTGCACTTACTCTACGCCCGTTTTATGTTCAAGTTTTTGGCTTCGACAGATCTACTTCCTCAGTATACTGAGGAGACTTACAAGTCTGCGGAACCTTTCAAGCGCCTTATCACTCAAGGTATGGTTCACGGCAGGACATATATCGACCCTGAGAATGGCCGCTTCCTCAAATCTGACGAGGTTGACCTGACGGACCCGAATGAGCCCAAGGTTGTATCATCTGGCAAAAAGGCTAAGATCTCGTTTGAGAAGATGTCCAAGTCCAAGTATAACGGCGTCGACCCTTCAGAGTTTATCTCCAAGTATGGTGCTGACGCCACCCGTGCGCATATCCTGTTCCAGGCTCCTGTTGGCGAGATACTCAACTGGGACGAAGCCAAGATCTCTGGCATCACCCGCTGGCTTCAACGGCTGCACGATCAAATCTCAGCCATCGCTGCAGAACCTGTTGATGGGCCTGTATCTGCACGAGACTATCTCAGCGCTAAACACGAGCGTCTTGAATCGGCTTCTGCGGAGGAACTTGCACAATGGGATGCTGAGGCGGCTATCTGGCGCCACGTCCAGCACACCATCGAATCTGTTACAGTATCTTATGAGGAGGTCTATTCCCTCAACACTGCAGTATCAGATCTTATGATTCTTACCAACACTATCGCCGACAACACTATCGCTAGCCCGATCATCAAGCGTGAAGCTGCTCGGGCTCTCATCTCCATGATGGCACCTATCACACCAGGGTTTGCCGAGGAATGCTGGGCTCTCCTCAACCCTTCAACTACTTCCATCTTCGAATCTGCGAGCTTCCCTGTCGCAGATACCTCCCTAGCTGAAATCGTCCGCCCAAGAATCCAGCCCTGCGCTGTGCAGGTCAACGGTAAGGTTCGTGGTGTAGTCAGCATACCACCACCTCCGGCTGAGCTATCGGGAGATGGGCTACGAGACTGGATGGTCAAAGAGATTCTCGCGACTAAGGATGGTGCTGCGCGGTTCTCTGGAGGACTCTACGATTTGCGCGCAGCCAAGAGGGCCATTCCTGTGAGGGGAGGCAAGACTATCAACTTTGTATTAAAATAGATGTAACAAAAGAACTTGTAAAGTAAGAGTATTTGCGGCATAGAGGAAGAATAAATAGATAGTGAACGACTATACCTGGTGCAGTGTTTCTGATTCCATATGATGCTAGGAAATGACGATAAGCTGGCCAATCATACATCATCTTTACCAGGAGTACAACATGCATGATGGAAATCGACATTATCAGCTTGCTACCTGCCAAGCTATTACACAAAACATCAGATGGGTTGAGATGTTCAGTGTGCAAATTGTGAGAGCATCAATTTGTCAAGATTCCAGTGTTTATATACTGAATCTACCAGACCGTCTCTCAATTCAGTATGACAACGTGGCCGAGTGGTTAAGGCGATGCCCTGCTATCTCTTACGAGACATCATAGGCATTGTGTTCGCACGCGTAGGTTCGAATCCTGCCGTTGTCGGATTACTTTTTGCTGCCTCTACACAGTATCGACACTGATATATTATTTTGACATGTAAATGGCCTTTTTTCATGTTTATACAAAGTCGCCGAATCGTAGGTCACTTTACTAGATACCCCAGGCTGTAATGATCCCGATTGTGTGACTCTACAAACGGTTATCTTGGCTACCCTACATATTCAAGCCGTACACAAATGGCCAGTATGTTTTGTTCGAGGTCAATTTCTATTATGCAGAAGTGATAGTTAATGATGTCTTTCCGTATTCTTGTTACGTTTGAGTAGATGTGGAAACAATAGTGGTCAACATCTAGATATCGAATACTAACGAAGTAAAAATACGGTGATTTGATACCGGTGTATCTGACTCGTCCACGTCACTTTGCCAGATTAGTTGATCTACGCGCTGTCAAGAACTAGCCAGCAAATCATGTTCAGTGTAAGCCCAGCTTCTGTTGAAATCAAATAATTACTATCTCAGTCATGTCACCGCTTACCCTCCCACGGTCAGCAGCTAACACCAGACACCTTTTTCGGATGGATCGCCTTACCGGGTTGTTAGGATGGGCAAAGCACATGCAGTATTCGGGCTTGCTGTAAGGGGAGTAAGATGCACGCGGCTAAGCCGACATTAGGAGGGTGGTATGGTCGCCGCTATTGGCTTACAGGCTGCATGCTCATGCGCTGACCGTGAGCAGGCGGATGCTCGGTGACAACTGAACCATTTCCAGCTGTTTTGACAAAGCCACCCATCTTGTATAACCGCGTATATACGACTCTGTATGTGCTTACTAAATGGTTGACGATACGAAGTGTGCATCGCAAATATTAGGTTGCCTACGAGGCCGGTACTCTAATAGTTTACAGTAGATCTTGTGGCGGAAGTGTATCCAATACAAATCAAAACACCGCCGGCATGTACCTGGTGGCACACCCTTCAAGAGATACGATACGCCCTGCCAAACAGTCGCGATCGTCTATTGAGGCAAAGACAGCAATATCATTCGCCCCGCTCCGCTCTCTGCTCCTCGTCCAGCAACAACCTCTCATCCTCGCGCGCATCGGTCTGCGGCTTCTCCGAGTCACGATACAGGATGTAGTGCTGGACGATGAAGACGGAGTCGTAGATCATGCTGATGTTACCAAGTGCAAACTTGACGGGGTTTCCTGTGATGCCGCTCCAGTCACGCTGCTGGTAGCTGTCGATGGCCTGCTGGCTTACACTAAGAACACCACCAGTAACATCCAGCAGGATTTGAGAGATGCTCCAACCGTCAGTGCTCTGGTTGTTGTAGTTGGTGACGATCTGTGGCGTGTACTTGATCAGGGTGACAATAAGCTTGACATAGCCTACGGCGTAAACAATATCGAGGGCAACCCAGTCGTAGACAGCATCGTTCCCAGGGGAAGCAGCAACAATGCCACATGTCAGAAGAACACCCATGATACAGCCGGCAGCTACCCCAAGAATGAATCGGCTGGGGCGGTTTCCAGCATTTGGGGTAAATCCCCACAAAGAGGGTGAGATATACTGCGAAGTTGTGATGATGGATAGGAAGAGAGCGTGGAGAGCAAAGGTGATATCGTTGAACTGCACGGTAGACTGAAGACCTTTATGTCTGGCAGAATACTGAGCACGAATCTCTGGTGAGTAGTAGAAAGCGACATTGGAGCTAAAATACGCAGCAAAGCCTGGTAGACACGAATATCATGGTCAGCAACGAAGATAAAGTGAGTGTATGAGTGAGCTGTGGACTAGGATCGCCCAAGGGCGGCGGAGATCGGGCCCAGGTGCCGATCACAGCAGCTACTGGGCTAATGCTAGGGATAAGTTGGGGGCGTATGTTTTTGACACCTTAATCGTGCCATGTGTTTGGGCCACTGGGGGTCTTGATAGAGAGGGAGACGCAACAAAGAGAAGGGCACTCACCGAGGACGTTGATAAAGGGGAAATCGATAGTAGTTCCGCTTGTGGAGCGACGACGCCAGTTGAGCAAGGGCTGAGGATAGAAAGACGCGCTCCAGGCGAAGAAGTAGACCCAGCCAAAGAGGCCAGAGAGAAGGCCAAGGAAACTGCCTGTCATGACAACTATTGGAAGTCTGTTAAGGGATAGAGGTTAATTATATCTATTATTTGTCGTCGTTAGGCGGCAAGAACAAGATTTAAGTGGAAGAGACAGAAAAGAGACAAAAAGAGAGTGAGGATGTTGGTGATGTTGCTCTTGGGAGATGCGTCGTGTGACTGAGGCTGAGAGATGAGATGATGGAAGGGAGGTTCAACTGACGCCATTGCTCGGGTACGTACCTACCTTGATTTGCGTGAAAGTGCTTGCCTGCATTAGAATGATGAAATGTGGCTGACGGAAGCCAGATGTGGCTGCATCGTCCAATCAGATGAGCCTGATCAACCAGACCTCATCGCGATCAAGATAAAACCAAAATCGTTAACAGTCAAGTCATCAAAATTAATCGAGATGAGCTGCATCGGATAAAACAGGAATGCAAGATGACGAAGGATTCTGCAAGATATTGATGCTCCGTAACTATAATATCAAAGCTTCCGTGTCGTGCGTGTCCAACGCTGACCGACGGAGAGTATCCGAGTAATTCCATGTTGTCTGGTAAAAAGTCAAAGATAATCATAACAGAAACAAGACAAAGCTTCTAGAAGCGAAAACTTAGTTTGTAAATCAGGACAACGGGATATCTTGAACGTGGTCGTGCATCAACGGGAATTGCCCGAAGACGCCCTGACACGTTAAAAGAGAGTGGATATGATATGAAGGCTACACCATTTTTACACACCCCCTTACGATCGTGGGTTATTGTCTTCTCTGGAGCATGTTGTTCACCTTAAAAACAACACTGTCTCGGCAAATGCCAAGCGGTGTACGGAGCAGGAGAGAAAAAGGCACAGAGCCGCAGACATCGAACCTAGATCACGCCAGACGAGGCTCAAAATGTGGAGCCTTCATGATAGAGAAATGATCGGGAGAGGCCGGACTAAACCTACAGAGGGAGCTCTCTCGCGGGTTATTCTCTTGGGGAGATTTGGTGATGGCTCATTGCTATCGGTGTCTTCGGAGCCGAAGTGGAACACATCTCGACAGGAGTGCAATGGAATGCAATGAGTGACTCTTTGGTGTTTCCCCTTTTATACTGTTGGCGCTGGTCTATGTTTTATGGCTGCATTACATTGGAGTTGCATGCCGTGCTATTTCCGAGCCACGCCCGTGACTGACAAGTAAGGAATGGGAAGTGGTGCTATTATGAGAGGGAAAACATCAAACAATGGAGCTCGCAGGGGGCGGAAGGGACTGGGAATAGAGGCAGAGATTTTTTTGGTTGCGTGTTGACACGGTCTTGGGCCTCCGTTTTATGGGTGTCCCCTGTTTAATTGGGAATATGCTCATATCATGAGATTTAGATGTGAAAATTTATATACATGATCATGACGATACCTTTTCCTTGCTATTTATTCTCATCTCTCAACTGTAACTCTCTCTCTCTCTCTCTTTAGAGTCCAGCCACTCCCGATCACTTACAGACCCCTGGACCTTCTAGACTCTAAAAAAGAAAAGGGGGCCTCTCTTTTTGGCTCCCGATCCTAACGAGGTAACCCTTGTAAATAGTGGATCCAACGGCTGTTCCGGGGGCTCATCGCTCGGCACCGGGACGGTACTTGTCACCTTATGCTCAGCTCATTGAACGTGCTGTAAATATAGCATCCAGGTTAGAACTGATAACGAATAATTAGCGTATCGCGTCTGCAGAAACACCCCCGTTCTATTCCCTCGGTGCCTATTGTACGTATCATGCATATCACGGTCAACTACAAACTGGTAACGCGGTAAGCCATGTCTTACTATTTGTTACATACTCACGGCACAGCTTACCGTATTTCAAATGGCTGGTTATGGTGTGTCTGTGTCATTCAATGGCTTAGCTGAATAAACCTTTTACTGATTCAAGATCTGCATCTTTACTGCTTATTCCCCAATCTCGTCAATTTAGCTCAGAAGAGTTAAACATTTTTGACGGGAGTCAGCTTATCTGACACCATCTGCGAGCGTATAAATCGATGCGTATTGTATTCTCAAAGCAAAAGAAGAAGAAAAAAAGAAGAAAAAGTACATATGATTCAATCTTTCGGTCAACATCAGAGCTCACCTTGGATGATATGATGCGGGCGTGTATCAACGAACCAATCATCTTTCCCTTGGGCCAAAAGGTCAATGACTTTGCAGTATCGCAAATCATCAGCCTTTTTTTCCCTCTGCATGTACCGTCCCGTTCCGATCCCTGGTTCTACCCTTGATCCCTGTTAATTCCACTGCCTCGTAAGTTTTAAGGCTCGTGAAATGGTCCCTACCAGGGGGGAGGGCGTGTGTGTTCCGTCTATCGGCCATACCCACGGTGACATGTAAATCAAGGTTCGAATCTCTCTCTGTTGACTCAATCTTGTGATATGTATATATGAAGCCAGAATCCTCGTTCCTGTTCTGGGTCTTTTCTTTCTTCATCTCATCGTCAAGAAATCACACACTTGTTATACATCATATACACGCTTATCAGTCTTATCACACGACTCCTCCAACCAACAACTCAAAGATCGACATCACCTTACCTCCAACTCATCACCACTACCGTCATTGGATAACATCATTCCAAGCCATCAACAGCTAGTCCAGTCTAGTCTACTTTACTCCTCAGTCTAGCAGTTCTTTCTCAACTTGATTTACTATCTTGTCCACGCCGACTATCCAACTTGATATCTTATCTACTCTACTCTACTCTACTCTACTCCACCAACCACTTACACCATTCTATCTGGTCTTATATACACAACAATCATCATGGCTGCCGCAGTCCAACAACAACAACAACAACAACAACAAGAACAACAAGAACCTCATAAAACCGGCTTCCTCGACCTCCCTGTCGAGATCCGCCTCGAGATCTACGACCAGCTCCTCATCACAGCCCCCTACACAAGATGCGGCCGTCCCTGTCCTGAGCAAAAAGTCCACGCCTCTCTACTTCGCGCCAACCGCCAGATCCACGACGAGGCTAGCGATCTTCTCTACGGTTGCAACACATTCATCTCCCACCCAACACTACTCACATCATTCCCCCGCCTCAGAAATTGGTACGGCCCCGTCAAGGAGTCTTCCCTCATCCCCAGCATCCGCCGCTTCCACACTCAGGTGCGTCTGGATGTCGATCTCCCATACGACACCGACGCCGTGACCAAGGCCTACAGCGGGCTTGACGAGCTCACCATCGACGTCGTGCAGTCCATGTTCCTCGGCGTCGGATACCGCAACCTGCGCATGTTTGAGGGCGTCAGGGGCATCAAGAAAGTCAAGGTCATTGGCAGCACAACGGGCTTCGAGGACTACGTCGAGTGGCTCAAGATGTCCATGACGAGCGAACCTGGCGTTGAGATCCCTGAGTTTGTACCCCAACAACAAGCAGGCTGGGTTCAGCGATTGGCCAATATCCACTACTAAGCTGCTTCGGAATTTAGAGGCCAGTTGCATTTGATGCGACTGGCGAGGAAAAGGATTAACGAATGTTATGAATCTGTCTATCTAATATTGGAGTTTTTGTATTTCACAGGCGTTGGGGGAAAAAGGAATCACCACAGCGCACATTGAACAGGCGCATTAGATAAATTTAGTGTTGGTGGCACAAAATGTGCCTAATAGAATTAAAACATTGTACAAATTACCTTATCTTGCATGTGAGTATCGTGCTTGGTTCAATCAGCAGTTGAGACAATACAAGTTGGCACGCCATGCAGGAGAAAGATGGTGGCATTTCCAGGGCAGCTCGTAATAGTATCCATCAATTACAACAAATCACACAGTACATTGGATGTCATCAGATCTTGTCTTTGATGTGGCGTAAGAGAGTATGGAACTGTTGAATTTAAAATAGGCATATGTTTTGATAGCTTCCTTTCATCTAAAAGTTTATATAGATAATATAAATTAATTATAAATATTATATTTTATATCATCTTATATAACCTTAAGATAATATTATATACAAATGTTCTAGTTATTATATCTTATATATTTATTACTTTATGTATTCCTAGTTGGCTTATTCTCGGAACTTTTGCACGGGACTGTGTAATAGCTCAGGTGTGATGAAAGGTCGAACATACTCACCTCTTAAACATGTACCGTCAGTATCAAGCCCAAGAGTACCTGGAAAGGAAATAAAACGACCCATTATTTGGTCATCTTTGTGTTCATGGTTTCGGAGGCCTGTGAACTGCGTCGACAATTGCTGCGGCAAGTCTACCAAGTCGACCGACACCTTGACAATCCCGAACACTCGTAAGAGTAAGAGGATCTCCATCTTAAAAACAATGACCACATAAAATCACATTTAATAGTAGTTAAGTGCTAACGACACATCAAATCACATCATTCCCACCCATACATCAATGCCTATCGCTGTTGACATTTCTCACACGGAACACGTCACTCGAAGCAGATACCTGAACACTTCAACTTGCTGTCATGTTTTACAAAGAACTCACACAAGCTATACTATCATAAACACGAAACAGCCAACATAGTAAAGGATAATAAAAAGACAGCTCCCATCATGCCTTCTGAATACCCCAGAACGCCAAGTCTGATGCAAAAGTTGCAGACGCTCACCCTAACCCGCTCCGTCCGGGAACTAGAATATCAGATTTATCTCATCTTAATTCTTTTTTTGTATTCCGTCTTCCATTTGTATTCATGTTTCTTTTGTCTTGTCTTTGTCTTTGTCTTGTCTCGCGCTCTAAAATTGAAAAGATCAATCCAAAAAAAGATATCTCGCCGCCAAGGTTGGTTTTCGGGTTGCTGTAATTGATGAGCACATCCTCCTCGGCTTTGTCCGGTAATCGTATGTGGCCGGGCCATGGCTCGGACATTGAAGCCCGACCATGGCTTGTTTTGAGGGCGTAATAGCCGAGCGGTCACCGGGCGATCGCTTTCATCAACCTTGCATCCTTTTCAACTCTGAATAAACCCTCAGTCGCTTCTTCCTGGATTCTCTTGGTCGTTTTATTCATCCCATATCGCCTAACCCATTTACTGGCCACCACCTCCCATGATTCTTGGCAATGATCGCCATCCCTGCTGGTTGGGAAGCTTGACCTTGCCAAAGTCCTCATCAAGATCAAGAATCACCTTGAGGGCGTTGCGGCTGCGGCCGAATGGGCTAGTGTCCAGGCTGCCCTTGACGGTTGACACAGCATCTGACACTCCGGTGGGGATCTTCTCCTTCTGAGTGCCAGGCATGGGCAGAAGATTCTGGAGAACCTCGTACGCAGCCAAGGTGAAACCAAACTGGGGGGATGATCGGAAGATACGAGCAGGACCACCCTTGAAGAAGGCGGTGAAGCCCTCCTCCTTCCAGATCATCTGGGCAGCGTGTCGCAGACCGTTGTATGTGGCCTCACCCTTGCGAGCCTCAACCTGGAGGCGGGTCTTGATAACGTCGCAAGGAGTCGTCAGATAGGCAGCGGGCATACCAGCGATAGCACCAGCAGTCAGTAGCTGCAGAACGCCCAGCTTGTTGGTCGGGGATTCGCCGAAGAAGTCCTTCTTGAGATGACTGTAGGTAGGGAAGTAGATGGCCGAGAAGGGCACGTCACGGAGCAGACACGCCGATGCGCCCTTGTACAGTCCAACGAGACCCAAGTTCTTCACAATCCACATAGCCGATCGCTTAGGAGTTCCTTCGACGGTTTTGGCGACCTCACCCTGGACTTGGAGGCGAATCTTGACGATCTCGAGAGGGTTGGTGAAAACCTACAGCATACTTGTCAGTTGTGCTTCCTTTCAAGATCATAATTACTAGTAAAACTTACAACTTGGCAGGCACCAGCGGAACCACCAGAAACCATTTCAGAAAGGAGTGTGATGTTGCCGTTCTTGTCGGTGAAATATTTTCGGGCAAGATCGTTGACAGTCAGTTTAATGGCCTTCTCAGGAGCGACACCGATCAGCTGAGGCACTACACCAGAGTAGAGGCCACGGAACCCCTCGTTACGGATGACCTTCTGGAAACAATCGATTGAGTTCTTGTAAAGGCGCTGACCAGGTTGAGCACCTCGCTGGTTTTGCAGTCGTGTCTTGACCAAATCAATAGGATACACCATGAATGCACCAAAGGCACCAGCGATACTGCCCAGACCAAAGTTGTAACCGGACTGTAGGACACTCATCATGATACTCCCGCTGGCAATCTTAGCCTTGGTGTGCTCAACAGCGTCGTAAATGGGGTTGCGCCATGAGGGATCGAGGACCTTGGCGAAATCGGAAAGTCCCAGACGACCAGAAGGCTCATCAAGACCGGCGAAGTGGAAAAGGATATCAGCTTCCATAGGAGTGAAGAGAGAAAAGCGGGTGAGCTTGGCAGCTTCGTTCAGAAACTCAGGACGAGTGATCTTGCCATCGCTGCTCTCGTCAATGGCGCGGCGCAAAATGAGCTCAACAAGATCCATGCCACCGATCACGTTCTGGAAAGCACGGACATTGGCATACGAGATCTTGGATCCGATGGAGAGGTTGACAAGAGTGTGTAGATTGTCGAGAATGTGCTCAGACAGCTTGTGGCGGGCTGTCTCGACGATAATGCGCTCGAACTCTTCACCACTAATGAAGCCATCGCCGTCCCTGTCAAGCTGGTGGAAAGCCTGTCGGACGCGCTCACCCTGGAGACCGCGCAGCATTTGGCAGAACTGAGGGTAGTCGAGAGGGTGACGGTGCTTCTTGTTGCCGATATAGATCTTGGCCCAATCAGATTCCCAGTCGAAGGTAAGGTTGTCGGGGCCCTTGTTGAGCTCGTAGAGAGCGCGGAAATCGTCATACTTGACAGTGCCATCGCGCTCGACGTCGAACAGACGGAAGGCGATCTGGTATTCGGCATCGGGCTTGCTGAGGAGGTGCTCGAACACTCCCCAGTCGGCTAGGGTTACTTTACCCTTGCCATTAACATCGGCAACGCTGAAGAGAATAGAATACTGGTCGCGAGAGATCTTGTGCTGTTTGGATGATGTCAGTCAATCCCTACCACGTAGCCAAGCTTGGAAACAGCTTGGCTTGGAACAGCAGCATGTGACTCACATAGTCCTCGCCGTTGGGCGCAACAGCGTTGATGAACTCTTCAGGTCCAAGGAATAGCTCGCCTGAGTCAGCGTCCTTGACAGCAAACTGAGCGAAGCGGGCCTTGGTGTGAGCAGCGAGCTGCTCAGGCTCGTGCGTCCCAACCACGGCCTCCTTGACGGCCTCTGTGGCCACAGCAAGCTTGGACATTGTTATATCGGAGTCGATCGGAGGGGTAAAAAGAAGCTTTCGAAAGAGAGAAATGTGTTGCTTTTATAGCAATTGAAGTTGAGAGTATTATTGTATGATACTCGGCGGTTCAGAAACGAAAGTTTCCGAGGCGGTCCAGAGACAAATTAGTTTCGCAGAGTGGCACAGGTAAGTGGTCCGACAACGGGCTGAGCACGAGGAAATTCTCCAGAGCGACGCAAAGAGCAGAAGCTAATAAGAGAAAGAAGGAGAGACAAAGGAGATTGTTTCCCTTGAACGGTCGAAGTCAGCGGCAGGAGGAGGACGTCGGAGACGATTCGACGTAACGAAGGGGGCGAGGCAAAGCAAGGAGAAACTGAAGCTGAAGCTGGAGAGTAGGAAGCGAAATGCGTCAATTGGGGAATTTCGAGATGGAGCGAAAGATGAGATAAATTTGCTATTCGATCAGGGCCGGTGGTTGGCCCGGGCGGGGGGGTGCGCTGTAGTGGGTGTGCACTAGCGATCACTCACGAAAAGAAGAGAGCCACAAGGGGAAAGAGCTACACAGTTGTCTGTAGTCTAAGTATTTTTCGAGTATTGCACACGAGTCGAGATACTTCCTGCCCGTCGCAAGTAACTACTATTGGAACCCATTTCATGGGAAGGTGCCCTAATATCTCCGCTATTGCTATTGCTCCTGCCACTGAAGCTGGAAGCGCACCTCTGTAAGAAAGGGAAAGAGCGTGGGGCTCTGGGCCGGGCGGTCTGCAAACTCCGGCCCAGCGGACAGGTACAAATCGAACCGCTCTAGGCGCGCTTTCGTTTCTTTTGCCTTTTCAACCGCTGTCGAATAATTGATACAAAGCAGAAAGAAATACAGGACACGCGCTCACCAGTTACTCATATCAAAGGACACGTTGTAGAGAGGCACGACTAATAAAGGTCACAAGCATCGATCACCAAATCTCGGCCAACTTAGAGAGTCAACTATCAACCAACGAAAGACACAAAGACACAGTACTTCAAAATACATCCGCTCTTGCGTGTGGGTGTATGCACTTGAATGATGGATCTCATCGGTGGACCCCCTCCCATGTTACACACATCCCGGGCATCTCCTGGGTAATAAAGTCGTCCTTAGCGAGGCTGTTTTCATACCAGTTTCTTGAGCCTCAATAGTTCTTTCGCGATCAGTATGTACTATCTATCTCTTCCACTTCAGCAATTGAGAGAAACAGATCGGGAAGTTCTACTTTGACCAAGTTCAAAGCGTTCCTATCGAATCTACAATCCCTACGAAGAAGCCGTTTCTCCTCCGCAACACCGGGAATGCCTCCTCCCCATCCCGGGGTGGGATATCATTGTGGAGTTGGACCCCAGAACTGACCCGCCCATCCGGAGTTCGGAGGAGCGCCTATTCACACCTTTTAATTGCTGGCGACCTTGAGAAATCGCACCTCTTGTTGTAGCAATAGTTACGATAAAGGGAAAGCTGTTGTGCTCTAATCAATCCAATGGGCATAAAAATTCGCTGCAATTTCTTGTCAGACCTATTCAGCTTTGAATTTTAAGGCTGGAGTCATCCGGAGCCCTCACATCATACCCTTCCGGTGCAAATCTTTCCCTGAGGGCGTCAGGAAGCTGTACTGTACTGTACTGTCGCGGCTCCGCTGGGCCGTAGCTCAATCTATCAAACAGAATTGTAGGCTCTTCCGACAGACTGCTCACCTACCCTCACCAGGCAGGCTCACCTTCAACACGGCATCCCGTGCTCCAGGTTCGGAGGCGGAGAGTTAGGCCGCGCTTGCGACAGCGAACGATATCCGTGTTTCCAGAACACAGGTCCAATTTGGTAGATGTCACATGCTGTCGATGGATTCTCTAGTGCCGTCTCGAGACCTGGTCATTTAATAAGTATGGATCTTTGCCCCAGATCACGAGCGCAACTCAATGCTGTTCTTTGACCGAATACAGCCAAGGTGAAAATCGGAAGCCGATTTCATGGCGGTCCTCATCATGTTGTGAACCCTCCTTTTCTCCATAAATACTTACGGATAATACACACAGCCTTGACGTCCATAGCTGTCATAACCGGGAACGCTAAACTTGCTCGCGCGCCTATCACAACAACTACCGGCTCGCTCTCACCTTGACTTGTCTTGGGGAGAAGAAGAATGTCAGTGATGACGGTTTGAGCATTCCATACAATTTTGTCTGTAGGATTACATCTTATTAATAAATAAAAATCATTCAACGTTTATAGATCATAGCTCTTTTGTACTCCTTTCACATTCTAGCCTTCCATTAGAGTTGGCCACTGAACAAAATGCGAAATGCCGGGAATTCCCGGTCAACACAGGGCATTAGAGCAACTTCCCCCCTGGGGCTGCCGAGACTAACCCCCTGTTTTGCTCTCACTAGCGGACGCTCGTGCCCAGACCAAGAAGAATCATCCGTGGGGAAAAGTCGGGGTTCCCAAGCTAAGGTCGGGGTAAGTTCGTTATTCTCTATCCAATGTGGATAGAGTCGTCGACAGGTTCTTCTCATCTTGATCTTGATTTAGATCTTATTTTAGATTTACTCGATCATGTTATAGATGTGCCGGTTCGAGTGGTATACATAAAATGCCTGATTGGCGATATCTGTGCGATGAGTATGCATGACAGATGCCCAAAAAGCAATGTTATCAGCTTCTGTTCCCGAGGTATTTACCCAACCCGGCCTCTGTCTGCTTTCTGCTTTTGAATAAGCCATGCTTCCAAAGTAGCGAATTACGCAAACAATCTACTGGTTATCAAATTTGTGTGGGGGTGCAAAGCCGAGGGCAAACCGGTACGGAGCACGTAACAGCATGTTGCTTCAGCCTTGCTTTAGATAGCATATGTTCATCATGTGGATCATCTGGACCAGCATTTCCCAAGACATTCATTGTTTGTTACTGACAAGCCAAAGTGACCGACCATTTGGACGTCCGTGCATATCTTACAAGGCTGTCACCATATTGAGTCAAATGGTTAAACAAGAGGATCGAGGATTAGATATCATACACACTTCCAGAGCCTCTACTAGTCTATATGCTATTGTAAATGCAGGCGATTCTGGCATCGCTAGTGATGGCGGTGGTAATGATGGCTGATGTCTGGACGATGGCTACATCTGTGATGATCCCATCTCAGCTGATCTGGTCTATCGTCGACTCCTCTTTCTGTAATGAGTCCAAAGCCAGCCACCCTCAAACCCAAGCTTCATCCCCACGATCCGTGAACAAAGCTTTCCATACGCCGCCGCCCGATCCATGGCCCATCTCCCCAGTCACACATTACGTTCATGCTGCGGCATATACGTAAAGCTAATGGTGAAAGTCCATTCCCGCAACGCCAAATTCCGAAGCAGATGTATTAAACCAGCCATATAGGCAATAAAAATGTTGATATAAACGCAGTCGCACAATCGTGATATTCGTAACAGTCATCCAGAGTCGTTATACAGTATTTTCCCTTCCCTTCCCTTCCCTTCCCTTCCCTTCCGGTGACTGCCTCATCCTCTCAGATCGAAAGATCCAAGGTTGAAGCTTGGCCACTGTCAGGTAGAAGAGATCGAGGTGGGAGCGTGGGGGCTTGTTGCTCCCGGTAATTATTGTCGTAGTTTTGCCCAGTCCAGGCGAGGTATTAGTGAAGAGTAGTTGTCAAAAACAACTGCCATCTTTGACAAGATCAATGGCAAAAAGACCTGACCAAGTCCGGAAAGGAGATATTGTCGAGATAAGATCTGAGACTGGTACTCAGAGCTTGTCCGAGCTCTGTCAGTGCTTCAGCCTCTGGCCGGTCGAGGGATTACAGTAATAGAGATATCCCGGACCGGTTAAGGAGCGAGGCTGAAAGATGGCAACAAAAAGCAAAATCACAATAATCAACGGTACAAAGTGTCGCAATACTCAAGGCCTGTAGAGGGAAGGAAGAGTAACGAAAAGTGCTGTGTATGCGTGAGGGGGGGAGACCCCGTTTCTCGCAAGCACATAGCAACCAAGTGGCGACAGCATTTTATCCCTCGATGGGAATGAGCTGGGGTTGCGCGATCGACACATCAGCACTGGCCTCGCGGTATGCATCAGGCTCTTGACGGACGGGAGTGAGCTGATGGGGCAGGGTGAAGCCAAGGTCCAGCGCCTCTTGCACCAACAAAGATGCAGACTTGTATCGACGGTCTGTGTACTTTTCGAAGACGGCGGCATGGTGCATATGAGGGCGGTCACAGCACTCAATCATCATCGTTACCAAGTTCTTCAACTGACTCCAGGTGTACCCCGAGTAGAAGACATGCTGCTTAGACTGTGCCTCTAGTTAGTCCATGTTATCGGAAGTACCCTTAGGTTTGACTTACCCAGTCACCCTTCTTGAGAATGAGTCGAGAAAGACAATGCGCCCCCGCAGCTAGGAAGCTTGGGGGTGATGCCACGAATCGCTCGTCCATGATGGTGAGCTCCAAGAAGTACTTGGCCAGAGTGCGAGTTTCCAGGTCGTAATCATCAGCCTTGCTAACACGGCGCAAGAAACTCATGGGGCCAGGCCAGCCAAGCTCGAAGCTCAGCATGCTAAGCATGAACCGCTCGGCCTTCAAAACCTCGTCGGCAGTATATCCATTGTCAACCATGTAGACGATCTCTCCAAGAGAAGGACAGTTAATCTCTTCGTACTTAGAGGCAACCAGGATGGCGGTGGCACCAACAAGCTGAAGCTTGCCGATCGAAACGATCTTCTGTGAGAGGAAACGGTCGATGTAGTTGACCGTCAGGAAGAGTGTCTCAGGAAGAAGGCCAAATCGGTTGTGCACCTGCACAAGCCAGTCCATAAGGACTGATCGCATTGACCACTGGATCTCGGTCTGGTTATCCATGTAGTGCGCGTTAGGGAGCATCTTGATCTGTCAAATGTTGTCAGTACTTGAGTCATGGTCGAGACAGGGAAGCATGCCATACCTCAAGCTCACGCATATACTCAAAAATCTCGTCACCATACTCGGCAACCATGCTAACATCCCATAACTCCTCCTCAACCTCGTCTTGTGTGCGGGTCCGCTCCACCTCTTCTCGGGCATCTTCAAGTTCCCGCTGCACACGCGCCGTCACGCGTGGTAGTGGAACGATTTCCGTGGCACCTCCTGCAGTCAAATCTCGGGAACGAACTGAATGCGCTGTTGTGTATGCTTGATCCTGGTCATCAAAATCCTCATCGTCCAGCTCCTCCCAACATTCCTCGGCCTCTGACATGGCAGGGTTGGGCATTTCTTCGTACGACACGGGGGCGACTGATTCTTCTTCAGATATTTCAGGGAGTTTAGCAGCGAGCTCGGGATACTCCTCCTTCTCGAGTGCATCCAGATCAACACCACTTTCGATGGGAAGATACATGGACTCAAGATATGATGCTTGGTCGTATGGGTAGTCATGCTCCTGCGATGCTGCTGCCATGTCGACATCCGGCTTGGGCACGATCTTTTCGAGCTGTTTGCTCTGGGTACGACGTAGACTACTTTGTTGTTGTTGAGGCTTGAGCTGAGGCTGGCTCTTGTGGTGTCGAGGTTGGAGAGCAGGGGCATACTGAGTTGATGCAAGAGCAGGAGCTTTGGCGCTAGCATGTGTATCCTTCTTGACGTACATCTCTTGACCACTGTTACGTGATGTCTTCTTATTCGCGTCGGATGTCTTGTTTTCGAGAGCGGGTCGTGTCGAGAGGTTGGCAGGCCTTTGAGCAGGTCGAGAGAGAGTATCTTTGCTATAGACGACATTTTCCTTGTTCACAGGCGCGCGTTGGTTGACACCATTTGAAGCAAGGACCTTGATTGATTTGCCCTCATCGCGAGCGTGTCCAGCTTGTTTGCTGACATTGGTCATATCGCCAAAGGCTGCTCGCTTGGCAGGACCGCGGAAGCCGGTCCCTGTATTGTTGGCCATCGTGCCCAGGTTTCCTGTCGACTTGTGTTGTTGGAGAAGATGGTGTGCGTTTTCTCCGCCGCGTGGTCGAAAAGGCTGAAGCAAACTACATTAGCTCATGTTTCTGTAACGGCTCTGGTATGCATCGGTATGCAAGGGAGGGTCGGAAGTTATGTCACAATCCAGGCGTGGTAATTAATCAGGGAGGAACATGCGAGATAACGTACCCTGGCGTCCATTGCGACGTTTATTTTTGGAGGTTCCGTCTACGCGAGAATGTCGGACGTGATAGATACGCGACTAGGGATGATGTTGGTGGTCAAGTTCGCGTACGGATGCTTGAAGGATGCTTTGGTGAGGGATGTTTGCGCGTTGATTTATCATAGAAGATGAAGTGCAGTTGCACTTGTAGCTGTAGTTGTTGTTGTTGTTGTTGTTGTTGCAGCTGCACTTGATGGGTTGACAGGTGGGTTGCAGTGTACCTGACTCCGCTGTTGAATTTCGATATAGGTAGACTTGCGCGCAAGATGTGCAGAGTGCTATACCAGGCCGCCTCGAATGCTGGTTTTATGAAGAAATATCGTGGCGAAGTCTGAATGACAAGAAGTGTTTGTTGTTGTTTTTGTTTCCCAGCAGGAACAAGAGCAGCAGGCAATAGCTTTAGGCTGGTGGGTGTTGGTGAGATTAGGGGCCCGGGCGTGCAGGGGGCATTGAACTGGGAGATTAGGCGTGGGAGAACTGAGCTGATGGGCTCGAGATTAGCAGCGTGAAGATGGAAATGCTGGGGAGAAGTCCAGGCGCTATTGGCATCGAGGAAGGAGATGCAAATATGCAAAGGTACAAGACAAAGACAAATGAGGATGCGGCGATGATGGAATAATAAAGGTGCCCCGAGTAGCTGGGTCTGCTGCTAACCATGCATCCTTTCCTTTTCCATTCGTAGCTGTGCAACGGGCAACGAGGAACGACAACGGTGTTGGAAGCTTCATGCCTTGCCCAGTGCCGCTAGAAGCTGTGGCTTGATTGGAGATATCACCCCTGTTGTGTCCACTTATTCACTGAGATGAGGGTTTGTTTGTTTATTTATGCTGCCCACTTTCAGGTACGACATATTTTTGGTGCTTTAGTGCATGGAGGGTTAGCTCACTAAGCTTCGTGAGGGATGGTGCACGGGCCGGCCAGGGGTCTTTGCTTTGCTTGTTTCTGTTGTCAGGGCAATGACGCATCTGCAGGCGGCCGGTTCGCACTATACCTAGCGGGGTCCAATCTAGCCTTATCGTCCTTATCCCAACTTGCGTCGCGTCTCACTTCAAGAGCACTCCAAGACTTTAACATCCATCATAGACTTCATGACGCACTTTGAAGACAAACTACAGCACAAAACTCTTTGAATCTATTTTCATCATCACTTTGAATACTCTTATGCTTCCATTTATCCCACAAGTCGAGCAATGCTTCATTATTGACCACGATTTCTTCTCCTTCAACGGCGCGTCTTATCTCACAGCCGAAATGCGCCAACCGAACACGCCGCCACGTGATCTATCCCACACCCAAAGTTAACGGCACCTCTGAAGTCTTCGATATACTCGAACAGCCATGACATTGCCGAGACATTGTCGCAAATCGCATGGACGGAGAAATTAAGATTCGTCATTCTTACCGACACTTCTGAGACAGTTATCTGGCTTGCGCCGCCGCCAAGTGGCTTCTCAGCGTCGAAATACACATTTTGTGCGCAAAAGGGAAGGATGTAATAATTATACTTAATTATCTTATCCAACCTCTTTGATGTCCCAAGTCGCTCGAAAACATCATTATCTGTAAGTCGCAATATTTGCGCATCCTTTTCATATAACAGTAGGCCCTAAACTCGTACAAAGCGAACGTCAAGGCAAGATGATTGAATTCACGCTGAGCGCTGTACCTGTTTTACTATCATGCGATGCTTCAAGATATCCGCCACGCAGTACACTAAGACCAATTCTACGCCACCATTTCTTGCAATCCAGACTAGATGATGGTGTAGCATCATCGTAAGCAATTTGCGACAACCTCTCAACGATGACGAAGTCCCCTAACGACGAAAACGAGGTTGCAAGATACGTGTATGTGCTTGGGGGGGGGGGGGGGGGGGGGATCAGCCCATCTGGTAGAGTCTTCCTGCAACCAGTAAGTCCTGTAACTAAATACCGTAGATAATCCATAGGCGTTGATATATATAGGATATCAACTTGACAGTAGACAACTCATCAAAGGCAGGTTCAAAAGGGTACTACGGTAAGGCTTAATTTGCGACCATTTCCAGTCGCATCTAACCCTGGAGTCACAAAGTGGCGAATTTCAACGTCCCTTGATAGTCAGATAGCATTGCCATCGCCATCGCGGTGCATAAAACTTCAGTGCATTTCATGCTTGCCGGCATGTTGAAGCCATTGCATTTAATCCAAACAAAAAGCCAACTGCGACACAATCGCATTACGACTTTGCGCAACTCTTTTCGCATCAAACTGTGCCCTTTTTGTGCGACAGAATTCGTACGGGATTCAACGGGTGCCAATAGCAGCTAATTGGTTGGATGTATGTGGTATCATTAAAAATACGCACACATGGAAATCTAGCGACGCCACATGCCAGACAAATGAGTTGGATGCGCCGTGACGAGATGAAGCAGTAGCAGTAGGTCTAGTAGTGACAAAACAGCTTGTGCGCAACCCAACCTGATTATCTTGCGACGGGCTTCTTGTCAGAGTCTATATCAATGCCGAACTCTCGCCACATTCTTGACGGGACATTTTGGACGGTACACGAACAGACACGCAAGGGTTGTTTTAGGTGGTGACTGATACACACACCGTATCTTTTTTGTGCGCCGCGTGCCGCAGGCGTGCCATTGATGAGTCGAATCGCAAATCAGACAGGCCCTGTCCGAGTGATATCAAAGTTATTGTCTATTTCGCTTGTGAGGGATAGTTCCCCAGCCTAGGCTGGGCATAGGCGCTGACGACGGAGTGTCATGGAAGAGCATCCGAGGGGAGGGGGGAGAAAGGCGAGACACTAGAGATGAGACGACCGCAAAGGTACGAAGACACCAAAGCACAAGGGCTTGGAGTTTGGGCTGGGCTGCGACGAGCGCTGATTCGATCGATGGAGCCTTTCCCTTGTCGCATCTTGTTTTTTTGTTGTTGACCAATTTTTGCGCCAGCGCATTCAAACGTGGATAATACAGGGCGGGGCGGTGACAGCGTGCGCGCAAGCGTCATGCTTGATGGACGATGGGCGCATCGCATGCTTTTCTCCAATGTAACCCTGTCCAGATACCGAGCTCAGATATATCATATTATGAGGTGTGCGCATTTCTCTCTGGGCCAGCGCGATCACTACATGATACTGTCAAGGGGGCACGGGGGCGCAGAAATTCATAGCCCATAGTCTAGCTGCGATAAAATAGTTGCGAAAAAATACAAGACCCAGCGCATGGCGCATTTCTGAATCGCATCGTGTGGCAAGGGTCTGCTTGGCCCCGTCTGAGATATGCACGGTATAGACTAGTCAGTCACGGGTCATTGAGGGTCCTCATTCTCAGACCTTAACGTTAGACCTCAGATGCTAGTTGAGGATATATGCATGGTCTGTTGTCGCCATGCTCTTTGACCTTTGGGGCAATAGTAGGGGTCCACAAGCTCGATACACAGCCTAACAGTTTGAGAGTGTGTGTGAGAGACTGGAGAAGATGCGAGAAGAGCATCTCACTTTAACCTAACGCACGCTCAGACCGAATTGGAATCTCTGGAGTCTGCCGGGCCAGAGAAGAGACCGTGTTGCTATCGCATCTAGATGCTATTAGATGGCACCATTCACCTCCACATCCACCTCCACACACACGCTGTGCGCTGTGCCATTGTGCGCGTGTATTGACTGTCCACTGTCCTTATGCTGAAACAAAACAACTGAACGTGTAGCCAAGGTCCAATCCGAAGATGCCATTCGTCATTCGCCATTCCCTCTGCCATCTGCCTCGTGCACCGTGAGCGAATCGCTGCGACCATTGACCAATGCCTGAACGGCTCAATATGAAACCCCAAAGAGCTTTTATCCCCGACTGAAGAGGGCAATTGATCGCCCGGTCCCTTGCGCCGAGCAAAGATGATCATGGCACTGACAATTGGCTATGTGAACAGCCAGAGATAGAATGGGCGCATTCTTGAGAGCAATATCTACCTACTTATTCAGTGCGAACGATGAACTCGCATCTATTCAAGGGCTTTGCAAGTTTGCGCTGAGCAGCAGATGCTGGCTGCGCTCTTTACGCCTAGATTGGGTTTATTGTCTCAGAATCATACACAAGCTAAGCGCATTATCCCTCGAAGTGGTCATCATGGAAACGCAAGACCAAGCTGCAGACAATTTGGTGCAGTTCAGACTTTTATATACTTACCTAGTAACTTGCGGTCAAGAACAGAAAGTACAGTAGTGCTTGATAGGGCTATTGTTTCCATTTATTGAGAATAAAACCACATTTGATCCTCTGCTATTCGATGGAACACAATGACCATAGTGGCCAAAAAAACTGGAACATCAGAGTGTCATAATCATTGTCGCCACAAAGGGGCGCTCTCTCAATGTCGGGTTCCTGGGCGTAGCAACACCCACAAGGTGTCAATACGAACTCTAACAGGCAGTGAAGCGCTTGACATATCAAGCAATAATAGTTATTCCCCTTTGAGTTGTCATAAATTCCTCGTTCAACGCAGTCAAAGGCGTGGTGCTTACCGTGTGCCAAGCTTATTTCGACACATGATCAGCCTAGACAGGTCCCCAGCTTGGTCGACCATGACAATGAGCGCGATTGGCTGTCCATCTATTTGTTGCAACCACCAACTCAGACATCTCTGAGCCGTTGAATCGATAGCTCTCCGCTTTCCTGCTGTTGCGCGTCCTTGGGGGAGGCAGAGATCTTCTTGTCGGTGTCTCCATTACTATATCTAGAGCCACAATTGGATCTACAAGTCGCGGAGCCGTAATGTCTATGCCCGACTAGATCCATTGATCCATGACCGACAGCTTGCGCCGGGAGTTCTATCTGCTACAAGCCCTGACTGAGGTGGCACTGGAAACCCTGGACAAGCTTTGCACGCTCTCATTGGGGCGCGGAGAAGGAATTGAATGTGTGCGTGTGTGCGTACCGTATGTGCGCGCGATAGCAGCTCAACAAGCGATGTCGCTGCGCATGCTCGACAGTCGGCCAGTATGGCCGAACATTCGCATATGGATGCATAAACTAAAGCGACAGATTCTGTAGTCCCGTCTTTTAGTCACTCATGAAGCTAGCGGGAACCTGGACCGTTCTTCGTTGTCTCCTCTTCCTGGACAAACCACACTACATTTGGTTTGGAGGTGAGGGTCGCCCACAGTCGCAGACTCACACGAGGCCACCAACAAGTTGTGAGAGGTATCAGATCGAGAGGGGCTGGAGGTTGGGCTTTGGAGACTCTTTTTCCATTGGGGGCGCGGTCACGATTGTTGGTCGCTGGTGGCCAGCGCCTAGCCCAACTAGGGTCGCTTCTTGAGCAAACAGGACATGTAGCTAGCAGCGGATGGATCGCGAGTGGCCGATGAGAGTCGAGAGATACTGTAGAGTGGATGAGACACCAGAGAGGTGAGAGGTTCGGGAGGGAAAGGAAGCCAAGCCAAGGCCCCAAGGGTCCCGCTGAAATGGACAACCCATGAAGGTCAGTCCGTCAGTCCGTCATGGTGTCGGGCGATATGGAGCCTTTGATCCAATATTCGAGATAAACCAATGTATCCGTACTGTTTCAGTAATTAACGGCATCGTGAGCAAAGGTAGAAGCCGGCGCATTACCGTCCCTGAATTGAACCTCATGATTTAAAGTTGCGCTTTGGGCAATCATGAGCAAGAGACTGGCCATATCGTAGGCTCATCATCACGGTACAAAGTATGCGCTTTGCTTTGCTGCTGGGGATCGGCATTTAGCTGCCCAGGTCCTTGTAACCTCTTCTGATACCTGGTCCGCACGGGTTTCAAAGCTCATGAGGAGTCGCAGAACGAGCCTGGGACGAAAGGTTTATATCTTGTTCATCTCGTATTAGGTGACTGTGTATTGTTAGACAGGATAATTCTCTAGTCATGCTTGACAATGCGCGCAAAAGACAACTTATGGATTCGGCATTTGTCGATTTGCGCTGCGCGGACTTGTTTGCGCATTTGCACCGCCGCATCCGCTTTTCTAGGTTCGTTCGCGCGGGAGGAGTCGAGAATGCGCCCTGTCTTCCCCTGAAGCCAGGCGCAACGTCAAAGTAAATAGCATATGGGCACAATCTATTCTTGGTATTTGGCTGTCTGTTCAAGTGATTTGCGATAATAATACCGAGATTAGGTGGACGTCATAGAGTATTTCCTTGAATAGATCCATTGCTCGGGTTCATCGGGGAGGTACCACAATGAATGGGTCCCCCCTCAGCACAATGGGTTCGTTCAGGGCAAGCCATCCAACCAGCCCTGGCACAATTTCAGGCAGCGCAAGCTAGAGGTAGGTATGTCTCCCTAGAATTGGGCCCTTGTGCTGTAATTACAGGCCGTGGATCGCTGTCAATGGTCTCCTGGGACGCTCGACTGACCTAATTTCCAGGCCTCCCTCAGGGAACATTAACGCTCCGTCAACTTCCCAGTGTAGAGGTAGGGCAGGCTCGTGTTAGTGAGCCCAAGTCCCATCCGTAGCGACAAATCCGAACAGCCTCTCTCTCCTCGCCTGGCTCCTCTTTTCCTCATGCACATCCTCTTGCCAACTGTTGAACGCCGCCACAAGCATCACAACACGGATCAAGTCGTCTCTGGTAAGTCCCATCGCTTGTGTTATCATGCGCGATCCCCATCGAGACCCAATCTTGAGGCCCCGAATGCCCCCTCTTCCATCCTGAGTCCCCAGGTCCATGACCACTCTGCTTCATCTGTCGTCCCCATCCCACGAAGCGCCAGACTGCCCCCGACTCTCAACCTGCCCATTATATGTTCGAGGAACACACCTCATCGCCATCTCAGCAGCTCTTTGGGCTGTATAGTCGTCTGCCAGTTGCTAATCCGCTTCGAATTAAGCAGCTCCTGTCTCTTTTCGCCGTTGCCTTCGCTCCAACGAGAATCGTCCGTCGTCATACGCACCGCAAGTCTCAAGCCCTGAGAAGACCACCATACAGACGCACACAGAAGACTCGGCGCTTACCACCCACGGCCTGGATGGTGATTGCTTCTTAATCATCCATCTATATTTCGGCGTTCCCTCTCTATACTAGCATCGCTTTTGCTTTCTGGTCATTGACCGCTGCACCAGTATTGAGCGTTCTGTTGAGCGATTCTGCCGTGAACAGGGCCGGGCCCAGTCTATCCAGGCAAAGCCCGCAACGACCGTACCCAACCTTCATCCCTCAACTCCATTTCCCAAATCCACCTCGTCCATCTCAACCGACACAATAAATACTCTCTGAATTTTGCACAATGGCATCCATGTCACCACCCAACACCACTTTTGGTCCTTCGGGGCCATCTTCGAACGGAGGGAGCGAATCGCCTCAACAGGCGGCGCCTCCCAAGAACGTCGCATTTGAGCTGATGTTCCTCGACTCCCCTCAATACCGTGCGCGCTTGCCCATGCGAGTGCAAATATATCCCCACGATACTACAGACTCGATTGTCACTACCGTGAAGAATTTTTATGGTCTGTACTCGGGTCCCGCCGGATCAAAGGGAGTCAGCTTCGAAGATCAAAACGGCAATACTCTTATCGCTCGCTATGAGAACTTCAGCAACAACATGGTTGTCTACGTCAGGGTCATAGAAGAGCCCCCGGCGAACCCATCTGCATATGCTCCCCATCCGTTCCATAACCCTTCTGTTAGCGCCCACACATATTACAGCGACAATGGATATCCTGCCCCTCAGGCTCAGCGCCTGGCACAAGAACTATCTAGGCCCAGCTCTCGATCATCGCGGAGGCGAAGCCCTTCTCCCAACACTGTTCGCGGCCGAAGAAGTGCTTCTGCCAGCACAAATGGAAAGAAGGGTCGTTCACGTTCATCCAAGACCCGTGTTTCGGCTTCTCGAAGCCACGCCGAACTATATAGCGATAGCATAAACGGATACAGCAGCAATGATGATCAAGGCTCGACATCTGGCAAGAACAAGGACCAACTGCCCACTACCGACATCAGTGTCGAGAACATTGTTGAAGGTGGTCGTCGCAAGAGGGCCAAGTTCGAAAGCTCGGTAAGTGGAGACCGCCATTTTGACAAGGCGGCTTCAAAGAAACTGACAACGTCGGGGTATAGGAACTGCCATTGTTCGCACCACCTCAGATGCCAGCGGCAACCTCGAACCCATCCGTGTCTCCTACCCGTCGTGCTGAACCCCATCGCCCCTCTATGACTTTTGTGCCGTCTCATCAAAATCCCTTCACGAATCCCCCTCGCCCCATGCCGTCGCCGCAAGCATATAGCCATGGCATTGCACACCCCAACCTTTACACAACACCAGGACCGGACGCTCGTCGTAACCGAAATAGCGGCGGATATACAAGCAGCGCGATGGGAATTCTTCCTACCCCCGACCCCACTGTGGGCAGCTGCATGTCTGAAGAGGACAAGGATGTCGCCATTCAGCTGATGCGTCTCGGTGACATGTCCAACATCTCCCACGGTCGAACTTCTGCATCTACACTCGATGACACATTTAGTGGTAGAGCCGATATTGCGTCGTCTACTGGTGCTACCAGTGATGAAGAGAGCGAGAGCGAGGCTGAACTTCCTCCTCCCCGTCGTCAGAAGCTCGACGTCTCCGGCACTGTCGGCAATGTCTACCAGACTACCGAGTCACACTTCATGCCGCCTCCTGAGAGCGCTGAAGTCAGCGGAGATGATGCCGACTATGAGGATGGCGCTGATGACTCGCTTCTCTCAAATGGCAAGACTAAGCCTGCCAAGATCACAAAGACAACCACCAAACACAAAAGCTCTGGCTCCATTTCCAAGACAACGTCGACAAAGACTTCCAAAGTCGCTCGCCCCTCCAATGGCACAAAGGGCAAGAAGTTGCCCCCTGTCCCTAGCGGCCCAATGTCTCCCGCTTCTATGCCCCCTTCACGAAAGCAGTCAGTCGCTTCCACTGGACAAACCCCCCTCGTTCCTGGTGAAGATGACCAGCCTGATCTGTCCACCAAGCCGCGTTGCCAACGGTGCAGGAAGAGCAAGAAGGGTTGCGATCGCCAGCGACCTTGTGGTCGCTGCCGTGATGCTGGCTTATCAGCCGATCAATGCATTAGTGAGGATGAGGGCAACGGCCGAAAGGGTCGATACGGTCGCCACATGGGAGTGCCTATCAAGAAGGATGAGGTCCCCCCCGTTGCCCAACCTGCGCTATTACCTGCTGCACCTATTGCCGCCGCAACCATGACAATGGACAAGTCCAAGAAGCGTAAGCGGTAGGTGCCGCGGTTATCTGCTGCGTGACCCTGGGGGTTCCGATTTGGCGGTATATACTGTTCTTGCAAATCGTCGATTGCAGCATTTGTCACCATTTTATCAGCACAGTTATCAGCATGCTTGTTACAACATGGCGTTCAGTAGCCTGTACAAGTTCTGCAATGGATTCGCACAGTTCAGCAGGAGAATGACTGCGCATTCCATGTTACATTTTTTATGCTTTTCCTGATTCTTCTGGCTTGCAGGCGAGAGGCGGCACTTACGATGATATTCAGGAGGATGTAATAACGACGGTCTATTGGCCATTACACTCCTTATACGGCGTTTAGGGGAAGACGTGGGAGTTGTCAAGTTTCTTTTATTTCGTCCTCTCCTCTTATTCAACATGGCTTTGATTGGCTCAGGTTGCATGCAAGGCTAGCTGCCAGCCTCCCTCGACGACTAAGGGGACAACTGTCGAGAAGTAGCTGCAACAGTTCGGCAATCTGAGCGATCAAATTAGGGACGGTGCGGAAAAGGGGAACAAGGGGCGCGAGGCTTGGAAAAATCTCCCAAACGATTAGAAGGGCGGGTAAGATGGTATATGAAAGGTTCTGTGCGCGTATGCGATAGCGCGCACATATCGAGATGGAGGATAAAAAAGGAAACTCGTCCAAATGGCACGAATACTGTTCAGCAACAGCGCGAAAAGGACAAGCTGAACGTGAACTGATTCTGATTGCTTCTTCTCTTTACTCTGCAGCTTTTCTATAACTTGTGGTAGCCTGTATCGTATAAAATCTATTCGATGTTAAGTTGATTGATCCATGTGCGTGACTGTTAAATGTGCGACGGGCGACTGCATGAATTACTGCAATGCGCCCACAGCGGGAGTTCCTGATGCTCAGGACACAGTTGCTTCAAGGTCCCGCGATCACTTTTTCCATGCTTTTAGGCAGTAGATATATTGTAGTTGTTAGGAATATGCGATTGTGTCGTAGAGCAGGTCTTTGCGACAGCACAAACCCAACCCTCTACACTACACACTCAACGTTCCGAACCGATGAATCGCATCACATGAATTATATCCCAGTTTTTATCTGCTCCAAGCATACACATCGTATCATTTGTATTTCCTTTTGAAATCACTTTTTCTTCATTACTATTACACAGCACAAGAGTTGTGGTTTAACCTATACCCCTACCGCACATCCGCTCCCCCACCATCAGAACCTAGACTAGCGTGCCGTTCCCGCTCCACCTTTTGCCGATGCGGATACGATATGCCACCCGATTGGCTATAAATGCTTACTGATAGTCATGTGACCGTCTTACATCATACCGCTTCTATTGTTTACCCCTCCATCGCGAGCGCGGGGTAATTTTTCTGGTTTTTCTTTTCTTTGCTTCTTCGATTGGTTACGATGATGCTGGTTGACAGAATAAACGCGAAATTCTTGGAATCAGTCAGTTGCTGGGTAAATTCATGGTTGATCTTGAATATTGAAGTGTTGCGACACGGGTATTCCCGTTCTAAAACCACTCTTCAATAATGATCGCGAAGTCAATGCGCAGGCTCGTTCGACTTGTCATGATAGCACAACTACTCTACGTGCTTAAAACCATCCGTCGCAAAACCAGCGCAAAACTCTCTACGTAGTCGCACAAAGAATACACGCCGTTTAATTGTGTTGTTTATCTCTGAAACCCCTGGCGCCGGCGCCGGCCGCGACCACCCGTGACTTGCCTTTCGGAGACCTTTTATTGGCCCCATGAGCGGACATCCGTCTTCGGGAATAAACGCTACCGGCCGTCGGAGCGGGGTTCGGGTGGGGAACGGCTTCTCGGTGGTCGGTGGAGAACTGTTTCGGTTGAACTTACCCTGGAGATGGGATGATAGCCGTCGTTGTTTTGTTCAATAGGTGCATTGATGGATGAAATAGCTGATACTTACAGTTTATCATTCATTTGAATTATAATCGTACACAAAGCAATGTGGTCATGAGTTCATGTCATTCCCTGTAGTGCCACTATACCGGTATGGTGTAGCTTAGTTGTTCAAGAGAACGATCAGTTCACATCAGCTTTGCCACTGTTCAAATACTACCAGAACTAAACATGCCCTGTTAACCCGCCATCTGGATAATCTCCTTCCATAATGTAGTCGAAGGGCGCGATTGGCGTACCAATTGATAATACTCCGATGCGCGGGCAAATGATCGTCCAAAATTTGAAGGTTACAACGACTACGATCCGGGGTTCTGTGGGGCGCGATATCGGCAGCCAACAGGTAGAAATGCGCCCTTCGAGAAAAATCTTTGACTCAATATTCATAATCGACTATGATCAGACTAGGAAATAGCAGTCGTTGCATTGTATATAGTTAGCCAATGCCCAGCAATTGGGCCACTGTGCTATCTCCAAATTATACCATCACTTACTGGCCGCTATTGGTCCAGCACTACTACCTTGATCGGAATATACCTATCATCGTTCGCTTAATCGTATCGACAATGTTTGGGAATGATGTAGAGAAGGCACCTGAGCGCAGGCCATCATCACTATGCCCTTCTGAAGACGCCGCCGCCGAGGACCCCCAGATTCTCCATCTTACCATCTCCAATACAAACGCTCCGCCTCCAATTTTTGATCCAAATACATTCAACCCGCCGGACGGAGGCTTCACAGCTTGGTCTCAGGTCGTTGCCGTTATATTCATCAACTGCTTGGCATGGGGCTACCCTGCGTCGTTCGGCGTGTACCAGCTCTACTATGAGGAGTCACTTGGCCTGCCTTCATCACAGATCTCATGGATTGGTTCCTGCCAGACATTCTTGACGTTTGCCTTCTGCGCCCCGGCTGGTCGTCTTGCCGATGCTGGATATACCAGGGAGACCGTTGCAGTTGGAAGCTTCTTGGCCATATTCGGAACATTCATGACAAGTCTATGCCATGAGTACTGGCAAATATTCCTCTGCCAAGGTGTCTGCACAGGTATTGGCCTCGCTCTCCTCTTCATGCCCGCCGTGACAGTTCTGGGCTCTTACTTCAAGGCGAAGAAAGCGTTTGCTCTGGCACTAGGCGCGATGGGCACTGGCTTGGGATCTATCATCTTTCCTGCCACTCTGCAGTATCTCATTCCGCAGGTCGGCTTTCCGTGGGCTGTTCGATGTGCCGCTTTTGTCGCTCTCGTCATGATAGTCACAGCAAACATCATGTTGAAGCCATATCTCCCGCCAAGAAAGACAGGCCCGCTGATGGAGTGGGAGGCTTTCAGGGAACTGCCATTTCTTTTGTTTGTCCTGGGTGCGTTTCTGAACTTCTATGCCTTGTACTTTGGCTTTTTTTATGTAAGTGACTCGGGTGGTTCCTGTTGCCTGTTCGTGGCATTGTTACTGACTCGATATATAGATAAACGTTTATGCGCGAAACGTCATTGGCTTCACATCCGTCGAAGCTGTTAGCTTGTTGCTCATAGTTAACGCCATGAGTATTCCTGCACGACCCATAATGGGCTACCTTGCAGATAATGTGCTAGGACCGATAAACACATTCATTATCGGCCTATTTGCGCTCAGTATCATGGTGTATTGTTGGATAGGGGTCACGAGTGCCGCAGGCATGTATGTCTTTTGTGTATTCTTTGGCTTCGTCAATGGCGCATGTCAGGGAACCTTTGTAGGCGCAAATGCTAGTTTGACAAAGGTAAGCCACACATATAAAATGAAGCACACGAATATGACTGACGGGCGAGTAGGACCCTCGTAAGATGGGCACGCGCTTTGGTATGGTTCAGACTATCTCTGCCTTTGCCAGTTTAGCTGGACCTCCAACTGCTGGTGCCATTCTTGATACTTCCAATGGGAAATTCGTGTATGCGCAGATATGGGGCGGTACTGTGTTTTTGTTTGGCGCCCTCATGATTGTGGCGTCCAGAATTGCATCAACAGGGTGGGTGCTAATGAAGAAGAAGTAGATGAACATGCAAGAGTTAGAATTTAATCGTTTTAAAAAGGGGGTTGCGAGTTAGGAGAGGCATTGGATAAATTGGGCAATAAGGAAATTGTAATGTCTAAATTGAGCTTGCTCAAGGAGAGCATCTACCTAAATCATTACGACCTGAGCAAATGGTGAAGAGTTGTGATAACCATTCGGGCGATTTGGCTACCGTCCTGCCACAAAAAGTCATGTTCGCCTCTAAGGTCCTTGTTGACCTCCAATTTAAGACCTTGTTTGGTTAAAAGTGTCGTCATGTTGTCAATCTCCGGTTCATCAATCAGAGTATCTTCGGACGACCAGGCAAGCATGACGAATTTCCCATTTGCCCACTTGTCTTTAAAGCTTGAAGCAAACTTGGCTGGTGAGGCCTTTTCCCAAACAGACTTGTCTTCGCCGAGTGCTCCTTGGATAAACCCAGCGTACTGTCCGTTGAAACGGTCGTTGAGACCACCAATATCGTAGATACCTGAAACTCCGATGATGGCAGTGGGTAGAGGTGCCTCGGGGTGAGAGGCCAAGACATCATCACCCATCAGAACTTGGAACGCAAGGGTTGCGCCAACCGAGTGGCCTATCAGGATGTAGTTATCAGATAGTTCATACTTGCCCTGTAGATAGTTCAAAGCCGACCAGACATCTTCTAAGTGATCCGGGTGCTTTGCATTGGCATTTTCCTCGGGGAAGTCTGGATGGGGCGATAGGCGGTAGTCGATACTAATGAAACCGGCGATATCCAAAGTTGCAACAGCTCCAGAGATCACAATGCGTTTGACAGTCTCATTGAAATCGCGCTCATCGTGGCGAGGATCTCTCCAACCGCCTCCGTGAATAAACCTGCCAGCTTGTTAGTGAAACTCGGTCGGAGGATTAATAAATAGGTTGCTTGTTTGGGAGTTCGCACACTACCCAGTAGCCAGATTTCTGGTCTGGACGATCAGCAAAGCGCCATACACCTAGTTTCTGGCGGCTGTATGTCCCGTATTGGTGAGACGCGTAAGTGAGCCCCAGGGACTTGTCCTCGGCAAGTTCGGCCATCTCGTCTCGCCCAATGTGCAGACTATCAACGCTATGACCCGAAAGATGGTGTTGATGCCAGGGGGTGGTTCGCCGCGATCCAGGCAGGACTGGGTATTAATCGCGAGGAATTCAGATCTGATGCAATAGCTCCTTTGAGGAGGGTTTGCAGTGGAAGTATCCTTAGGCAGTTGTTGTAGACTACTAACCCAAGGTGAGGTCAAAGCCAAACTTCAGTATGAGGGGTCTAAGTTTGAGGAACTTTCGATCCGGTACTGGGGCCAATCGGACGTACTCTCCAATTTATCGGGTTCGTGTTCAGCTCGCACGTCGGATCCTTCTTTTGGCAGTTGACAAGTTTGACAGGAGCATTGCTTTTTGCGCAACGAGGCGGGGAGGAAGGGTCAACCGTCAGCTTTAAACATCACAGATGGCAACAACGGAACAACGGATGAACGCCTTCCGCCCCAACCGTCTTTCCGTCCTCCCATTACTGAACATTAATCAATATAGGTACTTCTTATCCTACATACTACGTATTCGCCGGATAATACCAATTCGAGGATTTCAGTACTATCGCCAATAAGTGAAGCCATTCACGGCTGCAACCATGAACTGGGTTAGTATACGGAGGGATGCAATGCACTATTATTGCATGAGGATCACGTTCGCGGCACGGTATCAGCGGGAGATGCCCCGTTAGCTAAGCTTCCGAAATACAAGCATCCATGGAGTTTTGGTGTTCTCCCGCTTGAACAAGGTCACACAAGGCCACAAAGACGGAAAGACAATGGGTGGCACAGGCCTGCACGTGTATCCGCATGAGGAAACTGGGCATGCTGCCATGCTGCAACATGGATCACCAGCGGAGGAAGCTTGGCTGCTTGGCACATCCAGCAAATTGCTCCCGGATCACCATTGTCTGCTCGCACCAATGCCAATCCTCGCCTGCCATTGACACATGGACAAGGGGCTCACAGCCGAGAAGCGAGGCCCTGTTTTGCCGGTCTCAGAAGACACAAATTCGATATCTCTCATTACCGATAGCGACCACCAAATCAATAGCGGCTAAATGCGCTTTCCATCAATCGTTAGCCAAAAGGAAATTGAACGAGACTGTTCCCAGCAACAAGTTTAATCGATTGCGATATTATGAGTTACTCAGGTAGGCTGGGCTGGGCCTCACTAGACCTCTTATTTCTCACATGTCAGTCAGGTCATGTCTTAGCAAGGACAAGAAGTACAGCCCCAAGCCCCAAGCCTTTCTCGTTCTTCGAGCTGACGCTGAAACGGTAGCTGATCCAAAACTGTGCCAAGTGCGGATCGCCATAATGTCCTACCGTGTCTTCGGGTTCGCGCTAACCACCGGAAGAGCATCTCGGAGAAGCTTAGCGACCAAAGTCTCCGTTGGAAATAGATTGAAGATTCTCTCGTCTTGGCTTCTTTTGCTCAAGTCAGACTCCACAATATTAGTTTCTCCGTGGTAGTGGAAACTTAGACATTGTCGTTACTGTGAGTATCCTAACACCCAACTTTTGGCGTTATGCTAGAGAAAAAATAGTCGTTGGTGGCTTTAGAAGGTCGAGCCGGGCTTTAGCGCAATCAATATGATTTGTTCGGTTGGTTTCTACGTTAGCAACAACCACCGAGCCCCGGCTCTGTTACCCCAATTCTCTCAGCATTCAAAGCCTAATTGATTTGTATTACACAAGCTCCATATCCCACGATACTAATGCTTGCTGTTCACAGATTGACGCCATCGATTCTGACAAACGGCCCGGCTAGACGAAGTTGTAAGCCCTAGGTTCGTCTGTAAACCGGCCGCAATCATAAAACGAGGTTTTGACAGGTCCGGGGGTTGCATGGAGAATCGCGGAAGCAACCTCACCTCCCGCCAGCCCCTTGTTCCAAGGGAATCGAGCTAGAAACAGCCTCAAAAGGTCTTCAACATGCCAAGGTGCCAGGGTGCCCATGAAGACATCAGCTTCACACCCTCTTGTCTTTCTCTCGGTGGTACGTCTGGTACCTTGCATCTAACGTATCACATCCATGCACTACGTACTCCGTACATCAACTTCAATTTGACACCCCCAAGTGCGGTATGTAGTGCAAAGACCCTAGACTGCATTGGATCAGATCCGTGGTGTTAGTTGAACGCAATACAGACCTATGTGATTCACTGATTTCCCTGCAGCTCTGGAGTATTATATCTCACAGCATGCCCCCCCTGCGTGCGTCCCAGGAAAATTGATCAATGACACTCGCCTGATCTCTTTCAACATTCTAACCACTTCGATTCCTACTGATTTCGGAAACTGTGCCATGCTCGTTTTTGGGAACTCTTTGTGACGCTGGAGCGCCATGGCTACTAACAAGCATATCAACTTGTCTGAGGAGAATGGAAATGTTTTGGTTGCAACGGCGATCACTCTTTTGATCCTGAGCTGGATCTCTGTTGGGCTGCGTACTTATACAAGAACATGCCTGATGCAAGGCCAACAGCTCGACGACTGGCTTATGCTCATTGCCCAGGTCAGTTCACCACACATGTCATGTTTTGATGGAGTAATACTTACCAAGGTATAGATCATCTTCACGATATCATGCTCCTTTATCCTGGAAGGTATCCAGAAAGGAGTGGGAAGACACAATGAGGCGATCGAGACTGAGGATGCGGAAGTCCAGGCCCTTATGGTTAGTAAACCCTTCCATCCTGGTGTGAATCATGAGATGAATACTTACTCCTACTAGTGGCAGGCTTTGGCGACCGCAACTTACATCCTGGACATGATGTTTATCAAGCTCAGTATTGGTGTCTTCTTGCTTCGACTATGTGTCAAAAAGGTTTACAACTGGATCATTTGGGTCAGCTTGACCATTATCAGCATCTGGAGTATCGTTCTCTTCTTTTGGAACCTATTCCAATGCCACCCAGTCGAGATGCAGTGGGACTTTCGAATAAAAGAAGGCAAATGTGTTAGCGCAGACCAGATCGTCTCAGCTGCCTATGCTATAAGTGTCATGACGGTTGTGTCTGATTGGCTTTATGTAAGTAAAACATCTCATTTCGTTCCGCTGCCGTGCCCATACTGATCACTTGCGAAAGGCTCTTCTTCCGATTCCAATGCTGTGGTCAGTCAAAATGACAAAACAAGCCAAGGCAACTGTTATTGTTATTCTGGGATTGGGAATATTGTAGGTTGATTCTTCTGATTCTTCTGCTTCTTCAATCAGATTTCTAACACATAGTTAAGTGCTAGCGTTGCGACTCTTGTTCGCCTACGATTTCTTGCCGACCTTACCGACACCGATGATATCCTTTGTGAGTAACATCTAATCATGCTCTTTGATCATGACTAACAACTTTTCAGTTGCCGGCACTGATGCCATGGCTTGGACGCTGATAGAACCAGGCGTCGCTATTGTTGCATCAAGTCTAGCAACCATCCGACCACTCCTACGCGCTATGAAGATTAGGGGCTTCGAATCGACCGATAACACTTATAGCACAGGTCACTCTGCTGGCATGCCTTCGAACGCAAATCGCGCAAAGTCTGCAGTATTGGCTATGCCAGGCTTTGGCCCAGATGACGTTTCGCTTAACAACATTACACATCAAAACAAAACAAACGGACGATCTCATACGGACGATGTTCATATTCTTCCACCTCGAAATCATACCGAAGGCCCTTTTTCACCTGGTCAAGTGAGCATCGTTAAGAGCGAGATCCTGGTGATTCAAGGCAACAGTTCACCGCCGTCGTCCTGGCGGAGCCAAACAAATGACTCTCCTTCCAGTTCTTTTGAACAGCTTCACAACCTTGAAGCACAAAGCCAGGATATCGAACGGAGCCGCAACAATATGATTGGGAGATAACGGAACCGTGTATGATACGAGACCCCGCCTGGACACGATAAAGCCAGATGTACGACCAATTCGCATTTTACTCTTTTCACACATTAGAAACGACTTTCGGGGGGTTCTTTGACTTCGTAGAAAATCTACGAGTGGCGTTAGGAATTGGAGACTAAACACGGGAAACGTTACTAAATCGGTGTATTACAATTGGGTTTACCTCTGCAAAGAGAGGTGGTTACTAGAGCTACGAGCCAGTTGAGACTCGGTAGCAGGGCGTTCTTGGATAGTACTTGTGGTTCGGCCAACTGGATTAATGTATACATGATAATTCAAAATTTCAAAAGTTAAAAGGATCGGTTAAGTCTTAACCTTGATACCCAATTTGAGATATTCGCCGTGTTCGTGACAATTTTCACAGCTTTTACCCGGCAGAAACCTTCAACTCAGGATATGAAACAATCCATCGATGCTTGGTGATATAATTTGGGTATATTTCTTCGTTTTACCTAGTGGCTTGTTTTCTAAGCCACTTGCCGCGACATATTCTTCTAGTTATTCATGTTTTGAGGCTCATACAGCACCCTGCGACTTCACATTTTTACATCATGACAATACCTCTTGCTCTACTCTAAGGTCCTCAGATGAGACCTCCCACTCCTCCTCTTCGTCCCACTTTGGCGCAAGGACAAAACGACCCATGATTTTGCCCATGCCAATGCTTTCCCCCCCAACAACACCCGGCCGAGGCTTCTCGTCGTTCTCTTCGATGATAACGGCTGTCGTCAAAAAGTTCATGCCAGTGGCGGGGCTCAGCTCCATGGTGCTACCGCCCCAGTCCATCTCGACACGGCCTGACTTGCGCACCTTTAGTTGGCCTACCATGCCACCTGATGATAGCAGGCTGGACATGAAACCGGCTTTTTGCTCCGGGTCTTCGAAGCCGGGAATGTTGAAGCCTGTGCCGTTCATGTCATCTGTGAGATCAACAGGGTTGGCGTCTGCGGCGGCTGGTGTTGATTCGAGGATGTTATCGTCGTCCTGACCAGGCTCGGGCTTCACCTTGCTGGAGGACTTGGGTTGAGCGACCGGCTTCAGGGGAGGTAGAACTGGAGGGAACTGGAATAAGTACATGCGGCCGTCTTTGTTGCTGGGGCCTTCTGTTTTGCCCTCTTCGCCTTCGGAGATCTCAACGGCGCCTAGCTCGTTGGCAAGAATCTCCAGGTCCGTCTGGATCATAGCCTCTTCGGAATCCTGGGTTGGCTTCTTGGCCTGTGGTGTTGGTGTCTCGGCAACTTCCTTGCCCTTGTCTTCTGTTTCTGTCTTCTTCTCAATATCTAGGTCCATCGAGTCGTCGAGCCCTGGTTCCTTCTTAATGACCGGCGTTTTCGACTCAGTGTCCCAGATACCACCCTCTTCTGTGTTTTCGTCTGCTGGTTGAGGTTCACCTGCATCACCGTCCACCCAGAGACTCTCCTCTTCCTTAGCAGGAGCTGGAGGGACGGCTTGCGCGTTCTCTGCAGCCTCCAATTCCGCTGTGGTGGCCACGATAACACCTTCGTCCTTGTGCTCTCGTCGATATATACCCATTGGGAGAACGCTGACGGCTCGGGAGTTGAGCGCCTCTATCATGGCCTCGTCTTCGCTATCGAGGTCCTCTTCAGGTGTATGAACATGGAGCTTATCCGCGTTGATTCGAGCCTCGCGATATCGTGATGCCTGAGCGAAGCCAGGCTTGGAGTCGGATTTGAAACCTCGTCCACCACCACCTCCTCCAAAACCACCACCACCACCGCCGCCGCCAGACCAACCACCACCTCCTCGTCCAGCACCTGTGAATATTAGAACCTTGCCATTGAGCAATGGAATCTTGCGAACAAGTCTTACCTCCTGCACCAGCAGAGAAAGGACCGCTGGCTCCTGAAATTACTCGCCCAAAGCCACCTCTGCCCATAGCATCACCACGACTTCTCTTACTCCTGAACCTCGAGCGTCCTCGAGCTTTGCGCTCATCTGCCGCCCTTTCACTGGCTTTTTGCTCCTCTAATCGAGCTAGGCTATCTCGTTCTGCTTCATCTCGACGAACATTCTTGGGTCGAAAGCGACCAGCTGCGGGTGCCCTTGTCGCTCGGGTGGTGCCTCCACGGCCTGGTGTAGCTGATATACTTCGAGGAATTGGGGTCGCGCTACCTGAAGCAGCGCCTGTAGCTGCTGGAGTAGAAGAAGGGTCAGCGCTACACTCGGCCGTTGCTCGCGAACCTGCAGCAGCAGCGCCTCTCCGGGTGCCCCGGGCTGAAGCCCTCCCACGGTTCATATCCTCTGTTTAGTGATGGTGATTGATGTGTTTCTGTATCGATCCAAGAGGTGGGTAATTTTTTCTGTCGTTGTTACTCTTGTCGTTGTTGTTGTTGTCGCTCGTTATAAAATACAGCTTCACAAAAATTTAGTCTGAGTCGCGAATGCGAAAGTCAGATAGTGGGGGCGGGATTGGTGGGGGACGAGATTCTGCCACTTGATCATACTCACCGCCTGCAGACCTGATGTCACCTTGCAATGGTATTGTGAGTGATCAACAGCGGGCCAAGTATCAACGAATTTTAATACTTTAGATAATCAATTTAATGGTCGACAAGAGGTTCAAACTGCAGAATATCAATACCCGTTGGCCTTATTTGAATAGTAAAGGGAAATATGCCTCCAACGGCCATTCCTTGCACGTCCCAAACCTTAAGAGGCTAAAGTGCACATTGCAACACAAAGAGGCACTGCCCTGGTCCAGGCCTCGAGTGTATTGATTGGCCATATCAACATAGTTAACCTCATGGATAATAAATAATAAGTTAACACACAAAGTAACCTTATTCCTCCACTTTTCACTTTTCAAGGCCATAAACAGAGTTGCGACTCTCGCACTGCGGTGTGATTCCTAATATGGAAGTGTGGCTGGGGTTTCATTGGCCAGCAGCCCATCCCAGCCTTCAATGATGACTTCGACTTAGACGTCAGGTTTCCTCCAGGCTTACCAAAGCAATGTAAGACAAGCATACTGATATCCGACGATAATTTACAACGATATCTGTAATACTTGGCCAATAAGGTACGGTGAGAGTCCTGCCCCGTCACAACATCCATCATAGAACTCAAAACAAATCTTTCTTGACCAACATCAATATATATATCATTCGAATAACTATCGCTATGGTGACTTCAAATAACACAATATTCTCTCCGACCCCAAAAGACCAGGTCCCGATATGTACTATCTCAGTAAAATTTGCTACTCCAACATCGCTTTGGTCGTTCTAGATGTGGACTATGAGGGCTTTTGGGTACAAGTGATAGCGACCTGGCATCTGTTACGAGTGCTAATGCCAACCCAACAAGGCTTCATTAAGGTCGAATCAATACCTGCTAGGCAGATGGATTGTAGAGTCTTGTAGTCTCACTGAAGGCACATCAATGCCTTGTCACCGAACTCAGAGGCAATGCTACCCTCTCGAATGATCATCGACCCGATCCAATCTCGTCCAGCTTCCACCGTTTTTGCCCCAAACTTGACAACCACACAACCTCGAACGTTGGCCGCAGACCAAAGCACACCACCTTCGTTTTCTTCTTTTAGCCTCTGTAGTCTCCAACGCTCAATATCAGAAACATCTGCGTTTTCCTGCGCCATTGCTTCTGGTGATCGGAAATCCCTGGCTCCGATACGCGGAAGGGCAGCAAACTCCTCCTGGAAGAACTCCCCCAATGATTTGGTTTTGGATCCTCGTAGTATGAGAGTACCAGATATGGCCATGTGCTGCATCATTTCTGGCAGTGTTCGGCCAACTGATTTACTCGCTTCTCTGGATAAGATGACTGAGTCTCGGACTAGGAGTCTACCAGCAGAAGTTGCTTCCTCGTCTTCAAGCCATACTTCGTTGCGCCCTGTCCATTTCCTGAAGCTCCAGTTCTCGCCGCGAGCTACGCGCCCTTGAGTAACCCAATCCAGAAGACAAAGTGATGCTTTGCTTCGGAGCTTGAATATCTGCTTCTGAGCGTATACGCTATCTTCGAATGGCTGAACAGGGTCTGGAAGAAGACACATAGAAGCATGGTCGTCTATAGTGACATCCAAGGTTTGAGTTGTGATGACGTCTGCTGTAGGCGACTTGAAGATCTTTGTGTGGCCTTGGGTAGCGACACTGAGCTTAGCCTGCGGTTTGACGTGAACAGTCAAATTGACGCCATCACCGGCGACAAGACCGCCTCCATACGATAGTAGAAACACTAAAGTGCTCGGTTGGCTCGATGAAGGAGCTGGTGATATCAACTTCAAAGGATATTGATAAGTCATCGTCTCAAGACCGCTTTCACCTGCGGGGAGGAGGCCGACAACGATGCGGCCATCGCCGGGAGCTGAAGATGATGGAGGAAATGGTGATTCCATTGCTGAAGCATATTGTGATGATAAGGAAAGAAAAAGAAAAAGAAGAGCAAGAGATCAGCAAGAGTTTCCTTGGGGATAGACAGTGTCAAACAACGTCTCCATCTTGACGCAGAATCACGATATATACCTGGTTGTTAAGTGAGGCACGAGTCAAAGGGCCTCTTCTATTAGATAAGAGATAAGAAGTCGTTGGTCTGAATTGTGGCATGTGGCCCACTTGAAGCTTGGATTGTGGGGGACGACCCGAGCTTGGACGTGGCTTGGCAGCTCGGGACAACGAAAGGGAAGCTACGGGCGGCAAGGTCAATTAACAATAGGCACCTTCCCGCCGTGCCTACCATGCCTGCCAACCTGCCCCCGACGTTCACCCGTACCTCTAGTAAAGGAAGCCGGCACCCACCCACCTGCCAAAATAGCTTGCCTGCTTGCGCCGTCATCTCCATCCACATCTGCACTCTACCACTCCACGCGACATTCGACGCGCCAAAAGACCTAGAACACCATTGTCGCCCTCGAATCGAGGGTTTCCAGGATCGACACTTGATATTTTCAATGCCCATATCGAGACCACCTTTGAGAGAAACCATGGATGATAACGCGAGCCCGACTCCCGACCCCGATGCCACAACGCGTCGCCGATCGGGACGCGTCGTGAGAGCTCCCTCCAAATTTACACCTGAACCTACATCTCAATCTACCAATCCCAAGCGCAAGCGAGACGAACAAGAGGAGGATGAACAAGACGTCGAGAATGAAGCGCCCGATTCAGACCAGGAGATGAGCGACGAACCCGATGACGATAGTGACGATGATCATCCCGCACCACGTTCCAGGAAGAAGGCGTCGCAAACAAGTCGCGCAAAGAAGCCTTCCGCCAAAAAGCCAAAGATCAACGGTTCTAAGCCTTTGCGACCTGCGCGAATTGCCCATGGCGCCAAAAGTCTTCCGAGCAGACCTAAGAAGAGTGTTCGGATTGAAGATGCGGCCGTGAAGGGAACTGGGCTTTACGGTAAGCAGAATTCCTCTAGACCAACGCTCTTTCCTGCATACTGACGCGACTTAGCCGATTTATTTGGAGCGGGTGATTCTAGCAAATCGGTGGCTGAGGCATGGCTGGCCCAATACGGAGAGGATGGAGCAGCAGCCTTCACCGATCTGGTGAATTGCATTTTGCAATGCGCTGGCTGCGACCAACTCATTACAGAAGATGATGTACGAGACACGGAGAACATTGCTGGGAGACTGGCAGATCTCCAAAGTGTCTACCAAGAGGTAACCCTGAGTTGTACTTTTTGAGCTAAAATTTCAGGCTGACACCTTCGCAGCAACAAATCACCGACTACCCTCTCATCTCCAGAACCAAACAATCGCGATCCTTCCGAGACCTGCTCATTAGCTTCTTCGAAAACCTCATCGTCAACATGCATCAAGGTGGACTCATGTACCGAGACGAATTTCTTGTCGACAACCTTCACGCATGGCTTGCTAGCATGTCTTCGTCGTCTCTCCGTCCATTCCGTCATACCGCAACCACCATATCCCTGGCAGTGCAGTCTGCACTGGTCATGGTCGCCAATCATCTCGATTATCGAGTTGGACACTCTGCTGGAAAGGCGCGAAATGGGAAGGGCAAAAACACCAATGAAACGCAACGAGATACGGAAAACAGCAATAACCGTAAGGTTTGCAGCGAGGCGATCCAGTCCTTTTTCGACACCGTCTTTGTTCACCGCTACCGGGATGTCGACCCCAAGATTAGAACCGAATGTGTAGAAGCTCTTGGCAACTGGATCATTTCATTGCCAGCCATCTTTCTTGAGCCTGGCTACCTGCGCTACCTGGGCTGGATGCTGTCGGATACGAACGGGCCCACCCGGCTGGAAGTCTTGAAGCACCTTGCCAGAGTCTTTAGCAGGGATGCGTCCCAGCTGGGACATTTCATTGACCGATTTCGCCCCCGCTTGGTCGAGATGGCCTGCAAGGATTCTGATGTGTCCGTTCGTGTTGCAGCAATTAACGTTATTGACGTTCTTCGAGACCAAGACCTGCTCGAGGGCGAAGAGATTGATGCCATTGGCAAACTTATCTTTGACAATGAGCTCAGAATCCGAAAAGCAGTTGTTGGCTTCTTTGTGGCCTGTACCAAAGACGCTATTAGTGAAAAGGTGAAGGCCCTCGGTGACTCAGATGTTATGGAAGATATTCCTCGTGGGAAGCAAGCTTCTCTCGATGCACCCCGCGCTGAGTGGGTTAACTTGAAATGCCTGGCCGAAACACTTGCTGTTTATGATGCCCAGATTGAAGAAGAGCACCAAAGTGGCCAGGTTCTGGGATTGGATGTTGCTGTGGACCTTTTGGAATCGGCTGTTCCAGAGACCAGGATCTCGCTGGCGTCCCAAGTTCTATACGATAAGGTTGACGCGATCAAGCAGTGGACGCTTTTGTCTGGGTATCTGCTATTCGACCACACCACCAGCTCAAAAGCAAGGTCTAAGGGTAACAACCCAGAGCTCGCTTTTAAGAAGGCGGTGGCTCCCACACCTGCCGAAGAATCGATACTATTGGATGTGTTGAGCTCAGCAGTCAAGTCAAGTCTAACACATTCGGCCGAGCACGACAGATCAAGGAAGAAGCCACATATATCTAAAGATGCTGAGGATGTGAGCATAAGCCCTGAGGATACTGCGGCTGAGTTAGTTATTGTCATTCCTCAGCTCTTGAGCAAATTCGGAGCAGAGCCGGACACAGCTGCAATTGCCCTTCGCTTGGCGCACTATCTGAATCTCGAGGTCTTTAAGCAGCTCCGACAAAATTCAAACAAGTACGAAAAGCTGCTCGACGAGATTATCACTCAGTTCAACAGACACGACGATAAGAGAGTTTTGTCCGAAGTGGCCGCAGCGCTGTTGCACTCACGACAGTATGAGGAACTAGAGGAGCTCACAGACAGCAAAATCTCAAACCTTTGGGAGACTGTCATTACAGGTCTTCACAACTTTGATAAGACATATGAGCTTTCGTCGAGAGGTAACTTGGAAGAAGCCCCCCTCAAAGAGCTGTCAACAGTCCTCCTTAAGATCAGCAAGTTGGCGAGTATTTCGGATTGTATCGATGTTCTCGAGGCCGAGGACGATTCTACAGAGTCGGCGACGCCAGCAATTCAGATACTAGTCAATATCGTGCATCGTGGCAAGTATGAACCTCTTGATGACCAAGATATCGATGACCTCGAGGATGAGGTTGTCTCATTCGCGATCAAGACTTGCCAGTTCTACTTTATGTGGAAGGCCCGGGCATATTCCAACCTCCTCTCATCAGGTGGTAGCATTGCGGATGCTGAGCTTGACCGCCTGTCTGCACTTCGGGGAACTTTCCGCAGACATCTCATTGAAACACTCTCCTCTCGTGCTGCCATTGATCAATTACGACTATTTGCCACTGGTAGCCTATGTGATCTCCACCTCACCTTTGCAACTCTGCGACCAACGATTGAGCGACTGCGACCCTCGTCAAGTTCTGAATCGCAATCCACAGAAAGTGAAAAGTACAAGGCATTGGTCCAAGAGATTGAGTCAGGCCTCGTTCCTGAGTTGATTGCCATCTTTGATGGCGCCGAGAAACAATATGCCAAGAAGGTGAAGAAGGACAAGCTCTTGAATGAACCAGCTGAGGATGAGGATCCTGTAGCCGATGAAGAAGAGGAAGAGGACGAAGATGAAGATGAGAGTTTGTCGGAGGAAGAGCGTTTTGCCGCCGAACTCAAGGCTGAGAAGGCTCTCTGTGAACTCACAGCGAAATACGTTCTCGTCATTACCGCACGCCTTGTTGATTATAAGGGCTCACGCGCTGGCAAGCTAAGGCGACGTCTACTCCGCAACCAAAACAAACTCGGCCACAACTTCAAAGAAGTTGTCACCTACCTAGATGAAGAGAAGCTTGCCGAGCGGACAAGAAAGAAATCCGCCACCACACAGACTGCAACAACCGCGAAGCCCCAAAAGGTGCAGCTTAGCGAGGCCCTCGTCGTTGAGGATGATGATATCTTTGACGATACACCACCCCCTGAAGAGGGTTCGCGAGAGGATCTTCGTCAAAAGGGTCTTCTGGAGGACGACCCAATCGAGGACGATGACGAAAATGAAGATGAAGAAGCGGAACGACCAGCTAATGAATCAGATGATGAAGTTATTGGAGATTAGAATACGAAGAGGCTGACTTTTCGTACGTGGTGGACATATAACTATTTCAATGCTTGGCGGAAATGATCTTTGTTTTCTGTTTCGTTTTTCCAATCCCAGGGTGGCTACAATATCGGCTAGTTCAACTTTCCCCCTGTTTTCTGTGTATGTAGTCGGCCTCTCGTCGCTTTGGACCTACACAACGGAGTCTGGGTATGTGACGGAGGGCCTCAGTTTAAGGCGTCAAAAGACTGCGAGTGTAAATACTATCATTGCATCATCAGAACTACTTGTGCCCACGCTTGCCAATTGCTGCTATTCGTCTCGAAAATATCCCCTTTGAACATAAACGCCCAATTGTTACTCTCCCAACTTGACTTTTCCATAGACCTTTTAAACCCGACTCACTTTCATAGCACTCTTCCACTGGCTTTACGCCCCCCATGTATCTCGTGTTCAATCATAATCCTGCAATCATGGAGCCGAAGAGCCGGTGCATTCTCTGCCATCGTTTCTTATCTCCTGCGTCAGCCGCTGATAGATCCGATTCAGGCACCTTGACGCCAAACTGTTGTATACAACATGGAAACGCCCGGTTTGTCAACGGCACCTTGCCTGACTTCGCAGTCTCGGGCCGTCGCTGGTCTTCGTCGTCGCTATCAGCTGGGGGCTTGCCCTGTCTTGCTGCTTCTTGAGCGGCTGTTTTCCTCTCTTCCAGGTTTCCCCACAGGATAAACATTTTCTCGCGGAGGGTAGTAAGTGCTTCTTTGTCTTGTCTCAAGTTGGATGCGTCGAGACTGAGCAGACATTGCGCAGCTTGGTTGTCCACTGCTACCCAGAGCCTCTCCTTCTTCTGCTTGGCTGGGACTGCAGCATCTTCAAGCTCTAGGAAGAAGCGCCACTCCCAATTCCGCGCTTTCGTGAAATTGTCCAATGTCACCTGGCCTGACTGTCCATCTTCCTCTTCGGAACCGCTGTCAGATACAGATTCTCCGCCGTCATCAGAAAGATCATCATATTCTGATTTCTTCTTTGGGTAGGCAAAGTCCGTAAGATCTGACGGGGCGAAGTCGACTACCCGAACGTTGGCACGGTAGTTAAGATTCACAAATGGCAGCGAGAGCTTTACACTCTGTCCCTCGATAGTGGTTTCTTGTCGCACCAGTGCCTTGATCTCGGATATTAAGCTGGGAGGCTTATCTTGGTTTTCACATTTCACTGAGACTTGTTAGCAATTGCGTTGATTGACTTTGTGGGTAAGTTGAGCTCACCGTTCGTGTTCAAGTCCGCTACATGGATTGTGTCCTGCTCAACTTGGTCATCGATCTGATCTTGTCTGTTATTTTTGTTTTTGTTTTTGTTCTTGCGCTTTTCGTTCCGTCTCGTTTTGGCATTCTCTTTCTTCTGCTCTGTGTTATTGTCAACACAGCTCTTCCGCTTCTGTCCTGCTTTGCTAGCCTCCTTTATCTCTTTGATTTGCCCCTTTCTTAACCGATCGTACTCTCTTTTTCTTTGTAGTGCTTCCTTGGCACGTGGATCAAAGTTTTCGGAATCTGCATTTGAATCTATTGCCTGGATGCCAATCCTTGTACCAAAAGACCCGCGGTCTTCTCTCAGGTACCCTTCCAGATTAGAACCATTACGGCCTATCTTGATCTGTAGATTTTTTATCGACACCCATGTGAGAGGCTCGAGTCTTGATTCGCGAACTATAGTGGCGTGAGGTTCCCAACAAGTGATTTGCAAACACCTCCGCCCGTAAGGACCTGGCCACTGAGAGCTCGCGGTGTCGACCATGAACTTGTCAGTATAGCCATATGGGTCGCCGTCTCGTCCAAAAGAGGAGCCGTCCATGCCAATAGAGAATTTGTAGAAGGCCGGGTTCTCTGTATAATCAGAAACCCATATAGTAATTTTATCGCCTGCATCATGGGGTGGCCGGACCACCTGGGTGACAATGTCACAAAACTGCCCGTCCTTGAGGTCCTTGAGTAGGCTGAACTTGTTCTTGACGTTTGCAGAAGTGACAACCATGACTTCATACTCTTCTTTACTGGGCAATCGATCTTTGTCGATGCTGTGATACAGCTGAGAAACAAAGGTACTCTCGTTGACAGATGGTGGAGTATCCTTGGTACAAGGGGGAGGGTAAAGAGCGCATGAAGCTTCGCCTGGAGGTTTGGGAATCCTTGAAGCTTCATAGGCCGAGATTTTGGTATTATAATTGGTCAAGAGGGAACAGACATCCGAACCATACCGTTGAACCTGTGGTGACAGTCAGTATGGAGTGGCATACGCGATAGCCATGGTGGTATTTACCTTGACATGACGGAGCAGTAGTACGTCGCCACAGCCTATTTTTGGAAACTCATTCTCAGGACGAAAAATGTTGACTGAAATTGAATCATCATCCTCAATAGAGGAGTCATAAAATCGAATTTGGCATTTCCAGTCTAGTCGGGTCAGATGAAATACTAGCAGACAATAGGGGCCCTATACCTTTGCCTCTTGTTGGAACAGGAGCACGAAAATCAACAACAATGCCAACTACATTGACAATGGAGTTAGGCCGGTTTTTGCCGTCTAATAGGTCCCGGATTGCGGCATAGTTTGGAAGTGTCAATGCTGAGGATGGCGGCATTGGAGCTGATACAGGTACTTAAACAACGAAGCAAGCTTCGCGTCACATGAGAAAGTGGGTAATGTAACAAAGAGTGATTGCTTGGTAGAGTATTGGTTTACGTGATCGTGTTAAGTGGTAATATAGTTTGAGTATTTGTACGTGATAGATAGGCAAAGGAAAGATCCGTGAGACGCGGTTGAAAGATAAGGCTTGGACGCGTTAATGAGCCTGCCCCTCCAAGACTTGAAATCACGACAACACGTGACCATGCATGTGATTTGATTTCCCTCACATCAGTGACATTGGCAAGTTGTACTTATGTTAGTACCTACTATGGACATGGTATGCATGTGATGCAGCAGGATTTTGCAATGCTGCACATATTGTAGATAGACATGGTGGAAGAGAACTTTACTGACGTATTCGTTTAGAACAAGGCCAAGAATGACATTCAAAAAAGAGTAATAGAAAGAGAATCAACAACGATACCATTGTCAGGCACTTGGACTAATCGCCCTTATTCAATCAAACTATCGTGGAATACTCTGCCAGTCTCCCAGTTCTTCTGGTTGCTTTGTTTACCTGCTCTGCAAGTGGATTAAAAAAACACAGGACCCTTCTTGCTTCTGGAAATTCTAGATTACCTTACCCACATGGTTTGCCTCAAAACCCTCTTTTCTGCTGCAGAGCTGAGCCGATTCGCAATTTGATTGCACGACGTCCAACTAGTAGAATTGGTGCCTGAGGCTGAAACCACCCGATCAGCGCCCTTCACTGGCGGTAGTGGCTTCTGTTTGGGCTTGGCAGCTTGGACTTCCACTGGCCCAGGTACCTAAGAAAGAACCTGCCCTGCCTGCTGGGTCAATCATTTCAACGCCCTCCTACTAGGTAAGTTAGTCCCCGGCCGACCAGACCAGACCCAGACCCAGACTTTAAGACTTCTCTTCTCCATCTTCATCAACAGCAAATCTTCCTCCTTTTCCACTTCCTCACATCTTCCTCTCTCCCCACCAGATTCTCTACCCTACTTTGCAAACTCAGGCCTTCAACCTAGAAGCTGAGCTTTTCCCGTCCTCTCCCTTACGAACTCTTTGTGCTTCTTCCACCCCGCACATTAATTTGCTGCTGTTCACCTACCAACGCCCCCTCGGACCAAAACAATAGCAGTCACCATGGCTGAGCGATACATCCCCGAGCATCGCCGCACTCAGTTCAAGGCGAAGAACACCTTCAAGCCTGAGGAGCTCCGTCGTCGCCGTGAGGAGCAGCAGGTCGAGATTCGAAAGGCCAAGCGTGAGGAGAACTTGGCCAAGCGACGAGGTATCGGAACCGGTGAGAACCGTCCTGGTGCTTCTCTTGGTGCCGCCCCCGACAGCGATGATGACACGGCTCCTACCGAGTCTCAGGTATGTGTATCTCTTTTCCTCGATCCTGTGCCATTGCCCAACCCGCCGCTTTTGCTTGTTGTTTGCGCAAACCCTGTCGCCTTCGCTTCGCCCCGTTTCTCCCGTCCGGCCTGTGATGTGGGGGAAAATGCAGAACTCATATAACCCCACATTCTGGTCCGAACTTGAGTAAAGGCTGGCCACTGGTGCTGTGATGCTCTTTCAGTTCCATGATCTCCTGGCACACGGTCCTCGTGGATGGCATAAGCTTGGTTCGATGTTACTCTTTGATCGGCGTTAGCTAACCCCTGTTTTTAGTTGAATGAGGACCTTCCCCAGATGGTGCAGGGCGTCTTCTCGGACCAGATCGATTCGCAGATTCAGGCCACCACCAAGTTCCGAAAGCTTCTTTCCAAGGAGCGTAACCCCCCGATTGAGGAGGTCATCAAGACCGGTGTTGTTAGCCGCTTCGTCGAGTTCCTGCGATCCCCTCACACCCTGGTTCAGTTCGAGGCTGCTTGGGCTCTGACCAACATTGCTTCTGGCTCCGCCACACAGACCCAGGTCGTCATCGAGGCTGGCGCTGTTCCCATCTTCGTTGAGCTCCTTGCTAGCCCCGAGCCCGATGTCCGGGAACAGGCCGTCTGGGCTCTTGGTAACATTGCTGGTGACAGCCCTCACTGTCGTGACTATGTCCTCAGCTGTGGCGCCCTTAAGCCTCTTCTTAACCTTCTCGGCGATAGCCGTAAGTTGAGCATGCTCCGCAACGCTACCTGGACTCTTAGCAACTTCTGCCGTGGCAAGACCCCCCAGCCCGACTGGACTACTGTAAGTTGACGCTGGAAAAACAACAGCACATCCAAACTAACTCATGATTAGATTGCCCCCGCCCTTCCTGTCCTGTCCAAGCTCGTCTACTCCCTTGACGATGAGGTCCTGATTGATGCTTGCTGGGCCATCTCTTACCTCTCCGATGGATCCAACGACAAGATCCAGGCCGTCATTGAAGCTGGCATCCCCCGCCGACTGGTGGAGCTGCTCATGCATGCTTCCACCTCCGTCCAGACCCCCGCTCTGCGATCGGTCGGCAACATTGTTACTGGTGACGACGTTCAGACCCAAGTTATTATCAACTGCGGTGCTCTGCCTTGTCTCCTGTCCCTGCTCAGCTCTACTAAGGATGGCATTCGCAAGGAGGCTTGCTGGACTATTTCCAACATCACTGCTGGCAACTCTTCCCAAATCCAGGCCGTGATCGATGCCAACATCGTTCCTCCTCTGATCCACCTCCTCCAGAACGGCGACCTCAAGACCCGTAAGGAGGCATGCTGGGCTATCAGCAACGCTACCTCCGGTGGTCTCCAGAAGCCCGAGCAGATTCGCTACCTGGTCGCCCAGGGCTGTATTAAGCCTCTCTGCGATCTTCTTGGCTGCCCTGACAACAAGATTATTCAGGTTGCTCTAGATGGTCTTGAGAACATCCTCAAGATTGGAGATCTGGACAAGCAGGCCGCTGGTGACGCCGGTGACTCGATCAACCGATATGCTCTCTTCATCGAGGAGTGTGGTGGTATGGAAAAGATTCACGAGTGCCAGAACAACGACAATGAGGAGATTTACATGAAGGCTTACAACATCATCGAGAAGTACTTCTCTGATGATGATGAGAACGCTGATGAGGGTATGGCTCAGCAACCCGCTGGACCTAACGGTACTTTCGGCTTCGGTACCAACGGTGCTGCTCCCTCAGGCGGCTTCGACTTTGCCAAGGGCAGCGATGCCATGGACATGTAAAGGACTCGTTGGTTCGGATCGAAAATCACGACAGGATATCCAAAACGCGGAGCAATCCCAAACCCCCAAAGACATAGCACCATCAACACCCCTTCCCCAGAACAGTTTTATCCGACTGTCATTTACCCCCATCCCCATGATATCACTCCCCATACCGCGTCTTTTTAATGTATCTGGAAGGTTTAAAGAGGGAGATCGCATCCCCTCAATTACAGGCCCTATGGTAGCTTGAAAGCTCCAGCCTGAGAGTGAAGGAGTAAGACAAGAGCAGAGTCAGCGGAGGCGCTCGGTTTCTCGGCCACGATTGAAGAAGTCGCCGACGTCGACGAGTCTACGCGTCTACGCGAAAGAAACATCATGATGGTTGGTGTTGAGGCACACGGGACTTGCGTAGAACTACCGCTGAAGCGAAAGGCAGCGTCAATCGAGGACGGGTGTCTTGGAGAAGCCCATGCTAGTGCATCGGGACTTCTGAGAAGGTGAAGCTCGAAATTACGGGATTTACTGCCAAGTGGTGGTGAATCTGGTTTAAAAAATAGCCAGGAACCGTAGTCAAGTAAAAAAAAAGCATAACAGGAGTGTTTACCCCTCATTCATGACCATGATGATCTGTGCGTTCATGAGTGATGAAGGATTTATTTGATGTAATGTTAGACTGATTCGAAGCAAAAAGGGGCTGTAATTATGCGGTGTAGAGGTATTTTAAACCCAAACGCAACGGAGTATGTATCACTTTGATATCAAATTTGTACTGTAGCGTCTTGAGCAAATGTGTTTTGGTATGGGATATGCCACAAGGGATGGCGGGGGTCAGGACAGTATACAACATAGACGCACTGTATTTGTACGACAAACTCATAGGCGGTCACAGTGTGAGCCAGCTTAATTTTTCACTATCGTTTCATACAAGGCCATTGAAGGATGAGGTAAAAATGAAACCTTTTGCGACGGGGAGAGCCTGAACGTATAAAAATACTAGGGTTTTATTATTAGCTGCTGCTATGTCGTGCTGACTTTTTATGTTTACTTGGAATTTATCTTTACCTGGAGTAAAGATCAGCTTGACACAGCCTGAGGTTGGCTCCCTGGACATAGCAGGAGCTCCACCAAACGATCGCTTACCCGTCTCTTACAACATTCACTCTACAACACCACGGCCTATAACCATAGCATCTTAAAATGGTCAAGAAAGGGAAAGGAAAAGCCGGAGGGGGCATTGATCTCTCTGATCCTATGCCATCTGCACCATCCAAGAACCCAGTCAAGGGCAAAAAGGGCCAAAAAGGTGGCATCGCAACTCCTGAAGCAGCGCCCTCCTCAGAGCCTCCCAAGCCTACGGTGAAGCAGCTTATCGGCGGTTCTTCATGGACCGGAAAACTACCAGTCAACCTGCTCAGCGAGTACTGCCAGAAACAGCGCTGGGAAAGGCCTGATTATGACACCAGAAAGACTCCAGAGGGGTTCTCGGTCTGGGTTACGATGAGCGCAAAGGATCCCAAGACGCAGGAAACCACCAGGCTTGAGCCCTTCAAGATTCCAGCAACTCATAAACATCTCATCACGCGACCTACCGCCATAGAAGCTAAGCATGCAGCAGCCACATATGCTCTTTTCAGAGTCTGCAGCATGCAGAACAAACACACAGTTTTACCACCGGAGCACAAATCACTATGGAAAGACTTCCAGGCCCTCAAGGTGCAGGACCTGAAGGAGGGAAAGGCTTGGATGTATGAGCCAGACCCATTCAAGGCACTCCAGGAGCGCCAGGAGGCTAAGGCTGCTGCGGACAAAAAGAGAAAGGAGATTGAAGCTGCTAGAGCCAAGGCTGCGGCCATGCCTGGTGCTTCTGGGTTGGCTTTGATGAGTAGTTCTGGGAAAGACGGAAGGTCATCGAACATCATGAAGGGATGGAACACTGCGCCTAAAGTCGAGATGGGCAAGAAGACTAGAGCGCAGTTGGAAACTCTGTTACGAAGAGGCGTCAAGTGGAACCCCAACGACATTCAAATGTCGAAACCTCAGAAAGATTCTATTGTTGCTGAGTTCAGTAAACTCAGCTTTCGCAGAAGCCATGTGGAAGAAGCAGTCGAGTATTGTAAGGATCGGGAAGAGACCCTTGAGTGGCTACTAATCCACGTTCCCGAAGACGATCTTCCTCGATGGGCTTTGCCAGAAAGTTATGCTGCTGGTGTATCAGTTGGTACCACGAACCTAAGAAGGCAGGGCATCATTAAGAGACTCGCCCAGGCAGGATACTCGCTTGAACTAGCCACGAGAGTGTTGGACGAGCAAGACGTCGACGAAGACAAAGCTGCTGAGACGTTGCAGAATTTACTTTTCCCATGCGAGAACAGCAACTCTGACGACGCCGACTTCTTGGACCTAGGTTCACCTGAGGAACAATGGGAGGAAGAGGTTGGGAGTCTTGAAGCGATGTACGGGGACGGATTCGAGCGTGATGGTGATAATGTCATTCGTATCAAACTGGATTCTGTCAAGAACGGGCAACAACTTGTCGACGCGTCCTTGCAAATTCGCCGTCCAGCGACTTACCCTGCGAACTTGATCCTGTCGATCGTGGCCAACATTCCTTCTTACATCAAACTGAGCATCGTCCGAAAAGCGCTTGAACATATTGAAGAGTCTCTGAGAGATGAGCCCATGAAGATATATCTGACGATGGACTGGGTTCAGCAGAACATCAATGGTATCATTGAGGATCCTGGAAAACTTGTGGATATTTCTGCAGTTTCTTCAGCTGCAGCCGAGTACAAGCCCGTGGCGGCCATCACACAGAAGAAACGATCGGCTCGAGCTCCTAAGCTAATCAAGTGGATCAAGGATGAAAAGACTCGAGAACAGTGGCTTCGACGACAAGAGTCAACCTCGTTGAAGAGTATGATCGCTAAGCGACAGAACTTGCCCGCTTGGAGGATGCGGGAAGCCATTATTGGTACCGTCAGAAGCAACCATGTCACCATCATCAGTGGAGAAACAGGTTCAGGTAAATCTACACAGTCCATGCAATTCATCCTTGATGATTTGTATTCGCAGGGGCTCGGTGGTTGTGCAAACATAATTGTCACCCAGCCACGTCGAATTTCAGCACTTGGACTTGCGGATCGTGTAGCGGAAGAAAGGTGCTCACGAGTTGGAGATGAAGTGGGATATGCTATTCGTGGAGAGTCCAAGAGATCAAAGGATACCAAGATCACGTTTGTCACGACTGGTGTTTTGCTTCGACGGTTGCAAACCTCTGGAGGCCGGGTAGAGGACGTAGTGGCATCTTTGGCAGACGTCAGTCACGTCGTGATTGATGAGGTGCACGAGCGAAGTCTCGATACTGACTTCTTACTTAACCTCATTCGCGAGGTCATGAAATCCAAGAAGGATATGATGAAGCTTATTCTCATGTCTGCTACGCTCGATGCCGCGACCTTCAAGAACTACTTTGCCTCGGAAGGACTCAGCGTAGGCACCGTGGAAATTGAGGGTCGAACATTCCCGGTAGATGAGTACTACCTGGACGACGTGATCCGAATGACTGCGTACGGAGTTGAAAGCGCTGAATCTGAGTTCATTAGCGGGGAGGCTCTTGGTAAAGTCATCCAAAAGCTTGGCCATCGCATCAACTATAACCTGCTGGTCGAGACTGTCAAAGCAATTGATTTTGAGTTGTCCTACGAGAAGAAGCCTGGCGGTATTCTCATCTTCCTGCCTGGAGTCGGCGAGATCAACCAGGCCTGCCGCGCACTTAAAGCGGTCAACTCTCTCCATGTTCTCCCACTCCATGCATCGCTCGAGACACGCGAGCAAAAACGAGTGTTTTCTGGTGCCCCCCCAGGAAAGAGAAAGATTGTGGTCGCGACCAACGTTGCAGAGACATCAATTACCATTGACGACATCATAGCGGTCATTGACAGTGGAAAGGTCAAGGAAACTAGTTTTGATGTTCAGAACAACATGCGCAAGCTCGAGGAAACGTGGGCCTCGCGGGCTGCCTGCAAGCAACGACGTGGTCGAGCCGGTCGAGTGCAAGAGGGCAGATGCTACAAGCTCTTTACGCAGAACCTAGAGCAGCAGATGCCTGAGCGACCAGAGCCCGAGATTCGTCGTGTGCCTTTAGAACAACTTTGTCTGTCGGTCCGTGCAATGGGAATGAAGGATGTTGCTGGGTTTCTCGGCAGATCTCCTACGCCCCCTGACGCAACTGCTATTGATGGAGCTATGAAGCTCCTACAGCGCATGGGAGCACTCGATGGTGACGAGCTTACCGCCATGGGTCAACAGTTAGCCATGTTACCAGCTGACTTGAGATGTGGTAAGCTGATGGTGTTTGGTGCCATCTTTGGCTGTTTGGATAATTGTGTGACGATTGCCGCAATTCTAAGCACACGAAGCCCTTTTGTATCACCACAAGAGAGGAGAGAAGAAGCAAAGGAGGCTCGTATGGGATTTTATACTGGCGATGGTGATCTTTTGACAGATCTCCAGGCTTTCCTGGAGTGGGACTTCATGATGCATGACCGCATCCCTCATCGTCAAGTACGGACGTGGTGTGATGAAAACTTCCTAAACTTCCAGTCTCTGTCCGACATTTCCAACACACGCGCACAGTACTACACGGCTCTGGGAGAGATTGGCATCGTTGCGCCTTCTCAGGCATCAAGTGAGGCTCATGCGGCCAAAGCTAACTCCGATGGGTCTCAGTTGTTGAGAGCGTTGGTTGCGGCGGCTTTTACGCCGCAGATTGCTCGCATTCAGTATCCTGACAAGAAGTTTGCTAGTTCTATGTCTGGTGCTGTAGAGCTGGACCCTGAGGCGAAGTTGATCAAGTTTTTCAACCAGGAGAATGGAAGAGTGTTTGTTCACCCGAGCAGTACACTATTCGGAAGTCAAGGGTTCTCGGGCAATGCGGCGTACATGGCGTACTTCAGTCTCATCTCGACAAGCAAGATCTTTATTCGGGACCTGACACGTACGTATAAATCTATCGACTCTCATATTTCATTCGACTTACTAACATGACAATCAGCTTTCAACGCATACACGCTCTTGCTCTTCTCGGGGCCAATTGAGCTTGATACTCTGGGACGAGGTCTTCTTGTAGACGGTTGGCTGCGACTTAGAGGATGGGCACGCATTGGTGTTTTGTTAGCGAGACTTCGAAGTATGGTAGATGAGCTCATTGCAAAGAAGGTTGAGAATCCAGAGATGAGTGTTCAGGATGATGAGGTCATTACTTTGGTTAGGAGGATGATTGAACTTGATGGTTTGGATGCTTAGACCATAGGAGTTGGGTCGCTATTATGTAGATGGGGCTATGATGAAGGATAAATATAACGAATTTGAGTGTTTGATTAACTGAAGATTATTAATTGAATGAGACATAAACATTCACAGTATAAGAGATATCTAGATACCTAGTCAGTATTGATTTTCTTATTATCGCGAAGGGGAAGCAGCATGAATTATCTGGAGAACGGTGACCCCACCGTGGGGCATTCTATCATGAGTGTAAAAGCAACCTCATTTCAGCAATACCAACATCAACAGTGCATCATCTCCATTCAACCAACCTAATTATACCTAAATCATGGCGCATCAAGAGTCAGAGCCTGAGGAGGCCATCACCAAGGAGGAAATTCACAGTGAAGATCCACCAAAGAAGGCAAATCGTAATGCTTGTGAGTAACACCCACTCACTGCAAGAGCCCATTCTAACAAATGAATTGCACGATAGTCGCAGAACTTATGGCACCAAAGAGAAAGACGCCGCCATCAACAGCGGCTCGTCCTTCTAGAGCTGGAAACCCCTTTAGAGATCGGATGGGCTTAGGCGCATACCTGGAGGATCCAGCCTCATATCCGTCTTCTCGCGTCATCTATCACAACGACGACTTTGTAGCTATAAACGATCGCTATCCAAAGGCAACTATCCACACTCTTCTTCTGCCCCGCTCTACAAAGTATAACCTTCTTCATCCCTTCGAAGCACTGGACGATCCAGAGTTCCTTGCCAGCGTAAGAGCAGAGACTGAGCGCCTCAAGGCTCTCGTCGCAAAGGAGCTGCAGCGTCGTCTCGGCACACACAGCGAGAGCGACGCTCACCGACAAGCCGTGCTCGATGGAGACGCCGAGCCGGACAAGAGCGGGGAGCTTCCAGCAGGTCGGGACTGGGCGGCCGAAGTCAAGGCCGGGGTGCATGCGGTGCCAAGCATGAAGCATCTTCACGTGCATGTGCTTTCGCGAGACATGTTCTCAGAGGCGTTGAGACATCGCAAGCATTATAACTCGTTCAACACGCCGTTTCTGGTCGACCTGGATGATTTCCCGCTTCCAGCCGACGATGGGCGGAGACATACCAAGGAGGAGGCGTATCTGCAGTGGGAGATGATGTGTTGGAGATGTGAGCGAAACTTTGGAAATCGGTTTCGGGAACTTAAGATTCACATTACGGAAGAGTATGAGACGTGGAAGAAGCTGTAATGTAGACGACGGCATGAAAAGAAAGAAAAATAGGAGTCAAGGGCCTGCTATTCCCATGGGTATAGTAACATTGATAATCGTACAACTCCTGCAGAGTAATAATCCCAGTAATTCCATTAGACGAGCCAGATCCCTGTATCCTTGCGTTATATGAACCTCAAAGCAAACCAAACCCAAACCCAAACCCAAACCCTTTTGCTGCACTAGTTTAATCCATCATGATGTCGACGGTTGGCACAGAGCATTTAGCATCCATGGTGAGTGATCTATTCATAGTCATCGCCGTCATCCTGTAAATGTCACGAATTAGCAAATAGGCCGTTGATAAAGTGTTTAAGAGAAGGGATTTACCTCGTCCTTGCCAGGCGAATCGGCAGTGTCCTCGGTGGCGGCCTCCTTGTCACTCTCTTCGTCGGCTGACATACATTATTAGCCCGTCGTCGCATTAATCGTTTGAGAATTGAGGATTCGTACCAGGCTCAGCATCATCAGCCTCGTCTCCTGAGACTTCAGGCTCAACAGCCTTGGGCTTCCTGCCGCGCTTCTTGGGCTCCTTGGGTGTTGTAGCAGCGGGCTCTTCATCAGAAGTAGCAGCAGCGGCAGCAGCCTTACGAGGTCGACCACGTCCCTTCTTTGGTGTACCATCGTCATTCTGCGCAGCCGCACGAGCAGCCGCAGCAGTAACAGCCTTGGCCTTCTTGGCAGCTGCAGCAGCCTTCTTTGCGCCCGAGGCCGGAGGACGACCGCGAGGGCGACCGGTGGGAACGTAGACCTTCTTGGGCATGGGCGCAGCGCCCTTGGGGGGTCTTCCACGACCACGCTTGGCGGGAGCTTCAGCAGTGCTCTTGGTTACGCCAGCGGAGGATTTGGGAATTTCAGGCGAGGCATCGCCCTTTGACGCGACGAGATCTTCCTTGGTACGCGCCATGATGCGATCGAGAGAGGGGAATATAGAGAAGAATGGGAGAAGAAGGCTCGGGAAAAATAAGAAAAAAATAAGGGGAATGAATGTGATGCAGTCTTGTAATATTGAATTATCGCAGATGAAAACACGACTGATGATGGTTGATAGTGAAGAAGAAAATGAAAAGAAAGGATGTTGGAGGTCGCGCTTCTGCGGATGGATACTGTAGTTATTACTGGTTACTGCTCTACAATTTAGAGCTTGAGCGGGTTGGGCTAAGCTAAGGAAGGTACCTTGCGTATGCGCATGCGTACAAGGTAAAGTCGATTAATAAAAGTGGCTGGAGTTCGCGTTTGACCTCCGCGTCAAGAGCTTCTGTTTGGTGAGACAGAATAAGTTGAGCATAACAGAAGTGATAAACAGGGCGTTATTTCTTTCAGTGAATAATTCCGGACTAGACTATATATGGCCTAGCTTAACCGGGTCAGGATGGGTCGCTTGGCCCAAGCTCCTCTCTGTTAACCAGTCAAAACTGGAAAGAACAAGACAAGGGCCCCCTGCGACTGCCCCTAGCAACGCGAATGACGCTGGTAAACAAAAATCAATTGAAGCCATCAGATCAAATGTGGACTATTCTTCGACAACGACTTCACGACTCTATTGACGACGTTAATAAAACCCTCATAACCATGGCTCTAGACTCTCGCCTGATGCCTTCGGCCGCATCCTCATCATCGTCTTTCTACGAGGGCAGAGTTCATTCTTCGGCTTCAACGCCTTCACTGCGATCTCGCGATGCGGCTTCGTCTATGCCAGCCAGACTGGACGGTGGAGGAAATGTCAAGGTGGTTGTCCGAGTGAGAGCTTTTCTCAAGAGAGGTAAATCAACAGAATTATTGCGGTTCTCACCATCAATGCGCACAACACTAACACGCCCAAGAGCTTGAACGTCAGGCAAAATGCCTTGTTGAAATGGACCCCATCACTCAGCTCACAACACTCTCCTCACCAGATGATGAAGACCCAGAGGCTGCAAAACTAAAGACTCGAAAGATCATCGAGGAGAAGAGCTTCACTTTTGACAACTCTTTCTGGAGTCACGACACAAATGATAAGCACTATGCTACCCAGTCAGACGTCTATAACAGTCTGGGCGAGGACTTCCTCGACCACAACTTTGAGGGCTACCACACATGTATCTTTGCCTACGGACAAACTGGTTCCGGAAAGAGTTACACCATGATGGGCACCGCCGACCAACCGGGCCTGATCCCTCGCACATGTGAGGATCTCTTCGAGCGCATCGACGCGGCTCATAGCGAGAACTCTAACGTTGCCTACAATGTTCGCGTCTCCTACTTTGAAGTCTACAACGAGCATGTCCGCGATCTATTGGTGCCTGCTCAAACTCACAAGGCGCCCAATTACCTCAAGATTCGCGAGTCTCCCACCGAAGGCCCATACGTCAAGGATCTCACCGAGGTACCAGTGCGGAATATCAACGAGATTCTCCGCTACATGAAGTTGGGCGACAACTCTCGTACAGTCGCGAGCACCAAGATGAACGACACCAGTAGTCGAAGTCACGCCGTCTTTACCATCATGCTCAAACAGATTCACCACGATATGGAGACTGATGAGACAACGGAGAGGAGCTCTCGTATTCGACTGGTGGACTTGGCTGGTAGCGAAAGAGCGAAAGCCACTGAGGCCACTGGTGCACGACTACGTGAAGGCAGCAACATCAACAAGTCCCTGACCACTCTTGGGCGAGTCATTGCTGCTCTGGCAGATTCCAAGTCATCGAGGGGTGGAAAGCGGAGAGATGTCGTCCCATACCGAGATTCCATTCTCACGTGGCTTCTCAAAGACTCACTAGGTGGCAACAGTAAGACAGCAATGATTGCCTGCATTGCCCCCTCAGACTACGAGGAGACCCTATCGACACTGCGATATGCCGATCAGGCCAAGCGTATCCGCACCAGGGCCGTTGTCAATCAGGACCACATTTCCACAGCTGAGCGAGACGCACAAATTGCTGCCATGGCGGAAGAGATCCGTGTTCTACAGCTTTCCGTTTCCGATTCTCGACAGCGTGAGAAGAACGCCAAAGAAGCCGAGGAGAAGCTGGAGGAGTACCAAACACATGTCAATTCTATGCAGCGCATGATGGAGGAACGCAGCATGGTGGCCGAAAGCAAGATCAAGAAACTCCAGACAGAGAATGAGGCTCTCAGGTTGCATTTGAAGCTCGCCCTCGAAAGTATCAAGAACCCAATTCCCCCCGTTGTTGTCAAGGCGGATCGCGAGCTCGACGACGAAGACAAGGAAAACGCTTCTGAGTACGGTGATGATGATGATCAGTACGATTCAGAGAGCACGGCGTACAACGACGAGTATGAGTACGAGTTGCAGGAAGAAATGCAGCAATATCTCCAGGACATGGGCAACCTGAGAAAGCTGATGAAGACGGATCTGACCAGGTTTAAGGACGGGGAGAACGTCAGGATGCCACTCGGAAAGAGGCCAAATTTTTAAAACGAAGGATGGACAAGATGGACGAGAAGTGATTGAGGAATAGCCAGCATATGCAGCACGGTGTTTTGGGAGCGTTGGTTTGAATGAATGGATTAGATTGGATTCGAATAATGTCAGTAGGTTTATTCTCGACAATAGGGTTACGTTACGTTACATAGATGATTTTTCAAGATATGAATAATTCTGCACCGTCCTTTCTGAAGGTGTCTATTCGTTTAAACTACCTAGACATACCAATTGATGTTCTATACAAATCTAGTTGAATCCAAGTTACCGTGTGTTCAGTGTCTTACGCCTTGCCTTGCTTTGATATGAATCTGGTAAGTGTTTCCCATTGCCTTCTCTCACTCTCCTTCCTTGCTCGTCTCCCTGACTATCCTTCCGTGATTCCATCACTTAACAAACGGTAGGTATGTAATGTTCATAAGAGAAGGAAGCCAAAGCCCGAAGTGTCTTGGGAATGATCACCACCTTACTACTCACCTCTTCTTCTCTGATCCTTCATCTCTCCCACTTCAAACTTTGGACCACTTGTACTTCGTATTCAATCTTACGAACGACTACACTACTATCATCGCATACAGCCTCAATCAATCATCTGTCGAAGGACCCTGGGGAGTTAGTCATGTCTGCCACGTTACCTTCGGGTCCACCCGAGAACAACAAAAACCCTGACATACTTCCTCCGTCTATAACAAATCCAGAGTTACTTGCTCGACTAGCATCGATCTTGCGGGAAGCCGTCGAAGAGCGCGAAGCAGTAAGTATATCATATTCAACATTGCTGCTTTGAATTACTGACATGCTTGAAGTGGAAAGAGTACAATGCTATGATGGAGGAAGTAGAAAAAACAGACCAAGCGACTAAGAAACGGAAGGTGTTTCGCGAGTGAAGAGCTGCACGCTGTTTGGGCAGAGGAGACATGGTAGGCAGAGCCACCAAATGAAGGCTGAGTTGGCAATGCATTGCATAGATTACGGGTGAAAGCGAGGTCAGAATAGCGGCTTGAAGATTTCTAAGTACTAACTTAGGTACTAAACTTGGTAACTGTACTAGATGTGTGTAAGTTAGTAACTTGTATAACCACCAATGGGTAAAGTATTGGTTGGCTTCTTCTTGCTCGCTCGTCATAAGATATCTACATCTACATACATAATTGCGTCACAACAGCTGATTGGTCAAACCTTTGTTGTTAGATGTGTACGACGATGACCAAGTGCATAAGCCAGCACATTTTCGGTTTCAGTCTTGCCGGGAAAATAGGAATTACGAAAGTGATTCGCCAAATGATGGTTGAGTGAGCTTGAATATGCTACTTGACGGTGATTGAGAGGTCAACCTCTGAGCAATTAACAAATGTCCCACGCCAATCAAGTAGAAATGCAACGCCTAGTGTGTCCTATTCGCTGTACCTACTACAAGACCCCGCAGTCATGTCATGTCATGTCAGTCCACGTTGAAAGAGTCGAGTACAATTAACCATCTCTTATACGGTACATAGTTAGTTGGACAGTCCAAGACCCCCTTTGCTATGAGGCTTTGCTTTCACTGTCAATAGTCCAACCTGTACAATTCTGTACAATAATTAGCCCCCAAAACTGTCTCCGCTGCAGTACGTAGTAGGTAGTTTATCACTAGCAAAGATTCCCTAGCTTTCCACGGTGAAACTCCATCAACATCCCCACTACAGCTGGCTCTTGGACGTCTAGCCTCGCAACAAAAAAGCCTTGGTATGTACATTTCAGCGGTGAGAGTATTTGTGTTTTCCTTAGTTAGACTGCTATGACAGTGCACTTCTATTTAATATTCGCTTATACATTTAAGAGCCTAGACGAAGAAATAGGGGTTTGTTATTTACTATCCTGTCCCGTCTTGTCTAACTATTCCACATTCTGTCTGACGTGCCCCTCCTCAGCTAAGCTCCCTTGACAGGGTTCCCTACCTCCTTCTAAACTAACGTTAGATAGTACCTAGGTACCTGCTACCTATTCATAATATAGCAGGTCACCTCCGTGCTCATCTCCCTTTGTCATTGTCTTCTATCACCTTTTCAACAACTCCCAGACATTCTTCTTTACATTCGTTTCTCCCTCTCTATCCCTTCTAACTCCTATTCTTTTTATATATATCAGAAATCATGTCTTCTCGTCTACCTGCTTTTGCCCGCGGCTCCTCCGACTCCCAAGAGCCCTCCGATCCCATCTCCCCCGCCGACCAGCGCAGCGATGCTAAGCAGAACTTCCTAAAGACGATGCGCGCGCTGCCCACGCAGCATTACTGGAACGTCTACTTTGACCGTCAGGCCAAGGAGGGCGAGACCGGTGACCAATATCACTCTGGCCTCGAGCAGCTCGGCACCCAGATCGAGTCGGTGCAGGACTTTTGGCGATATGCGAACAACACCCCCGTTGCAAATATCGGTGTGCGCGAGTCCCTCTACCTCTTTAAGTCGGGCTTCCGTCCTGTCTGGGAGGATCGACGAAATGTCCTCGGCGGGAGCTGGACCTTCCGCTTTCCCAAGAGCTTGGGTCCTGATGTCTGGACCCGGGTTCAGCTCCTTGCTATTGGCGAGCAGCTCCAGAGCGTTCTCGACGACGGTATGAACTCTATTTTACCCGGCGAGCCCTGAATTTGAACTTTACTAACAAACCCTTTCTACAGAGGACCAGCTCTGCGGCGTTGGTCTTTCGGTCCGCTTCAACTCCCACCTCGTCACCGTCTGGCACCGCGACGCCTCCAAGAAGAATTCGATCGACAACATCCTCGCATGCATCTTGGAAGGACTCCCCGCCGAAATGCACCCCAAGCCCGACGCCTACTACTACAAGCGACACTCGGACCATGCTGGCTTCAACCCTCCCCCGGAGCTCAAGGCCGTCCTGGACTCCCGCCGTCGAGAGGAGGAGAAGCTGGCTGCTGCGGCCAAGGATACCGGAGCGAAGCCAGCTGTGACAGTCGACTCTCCTCAATGATTTCTATTTTACGATAGCCACGACGTTTCTTTTTGCGTGTTTCCGTTATTTCTATATACTACAATACAGTTGGGTCCGTTCATATAGTGTGTGGTTATCAGCTCACACATCCCGTCGCTGGCGGAGAACATGCATCCGATATGGCGTTTCAGAATTAGGTGGCATTATATACAGTATAGTATTGGCCAGGACCGTTGGTCCTCAAGAACCTTGTGCTTTTTAAGATTGGACAAGAACCAAGTCCAGTAGTGTATGAATGGGTTCTCCTTTTAACTCCTGATATGAAAGACTGAGCCTCTGATGCTTGTACAAATCTAGCAAGGTCCCCAATCTGTAATAGAAAGCCAATGCAGCGGTGACACGGGACTATATTCAATGGATATGTACATACTCTGCAAGTGTTGAAGTGCATAGTTAGCAGCCGTACCATGTCATGAGAACTTCTGAGACTGTACCTCAAGCTATAGCATCGCAACTAATTCCCAAGTCACTTCCCTTTTCACTCTCAGTACCAACTCCCCAACTCCAATAACAATTCATTCCTTCGTAAATCGTGGCGTTATGGCTGCCAGAGTATCACCTCCAAACACCAGCGCTCTTCATAACTCCATCAAATTCCTCAACACCAACACCTCGAGCAACGCCCACGCCACCGTTCGCCTCGAGAATCATATCCTTGAGGAGTTCCTCATCCACATCCTCCTTCAGCACAGCCGCCACGCGCCGCAAGTGCGCCAGCGTGATCGGACCGTCCTGCCCGTTCGTGAACAGCCGGAACGCCTCCTCGACCTCGGCGCGGTGCGCATCAGAGTCATGCTCTCGGCTGTGGAACTTGAGGGCGCAGATGGCGAAGAATGGCTCGAATGTAGCGTAACCGTCGTTTTCGGGGTCGAGAATCGAGATGAATTCTTTGAGTTCTGCGTGCGATGATGGCGGGACGCCGAGGGCTCTATTGGAACAATGACTTTTAGCAAAAGAATCCCAAAGGTTTGTCTTGGGGCAGCACTTACATGAGCGCAGACTTGACGTCGTCAATGGGCAAGACACCATGTTTCTCGCCATCCATAGGCTCCGCGAAAAGGCTGAACGCCTCGCGGATCTCGCCCTCTTCTTGCGCAGTGACGTTGTGCTCTTTTGCGAGTTTGGACTGGCGCGTCTTGGGCGCGGAGGTTCCGCCGGCAGCGGGAGCTTTGCGCTTTGGAGGCTGAAGACTTTTGTTAGAATACTGATTCTCTTGGACGAGTGTTCGAGGAAGTGTTACCATTTGCGCTTTGGTAGGACAAAGAGCTGTTGCGGCGCGTTCACGATTGTTGATGTCACGATGGATTCTTGGTGGTGACGATAGTGGATTTGGCGCGGCGGTGGACAGTGCGCGAACACCGTTTTGTGTTAGTGTTCAAACTGTACGGGCCTTTATAGCGATGGGGCATTGATTATTTTTTTCGCTTCCAGTCCAAACCATCTCTCTTCAACAACATTCTTTCACAATCTCAATTGTGACACTGGACGACAGTCACCCGCGCTCCCTTGGAGAACCATCATCGCGAAAAACCTGTCAAGGTTTGTTTACGTCTGCTATACAACTACGATCTATCAATCGAGTCGAAATCAGCCATTCCCAATACGTGACATGACATCCCCGACAACAACAACCGCTTCTACATATGCTAGAGCTAGCCGCTTTGAAATTACTACAGCGAGCAAGTGTGGACAATGAAGCAATATTAAAACAAGCCTCGTCGGACAACTTCAAATCCGGCGTGGTTCCAATGGGTAGCAAGCGATGTCGACGTCTTTACGACAGACACCTAGCGATCCTTGGAGACATACTTAGACACAGACTTGCACTTTTATATCAATATCAATTCAATTATTCACTCAGAACAGTCGCTCGCCGCGCACCTCATGCTTCATCGTTATTTTGATGTCTCGTCCAGTTTCTATCAGGTTAAAGCTGGCTAGCCCTCTAGATCTTCGGCTCTGGTTCCCTTGGAATATGTCAGTTCGACAAAGATGGTGAGGAGGCATTGATACTTACTCACTTGAAGTTGTTCTTCATCTCACGCAACTTCGCCATGACTGCTACAGGCTCAGATTCGCCTGTCTTCTTCTGAATCTCGGGGTCCTACTGCGATTAGCTTGACGGGTTTCCCAATGTCGTGTATCTCGACCAACCTCGACTCTCATAAACACATTGTGTTCCTGTGGAAAGTTAACGACTCGTTCTCAAGAACCATACGTACGACTGCCGGCATACCTTTTCATCTCCAATGGTGAACTTTCCAGTGGTGATCTTGTTGTTCTCGGCAAACGAGTGCAGCTTCTGCACAGCGTCGCGCTGAGAAACGGATGCGGCGAACTTGACGTTGGCCTTGGTGTATTCGTGTCCAGGCTGCAGTAACGTCAGTAGTCGTATCATTCCACATCTCGCTTGCTACTTACGTAGACCACGGTGTCATCAGGCAATGCTGCGAGGCGCTTGTTCAAGGCTTCGTGCATCTCCTCGGCATTGCCCTCAAAGAATCTTCCACAACCTGGGTATCGTCAGCGTCGACCTCTAACAACATTGAATGTGTCAGTCCAACCTACCGCCGATGAATAGAGTGTCGCCAGTGAACACAGCCTTGTCGTTTCCATCCTCCACAAAGAAGCAGATGCTATCCTGAGTATGGCACGGCGTATGCACACCCTTGAAAGTGATTTCGCCCAGCTTGAAGGTCTCGCCATGGCCGGGTGTCTTGGTTACGCCCTCGCAGTCCTTACCACCGATGATATCCAGCTTGGGAGTACCGAGCTCGGCAAGCTTGGGAAACGTCAGTCGGTGTTTTGAAGTCAGTCAGAGAGGGTATCTTACCAGCTTCTTGTTGCCTCCTGCGTGGTCCCAGTGGCAGCAAGGAAGTCAGTCTGGTTTGTTCGGCTTGGACGGATATGATACTCACTGGTGGGTGTTGACAATGGCTGTCAAGTTGATCTTGCCTGCCTTGATAACGTCCTTCAGAATAGGTGCAACCCTACAAGACACGAATCAGCCAGCTCTTGGAAGATCATTGAAGGTTGGTTCCGCGTACTCTGGGGGGTTTGCGGGATCAATGATGACGGCATCCTTGGACTTATCGTCAACTACCAGATATGCGTAGTTGTTGGAGCTCCCCTCCCCTGTGGAAGTCAGTCTTAGTATCCTACACAATATCTTTTCTTTTCTTTTCTTTCCGGGTATGCAAAGAGAATGAACTACATACACATAGGAATTGACTGAATATGCATGGCGCGAGATGCAACAAGCTACATCACATCATATAAGCTAGGGACATCTTTAGAGCTTGGTAAGGATGGTACTCACTGCTGTAGACAAAAATCCAATTTTCTGTTTGAGAAATGGCCGGTTTCTTGCGAGTCTATACATGTGTATGTAGGTAGATGTCAAGTTGAATGTGGATGTACTCTACCTACCAAGGTGATATCGAATAAGATGCGAGGCTTTGTCATTCAGCGAAGCAATCATGGCCCCAGCATCATGACGTGCCAATGCATGTGGCTGCACGTGATGTGTGCGCCTTCAAATGCTACCGCAGGATATCACCAAGGCCATGTCTGCAGGTTGAGTGTCATGTCTATTCGATTGAGGGTATCAAGTAATGTAAAAGATTTTATCTAGACAATTCCAATGGGTTTGGGCTTCCAATTGCCTTCAAACTGTGACCATCCAAAGTCATCCTCCCCATCTCCAACACCGGCATCCAGTTCAGTATCCTTCATGGCCATATCCAAAGCATTAATTCCCACCACTTTCTTCTCTTCGTCAGCTCCTTGTAGCCGTTTCGTTAACTCAGCACATTTGAGAAACGCTTGGTTCCCCGGTAAACTGCCTCTGACCTCTTGAATCGTCTTGAGCACTCGCTCCTTAGGCCACCGTCCAAATTCCTCAGCTACAGCTCCCAGCTTCCCTTGGTCTCCTTCGCCAAGATACCGCAACACTGCCTTTCGACATGGATCGCTACTGTCCTCGCCCAGCTGCTTCCAGTAGTAATCCCAGATCCACAGCAAAGCTTTCTTGGTCGCTGTGCGTAGCTTTGTCAGCGAAGGCAGTTGCTCGTGTGTAGACTGGTGGCGCAGCTCGACAAAGGTAGCCGGCAGGCCGATGGTTTTTGCGATTGAATACATGCTTTGTTTGCGCTGCTTGTCTTGATGACTGTCGAGAAGACCGGTGACAAATCTGAGAAACCACATCAGTATCATCACACAAACGGACGTTGTATCTGGACAGGCAGAACTTACCTGCTGAAGGCAGCTGAGTATGTGCCCCTGATAGATGCCGATAGAGCTGCGTTTTCTGTAGCGGCAGCCTCCTGATCACTCAGCATTGCAGCCATCAAGAGCGCCGTCGACTCAACCATATGAGGACAATTCCCTCGCTGCACCCACATCAACACCCGTGCAACCGCTTGGTGCTGTCTCGTCCGCGTCTCCTTATCATTTATGCCTTGAAGTCTCCTCACGTTTTCGCTGCGTCCAGATTGGTTGACATTTTGCCCTGGCTTCTGCGTTGAATCTTGGGCACTGGTGGTGATGCCTGTGTATATCTGCTCGCGCACAAGCAAAAGCTCGTATCGGTCGCGCCACGGTGTGAAAACGTACTGCACCATTTCTTTTGTTGTGTCCCTATTTTCAGCTTAATATGATATATTTTCTTGGGAGTTTTCTCGAGGCTAGATGGTGTGAGTTAAGCTATTGGTGGTGCTGTGCGTTAGATTCAAGATTTTGTAACGATGAAATTTTGCAGCGCCTTAGAGCAGGCTGTATCGCTAGAACAATTTGTGACATGATCAACAACGATGTTAGGATTGTGATGCAAATAAATGTTGGGTCAATAGGTTGGTTCATTCTTCTAAGATATAATTGGATTACATAGTTTTATTTTACATCTAGATTTGGTTTGCTTGCAAATACTAAGTCGCGCATACTATTTATTATTTCTGCCTCAACACCAGTCTGGTCGGAGCCAGGGAAGTTACAGTAGGCGTGCGTTCATATTTCCCTATTTTCTATAACTTCATCGAATCATGATCAAGTACAATAAATCCTACTAATCTCTATAATCTTGTTACTAGTATCCTGAGGACTTATAATATTCTTCTAATTCTTATCGATTTCACATAATGTCATTCAGAATCATTCATTCATTTAGAACTTGCTATATTCTGAGTCCAACATCTTTGGATCCCAACTCGACTAACAAGGTAAGCTAGGAATTCTAAAGCTAAACTCCATACCAAATTTATCATACAAAGTACGTATAACCGTGTCCATGTCATGGTTGCTTCTACTAGTAGCAATCCGCTGCTCTCATTTCGCATCACCTCAGGAGTTAACTCGCTAAAACTTCAGAGTTTCGTATAGCGACTAGGTCAGTGTAGCTCAGCGGCTACACCATTCCATAGGTAGATACATGCGGATAGTGCCAATAGTTTCCCATCGTGAGGTGGAGAAGATGTTTGTTCTTCTCACTTACGTTCAGGTTTCTTTCGAAATTAAACGGACATTCTTCACGGAGTTCCAACCGTATCCAGAAGTAGATATCCTTGATATCCGAAATGTTACGGTACAGCACCATCCGCAAAACTGAGTCACATATTGCGGGGCCAGCCACTGTTGAACCCTTCAGCCACAGCCGACACCAGAGAAGCCGTGAATCTGGTACGTACCTTGGGGGTGCTACGTAATGCCGTGATGGAAGGAAAGAAAGAGGGGGGTCGGGCACACGCCACGCAGGGCTGGCTGCAAGCGGGGAGGAGGGGGGCGTTGAATCTGCCTTCCTTTGAACCAATTGTATGCGCCGAGTCAGGAGCGGAAGCACAGACCCATGAGATGCCACATGTCGGACAGGGATCACATCGATTGAATAGGCCAATTAGAGCTGGAGAAAGACGCGGCTCTTTCTATCCCCCCCTTCCCTTGTGCCTACCTGCCTTTTTTGTCCCTTTTCAATGCTACAGAGGTAAATACAGTACTAAGGTAGGTGCGAGTGGTCCGAAATTCACATGAGACATCTTCTGGTTCTGATTTCTTGAAATGTTTCTTCATTTGAGTCATCATTGTGAGGCTGCCTGAGCTCTTTGTACACTATCTATCTATCTGCTTGTTCTGTGCTTTTTCGCACAAGGGTATCCATAGCCAGCTTCTATACACGCCAAAATTCAAACGCTTGTATCCGTGTCGCTGTCTTTGAGACCCTCCATTTTACTGTTCGCAACAAAACAAAAAACAAATGATAAAGTTGGCTTTTCCCGCATACCAACAATACCGTAATGGTACAGGTTTCTCAAGGTCGTTAATCGTGCTCATTACTGTACGCCTCAATCCTAGAGCGTAGTTACTCGTCGTCTTCCTCCTCCTCCTCCACTTCATATTCGTCATCCTCCTCTTCATCGGATTTTGGGGGTTCCCAAGTCTCTTCAAGTTTCAAGCCTTTGCCTCTTGGCTCGTGGCTCCTGAAAGACGATCCAAGCAGAGATGATACTGTGGATCGGTAGTTGTTGAGCTGCGGGTCCTCGGTGTACTTTTCCGGGGCGTCGTAAAGACCCATGCCAACGAGAATCTCGCCTTCCTCTTCCGGAGCATCTTCCAGAGCCTGGTAGTGAAGATCCTCAGATACTGCAGGTTGGGCAAGTTGGGTCTGGGGTAGAGTTTCAGGCGTTGGAGGTGTTGTTGACCCGAATCCATGCACGATGAAGGTGTTCCAGTCCCATCCATTGTTATATGAAGTGTCAACAGGTGCCGATGTCACGGGCATGCGGCCACCATCCATCGCCATAGAAGCACCTGGTGAGTGTTGGGACATGCTGGTTCCTTCGTAAGGGTTGTAAGCCATACCGTCCGCAGACTGGTAAGGCAGTGGGGGTTGAGAGAAAGCCAAGGGAGAGGTACCACATGAAGTTGAGCTCATCATTGGGGAGTAATGAGCGTAGTTTCCATAGTAGTCATGCTGGTCGGCATGTGAACGACTGGAGTTCAGTGCGTACATAGGTTGCTGCACTTGAGCTTGGGATTGTTGACCATAGGAGCTCGGATGCCAGCTCACGGGACGTGAGGATCTTTGGAAAGTTTGCTGTGGCTCAACATCGCAGAACGTGGATAACTGTTCCATAATTTGCTGCTGCCGCCGTTGCGAGTTGCCGTCATTCATAAGAGTCTTTCGACGAGCCATCAAGCTAGAGGAGCGAGGGCTGTTGTTGGCGCTTGTAGGTTTGACTACTCGCATAGAACTTCCCGATCGTTGACCATTGGATCCTCGTGAAAACCTCCGCGAAGCTTGCGAACATGCCATTTGTTGTGTGTGGTCGTCTAGCATTACGTCGTGAGGATATGTGACAGGCAGAGAACCTGCAGGCTGTACACCGAACAGTGGGTGCATCATCTTGGAGTGCTTAATGAATTATGAAGTTGGATGAAAGATGATTCGTAACAAGTGGTGATAGAGATACAGTTGATGTTGAAAGTCGATATCGTACGGTAAGTTGGTTTTGATTATTGAATGGTATGGCAGATATAGAAAGATCTGAGAAGGGCCCGGCTTCATTATGTATCGTGAAGTGGAGGTACCGTCCACAAGGGGCTCAAGGGAGTAACGAAACATGGGGCAATCGATGGCTTGAAAGATAAATCGAGCCTAGCAGCTCGAACAAGATCACCTCTCCAAGGATCTGGATGTGGGTGTGGGCCGGGAGGTACAAAGCAATAATGAAGCATGGGTATCCGCAGTTTGCTGCAAACCGTAGAATTTACAATAACCGTCGAATCAGCGTGGAACACACTGGGGAACTTGGCTAGGTTTCCTCATCAGAACTGGTCCGCATCTTCTTGTTCCTGTGCTAGGATTGTCAGTGCTAGCATGGCAGCTGGGGTGGTGGCCTGCGTCATACGGGCCGGCAGGGGGTGTCTCAATGGGCGGAGCCTACAGACAGTGAAAGGTGGGCGGGAAGTAGTGCCGGAGCGAGAATCAGGCCGCTGTTCTGGGGATTGAGAGTTCGAGACGACGCCTGCGGCATGGTGAAGTCAAGGTCTATGTAAGGGCGTGTTCAGAAGGGGGGCTCACGCCGATTTCGTCGGTGCTACGCTAGATAGTTTTGGCGTGGTACCCGTACCGACAAGGCGAACAACCACAAACCAGAAGGAGGTGGTGCTGGTCAAGATGGGGCCTCCCGCCGCTATGATTGCGTTGCAGACCCATGAGCGCTGAGTCTCTAGAAGAAGTGGACATCACAGGGTCGTCTGGACTCCTCAAGGCATGCAGCATGCCAGGCAAGTCACCCCTGCCGCTAAGGACGCAACTCACATGGAGTGGTGGATGATGGAAGGGATGGAGAAGATTTGGATTCACGGGCTGGAGTAAAAGTAGAAACACAGCGGTTCCATGCTCAGCCAGTCTCCGCCCTGAATTCATGACCAAACTGACCCAGCAGCAGGGGGTCAAGACATTAGATGGGGGTGCACCAAGAGTTACAGCCCACGGCGCCACAATGCATGCGTCTCTGGAGCCTGGTAGCCTGGGATGAGCTGGGGACCTCAGCCATTGAGGAAGTGCTGTGCCTAAGAAAATGTATGGGACATTTCCTTGTTGCTAAAAGTGCCACTCGGGAAGGGTCTTGAATCTCATCCAAACGGGATGCGCATCACCGCTTTGAAGGTTTGGCATGCTCCTGCTTCCGAGTACTATTGACACCCCCACAGTAGCACATGTAATTCCCATTTCTCGGCTCCATGAAGGCTACCAGCTGGGATTCAATAAGGGCGTGTCGAAATCATGGTGTTTCCCTAAGAGAAACAATCATATCTGATCGGCAGCAGCTGTTTGCAACGAGTTTGAAACCTCGTCCACCACCAGTAAACGGTTTGGTATCCGCTTCTCAATGCTTTCTCTTGTGCATATCAAGACCCCCATAGCCGAAGGTTTGGTATTAAATCAACAGGACGAGGTATTGGCAAGGGCATGATGGCGCAGCAAAACTCCATCAAACCTCAACAATCGCAAGTGACTCGTCTGGAATAACACTCCGCAGTCCGATGGGGAATTCAGCAGGACCATCTTGAACATTACTGCGTGCTGCGTAGTGACCTGGATAAGTGGAACCGCTTCTGTACCAAATAAGGATGGGAGCGGCGCTTCCTTGGATAACACAACGCGTGGCTGGCCGATATTGCGTTGGATACAGACTCTACTACATACAGTACGATAAACCCATCTAATTCAGGTCAGTGAATCGGTGGTAGACTGTTAGTGCCTTTTATCACATGAGTCATCGTGCTATAGGAAGCAAATGATGCCTCACGCTCTGCAGCGGTGTGGTTGATGTTGGTGCAATTTTTAGTGGCGAGAACACCAAACATGAGGGCACGGGGACGATTCCAGGAGAGCGCTCAGTGGCTGCGGGTACTGGAAACAATGCCGCTGCGCAATTTACTCCGTGCGGTAAGGTACCGTCTACGACAGGGCGAGTCTTGGGTCTGGGTCAAGACTAGACACCTCGAGTTAGATTGTGATGGTTGTTATTGAAAGGGAAAAATATGAGCACCAGATCAGGGAGGTATTAACGCGGAGCCATTCTCTGCAGAAACCCGCCTAGGTAACGACCAAGGCACGCACCCCTTGTACTCCGTAATGTAGGCTTGAGAGAAGTAGGAGGAAGGAAGTAACCTGACCTGGAAGGAAGGGGAAGCAGGACAATGCAAGCATGTCCCAAGAGCGACGCCTAACGGCCTGAGCGTCTAGAGGAAGGAGACACACGCAAGTGCAAGTCGCAGTGACGGGCTCGCCGGCCTGAAGGCACAGCTCCTGCATGTCCAAGAGACAGGCGGTCTTGCTCCGCGTGCTAACTCCTCTAGTTGAAAAGTGCGGAAACCCATCATGTCCCATCTCATCCTACCTACTCCGTACATACGGATGCAAGGCGCAAGTCCCAACTCCCAAGCATCAGATATCAACTTTACCAATCAGCCAAGCTCCTCCACTCAGGGGCTGTGAACACAACAACATATTTCTATCCTGGACAACCTGGAAACAGTGCAATGGGGGGTCAGCCTGTGCTAATACCTGCAGTGCCGCCTCGTAGGCCCCTGTGCAGCACCTCAGGCACCTGCCAGTATGACTTCAGCAGATGAGCTGCTTTTTCGGGCACGCGATTCGGCATTTTCTACAACTATGCCAATGTCTGGTAGCGACTCGTTTTCCGAAACCGAAACATGCATCTATGGGTAACGCTATGGCTTTTACACACCTTCGCGCCTGCATACCTACCATACTCTACCCTACCCTACCCTACCCTACCCTACCCTACCAGCGTAGCCTTAATGTTGACAGATATCGTTACCAACTTACCAAGGACAATTTGCAGCAAAGGCCTGAGACAAGGTATCACATCACCTTAGACCCATCAGACAAGCAACAAAGTGTACATCGAAAGAGGCAATTGGAAATTTTAATAAATAAATATAATTTTTTTTTTAGAAAAAACTCGACAGCAGCAACACGCACGAGGACGCATTTCATAGGTCACTGCTAAATATGTATAACGCCCTTGTCAACAACAACAAAATGCCATGATGGTTCGCAAGCCTGTCGTACGCATAGGAGCACATATCCGAATCCCCACAGAGCATAATAACAATTGCACGCTGACAGTCTCAGCTCGGAAGCTCTGTCAGTTTCCTTCGCTTGTCTTATTGCCCTCTTGTTCAGGGAATGCGTACGACTCATCCTGCTTACACTACCACGAAAATTCGCTTGGGCGGTACAATCTTTACGAGGATCATCCCCCATCCTAAGCGTTATATTGCTGACCACGGCACGGCCACGACCATGACATGAGGTATGTGCCTGTGGAGCACAGCACATGCTTGTCTAGGCTTGTTTGTTGGCTCCCAAAACCAGTGAGGCTCCATCGAAAGATCTGGGCGTCTCACCCACCGCAAAAGGGTTGCAGAGGGATCAGCTGCCCGGAACTGCCAGCGGGTGAAATAGGCCCTGGCTCTGGAAGCTGTTAAACCACCCTGATCGCCCACTGAATCAGTCGCCAATGGGCTATAATTTTGCGCGCCACCCACAAGTTCCCTGCAATGCCCAGAGGTGGAGAGGGATGGAAGCGTGCCGCCTCGATGGATCTTTTAGCTTTTTCCTTCTTCTCAAAGCGACCCTTGAACCCACGGTGTGCTGTCACCACACTCAACAATTCAGTCACCAGCAGGTGGGATCTCCGTTCGGGCAGTGATACGAGTCGATCTATTATGCGGCAAATTATGACCTTACATAGTACTCCGTTGTTGGCAGAAGAAACATGCTATCGACTCCTACGGGGTACACATTCTTCTCAACAGGGTTTGTCACAATCTTCAGATACAGTCGCTATATCATTTAAAGCATTGTGATCAATCAGGGCAGTTATTGTGGTAAAGGTCACGGAGTACGGATAGATGCAACTACCAACAGGACTCCAAACACAGGTCATTGTGGCTGTTATGTTATTGTGGCCAAGCCCTGTGGAATGTGTTTTGTGGCCAATGATAACCTCAAGACGTTCCTTAGTGACGATCCTTGTCGCCATAAGCTTGCGGATCTGCTCGTTAGATGGGCTGGCTATTTTTGCTTCAAATTCCCTGCCTGGCTTGTTATTGTCATTGCTTTAGTTCACTCGAACAGGGGCCGAATATCCAGCCAATCTCTCGCTCAGCTCGGTTTGGAATTCGCGCCAACCACACTTTGCAGGCCCTAGACATGGCCATGCACTAACTCAGGTCAAGTTCCCAAAATTAATTAACGGGTTATCGAGAGCTTCGAGTGTTTGAGTTGCTTGAGCAGGGGCACTACTCTGTCCCATGGGTCATGGACCATCCACTCAAGGCGGATAATGAATGAGCACCCTGGTCATTTTCTTTTCGAGGCTCGTTGTTCGGTCCATCCAGCATCAACCGTGGTCAAAGATTGGATGCATTGACTGTTCTCCCAGGCCGCGAACGTTCCGTGCGAAACGCTACACCATAAGACATTTGTGCTGATCACTAGCCAGCTTGCCAACTACTCCTGTGATGGCGTTCGTGGGCTACCTCGAGTCACGGAAGTGCAGCCACCCACCATGTGATGGTTCTCATCAACTTTTGCATAAATTGGACTTTACCAAGCTTGCCCAGCATAATGCAGCGTGCGCAGTTATGTTCTGGCCCTTGGCAACGCACCACACTATCTTATACTTTGCACTTCATCCATTGATATGTCTTGAGTTACATTAGGACTTCCCAACATGCACAATACTAATCTGTATAAACTACGCACAGTTTCCATAATGTCATCCCGGCTGTTGTTTCACAGTTAACTGCGAAGTGCGTTCGCACATCCTATTTTAGCCTTCATACCGGCTTCAAACACCT